GAGAAAGCCTCGATACCCTCCCTCCTTGTCTCCAACAAATGCGACTGCGACCGCGACTATCGCCAGCTCGACCCAAACAACATTGAACAGCGAGCAAAAGCCATCCTTCGCTCCCTCACAACTCTTCAGTCGTCCATATCACATGTCGACACGCACACACAAGGATTAGCCGGCCTGTTGCAAGCTGTAAATGGCAAGTCGCATCCAGCCCCATGCCCCTCCGCCCTCAAGCCCTACTCACGCAAACAAGTCTTGTTTGTCTACGCTGCCCCACCACCTTCCCGACCATTGCGTCTGCTGACCGCCAAGTAGCTNCAGAGAGACCCTGCCTTGTCCCGCCGTCGGACCATCTCATCTGCCCTGGCCTTTGGCCAAGCTAATCGATCACATCCACCTCCAGTCCACGCCAGGGCAAGCTCCATACAGTCCAACACCATGCGCAAAGATTCGCGACACGACTCTACAACTACCGCTACAAATACCTCAAACATCGCCCCTCAATCTACCGACCACGACACAACCCTGGATCAATCACGCGACGACATGACCGACTCATCACACTCCGAACATGCCTCTTCGTCCGAGGATGGTGGGCTCGACGTCGATAGTCAATCAGAAGCCCCCTCTGACGAACGTGGTTACTCCTTCGACAATCTTGTCGACCGCCTTCTGAAGCTACCAAGGTCAAAGGCAGATACAAGATACGGCGCCGTCTTTCTCGCTCTGTACCGGAAATTTGGCGCTCCTGGCCAGTTGCTCGAAGCCATAGTGCACCGCTTCGAAGCTCTGGAACAGGAGGATGGTCCTTTCATGACCAAAACAGTCTCGCAGTTGCGCTACCTGTCTGTCATCGAGCAGTGGATTGGTACATATCCGGGAGACTTTGCACACATCAAGACCCGCCGTCGGATGCGTACCTTTGTCGCCAAATTGTCAAATACCCGTATCTTCTCCGCCGCAGCGCGAGAGATGAGTTGCGATCTGGACGTTGTGGTAGAAGACGATGACACCAACTGGGCATGCTGTGATATGGATCGTGAGAAACGTGGCCTTCTGAGCCCCGACTTGAGTTGGTCATCTCGAGTAAGCACACTCCTGGACGACCCCGACTTTGACTTCAGCGACAATCTTGGAAGTCTCTCTCTCGACGGTGGCCAGGATAGGAACCAAGTGCATTCACTGCATACTGATTTTGGTATGCTCCAGACCGTCGACGCAGCGAGGAGACAGGGCCCGTCACTTGTCCCGATGCCAAAAACCCCCATCAGCAAATCGCACTGGCACGTATTGATGGAGACGTCGACCGATTCTATCGCCTGCGAGCTGACACGCATTGACTGGATCATGTTTAGTGCTGTTCGTCCCCGCGACTTAGTACGTCATGTCTCGCTGTCTCAGGGGCAAAAGGCACAATGCAAGTCCTTGGTCCACGTCAGTCGCATGATTGATCATTTCAACCACATTCGAGATTGGGTGGCCAATTTAATCCTACTTAGAGAGAAGGCAAAGCATCGAGTTTTGATGTTGGAGAAGCTCATGCATGTCGCTCGCAAACTGCGAGAGATGAACAATTATAACTCTCTGGGAGCCTTCCTTGCTGGCATTAGCAGTGCGGCTGTACATAGGCTTGCCGCTACTCGGGAACTGCTATCGCCAGAGACCGGCAGAGACTGGATGAAGTTGGAGATCTTGATGTCTCCCACTCGCTCGTATGCGGCTTATCGGTTGGCCTGGGAGAACTCCAGTGGAGAGAGAATACCATACCTTCCCTTACCAATCAGAGATCTCGTTGCTGCCGCAGAAGGCAACAAGACATATATTGGTGACGAAGTTAACGGAAGGATCAACTGGCGCAAGTTTGAGGTTATGGGAGAAACGATCGTTGGCATCCAGAGAGCCCAAGGTCTGCCATACAGAAACTCAATGCTCGGCCCTAGAAATGATGACCTGAGGGCCTTGATCCTGAACAGCAACATGATCAGAGATGATGAGGTAAATGAAAAAGAATCAAGCACGGCGAGGAACACGTAGCTAACACACTCTCAGGCCCTCTACGAACGCAGCTGCTCTATCGAAAACGCAGACCGAAAAGGATTGCGTGATATCTTCAGGCGTGCATAGTCAACCCTGCAGTACTTCCCCGATCTTTTCCCCAGCATTTAGTTACTCAGCGTTGAACATATTTGGCATGGATATGAAGTAATGATTTTTGGCATCGATTTCTTTCACGTCGAGCAGTTGAAAGAAAAGAGAGAAGAAAAGCGATCCCAGGAACGAACATGGAAATCTTTCGGCGAAAAGGGTGTTATTATGGCAGCATGCTCATCATATAAGAGAGCCTCGGAGTTTTTTACCCTTTACTTTCAATACCTTTATATACGTTTGTTTATCTAGACTTTGCGTCTGCCTCGCGGCGATTTACAAGACATCTCTTATTCTCTGCAGGCTCGGATTTGATACATTGGTGGCGAGTTCCTCGAGAATCACTCATTACCTCGCAAACATTGGGATGCATCTGGATATATCACAATGTCAGAAGAGAGCAGATTTTAGCAAAACGCGTGGTACAATGCACTTGTATGCAAGGTAATCTGACCATCCACGTGGAGATCGAGAGGCGCCCGAGCATCAAAAAGGTTAATTTTTGCCTTGATGACCTCACCACATACCGTTCCAAACACCAATAGACGTGTAGACTAGATTCTCTGTTTCTTTCTAACATCGCTTTAGACACTACTAATTCCTCTAAACATCATCTCAATCCTTGTCTTCAGTGTTCTGTCTCACCATTCTTTCATAATCATATTCCCGCCAAAATGTCGTGGTTCAGACGAGATCCAGCCAATACAGTCAAGTAAGTTTGACAAGAGGCGATCAAATCACACAACCATCGGAGCACAAGGACTGATTGGCGAAACAGTGCATGGGGCCACAAATTCGTGCTCACAGACGAGCACCTGACCCTAGAACAAATGAACCCAGCAAAACACACATGGGACTACCTAGGCGAAAACGCATTGAACCGGATAAACGAAATCTCGCCACCACCACCACGCACGCCTCAGAAAAAGTCAGAGGGAAAAGAACCATTTCCTGATGATGAAAAGCAGGCGGCACCGGATGTGAAACCCAAAAGGGATTTGTATGCGTTACTGCGTGATCATGCTGGAGAGGATGAGGTGTTGCAGCAGCTCTGGCGGCAGGTAAACACGGTACCCGAGTGGGTGGATTGGGAGCAGATTGCTCGTGGTCAGGATGTGTTTTACAGGTACGGCGGGCCTGTTCTTACCGGACTGGCTTATCAGTCCCTTCTCGGTGGACTCGGTGCAGCTAGAGTGACCGAGGTTCTATCAAGGACGGGCGGATTTGCAGTGGATGTGGCGAGGAATCGTCTTTTCGAGACTACGCAATATCTGCTCCAATGCACAAAGTCATTGGCAGATATACAGCCTGGTGGCGAAGGATGGGCAGCCACGATACGAGTACGACTATTGCATGCAACCGTACGGAACCGCATCATGAAACTGGCAGAGACACGGCCGGAATACTTCGACACCGCAAAACTAGGAGTACCTATCAACGACATGGATTGCGTTGGCACGATTGTCAGCTTCTCAAGCGCACTCATCTATCTCTCATTACCGCGACAAGGCATCTATCTTCGTCCCCAAGAGATCGAGGACTACACTGCGCTGTGGCGGTACATAGCATATGTGATAGGATGTCCAACCGACGGTCTCCTGGAGACGAAAGAACAGAGCAAACGCATCCTCGATTGCATCATGATGCACGAAATCGCGCCGACACGCACATCACAGATCCTCGCAAACAACGTAATCAGAAGTCTGCAAGACAAACCGCCAGGCTACGCGTCCGCAGACTTCCTGCTCGCTGGAGCTCGATGGCTGAATGGCAACAAACTATGCGATGCGTTGGCACTTCCAAAGCCGAGTATATACTACACGGGCCTGATGGCTGGCCAATGCATCTTCTTCGGATTCTGGTGCTACACCAACCGCATGAACAAGTCAACAGACCAGAAGAAGCTGGTAGTGCTGCGAGATATATTCTGGAAGATAATTGTCAAGGGAGGATTGAAGGGCGAGGAGTCGACCTTTGACTTCAAATACGTCCCCGAGTACAGTATCATGACCGAAATGGGCGGTGTTGAGGAAGTTAAGACCAAGTCGGAGATCGAGATTGCGAGTCTCAAATGGTTGCTGATGGGCGTTGCTGTCGTGTCAGTGGTAGGGTTTGTAGTGGTCAAAGTTGGATTCTTGGGAGCGCGTCTAGCAACCTGGGTTGTCAAGAGCGCGTGGGGCCTTTGTAGAGCCATCAGCCTAGGTCGTTTTGATCATAAAACCCCCCTCCTAAGGAGAGTTTAGAGTCGTCGTTGCTTCTTTGCACGAGTTGTGCTTTTTCTACGCCTTGTACACTCCCAGGCAAGTGGAAGCGATGACTGGGGCTGCTTTTTTAGCAGAATTGTTTGTTTACACCAAGAAGGACGGAGTACGTGTTGGACGAGCGAAGCAGTGACCATCGAGGTGTCCGGAATTGACGGAGATAAGATCTGCCAGGCGGTCTAGGACAAATATGGGCGAATCATCTCGGTCCCTCCGACCCTCTTATTTAGTAGAAACACAACTATTCTGTTCAGACTCCACATGCAGCGATCATATAGGTGTCCTTGTTCTGTGCGAGCTCTAGAAGCCTTCGTCAGAGATGTCGCTGGTCTTGACATCCGCCAGAGACGAAACAACGTCAGCTTTCGGAACTTCAGCACACGATCAAGCCTCCAGATACGCCATCCGTCGCCGCGATTCATTTCTTCTCAAGGACATACTGTTGCCAGCTCCCTCGATGACGCTTTCGTACCTTTCGATACCACTGCACCACACAAGCAATTCGCTACGACCACAAATGTTTCGTCCGAACCGGCGCGATCGAATCAAGACCGACAACCGTCCGAGCCTTTTGATCCGGATGAAGAGCCAGGAAGCATGGACGATTTTGAGCCGGAAGTAGTCATACATGAGGAGCAAGCGAAGACCACAGCCGATCCGGTCGTCAGGGATGCCCGCATTCAGCAACTGGATCTAAAAGATCGGGACCAGGCGATTGATGCCATATTTTTCCCAGACTTGTTAGCACAACCAAAGCTCGAAAGTCGTGAGCTGGGTTCACTCAGTCAAAGGCTTAACATCTTCTTCACCTCAGCAGTACCGCAATATCCTGGCAAAAATGCACGCAAGAGGGCACGAAAAGCAGCGCAAACTGCGGAGACACATATGACTCTGCCGGATCAGACGACTCGGGCCTCGGAGACCACAACAGGGCCAGTGCTATCCTCCAAGGCTGCCTCGAAAGCAAAGGCAAAAGCGGACAGAAAGGCGAAGAGGGCAGCTTTGGCTTTAGAAGTCCAAACGGCCGTCCTGGAACAAGCGGCCCAAGACCAAGAGACTGCCGACGTCGCCTCCTTGATCGCGTCAGCAACAGGTCCCAAGCCCATTTCTCAAGCCAAAGCCGACAAGATAGCCCTAGCGATAAAGGCCAGAAAGGCAGANAGAAAAGGCTGCAAAAAGGCGGCAGTAGAAAAGCTTGTTCAAGAGCAAGCAGCAGCCAAGCAAGCCCAGAAAGAACGCAACCGCAACACAGACCGCTGGAAAGTACAAAAAGCAGCTCTGGAAGAAAAATTCGGAGAGCACAATTGGAACCCTAGGAAACGAATTTCTCCAGATGCGTTGGCTGGTATTAGAGCTTTGCACGCCAAATCGCCGGAGACCTTCAGCACAGCTGTGCTGGCCGAGCACTTCAAAGTCACTCCAGAGGCCATTCGACGAATTCTGAAGAGCAAATGGCAGCCCAGCGAAGACGAAGCTGAGGAAAGAAGAGAGAGATGGGAGAAGAGGGGTGAAAAGAAATGGACCGAGATGGCCGAGCAAGGTCTCAAGCCTCCGAAGAAGTGGAGGGAGAGAGGCGTAGGAAAGGTCGGCCCGGGAGAGGTGCCAACGTGGAAGCAGCCTGGCAAAGTCGGTGAACGATGGATCGAGAGCACAGATGCGGATAGATTCGTCATGGCTGGTGAGCAGTTGGCCGAAGAGGGACATGACGAGTACGCAGAGGAAGAGAGTATTGCATCTAGGATTCTCTAGACCAATATCATTGTGTAGTCTGTTCCAGGTCAGTTCGCAACGATGTATCAGCGGAAAGACTCACCAACCCACAAGATCAAGTCCAACTCTACCAACTTCCGAACGAAAGTCATCATATTTTGATAGGCCAACCCGCTTCTTCACGCAACCCAATTCGACAGCGCAAAAGCAGACTTGAATCAGCATGAAAGCTTCAGCAGAGGAATGCCTGAGCGGTAGATTCGAGTCTCACAATATCCTTGAGGAAAGCAGAGTTAAGCGTGCCACGTGGCTGACCGTCGCTGATAGATGCGCTGTGGCTCGATGATGTTGGCTTGAATAATTGTAGATGAACAAGAGGTCGGTTGAGGAGTTTGTATTTACTTTCGCTCTGAGCTAAAGTGTTGAGGGAAGGAGCAATGTCTGCCTGGGACTCGTAGTCTAGGAAAGAGCAGTTCCGCATTCGCGCTCTCCCTGCCGTATCTCCTCCACAACCTGCAGTCCGTGTGCGTCTAGAGACATGATGACTCCTCACCAACACCCATAACAATACTAAATTGACGGTAAACAAATCTATGTTGCATGGCACTTCTATCCGACCACCGACCCGTTTCCTGCAGTCCCACCACTTCTCGAGCTACCAGGCCTGTCACTTCTGACCCTTCTCTCTCTCCTGAAGCATCCAAATTGTCCCTTGGTACCCTCTCTCAACCTCTTCAAGATAGCTCTCATCTCTGGCAACTCAGCCTGCAATCTAGTCCTTGCATCTGCATCCGTTCTCTCGTCAAGCACCAAGTATATCTTCGACTGAATCTCCGAGGCCTTTTCGGTGGTGTAGTTCGAAAGAGTCTGCGCGAGAAGCTCGACATCAAGAGTCGCTTGCATTAGAGCTGTTAGAGAGTAAGAGCGACGCTCAGAGAAAGCTGCGAGAAGGGACTCGCTGGCGGATTCGAGGAAGTGGGATAGAAGCGGCGAGGTTAACGTGCTTGCTGTGGTTGAGACTTCGGTATGTACTAACACCAAAGCAAGCAGCACATCATAGATGTAGGGACGAGCATTTGTGGGTCTTGTGGAGGTCTTAGGTAGCCAGGTTGGAGATGAGATGCCAGCCGTGATGATTTCCCGAAGTTGTGTGGTTGTGGGTTTGACGTAGCCTAAGAATAGACGATCATCGATCTGCTTGAGTACGTCGCGGATTTGTTTGGATTCATCAGTGAATTTGATTGAGAAAGAGGACTCGAACTGCGAAATCAACTGAGGCACCACTTCGCGCCGTAGATGATTTAGGTTGCTGAGTGTGAGTAACAGGCGGACATNTCTGTGTCGATGTTAGTTCTTGACGAGATCTGCAACGTGTATTCTCCGATTCACCTTGTCTGTTGCTTGTGTGGTCACAACGCTGCTGTCTGTGGCCGAGCCTCTTTGCGTCACCGGTACTGTTAGACCATCTGGGTCATCAATCCCGGAATCTCCAATCTNTTTGTTCTTCTCTGCATTCTCCACGGCGCCACTAAGTGTTTTGTATATGCTGGTGATGAACTGATGTCTGACCATCTGGAGAAGCTTGGTTGGTGGTGGTCCAACAACATTCTCATAACCAGGACGCGACATTGCACCAGAGATGTACAGAATTTTCTGCATATCACTAAGGATGGTTTCCTCAAACGCACTGAAGCGGGATGGCATGTTTGTGAGATCGCGGCGATCTGTATGCCGCGTCCAGTCTTCAAGATATCTGGTCTTGTCAGAGTCGACGTTCCACGCAGCACAAACAGCCTGAATGCAGCGTTCGCGCACTCCGCTGACCATGGTCTTCAGCTGTTCTGCCATACGGTAGTTGTCTCTGACGAGGGAAAGACTAGCAACCTCGCCTGCTGACGTTCCAACGAGGAGCAAAATATTGCTGAGATAATGAACACCACTCAAAGAATTTGCATATGGCGCCCAGAAGGCAAATTTCTCCCAAGATTCTCCTCGTCTCGGTGAGGGTTCAGGGATGTTGTTCACGTCGAATGAAAACATGCGCTGATCACTGGCCAGACTAGACGATGGAGTGTCCGGTGTTGCAGGAACGGGCGAGAACAGGGACGAAATGTCTTCAACTGGCGAGTCGACGAAGAACGAGAAGATGTTTTCGCGCATACTATTGAGCAGATCGGTAGCAGATTGACGAAGCCGGTTTATCTCGTCCTCCCTGAGATCAAGATGTTGACGGCCCTCTGAAGCAAAAACTCCAGTGGGCAAGTTTCTCTGGGCTTTGTGAGAGATGAAAGATTCTGCAGTTTCCCAGAATTCAACGATCTCTCCTAGTAAACCCCCTTGTGCTGACAACAAACTGTTTAATGCACTTTGGATCTTCTCCCAGAAATCGATTATCTTGGAAGCGTCCATGGCGTTAGAAGTGTTGTTCGAGTTTCGATCTTGCACAAGGTTGGCTACAGCAGATCGAAGATGGAGTTTCGACGTTTGGAGACTAGGTGGTTCTGCTGATGCCAAACGCCGCCTTGAAACTTCAATCTCTATGCGCATACGATCGAAGGAGCGAGTGAGCTTCTCTTTGAGATTGTTGTATCGACTAAACAGCCAGAATGTGATGGGATTGTCGTCCATGTCGAGTTGCAAAAGAGTAGCGATCAGAGTCATGGTCGTATCAGGTTGAGCAGCAGCAGATGGCGCAGAACGGCGGATCCTAGCAGCAGAAAGGTTTTTACGAGATTCGCGTTTGAAGGCACCAATTTGGGACTGAGCATCTGACCAAACTTTTGCAGCAACCAAGATCTGATGCACGTCTGAATCTGATAATTCTTGACCAGATTCGGCTTTTCTCGTGGCATCATTCGCAAGTTTCTTAGCACGGTTGTATTCGGTCACAAGAGAGTCATAGTCCTTCTTACGGATTGCGTCTTGCAAGGCTTGACCGATTTCGAAAACGTCACGGTGTTGTTCAAGATAGGTTAGCACAGACTTGAGATCTTCCTCTTTTTCGCGGCCGCCCAGTGCAGGGCCCCAGACTTCCTCTGCTTTGGCACCAAGCTCAAGCAGAGGAGCCTTGATGCCGAGGACACCATATTCGCTCTCTTTTGTCAAGGCATTCTTTTTCTTGTCTGGAAGTTTGCTTGCGACCGAGGGGGACAGAGCTCCGCTAGGAGTACGGAAATGCGACATGCCTCCTCGACTGGTATGTCTTGAGTGTCTTCGCTGGTGACCAGGGGACGCCGGCATAGCCTGCTGGCCTTGGGTGCGCATCTCGGTGTATACATTGTCGATAGTAGCCTTTGCTTTGACGAAGCGTTCGAAATTGGACTCGACCAGCAACTTGAGCGAGGCAGACTTTTGCTCAATGGAACTAGACAAGAAGTGGAGACCGTTGAGGAGTGAGTCGGTCGAAGCGTCGTGGTGAACTTGCGACAAGAACAGGTTGGGTGAGAAGGTGGTCGAGGACAGCATGAAGCGGTTGCGCAGACGCAGATTCTCCTCGACCGGCAGGCCACGGCGGCGCAGTTCGTGGACAACACTCGGTACTATGCCTAGGGGATCGGGTTCATCTTTCTGCACGCTGTTGTCGGCCCTCTTTCCTCCAACAGAGACGGAGCGATCCAGCGCAGCGAACTTGGACTCCCTGTGGTTCGTGTCTGTCGCGTCGTTGTCGGCATCGCTATTGTAGTCGTCGTCGTCCCGGTCCGGCCATTCCGAGGGATAGAGAGAGTCGAGCTTGTAGTGGTTCAACAGCTCTCGCTCAACTTCGGCAGACATTTGTGTTGTAGTGATCAAACAGTGCTTGCTGCCTCGAAGTCGATGGATGCGGCTAGGAGTATGACTATGTGGGGATGGCTCATTTGTTATGCACACGAGTGTGGGGGTTATGCAGAGCAGCCGCAGCAGCAGCACCAGCTGTTGCTGTCGCGGTCCGAATTTGACCGATCGGCCAGCTGCTCTGGACGGCAGCCTTGGCGTTTCGACTTTGCTCTACCGGGACCTGCTCGCTGTCGCTGCCGCCCACTGCTCTGCTTCGCAACTCTTACCGGCAGCATACTCCCTCCCGTCGTCGTCTCTCCTCCCTCTACCCACAACCTTCAACATGCTTGGATCCCGATCATTGGCCACCCCTGCACGCCAGTGCCTGCGCCAGGCCAGACAGCAGCAGTTCACCAGACTTTCCTTCGCTCGCTCCTACGCCGTCGCCTCGGACGATAGAGTCGCCAAGTTCAAGGGTACCAAGGGCAACGACGGCAAGTTCACCGTCTCGCTCATCGAGGGTGACGGTATCGGCCCCGAGATCTCCCAGTCGGTCAAGGACATTTTCGAGGCCGCCAACGTCCCCATCAAGTGGGAGCCCGTCGATGTCACGCCCCGCCTGAAGGACGGCAAGACCGTCATTCCCGACGAGACTATCGACTCCATCTCGCGCAACTACGTCGCCCTGAAGGGTCCCCTCGCCGTACGTCCATGAACCACACCCGTCCACCCGCGCAACGCCCGCCAACTCCCCTCTCAATGTCTCTGCATGCGCTCCCCCGCTAACTCCCCCCATCCCAGNACCCCCATCGGCAAGGGTCACGTCTCGCTCAACCTGACTCTCCGTCGTACCTTCAACCTCTTCGCCAACGTCCGTCCTTGCAAGTCCATCCAGGGCTACAAGACCCCCTACGATGGCGTCGACACCGTCCTCATCCGTGAGAACACCGAGGGAGAATACTCTGGCATCGAGCACGTCGTTGTCGATGGCGTTGTCCAGTCCATCAAGCTCATCACCCGCAAGGCTTCCGAGCGTGTCCTGCGCTTCGCCTTCCAGTACGCCCAGGAGGTTGGCAAGAACAAGGTCCGCGCCGTCCACAAGGCCACCATCATGAAGATGTCCGACGGTCTCTTCCTCAACACCGCCCGCGAGCTCTCCAAGGAGTTCCCTGCCGTCGAGTTCGATGCCGAGCTTCTCGACAACACCTGCCTCAAGGTCGTCACCGACCCTACTCCTTACAACGACAAGGTCCTGGTTATGCCCAACCTTTACGGTGACATTCTCTCCGACATGTGCGCTGGTTTGATCGGTGGTCTTGGTCTTACCCCCTCGGGTAACATTGGTGACGAGTGCTCCATCTTCGAGGCTGTCCACGGTTCCGCTCCCGACATTGCTGGCAAGGGCCTTGCCAACCCCACCGCTCTTCTCCTTTCGTCCATCATGATGCTGCAACACATGGGTCTCCACACTGAGGCCAACAGAATCCAGAAGGCCATCTTCGATGTTCTTGCCGAGGGCAAGGTATGTTTTTTCCCTTTGCTCTCTACTATCACAACACAACACTAACTCTGTATCCTANNGACCATCACTGGTGACCTTGGTGGTTCGGCCAAGACCCACGAGTACGCCGCCGCCGTCATCCAGAAGCTCGCTTAGAATACCACTTCATCACTGGAGCAAAACGAATGGCACGAATGGTGGTGAGGGGAGGGAAAGAGAGAGAGAGAGAGACTTGACGAAAAACATCATATCTATATATTCCCCTGTTTCTTGGTTCCTCTTTTCTTTTCCACCTCTTGTTTCGTGCCTGCCTCTTTTTGTCCGTTTTTTCTCTTTTTATCGTTGTAACAACACACCCCATCCCATCATCCATCATCTTCCCTGAATACCATTTTCCCTCGCCATCATTCATCCCCAACTGATCTGTTTTTGCATGTGACCCTTTTTCTTTTTTGGTGCAAATTGTCTTGGTAAAGTGGAGGAGGTCGGGTCGGCGGCATGTTTCGGCTATGGAGGGGGTTTTGTGCTGCGAGCTCCGTTGCGGCCCGAGGGGGAGGGACGGCAGTCGTGTCTATGGCTTCCCGAGATGTCCTTCGGGGGTTCAATATCAGCGACTTTGTACGAGCGAGCATAGCTGAAGGTCTATTATTATGCCAATACTTCAAATTTCCCACGAATTGTTTTGATAAAAAGGGTGACACAGCGAAGGGTCGAGAGGATATGGAAAAGGATCGAAAAGATGCTTCGACATTCGAAATGTGTAAGGTATGCCAACTAAGCAATGTCCTGGAGACGTGCAACTGAAGTTGCCCTGTTTCTTTCATTATGCTCCTCCTCCCTAATTCTGCTCGATGAATACGCCGTTTGTACGCCAGAGCCAGATGCAACTAAAAAGCAAGATGACGAAATCAAAGCAGCAACCAGACCCTTGTTGTCCTCTTTTCCCTTTTTGCCCATTCATGTTTTCATTGACCGTTTGCGTTTCCGTAATCAATCGTGATGCATGAAGAGTTGACTGATACTTTCACCATGGTGGTTGCGGCGAATGGATTCAGCGAGCAAAGTGCTCACGTCCAAGATGACTAGCTTGCGGATACCCTTGCGCTTCTCCTCGGGAATGGGGAAGGCGTTGGTGACGACAATGGCATCGATTTCCTCGCATTCGTCCATCTCGCGGAGGCAGTCGCCGCCAAAGAGACCGTGAGTGGCCATACAGTAGACCTTTGTGGCACCACCCCTCTTGACGACAGTCTCGGCAGCGGCGATCCAGGAGCCGGCCTTGTCCATAATGTCGTCAACAATGAAGACGGGACGGTTGCGCACGTTGCCAACGAGTGTGATGGTGGTTTCAAGTTCAGGATCCTGGAGGGCTTCTTCCTCTTCATCGTCAGAAGCCGTGGCGTCGCCAGTACCGCCGAGGGCAAAGTCGGGACGGCGGGATGAGGTGTTTGACATGAAAGAGTTCATCATGTGGTCAGGAATCTCTTCGTCGTCGGAGCCGGCGCTCTTCATGGGGTAGAGTCCGGGAGTGGAGCTCGACATGGCGGACATGATTGGAGAAGGGAAATCATCGTCGACAAGATGACCGTGGATCAGGCGACCGGTAATAACGTTGCGGGCACGCTCATCTGTGTATTCGTCTGCATCCTCTTCGTCTTCATTGTCGGTGCTGGGCTCGGCAGGAGGCTGTACGGTGCCGAGAGCGGTGGCTGTGCGGTGCATTCTAGGGGGGCCGTCAAGACCAAAGCTGGGGCGGCTGGGTCTGTTGGTTGAGTTGTCCTCCTCTTCCTCCTTGTTCACACCGTCGGACGAGTCGGGACGTGAGAACTGAGCCAAAGGACTGGGAAGAGCAGGGGCACCCAGCAGCCTGCTGCTGAATGTGGTTGTCGAGCGCTGCTTGGCAGGACGGCGGGAGAAGTTGTCGGGGCGAGCTTCAGAGTTGGCATAGTCGGAAGGTTTGCTGGAGCCGGCCTGAGGAGCAAAGTCGTGCTCGATTGGGGGAGCGTGGTCGAGATCAATGTGTTGTTCGGCCTCGACTTGTTCGGGTGCGGCAGACTGGACTTCGATCGGGGGCATGTTTTCACCAGTAGCGGATTGAAAGATGACGCTGTTGTACATGCTCTGGCCCATGTTGTGGCGGACTCTGTCGGTCGTCACGATGCCGAAGCTCAGCTTCAAGGCATCGGCCAGCGAGGTCACACGCTTGGTACCGCCAGGGTTCTTGCTGACGACGACACCCTCCCTCCAGTTCTGTACGTGGCTGCGGATCCATCGAGCGAGGAGGGGCTCGGCGACCAGATTGTCGACGGGGCACTTGAAGAAGCCCTGCATCTGGCTGGCGTGGAGATCAATGGTGATAACATGATTGACGCCGGCGACATGCATCAAGTTGGCAATCATGCGAGCGGTGATGGCTCCACGGTGGCTCTTCTTCTTGGACTGGCGCGAGTAGGGAAAGTAGGGCATGATGGCCGTGACAGACTTGGACGAGCCTCCCTTGCAAGCAGCAATCATGATGAGCAGTTCCATGACATCGTCGTTGGTCCTGGGGAGGTCAGCCAGGCCCGCGAGCAATCATGTCGGGCATAAGTACTTGTGGGATCCACTCTGGACGATGAAGACATCCTGGTCGCGCACCGAAGTCTTGATCTCGACACTGGTCTCTCCGTTGGCGAACTTCCTGAGCTCGACCTTGTCGGGTTTCCTGCCGAGCTTCTCGCAGATGAGGTCGGTCAGCTCTGGATGGCTGAGGCCGCCGAAGACGCAGGTACGACGCATGCTGATAGTCGACGGTCGAGGTTGTTGTTTGGGTGACGGAGGTCGGGCGACGCGGGCGTTCGACGTTCGACGTGGACGAGGTTGGATTGATCGCGTCGAGGCGAGTTCTGCTTCACTGCTCTATTCACATGATGAGGTAGTGAGCTTCGATCCTTTTTGCTCCACCAGAAGTTATTTGCTTGCTTGCTCCGTTATCGCCGCTAGCGCCATATCACTTGGCACCACTGCAATCACCAGCACAAACACCTTGCCGTCTTATGCGCAGTACCTGTCGCTGGTTGTCACTTGTAGAATCAAGAAGTCGATGTGTGTACAATGCAAGCCCAAGTTGGGTCCCATATCATCTGGCTGCACGCTGTCGCGTGATAGTATCCTGATGCAGACGCCAGGACAACACTTTTGGCCAAATGCAGTACCTGTGGTGTCCTCCGGTTCTTTTGAAATAGGTAGTCAAGGAGATACCTACAGACAGTCTGGTTGGCGACTTGAGTGAGAGTAGCGGTCAAGCCTCACTTCCTCCAACCACATGTCGTCCCCACCCCACTACAAGTGGATGTGGACTACATTGCGTGGGGTGGTCGCTGTGAGGCTGGAGCTCTATATCTGCTGACCATCCACACCTTCATCTTTCTTCTTTCCTGTTTCTTCGACTTGACAACAACACTACCTGCATACCTCAGCTTCCTTTCGTTCAACCAGCAACCACTCCTTCCAATCAACCAAGCAACAAATCTTGTTTCAAGCAACAATGTCTCACTCAGCTTGTCCCAAGTGCGGTGCCGCCGTCTCGGGTGGAAAGTCTTGCGGCTCTTGCGGCGCCGTGTGTTCCCATCAGACATTATGCTTGCATCGATATCTCTGACCTCAATTTCTAGACCTGTCCCAACTGATACATTCATCTTGATGCTGGATGATTGCAAGGGTTTCATCTTCCCGAACCTGCCGATTGCCGTGTCGGTGTACCCCGCGCAACCCCTCCCTCCTCGAATGCTTGCTCATTGCTTCACCTTTTGACACTCCTGACGACGACGACATGACGAACACAACCCATTTGATCCTTTGGACAGCGCCCCACAGAAGATGGACTCCGCACCTGCTGAGTCCGTCGCGACAAGATGCGTCTTTATGGAATCTCATTCATTCTTCTTGGAACCATCAGTTTTCGACATGTCTCGAATAGCATCGTGCACATATCAATGAAAGCTCTTTTCTACCTCTGCCTCTGCATGTGACATGTCGACCGCTTCAAGTTCTCCATAGGGACAAGACAACTCCCACCATAGAAGAATACATCTTCTCTACCTACATCTTAGGCATTTACAAAACCCCACTCTCTATTGTCAAAATGGTTCCGGTCTTGCCGTGTGACTCTACAGAAGAGGCCTGATATGAGATTCATCCAATCCATGCAAATGACTACAGATCATGTAGTAGTCTAAATTCTAGAATCACCCTTGATGGAGTACCATGGGAAAGGGGGTGAAAGTATGTCATGAACATGCAAAACATAATTATACCAATGGAGTAACATGTAACGTGATCGCATCACCAAGAAGGATATCTCATCAACCACCATCCACTTCAGAACCAGCTTCATCAGTTCAGTGTCGTTGGACACATTCAAAACACCTAAGTGTAGATACTCTCGGTGTAGTAGTTGACCGCAAGTCCCTTTTCGGCCATTTCTGCATTCTCGAGGAAGTGCAGCGGCATCCAAACGAGATGTCCCTGGTCGATGTTAGTCTGTGTCATAACGATATGGATCGATGGGATTGACTTACTCTGATCTTGTCGAGGGCACGTTTTACTTCTTCGTCGGGCATGTACTTGTTGTACAAATGACCTTGTTTCCTAGAGGTAGAATACCATTAGTACAATGATCATAGGTGTGAGTGTTATACACATCATGAGTTTATCTGCCCAGTAAAGTCAATCTGTGCAAAGCCGACCAGTACATGTCCCTTGGACAGTATCCTGGTTGAACAACACACGGAACGAAGACCCTGACAGAACGACTCATGGTGGGTCTAGTCCGGATTTAACTTACATGTCATTTCTCGGGAGGAAGTTTTGGTAGTCCTCGAATGTGCGGATGTTATCATCAGGATCTGCGTGGAACAGGTGACGGAACACTTCCGTGTTAGTGGTGGCTTGCTGGGTCCACAAATTCCAAACATCGTCGCACAAGGGGTCCGTCACAAGTTTATCCCACTCGTCTCCCTCGTGCCAGTGGTTAGGACAGACATCCGGAGGTTGGGCATTGGGGTCTTCGCTTGCGTCGAGAGGCTGGGCGGGCAACAAGCCCAGGTGCTCGCGCCACAGCATGCGACGAAGGGTTGCGGCGTGGTGACCGGCTTGGTACTCGCGGCCGTCCATCATCGAGGGAAGCGATTCGGTGTCCTCCATAATGATCGTGAGTTCCGAGTCGTGGTAGCCCAGCTGCGAACGATCGTTGATGTTACTGCTTCCGCAAATAGCAATCCTGTCATCCACAATACANNTGTCTGATAAGAGGTTAGCATGTGTGTCAATCCCACAGACAGAAATTCGGCTTACTTTTCCGTGAACGTAGAGCTCTTCCTGTACCCAGTTTGCCTTTTCCTGTTCCAGATCATTCTCGTCCCACTTCTCTTCGCTGACCTTCTTCTCGCCCAACATAGCGTTCTTGGCCACACTGTCTTCACTGATGACCTGATCGTTTCTGAGTCCAGCTGCCGCTCTACGGGCCTCGAACTTCTTCTTGCGGCTCGAGTAGTGCTCTTTCTCATCATCCTCAGATTCACCTTCGTCTGAGGAGGACGACTCAGCGCCACCATGCACACCTGAAGACATAATCTCTTCAGCCTGAGCACGTTGTACTTCTTGGTAAGTGACACCAGATTCGTCTTCCATTTTCTTCATCGCTGGGGTCTTGTTGAGTCGATCATATGAGCGGAGGTTGAAGACGAAGACGTGGTTCTCGGGCTCTACACCTTGTTTCCTGATTTGACCGAAGATAGAGTGTTCGCCCCTGTTGATGGACTTGTATTGATAGTCCATGATGGCTCTNNATAGGTATTTCAGCATGTCTTCACATCAGAAATGGTATACCAATTCGACATACCTGGTTCCAGCAGCGGCGTTGTCTCTCAGGTCACCAGCAAATCCAGGAATAGCCGGAATAACGATGATGACTCTGAACTTGCGGCCCTCCTTGCCCGCTCTAACGCAAGCATCGACAATGGCCTTACCAATTTGGTTGTGGATGGGTGCCTGTTCTTCGCCAGTTGAAGTGATGAAGAACTGGTTCTCAATGTAAACGAGGTGCTGAGCGTTTCGAATAATCTCACAGTACGCATTCTGGATGCTGTGCTCGGTCAAAATACCACTTGACCAATCGGCACTGCTTCGCACAATCTGAGCGTGAACACTACCTTGGACATTACTGGGGTCCGGTCTACCCGTCTTGACGTTCATGGGCGAGATTGGGTGGTGAATGTACTCTCCAACAGGATGCTTAGGCCTTTGGACTGCAATCAGATCCTCATCTTCGCCTTCGCGGCCCTCGAGAGTAAGCCAGTCGAAACGTTCATCACGCTTGTACTTGTCACGCTTGACAAAGTTCCAACGCAACTGGAAATGCTCGGCGATATCATAAACGCAAGGTCCGATGACGCCCATGGCCACATCATGCCATGGCATGCGCCCATAGTCGGCCTTGCTCAATTCGTTGCTCTTCCAATCTTGGACGTCCTGGAAGTCCATGATTCTGTTGTTGTTGAAGTCCTGTCCGGGGAAGATTTCTCCCTCGACACCGGCGGGGTGAGCATCGGCCAATGGATGTTGCATTTGATCCCAGCGACCGAAGCACAGATCCAGGCCTCCGATGAAGGCAAGATCGAAGTCGATGACGATGAACTTTTCGTGGTGGGCCCAGCTTTCTTGGTCAGCGGAGCTTCACTATATCGCTTGGTTGACTTACTAGAAGGTCATGTCTCCAGCGTTCTCAAAGACATTGTGATCCGGGTGGCGCATNNGCTTTGTGAGGTCAGTGACGCGTTTCGAACATACTCGGGGCGCAAAAGAGCTGTTCTGTACTTACAGATGGATATTGCCATGGCCAGGAGTGCCTTCGGGGCAAAGAGCACGAAGGGCGCGCTTGGTATGTGCCGAGTTACAAGTCAGGGCTTGGTTCACCTCTTTGTAGACAATAATGTAGATCTGAACACCACGTTCGGCTGCACGCTTCAAGATGTGGTCCAAACGCCAGTCCTGGGTGGTGAAGGGCGGTCTGCGCAAGAAGAGTTCAGGCGACAGCCACCAATCCTCGATATAGATGGTTTCCTTTGCTCTTTCGAGTGCGACCGAGACGGCGTGGAAGTAGTCGCGGCCATCAATGTACCATTTGATCTTGTTTCCGTCTCTCTCGGGAGCGAAACTTTCGAAGCGATGACCTTCGGCAATTCTCGTTCTCTTCTCGTCGGTCGCCTTTTCGTGCTCTTCGTCGTGACGGTGGTTGGGGTTGACCAGGTTCTGCCACTTGCCGATTTTGTGTTTCGCATGGATGGCCTTGACCTTGATGTCGTAGAGCGATGACTCCTTCAACTTCTGCCTCAGGTCAGAGAAAGGATGTTTGATGTGGTCGGCAGCACCCTTCTTCTCAGCATGGTCCGAGTCGCGGATTTGTTCGTCTTTCGAGTCGACATGCGACGTCTTTCCAATGAGACCCATCCTGTCGTACAGGGGATTTATTGTACGGTAGATTTGAGCCGGTGCTTAGATTGCGTGCACACGACCTCAGATATTCGGATCGCGTAGAGACCTGAGAATCCAGTTGGAGATAGGCAGCGGGCGAAGGAGGGGAGAGGAACAAGGAAACGAAAGACCGGCTCGCCTCGGAGTGATAACGTTCAAGTCGAAATTGGAAGGAACGCTGCAGCTCTCAGAAAACCTGCTCCAAACATGCGCTCCTCGGTCCACCGAGCCTTGGTCTGGTGTATCGAGCACCGTAATAGTAACCCGATGCCCCGCGCTGCGTCATCCCGCATTGGCCAAGATCAGATCTATGGATGGTGTGGCTTGCAAGGGGCGCCAGCCATCGGACCATCACTGAAATCTGCATGGGATGCACTCCGTAGATATTATCGTGGTAGGCGACACGACCAGATCGTCTCTTTGAATATTGCTCGAATTACTGCAGCGTTGACGTGGGAGAAATCGTCTAAACATAAAACACCCCCCTCTTCCATATGTGAACGCAAAAACAAGACCAATCGTCTCTAAATGTACACCATCATAGATCTTCGAATCGCAAAGCTTACGATTTAATACCCAAAGAACACCGATTCCTAGTTCCGACCTGTTTAAAACCCAACAGCCAGCATCAGGCCATATCCTACCGTGATAATCACAGCGTAGGCCATGATTGAGGCAGGTACACCTCGGGTAATGAAATGCTTAACCTGGAGATAACGTCTGCCAGTATTTGGCTCTTCCATCATGATTGCNNAGCTGTAGCATCGTAGGTTAGTATTGAAAACGCAGAATGGTTCGAAGGATATGGAGCACTTACTCATGTTGGGGAAACCTGAGGTAGGAAGTCCCATGGCAGCAGAAGCCATGAGCACGCTGCCCATAACAAGGAGGTTAGGGTGAGGATCGCTCATTCCCTCTCCAACCTGCTGAACCAGAGGCAACACGATCAGAGCAGCCACTGTGTGAGAAATGAAAGTAGCCACCACACCAATCAGTGCAGCAAACACAACCAGTACACTATAGAGGCCTAGGCCTTCTACGCGACTGGTGATAGATACTGCAATTGTGCGCAAAAGACCAGATGAGTTGACAGCTTTTCCAAGCGCAAGACCACCAGCAGCCAGAATGATGATGGTCCAGAGGAAGTTGTTGAAGTCCTCCTTATTGAGGATACCCAGACCAAAGAAGACAACCATGGGAAGGATGGCGACAACGCCCATGTCGCCAAAAATGAACTCTAGTTGATGACTGAAACACCAAAGTACGATGGTGAGGAGGGTGATGAAGCTGATAAACCATTGAGTAGGGGTGAACTTATCCTTCATAGGACGAATGGGCACAATGGTGGTGTTGCGACCAGGACGGAAAGTTACCAGGAGCAAGGCCCAGATCATAAAGATGGAAATGATGCAGACTGGAAGCGCAATGAAAAACCAGACTCCCCAGCCAGGAGCAGGGGTCATGTTTTGCAGAGCAATCAAGTTTTGGGGCGAGGCAATTGGTGAGGCTGCGCCTCCCATGTTGGAAGATAGAGCAATACCCAGAAGCAGGGCTTTAGACATGTCCGAGTCAGCAGGCAAGTTTCGGAGAATGGGCTATATGACTGTCAGTTTCTCGTCTTCGGTTGAGGTTTCTCGAACACGCACCTGAATGATAGAAAAGCAAAGAACAGGAGCGGCGACGTTGCTAATCCACATACTCGCGAACATGGCCACGAACATGCTAGTGATCAATACGTTACGAGGCTTCGTGCCGGCCTTGCTGAGCACAAATGTTGCCATCATTTTCGCAATATTGTGCTTACTCAACGCAGCAGCAATAGTGAAGCCTCCAAGCAAAAGCATGATGACGGGGGACCACATAGCTCCAAAGATGAATGTAGCTGCGGCCTTGGATTCCAGACGGCGGTGAGGCTCGGCTTCGGATCTGACGACGCGCAGGACCACAACGAGGAATGGTACAAGCAGGGACGTCACAAACAACGGGATGGCCTCGGTAGCCCATAGCAGACTGACCAGGACAACGAGCGCCAAACAGTTCTGCTCGACTGGTGACTCCATGATGGGAGCGAACAGTAGAACAAAGAACACGGCTATGACAGCCACCAGAGTGTAGAAAGTACTCGACAAGAGGAAGCGTGGGCATCTGTACTTGCCGAGAGGTGTCACAACCTCCTTGGTGGCCTCTTGCTCCTCGTCACCCTGCAAGCGTGCCTTACCACGATCCTCGATACCACCCAGCATGGTCTGACCAAGACCCATGTTGGCAGCTTGGGCTTTGCGCTCAATGCCGATCATCTCACGCCAAACGGTATTGCGCTCCCATACGACATGTTCACGCAAATGAAGACGCAGCTCACGACGAGCCAAGCCGATGTCGCCTTTCGTTACCAGGTCTGCGTATGCCGTCTCGATCTTTTCGATATTGACGTTTAAGCGATCCATAGTTTCTGGTTGGAAAGGGTAGGCAGTCTCGACGTTCTCCTTGACATAGGCGTTTTTGAGCTTGCGGTCCAGAGTTTTATCATACTTCTTCAAGACTTTGCCGAAACCAGTCTGGTTGAGTTGGATGAAGGAGCGCAGCTCGCATAGGGTGACGTAGAGACTGACGGTACGCTTCTTGAGAGTCACACCTTCATTGTAGAGCACATCGAGGGCTTGGTCGTCAAAGTCGTGGGAGCTGCTCGGGCGGCGGCGCGATGAGGTGTCGACATTGGAACTCGCTGACATGTCGTATGGGTTTCCGTCCCGAGAGTTTGACTTGGTGAGACCGGTGCGCTCGTCGTCGCTGTCGGCTTCTTCCTGGTGACCGCTCAAGGTGCTAGCGCGTCGGCGTCGACCGATGCTGAAGCCCTTGAACATGCTGGCCTTCCTCGCTTTTGCCAGGGTACCGTTCCGTGCAGCAGGCCCTGCATCGTGCTCTCCGTCCTGCTCTCTTGTCTCTTCCTCAAAGTCGTGTTCATCTCGTAGTAGCGACTCGACTTCTCCGTAGATTTCCAGCTCCTTCAGTTGGTAGAAAGTACAGATCTTTTCGAGATCCTGATCTAGAGCGCGCGAAAAGACTTTGTCCGGGTCTTCGGAGTCACCATTCAGGAGTGGTGATGACTCGACGTCTTCTTGGATGGCATTGGCCTGGTGAAGCCTTTTCTCGAGAGCGTAAANTTCTGCAATACGTCAGTACGCAGGAAACAAGGGCCTCGGCCAGGACGCGGCAGACAATTTCTTGAGGTTGCTGTATGAGATGTAGTTGTTGCTCCACTCGGGCACGGCATTGAACTGGATGCTGTGTGAGAACTTCATGTCGAGTATGCGCGCGAGCTTCTCGAGGCGCGCGGCCGAATATTCGTTGTGCGATGGTGATGTCGGTGGAAGTGGCACTGCGGGTGCGGGAAGAAGAAGGCCGAGCTCGATGTCGGTATCGTTTTCTCGTCCACGCTCCAGGATGCCGGTGGCAATCTCCTTGTTCTTATCGAATCTGGTATACTCTCACGTGAACATCCGTGTCTACAAGTGTGGATAGATCAATGAATTGTAACAGTCGGCCTGATGAACATCAACGTGCGTAACGACAACGTGCACTCATCGATTGGCTTGCGTTCCAAGATTCATCTCAGCTTGGCACCAGGGCGAAGGAAGGAACCACCTTCATCTGTAGGCTCCTCCCTCAACATCGACTTTGGCGTTTTCGAATGTCATTTGACCTTTTTGTGTGGCCATGAAGTCCCAGAACTGTGTACAGATCCACTTGGCTTGATTCAGCAGGTGCGCTTTGCATGGAGTGAGCTTCACACAGACGCCATGGTGACTACGCCATGTCCCGCTTTCTGCATGCTGTTTCATACCATCGTCAAGTGTATATTCTCGAAAGCTGGCGAACCGAAACTGTCATCCTACTACAAGTATCTGAGGCAATGGGAGGTAGAGGGTAGACCAGGCTTTATCAGCCGAACCTGTCTCCGACTGTACGACAGCGGGCGGTAGTGTATCAAGAACGAACCGGGCATCTGAAGGACGACCGGACCGATGCTTGGGGGAACGATGCTTTTAGTCTGATATGTACAATTACTTGACCTCTATCTCGCATTCTCGTTCGAACGTACGGTCGGTATCTTGAGCATGCTCGGGATTGGCAGTCCCAAGCCCTCATTGTCATTCTCCATCAGGATTAAGTATGCGCTCTTCGCCATTGCCATCTTCTTCACCTGCATGGTCATCTAATTCGTCGTCATCCACAGCTTCATCGTCTCCAGCTGACCATTCCTCTGGTTCTTCGTCGTCCGCAATTTGACTCTGATCCATTTCCATGGCGGGAGGGAGGTCAGGATCGACTTTATCCCCGAGGTGGTCCTGCGGAAGAAAGACGTTGCCTTTCAGCTTGTCGGGGAAGTATTCTTGGTTTACCCTTCCGTTCTTGTAATCCGGGTTGTACTTGTATTCCTTGCCATAGCCCAACTCTTTCATCAACCTCGTAGGGGCATTCCGGAGATGAACAGGAATAGGCAGTCCTGCGACCCCAGGTTTTGATAGAGCAGCATATGCAGCGTTGAGACCTCGATAAGAGCGTGTAGACTTTGGTGCTTCGGCAAGGGCGACCGCTGCATGGGCCAGGTTTATTCTGCATTCCGGCATGCCAATCTCCTTGGCTGCAGTATAGGCAGCTGTTGCCAGTGGTAATAAACTGTTGTCAGCGAGGCCAATGTCCTCACTCGCCATGACTACCATTCGCCGCGCGATGTAAACCGGATCTTCGCCAGATTGCAGCATGCGGGCAAGATAATAAAGAGCTGCATCAGGATTGCTACCCCTGACACTTTTGTGGAAAGCGCTAATAGTGTCATAATGTTGGTCACCCTGGCGGTCATATACTAGTGTCCGAGTCAGGTTTTCTTTGACGGTCTCGACAGTGGTCTCGGGATCGTTTGACAAATCCAGGGCAAGGGAGAGGAGGTTCAATGCCGTACGTGCATCTCCATCTGCAAAGCTTGCCAGATAACGGAGCAGTGCATGATCGTTTCCCTCCAACAAATCTGCAGCATGTTTTGTTGTAGGAGGTTCAATGTTCAAAGCCCGCTCCAAGATGGCTGTGATGTGCTCGTCGTCTAATTTGGCAAGGGTGAATGTTCGACACCTTGACAACAGAGCATTTATAACTTTGAAGCTTGGATTCTCGGTGGTCGCACCGATCAAGGTGATGACGCCGCTCTCTACAGGGGCCAGAAACACGTCTTGTTGGCTCTTACTAAACCTGTGAATCTCATCACAGAAGATGATGGTTCTGCGGCCGGTGAGAGAAAGCTCGTTGCGAGCTTCGGCAAACAGCTNTTTGCATTCACCAACACCTGACGAGGTACTATTGATCTCGACGAAGCGGTTGCCAGCAGTTTTCGCAATCAATCGAGCGATTGTTGTCTTGCCGGTTCCTGGACCGCCCCATAATACCATAGAAGGCACGCGATCGGTCTCAATTAAGGAGCGTAAGACACCTTTTGGTCCTACAAGTTCCTGACCTTGCACCTCATCTAGAGATTGTGGCCGCATGCGTTCGGCCAGTGGAGCGGCCTTTTCCAGGTTGACATTTTTGGACCTTTTGGGTAAGGGTTGAGGAATGTCTTCATCTTTGACATCTTCTAAGGGTCTTTTCTGAGTTGGGATGGGTGTTTGAGTGAGATTTGGAGTCGCAACGCCATTCACGGCCTGTGTAGAGGCAGGAATGCCTTGAGTGCGCTTGGCAGCCGGAGTTTGGAAGAAGTTGGCGACCTGAGTGGATTTAGGTGCATTCTGCTGGGTTGTTGGAGGCGAGTCGTCGACAAAAGACTCACAGCCAGAATCAATGTGTCGATTAATGTTCAGCTCCTTGACGGGCTTGCTACAGATAGGACAGTCGACGAGCTGGTTGGATGACATGGATTGTGGTTAAGAAAATACCTACATGGTTTTGGAAGACAGACGCGGTCGGTCGAGACGACGCGTTAAGCTCTCGAGACAGCACTCCAATGACCTGTGACGCGCCGGTGCGGAATGCGGTATCGGGCCATGATGTCGTGCTCGGTCACTTGGTGGGGAGGACAAATATCTGGGGTAAGATAATATACAGCTCGCTGACTCTTGCCATGGCCATGAGATTGCTGTCTCGTCCATTTCCTTTCAGAAGGATCACAGCCGCCCCTGTCCCACTGTCTACCAGGAGCTTCATCGTTCACTTCTCGTCGTCCAGCCCCAAGATGCGTAAAGATCCTTTCAAGCCCGCAGCCCGTGTTGCCGGCCAGAAGCAAGATGTCTGGTCTATCGTCAACGAGGCCGCTGCCTCGTCCAAGGTCGCTGATGTTGTGAACATGGGGTGAGCTGAATCATCGTCCATTGCTGCTTGACCCATCGACCGCTGACATTAGTATAGACAAGGCTTCTTCGGCTACAACCCTCCTCAATTCGTAATCGACGCCGCCAAAGGTGCTCTGGACAGAGTCGAATGCAACCAGTACTCACCCACCAAGGGACGACCCCGTCTGAAGAAAGCCCTCGCCGACGCCTACTCCCCCTTCTTCGGCCGTACTCTTGATCCTGAAAAGGAGGTCACAATCACAACTGGTGCGAATGAGGGCATGCTCTCGGCCTTCATGGGCTTCGTCGAACCCGGCGATGAGGTCATTGTCTTCGAGCCCTTCTTCGATCAATATATCCACAATATCCAGATGCCTGGCGGAAAGGTCGTCTACGTGCCCCTCCACCCTCCGGAGAAGGGCGCTACTCAGACCACTTCGGCTGGAGACTGGTCAATCAACATGGACGAGCTAAAAGCTGCCATCAACGACAACACCCGCATGATTGTCCTCAACACTCCTCACAATCCCATTGGCAAGGTGTTTACTCGCGAAGAGCTGCAGGCCATCGGTGACCTGTGCGTCCAGCACAACATCATCATTTTGAGCGATGAAGTCTATGATCGTCTTTACTACACTCCTTTCACCCGCATGGCTACTCTTTCNCCCGAGATCGCCAATCTCACACTTACCGTTGGCTCGGGAGGTAAGAACTTTTACTGCACCGGCTGGCGCGTTGGATGGTTGATTGGCCCTGAGCACCTGATTCAACCCGTCAGTGCTGCTCACACCCGCATTTGTTACAGCAGTGTCAGCCCGCTGCAAGAAGCCACTGCTATCGGCTTCGAGGAGGCTGATAAGCACGGCTTTTGGGATGAGACAAAGGCTGAGATGAGAGCCAAGATCGACCGCTTCGTCGCTGTCTTTGACGAGCTTGACCTACCTTACTCTGACCCTGAAGGTGGCTACTTCGTCCTTGTGAACATGTCCAAGGTGAAGCTTCCTGCCGACTATCCTTTCCCTGAGCACGTCGCAAGCCGTCCTCGTGACTTCAAGCTCTCATACTTTATTATCAAGGAACTGGGTGTCGCTGCCATTCCGCCCACCGAGTTCTTCACTGATGACAATGCTCACATTGTTGAGGACTGGTTGCGATTTGCTATCTGCAAGAACGACGACGTGCTTGACAAGGCCAAAGACAGGCTCAGAGACCTGAAGAAGTACATGCAATGATGATCCATATACCCGTTTAGATACGATAACTTATGTATAGAAAGCATCTTAGCATGTTTGGTCCACACTACGATATAGATATTAAACATGCCGAGGGAAGTATGAGAGCATTGTTCGTGTCACAATCGCTAACAGGCTCTCAGCCTCGCACGAAAGCCAGTAGAACTGTACCCACTCCCAATGAACACCTCTCCAAGGACAACAATTAGCACCGGCCAAAGGTTCCTTCGTGCTTTTGCGTTTGGTGTGTTGCGATTAATGATATACAGGGTCATCCTGCCAGCAACCAGGCAGATCTATCGCGATCCTTCCCCACTAGCGCCAGATGCGTGACATCACCACCGATCTCCATTGACGATCAAGACATCTCTTACATTTTGCTAACTAACGATTGCAAAAAGGAAGCATCGTCATAGGCAAGCAGCAGATAGGTTGGGCTCATCTGTAACTCTGTTCTTTCCGCATCTCTGCTCGTCCAACCTTACTGTTCTTCTCCCATTTTCAATTGATGCTTCGGACTATTTTCCATACGTCTGTGAGATCCCTTGCGCACAAGAGCAACACATTCCTGGTCCCCTACAAACTATCACCAATCCTGCGATACCAAAGCACAATGGTCGCTGCGAAACGCAAGAGGAACGCTGCTGCGATGCCTGCTGCAGTTCCGTCTCCGCCACCCAATGGACTTACCAATCCTCAGGCGAATCCTGAGGTCATTGACGCGCCTAATGCATACAGAGCGTCGCCAGACAGTGATGTGGATCAGCGCATCGCACCTGGACCCATCAAGTCAGAGCCGGGATCAGAGTCGCCTCTGTCGGATGTACCTGATGCTGAGCCGCCGGCCAAGAAGAGGAACACCAAGAAGGGTGCTGCTGTCAAGAAGGAGAAGGATGATGTAGCTGTCGAGGCAACACCAGCCAAGAAGACACCCGTCAAGAAGGCCGCTAACAATGATATGGACGACCCGGAAGCCGAGGGCGAAGAGGAGGCCGACGAGGAAGAGGTTTCTGCAGCTTTGGCTCGACCTCCTCCTGTGCACAGTGATTACCTTCCTCTTCCTTGGAAAGGAAGGCTGGGCTACGTATGTTCGATCAGGTCCACGACTATGAGAACTTTGCTAACAACAGATTCANNGGCTTGCTTGAACACTTATCTGCGCTACAGCACACCACCTGTGTTTGCTTCCCGCACGTGTCGCATCGCCTCGATTCTGGAACATAGACATCCTCTTCGCGATCCCAACGAGCCCGAGCATCCGACCAAGAACCGCCCTGATCGCGAGCAGCCTGCCAGTATAGAGCGAGGCCAAAAGTACGTCGAAGCACTGGGTGTGGCCAATGCTAGAGATGTCATCAAGATGCTCAGATGGAACCACAAGTACGGCATCAAGTTCTTGCGCCTCTCCAGCGAGATGTTNCCCTTTGCTTCTCACGAGGAGTATGGGTACAAGCTTGCTCCTTTCGCGGCCGAGACGCTGGCAGAGGTTGGCAAGGTAGTCGCCGAATTAGGCCACCGTGTAACCACTCATCCCGGCCAGTTCACTCAGCTAGGATCGCCGCGCAAGCAGGTCATCGATAACGCTCTCCGAGACCTGGAGTATCATGACGAGATGCTTTCTCTCCTGAAGCTTCCCGAGCAGATGAACAGGGATGCAGTCATGATTCTGCATCTCGGAGGTGTGTTTGGCGACAAGGCGGCCACTCTGGACAGATTCCGCGAGAACTACAAGGCACTTCCCCAGTCAGTGAAGAACAGACTGGTGCTTGAGAACGACGATGTCAGTTGGTCGGTTCACGAACTGCTGCCTGTTTGTGAAGAGCTTAACATCCCTATGGTTCTGGATTACCACCATCACAACATCATCTTCGATGCCGAACAAATCCGCGAGGGAACAAAAGATATTTGCGACCTCTACCCTCGCATCAAGGCAACATGGGACAAGAAGGGGATTAAGCAGAAGATGCATTACTCTGAACTAACTCCTGCTGCCATTACTGGCAGACAAAGGAGAAAGCACAACCCACGTGTGGCCACCCTGCCGCCTTGCGCAGACGACATGGATCTCATGATCGAGGCCAAGGACAAAGAACAGGCTGTCTTCGAGCTCATGCGAACCTTCAAGCTGCCTGGCTACGACACTTTCAACGACATGATCCCGCACGTCAGAAACGACGACAACAAGGTAGCCATGCAAGCTTCGAATAAGAAAAAGGCAACGCCAAAGAAGAAGGGCAAGCAGGTCAAGGACGAAGATGAGGAGATGGAAGACGACGCAGGTTCAGTTGTAGACGGCGAAACCTCTGCTCTGGTACCCGAAGAGGAAGTCGGTATGGGTGGTCCCGAGGGTCGTGTATATTGGCCACCAGGCATGGAAGACTGGCTCCGACCCAAGAAGCGCGAAGTCAAGCCAAAAGCACCCGGCTCCGCAAAGAAGGTCACCCCAGCACAAAAGAAAAAGGCACTCGCCGATGCCGTTGCCCTCGAGGCCGCCGTCAAGGAACAACACGAATCCGACGAAGAAGCCGCAGAAGCAGCCACACCAGCAACGAAGAAAGCCAAAGAAGCCCTCAAGCAAAGAGCAGCCGCCGCTCGAGCAAAATCAGACGCCATGCACAGCGTAACCGCTCCTCCCACAGCAGCCGCAGTAGCAGCTCCCACGCCAGCAACAAAGCCAGCACCCAAGCGCAAAGCACCCGCACCAAAAGTGAAAAAGGAAAAGGAGGAAAAAGTCGAGGTCACACCGCCCACCAGCGATGACTCTGAGCTCGAGTCGAACTCGTCAGAAGACGATGCTCCCGTCACTGCACCCAAGCGATCCGCCCCTCGTGCTGGAGCGAGGTCGAGCGGCAGGGCAAACAAGTCCAAAGTCAGCTATCAAGAGGCTGATGTGAGTATGGATGAAGATTGACTAGCAGGGCAGAGGGGCTTTGATTTGGTCCAACATGCCATCGCCGCTGCTCCTCCGGGAACTGTATGAGTAGTAATTATGTTTAATCGTCAACTCTCTCCAAAAACGAATGTCACTTTTTTCCGAAGCTTCTTCCTGCTGTGAAGTTTGTGCCCGGTGTGATCGCAATTGGAAGACGCTTTTGCACAGGGCGAGGTTGTGCGTTTGCTGTCATCGTTTCGATCGCAGCACAGACGGAGAAAATGGACAAGCAAACAAAAAGTTAACAGGAAAGATTGGAATACAGAGAGGAAGGTGCGGTGGCGGTTTGAGACTCCAGTAGTTCTTTCCCGTCTTGCACTAAGACAATCACGATCAATGATTGGGTGCCCCTTCCGAGGCAATCGAATGGAACTGGAAGACACGAAAGAGACAAACAACGACTTAATGGCAATCGAAAAAAAAGACTTATCATTGTATTCATAACGACCTGGTCCCAAGGGGCAGGGTAGAGAAAAGGCTAACTTACAACAACAAGCACAAGTCCCACCCCCTACTCCCCCCAACACACTCAAACTTCTTCACCGACCAAACTCCAAGCTGGGAATGATGACTGGGCCGTACTTAACAGGCGCCGCATATGCACCCTCATTCTGCACCATGAAATCGGCAGCAAGACTGAGGCGACTCGAGCTCTTGCTGCCAGGTACTATGGAGCCATGAGATCCACGCACGACTTCAGGATCGTAAGCGACCATTGCAACGTAGTTTCTGCGGCCCATGAGACGCTTCATCTCGCGAGGAGCGCCGTTGACATCTGCCACGAAGATTTCCATCATGTCTTCTTTTGTGTCGGTTGACTGTGCTGCTTGGTGTGGTCCGGCACTGCGCTGTCCGTTCTGAGGTATGTATATTGGTTGCTTAGGGTTGCTGTTGAGTAGACGGAGGACATAGGATGGTGGGGGTGCGTTGACGATGGAAGACGCAATCAGTTGGTACATGGTCTTATGGTCTCCGGGATGTGAAGGGTCATGTACGAGGCCGGCACCACAGGCATTGACACTGCCCGACAAGAAGGTCATGCGCAGGGACTTGTTGTGCGCTATACCTTGTAAAGTACGAATCAGATATGTTCGTTCAAGGTCCTGTTAGATGTTGTCAGCACTATACCGGGCCATCAGATCGAGGTCGGCTACCTTTGAATCATGGGTCCACATATCCCGCAGCTCATCTAGCATGTCGATATCTCCAAAGGGACTGAGCACACTACTCATCAAACCCGACTTCCCAACAGCCTTTTTGATTGAGCTGAAGCCATCGCCGACGACGCCCTTAGCGCCGACGACTCCAGCAACAGAACTTGTCACTCGACCTAGCATGTTAAACGTGCCGGTGACAGCTTTCTTGCCTGTTGCCATCGTGTGTGCTATGTGTTCTGCAGTCTCAAGCCGTGGATAGAGTAGCGGTACTGGTATCATCCAGATACAGTGCTGCACACTAGGCGGCAGAATAGCGACTTTGGGGAAGAGACCTTGATATGTAGGGCCGGCCATAACCCTGTGTGAATCTCTTTCGGAACGAGTGTCTGGACCAACCACAACTACTGCTGGACCTAGATATTTGACAAAATGCCAACCAGTGCCAGTAATGCTGAACAGGTCCAGATCACCCGAAACATTGCGAAGAATTTCATGCGTTGTATGATGTTGGAATAGTAGATACATGTCAACGCCGATGCGGCCAATGTTTTTGAACATGTTGGACTGTTGCATGTAGTCGGGGTATGAGCCGTAGCCATCAANAACTAGTGGTCGTTAGTCATTGTTTGTGAGTTCAGACCAAGGGACTTACATATCGTTGTCGTCGAGCGTAAGAACGTGAGGGATCTGTGCGAAAGCTTCTCGCACATGGGGCTGATCAAAGTGGCTTGAGTAATAATGGAAGTAAGCATGCGACACATCATCCTCAAGCTTTGCAGTCCACGCTTCGTTTTTGCGGTTCTCTTTACCGCTCATGGCAGTCCATTGTCTGAGAGCGGGGACCTCTTTCCATAGACGGTCGCCAAAAATTTGACCACCGAGACCAAGCTGGGCGTGGAAACCACCACACTCGATATGCTTTTGCAAAACATCCTTCCACATGAGGCCAATGCCACCGAGCTTGGCTCTTTCATTGGCACTGACGTTTAGTGCAAAGTCGTTGCCAGAGTGAGAGATGAAGCGCCAGCTCGTCTCATAGCGTCCAGCGACAAGGAACTCGTATCTGGTACAACCAAGGTGCGACGTGATCGCATAGGTCCACTTAGTGTCTTGTTCGTCCATGACTAGATCAATATCGTAGCGATAGAACGTCCAGCGTTGATGCTGGTAGATTGGATTCGCCTTCAGTTGACGAGCNNTGTTTCAAGTCAGTAACAATCAGAGTGTATGTTCATACGACTCACGATTGGGGGACAAGTCTGTGCTCTGATGAATATGGATGGTAGGAGGCTGAGGCACATCTGTGACAAGGAGGATAGAGCCAAGCCACAGCCCTCTTTCGAGATCTATGTTAGTATAGCGCAAGTATGGGCCGAAGTAGACGCCATTTGTGGGTGCAACCTTGTACATGTCCACACCAGCAATTGGAGGAGGTCCAGTAAAGCCAGCTACTGTGGGACTTGCAAGATTGTTCATGCTCAGCATGCTGTCACGATGGTACGAAGCGCTTTGTGGAGGGAAGCCAGGTGACGCCAGAGGCTGTGGGAAGCCACCCAGAGCTGGGGAAGCCATCGGGTTCGCGAAGGTTGCTGTTGGTGAAAGCGGTTCTTGGAGATTCAGTGGAGTTGGTCCTTTAGGGAACTCCCACTGTGTGGATTGGGTGGGTAGATGAATGTAATAATATTGGCCTGAGTTCTGGTCTAGATGGGCTATCCATCCTTCGGGAAGAGGTGGAGGAGATGCTGGTGTTATGCTGGGTCCCGGGCTTGGTGAAATGATCTGGATGGGTGCTAGAGTTGTAGGCTGCGTGGAGGCAACAGGCTGCTGCACGGTCTGTTGCACGATGGGTTGACCTGCGTCGTTGGCAAAGGCTGGGTGTCTACGAAGATTGGGATCTTGTGAAGAGGTGGAGCTAGGCACGGAAGCATTACTCAAGCGTTTCTCATTTGGATAACCTTGAGCAGTCGCTCCAGAGAACAACTTCTGCTGAGACACACTCGAATATGCCGGCGGAGGTTCATCGGCTACCTGTAGTCGCTGCATATCCTGCTCCAGAGGATGTGTCTGGGGAGAAAAGGACAGACGCGAACCAGGCTGGTTGTTCTGAGGCGATTGCAGATATTGGGCGGGTTGGGCAAGCTGGGCAGGAGAAGGGGTTTGAGCAATGGGAACTCCAAATTGTGGAACAGGCGGTGACACGAATTGCTGGACCGGCTGAGAGGGAGAAATCTGATTTGCGCGGGTTTGATTTAGTTGAGATGGACTTTGGTAGGCATCAATGGTAGGACTCTGGTAAGTCGTTGCAGGTGGGACCTCAGTACCGCCCTGAAAGGCAACCGGGGGTCCGTGTGGATAGCTGCCAGGTTGTTCAGTTGGTGTCCAAGGCCGAGGAAATCCTATTGGCTGTTGCGATGGCGACATGGTCGAGGGTCGGGCAAGAGGACTGGCATACTGATTGGCACGAGAGGCCGCAGCGTTTTGAGCATATGGGTATCCGGATTCGAACCCTCCTGTCGGCTTGCCGAGTATAGGTGTCTCTGGTGGTGGTGGGGACCCTCTTTGGGCGCGTGTCGTAGACGTAGAGGCAGTCGAACTCAATCGATTTACACCAGCGCTTGGAGGCTGGAGCGTAGCAGCTGCCGGGGGTGGATAGTACTGTTGGTACGTCGACTGGGCTATTCCTTCGTCGCCCACAGGCACTGCCGGTGCAGCGGATTTTGGTGGAGGCTTCTGGAACAAGCCATCGTCATCGTCGTTTACCTCTTCCTTTCCTGGTACCTCTGGAGCAAGCTTGTTTCTGTCTCCTCTAATTCCTGGAGTGAGGGAGGGTGGTGGAGTGCCAGCGTAGCCAGAGACGGTAGGACGGTTTGGATCGCCCGCACCAAATTTGGTACGAGTCGAAGATTGACGGCGCATGCCTGATGAGTTCAGCTCGGGAGTTCCTAGACGTTGTGCGCCGGCAGCAGCATGCACAGGGCGAAAGCGATCATCGGGGTATGGAGGACTGGCGCGTCTGGTTTGCGAGGTGCCGTCGACCTCGGCTTCTTCTGACGATGTCCTCGAGGGAGTCGATGTAGTCGAGGTGGTCGAAGTAGAGTGATTTACTTTGTGGATGCGCAAGGGACCTACAGTTGGAGTCTCTGGATCGGAGGTTCTGGGTTTTTGAGAGTAGAAGTCGCCAGGGGTTTGGAAAGTGTGGGCGCCGTCCATGATTTCGGCCTCCTTCGCGTGACGAGGGGGGGGTTGGTATGGGCGGCGGTGAAGCTGGGTTCGCGTAGTGATAGTGGGGCACAATCAAACGAGTTGGACGATCATAGTGACCGGACGAGACGAGACGAGAGTAGAGAGGCGATAGACGTGTTCGTGGCCTACCTTGACGCGCAGTCTTGTTGGCGCGTTGCTTACAGAAGGTCAAGCTGGCGCAACAAGCTGCAAGATGGGGCTAGAGAGGAGCGTAAGCGCTGCCAACTTGCTAGTGACGTGGGAGTGCATTCGCGGCGGCGGCAACCATTGGTCGCCGAACCCGTGATTGGTTTCCGATGCGCCCGCCGTGCCACAGCGACAGCATCGCCAATCTTAATAGATTGATTGGGAGACCATGTCTGCGCCTGAGGACTCGAGCTCTGCCTGTGAAGCCAGGTTGGTCCTGAGAAAAGACGAGAGCTTGCTGCGGGGCAAGGGCTGCGAGTGTTTCAAAAGAAGGCAGCGGCCGCGGGATCAAACGTCTTGCTTGGCACACGCATGTGTCAACTGAGTCTCCTAAGTTAACCTAAAGTCACTTTGCTGTTCTGTCCGAACAAGACACATTCCATCTATTTCCAAGATGGATTTTCTGAGTCGTCTGGCCGGATGGCTTGATCGCCCGGGCTTCCCCTGGAAGTCTCTTATCATCTCCTTCAGCTTGGGCGAGTATCTTCTCGAGAACTGGCTCGCATTCCGTCAGTATCGCGTGCTGCAAGGGACCAAGGTGCCCAAGCAGTTGCAAAACGAAGTCGACCAGGCCACTTTTGACAAGAGTCAGGTAACTTCTATGCCCGCCCTCATCCGATTCTCATGTCCTCTGACCTTCATCTCCTAGGCCTACGGTCGCGCAAAAGCCAAGTTCGGCTTCGTCTCTGGTGTCATCTCTCAGCTCAAGTCTCTTGCCGTCATTCGCTACGATTTCTATCCCAGATTCTGGGCTCTCACTGGTCTTGCTCTTACTCGCTACCTTCCTGCCAGCTGTCAAGGAGAAATCGCCCATTCGCTGCTCTTCGTCTTCGCCTCGTCCTTCATCGAGACTATCCTTAGTCTGCCACTCTCGTACTACCACCACTTCGTCCTTGAGGAGAAGTTCGGCTTCAACAAGCAGACCGTCGGCCTGTGGGTCTCCGACTTGCTCAAGGGACAAGCTCTCTCTGTGACTTTTGGTGTACCGCTCGGCTGGGCCTTTTTGAAGATTATTCAGAAGACTGGTGACAAGTTCTTCTACTACCTTTGGCTGTTCGCTCTCGGCGTTCAACTCTTCGCCATCACCATCTACCCTATCGTCATTGTTCCTCTCTTCAACAAGCTTACCCCCCTCGAGCCCGGCCCTCTCAAAGTTGCCGTCGAAGCCCTCGCCCAACGCCTCAACTTCCCTCTTTCGGAGTTGCAAGTCATCGATGGCAGCAAGCGCAGCGCTCACAGCAATGCCTACTTCACCGGTCTGCCCTGGAAGAAGAAGATTGTCATCTATGACACGCTGATTGAAAAGTCTGACACCAAGGAGATTGAAGCCGTTCTTGCTCACGAGCTGGGTCACTGGAAGATGGGACACACGACCAAGTTGCTTCTCATCTCGCAGGTCCACCTATTCTACATGTTCGCACTCTTCTCCGTCTTCATCAACAACCAGTCGCTGTACAACGCCTTTGGCTTCACCCGCGAGAGACCGATCATGATTGGTTTCATCCTGTTCAACGAGGTCCTGGCACCCACGGATTCTGTCATTAAGCTTCTGATGAACATTATGACTAGAAGAATGGAGTTCGAAGCTGGTATGTTACATGAGTGCATGCTATGTAGATTTATGCTGACGTGGCTTTCTTTAGACAACTTCTCGCTCAAGCTCGGTTACTCGGCTGAGCTGGCCAGCTCCCTGATAAAGCTCCAGATCCAGAATCTCTCGAGCATGGATGCCGACTGGATGTACTCCAGCTTCCACTACTCACACCCTATCCTCACGGAACGCCTGAAGGCTGTTGGCTGGACCAGCGAAAAGAAAGTATCCCAGGAAAAGGAGGAGATTTTGGAGGAAAAGGCGGGCGAGGCCACGGGTCGTGAGCTGTAGTGCAGCTGTGTCGTAATTAAAATCGTGTCGAGGGTGTACAGCCCCCTTTTTCGAAGAAATTCCCATATCAGCAGTGCGTGACCAAGCGGCACAGGCTTTGTGCTTGGTGACAAGAGGGAGAGAGGGTATAGTCGTTGAGTTTCAGAGACAGGTGGGCATGGATAGATCAATCCTCTGCTCTGTTCTTGGCGGCCTTTTCTCTTGCTGCGGCCTTCTTCTTGTTCTTTTTGCTTCTTTNTCTAGCCTCTCTCTCAGCCTTGGTCAGACCGGTACCAGCGTATGCTTCATCATCTACATCCATAGCATCGGCATCGTAGCTGGCTTGAGCATGACTAGTGTCTCTGTCGCCGACCTCGCCCTCGACGATCTCTTGGTTGCGCGCATAGGTCTCAGGGTCCTCTCCCTCTTCCTCAAACGTCTTCAAGGAACCCTTCTTCAGACCACCATCCAAAGTAGACTGGTAACCCGCTGTGAGAGTGTCGAGATTGGCATCGTCACCCTCAGGCAAGTCGAAGATGTCGTCTGGTTCGGGAGCAAGGGTTTCACCGTTCAGCCCCTTCTCAATACGGCGTAGGTGGTGCATGATGATTCCTCCTTGAGGACCACCGTTGGTCGAGTATTTGATCTCATCGGGTGTGATACGGGCATCCGGGTGCAGCCAAGGAGTGGATTCGGAAGCAGCGATGAACTTGGTTACTGATGCGAAGGCATCTTCTGGGGAAATGCGGGTCGAAGGATGCGAGCGATGCGGTGGGTAGGGGGTAGTCGAGGCCATTTTGAGAGGATGCAATTGCAAGATGCAGCAGTTGCGGAGGGCAATTGGGATTTGCGAAAGTCGAGAAAAATGTCCGTGGTCCGAGCGCCCGTACAAGCAGCGCCGACGATGATGCTCGGGAGAGACTGACAAGGTCGTCTACATCTTTGCATACACACACCGCACTTTGTCGCCCGTCATGCTGTTCCTACGCTGCACACGGCATATCGCCCAAGCGCGCCCGTCGCTCAATCTCCCCGCGACCACGTCGCTGCTCCAGTCGACTCTTCGCCCTCTGGCCGCATCTCAGCCCGCACAATCGCAAGTCTCTCCTTGTCCGCCTCACAGTGCATACTCACTAACCATTGTCTGCAGTCGCACATTCTCGCTGCTGTCATCCAGACGCCCGACACTTCCCACCACCCCAACTTCGACACTATCCCTCAACACGACCCTCGAGCTTCCAACTCTGCCAGCCGCTTCCACCACACTCACCCTTCTGCAGGCCAGAGGCCCCAAGAGAGATACATTCGACCCTTCGCACCGCGTCAGAAAGCGAAGAAGTGGTTTCCTTGCCCGTATCCGCACGAGGAACGGCCGCAACCTGATCAAGAGAAGACTTTTGAAGAAGAGATCCACCCTCAGCCATTGATACCCGCCTTCAAACCCTCTCAGACACATGTACAAAACGAGAAACGAGCTTTTACTGCAAAGAAATGCTCCAAAGTTCGGCATGATCACATTTGGTTGATGTGCCATCATCAGAGGAAGCATGGTTACCGGCGTTCAATATCTTCTTGTATCAATATCGTTTACTCTCACGAACCACCAGACCGCGCACATGTCAAGATCCTCTGTGTTGGAAATATCTGGTACCATATTGTGCAAGTCATACACCTAGAACATACATTGTTTCTGTAGACCGAATATGGAGGGCTAGTCTCACACTCACGTCAAACTCCTTTTCGTATATTCCAAACGATTGCCTATTTACTCATACACGAGATCCCATAGGAGAGACGCTCACAGTGCTGTATCATCTTATGATACTCTATATCATGCATGTATTCATAGGCGTTCTCACTCACGAGACACGTTCTGTAGAATGACCCCGGCGTCAGCCGACGTTCGAAAGCCATTCTTGGTTCATCTCCTGGTTATGATATGCCCACCTACCTTAACTTCCTACGATAATATCGACGTCGACTTTTACTAAGGATTGCTTGAGCGCAAAGCATGCGGCATGACAATCCGTGTGTTGCTGAGGGACCATCCTCATCGCGCTGTTGCACTAGCCACTGATGACCACATCTTAACCTTCCGCCATAGTCCATCCACCGCTGGCGCCTCTTCGCTTTCCGTCAACTCCACTCAAAGTGCAACCCTGCAGCCAAGATGTATGGTCGAATTTGCTCGGACAGCAGATACTGACACAACCGACTTCCGATCGTTGACTTCTCTTTCGGTTTTCGGAACTCTCGGCTTGATCACCGTGAATGGTGATATCTTCCTGTGCGTCGTCAATGGAGCCCAAAGAGCGGCCACCGTGAGAAATGGCGAGAACGTCTTGAAGATCACTTCTGTTGAATTTCGTAAGTCTTTTGTCCTAACTTTTGCTGAGTTTATTACTCACTGATATCAGACNTGCATCAACAAGTCTGACTACGACTATCTCGTTCTGGATCGTATAAACAACTTCTCGACAGACGATGTTGATGAGGATGGCTTCGATCACTACCATGCTAGGGATCCTGCCATGGAACATCCTTGCTTGGCTATGAAGAAACTCCTCAGCGGAGGTAGTTTCTACTACAGCGCCGACTTTGATTTGACTAGACGTCTCCAAGACAGGTACTTCAACTAATGTTTCTATATACCAACATCGAGCTGATTTGTGGCNAGATCGTCATTGTCAGCAACTGTGGCAATCGACAGTCTCGATGCTGGTTTCCTTTGGAATTCATATATGATCCAACCACTGGTCAGCTTCCGCTCAAGATTATCGGAGCGTGAAAAGAGAGAGTTGGATGACTCTCGCATATTGACATCTGCCATACGTGGATTTGCTATGACACTAACAGTCCCCCCTGCTTCGTCTCCAATCAGTCACTCATCTTCCGGGTTTCCCTCTACGCTAACATTACTATCTCGTCTATCCTCTCGCAGGGCCGGTACCCGCTTCAACGCTCGAGGCATTGACGATGATGGCAACGTCGCAAATTTTGTCGAGACCGAGGTCATCTATTCTACACCAGCGAACACAAGCTTCTCCTATGTCCAAGTACGAGGCAGCATTCCTCTGTTCTGGGAGCAAGCGGCAGGTTTCACCCCAGGACAACAGAAGATTCAGCTTACTCGCTCTGCTGAAGCATCTCAACCTGCATTTGACAAACACATGTCAGACCTGGAAATCAACTATGGCAACATTCATGTCGTCAATCTGCTCAGCAACGAGAAGCCTGGTGAACTTGAGCTGAGTCGAAGATACCAATATCATGTTCGCAACAGTCCGCTAAATCTACCTTCTGGCGAGCCTGGAGAGAAAGATGTCGAGGATCACGAGCTCATCAAAGAGACTGACTATGACTTTCATGCCGAAACCCGCGCACTTGGATACGAAGCAGCTAAGGGAATCAGACGCTATGTCCAGGACTCGATTGAAAATTTCGCCTATTTCCTCTCAGAAGAAGTGGACGACCAGCCGAAGAACGCCAACGGCAGACCACAATCAGTCATGCGAAGGAACATGAATATTTTACAGCAGGAAGGCGTATTCCGTACTAATTGCCTTGACTGCCTGGACAGAACAAACCTCATTCAGACGCTTATCAGTCAAATGGCCATTCAAGAGTTTTTGAACCAACGAGGCGAAAGGACAGCGACCAATGACTTTTGGGTCAGACACGGCACTCTGTGGGCTGACAATGGTGACGCATTGTCGCGAATCTATGCAGGTACTGGAGCACTAAAATCGTCATTTACTAGACATGGAAAGTCGTCTCTTGCTGGTGCATTTGCGGATTTCCGCAAAAGTGCTACTCGACTGTACATCAACAACTTCGAGGATAAAGGCAGACAGAACACTATCGATATGCTTTTGGGTCGCCTGGTGGAACAAGTCCCTGTTCATCTTTTCGATCCAATCAACGATTGGGTTTCTGCAGAGCTCACCAAGAGAACAAACGAATACTCGGCGTGTGACAACATCAACATTTATGTTGGTACATTCAACCTCAACGGCAAAACTAGAGGCTTGTCTGAGGATCTATCCCCATGGCTCTGTCCGCCAGTCGATCTTTCTCAGCAGCAGCCCGAAATTGTGGCTGTAGGCTTCCAAGAGATTGTCGACCTTAGTCCTCAGCAAATCATGTCTACTGATCCGCATAGAAGACAAGCGTGGGAGGAAGCAGTCAAGTCGACATTGAACGAGCACGCTCAGACTCTAGGATCGGAAGAATATGTCATGCTGAGAGGTGGACAATTGGTCGGTTGCTCACTATCTGTCTTTGTGAAAGCCAGCATTCTACCGTTTATCAAGAACGTTGAAGGCGCCTTGAAGAAGACCGGCATGTCCGGCATGGCAGGCAACAAGGGTGCGGTGGCTATCCGTATGGAGTACGCCAACACTTCGATCTGCTTGGTCACTGCACATTTGGCTGCAGGATTCGCCAACTACGAGGAGCGTAACCAAGATTACCGAACAATCAGCCATGGACTGCGGTTTGCCAGGAATAGATCGATTGAAGACCATGATACTATTATTTGGCTTGGAGATTTCAACTACCGCATCGGTATGGCCAACGAGAAGACGAGACAGCTAGTTAAGATGAGCGACCTCGAGAAACTCTACGAGAACGATCAGGTAAGTTGTGGCCGTTCTGATTGCTGGTCCCTTTGTACTAACCGACCAAAGCTAAACCTACAAATGGTCCACGGCAAAACGTTCCCTTACTACAACGAGGCCAGAATCACCTTCCTGCCCACATACAAGTACGACGTTGGTACAGACGAGTACGACAGCAGTGACAAAGCTCGTATCCCTGCATGGTGCGATCGTGTCTTGACAAAAGGAAACAACCTCCGTCAAATTCACTACAATACTGCACCATTGAAGTTCTCAGATCACCGACCCGTCTACGCTACGTTCCAGTGCACCATCACAGTCATCGACGATAAGAAGAAACAAGAAATCAGCGAGGGACTTTACAAACAAAGACGTGCAGTGGTCGGTGGCCATACCGCCAACACCAGAGCCGAGGACACAGACGACGAAGACCTACTCGGCTACGAATCAATCGAGCCAGGCTTACCACCCGCAAGTTCCGACAAGCGTAAATGGTGGCTGGACAATGGCATGCCAGCTCGCTCCAAAGTCAAGCCCCCAGAAGATGGATACGTCCGCAACCCACAACGAGCACCCAACCCATTCGGCGCCACCACCGAGCCCGACTGGGTCAAAGTGCCTCGTCCCAACCCGCCACCTCCTCGCTCCCTCTCCATCCGCGAGCGCAACCCCTCAGCAGCAAGTCAACCCCCAGACACCAGGGCCGCGCCGATGAACCGCAAACTACCCCCTGTATGGCCAGCACACGCCGCCTCCTCGGCAGCACCCAACTCCAGACCCTCATCAACCCGCCACAGTCTCCTCGACGACCCAATCCCCTCGCCCTCACCCCCACTTCTCCCCCGTAGACCTTCTGCCGCCTCTGTCGCCTCTNNGTCGCCTCCCCTAGACCACAAAATCACCCGCAAAGCCGCCCCGCCAGTCCCCAAGAAACCGTCAACACTGCGCTCGGAATCTCCAGTCAACACCAGAGACGAGGGGTTTGCTCCAAAACTCCCACAGAGGATTAACACATTGCCGTCTTCGCGGGAGCCGGTCGCGAAGAGTGTTTCTATGCCTGTGCTTCCGCCGCCGAGGAGGAGTGCGGTCGAGGTTAATAACAAGGGGATTGAGAGGTGGTCGAGACAGGCTGGGGGCAGTGAGGATGGGCCGCCGCTGCCTCCTAGAAGGGGCACGGGTATGAGTCAGATGGATCTGTTGAGTGATGAGGACGACGGGGGTATGGCTGGTTGGAAGCCGTTGAGACCTAATTGAAAAGGCAAAGCGAGGAAAGGTGTTCTGCTCGATTGCTCATCTTGACGAGAGCTGCATGGCTGGGTAGCACTTGCCTCGGAGGCTCGTATCAGAGACTAAGAGAGGTTCTTCTTCAGTACTTCAAACTAGATATTCTTTTGCAGAAATGCTCTCATATACATCTGCCTACGCTTGTACGACAATCTAGCTATCATCATATCTTGATATCTCGACTCTCGAGCACATGTAATGTTTCCAATTCACGAGCCACACTCAAGCGTTCATAACATCCACGTTACCACCCTTAGTTTCGTCTCCTCCCTTGGCAAACGCCTCTCTACTCTTCTGCTCAACCTTGACGTTCCAGCCAAATTTGTCTTCGTAGCGACCAGTCTGGATGCCCTTGAGGTTGTCAAGCAACTTGAGGCAGACAGGGCCAGGTTCGTCAGAGTCTAGGTAGGTAAAGGTGTCGCCGCGGCTCTTCATGGTGATGCTTCTGATGGGGACGAGAGCTGCTGCTGTTCCGGCAGCAAAGACCTCGTCGAAAGACTTGATTTCGTCGTAGTTGATCTGTGAGAACGGGTTAGTTTCGTGCAAGGGTGAAAGGTAGAGGGATAGAATGGAAGGCCTTACAGCTCTCTTCTCGACAGTCCAACCCAAGCTGCGTGCAATGTGGCACACACTGTCTGCCGTCACACTCTCAATGACATTCTTGCTGTCCGGCACCACCAAAGTGGTCTTGTCACCCTCTTTCTTGACACCCAAGAAAGCAGAAGTGCTGAACTCGTCAATCTCGGTTCTCGTCCTGCTGTCCAGGTGCAGAGTAATGCCATAACCATCATTTCTAGCTCTTTCGCTGAATCTCAACACAGGAGCATAGTTTCCACCCACCTTGGCGGAACCAGTACCGTGAGGAGCCGCACGATCAAAGTCCTCAAGAATGAGTGCGGGCACAGAGTGTACACCGTGGTAGACACCCACAGGCAACACCCAAACCACAAAAGTGTACTCTTCAGGCGGGCTCAAGCCCAATTGTGCAGAACTGCCAAACAGCAACGGGCGAATGTACATGGCTGCTCCTGTCCTAGCAGGCGGCACAAACTCTGCGTTCAGCGCTACGGCAGCCTTGACGCACTCTTCAAAGTGCTCGACGGGGACCTCGGGCATGGAGACAAAGGAAGCAGAGTGTTGCATGCGTTTGGCATTCATATCGGGACGGAAGATGGTGATTTCGGAGTCGTCGGGGCTACGGAAGGCCTTGAGGCCCTCATAGCACTGCTGGCCGTAGTTGAGGCCTGGGGCCATGCCGTGGATACGGAGATAGGGCGAGGTGACGAATTCGGGAGCAGTCCATTTGCCAGTCTTTTTCGAGTAGGTGGATTCGATGTGGCCGTTGACTGAAGAGATGAGATGTTAGAGGCGTGTATCGAGAGACAGAAAGAGAGCAGAGGACGACATACCTTCTCTGACTTGGAAGCCGATGTTGTCCCAATNCTAAAGATGTACTGAATTAGTCATGGCGGGGTATGGAGGACGGAGATGATGGAGGGGTGTACCAATGGTGTTGACGGGAGGAGGGGGAANAGAGGTAGCCATGTTTGCAAAGTGATGCAATTTCCAGACGAAAGGAAGTCACAGTCAATTGATGTAAAAAGAAGAAGGAGCGACTTAGAACAAAAAGTGTCGATTGACGATCGATCAGCTCGGTAGGGCGTGCGGACCTGACATCTTCATGCGCGTATCCAGCCACCAGGGTCCAAGTATGATTCACAGAGCTTGTTTTTCTAGCAACTTCTTGTTTGTCAATCATCTTGTATAACACATGATATTTGTTTGGAATATACGAAATCAGCTCTCCATTGGAGGCTGGTAGTGTATGATGCAGGGAGACGTGACTCCTCTATAGGACAAAAGAAACAAAAGAAACATGATATCGACCCAAAAGCCCAGCCATAAAGGGTATCATATGCTTCGCTCCGAAGACCACCAAAATGCCCAAAAATGCTCCCGTGCTGCTGTGAAAAAAAAAAATCAAAAGAGTTTGTTGTTGCCGGCCTTGCCATCGTAGAAGCGCCTGCGTGCTCTGTTCAACATTTCCTCCCTTCCGCTAACACTTCTGCCCACTCCTGGTCGTGTTGGCTTTTGCACTCTTGTCCTCCTGTCATCAAAGCTCTTGGATGTGATGCGCTGATTAGAGCGTCTTTGATTCTTGCGGCCCTTGTTGGCGGATATAACCATGACACGGCGCTTTTCAGAATCGCTGGACTCGATCGAAGTGGTCGATGTATCGTTCTCTTCTGCTTCGGACAAATCCATATCAACCGCTGCGTGCGGCGATGACGCTGCTGAGGCCTCTGAGTCTTCTTCCTCTGCCTCGTCTTGTTCAATATCGGCGGTTGAAGATGATTGAGGCTCCTGCACAATGTTCTCAAAAACGATCTCCGACTCTTCCTGAATTGGCGATTGATTGTGGACTTGGCGCTTCGAGGGTATGATGGAGGGAGTCTGGAAAGCATCTGCAGTGACAGACAGTTCCGTCAAGGGCTCAGTTGGTGTGGTATGTGACGCAGCGGGTGTCTTGTATTGTGTCATGGGAGTCGCTCTTGCTTTGGCTTGGATGGTGGCAGGTGTCTCGGGTACGTCGCCCAACATCTCGCGCCTGAGCTGCTCCTCAGCGGCCAAGTTTCGGACGGGTGACAAGTTGCGAGCTGCGGGAGTCTGTGGCGGAGCAAAGATACCAAAGAAGGGTGTAGCCTTGAGTGCAGGAGTAGGGGCAGAAGCGCCAGCCTCGCGCATCAGTTGTTCGGCAGCGGCTCGGTTGACTACTGGCGAGGCTTGGCCAGCGAACGGAGTGGCTGGAGGAGCAAAGGACGGCGTTGGCGGAACATGCGGCCGTGAAGAGACAGGTGCCTTCTCAGGAGTGTCGACATCTCCTGCGTCGTCTGCGGGAGATAGCGTGCGGCTTGATGCATCGTTCGAGTTGGACGAATCTGACCGAGTCACCTTGACAACGGTAATGTCGCCTTCTTCATTCGGGCGGCTGAAGGTGCCCGAGAGGCGAGTGTAGAAACCCGACAGGAACGACATGGTGCGTTTGTGATGGTGAAGAAGAAGTCGTGTTCAAGTGTCGGAGTGTTTATTTGTTAAGGGACCCGCTTTCAAAGAGCCCGAGCGCCAGCAACGGAGCAAGAAGCTAAACGCCGAGGCTCCGTCGAAAAGTCTCGCCGCAAGCAAACTGACATTTTATCATCCATACCAAACACCACGACTCGTTACCAAAATGAGCATCGACGAAATGCAAATCGACTCCGAAGTCGCCGCAGGCTCCAAGCCTCGCCTTCCCGTCACTGTCACCAAGCCCATTCCCTACACCTTCGACCTGGGCAACCTTCTCTGCAACGACTCCAACCCTCTGCCCGCCGTCAGCCAAATCTCAGAGGCCGACATCAAGGATGCTGCTCGCGACTGCGCCCAGGCCCTCATCAACCAACTCCTCTCCACATGCCCCATCACAAAATCCGACGACAGCACCAGCGTCACCCTCGGCCTACCCACCCCCACCACCCATCTGCCTCGCGAGAAGCGCGTCCCCGAGGAAAAGCCCATGACCAAGTGGCAGGAGTTTGCCAAGAAGAAGGGCATCAAGGACAAGAAGCGCGACGGCAAGCTCGTCTACGACCAAGCCTCTGGCGAATGGCTGCCCAAGTACGGCTACAAGGGCAAGAACAAGGACGGCGAGAACGACTGGCTGGTCGAGGTCGACGAGAAGAAGACGAGAAAGGATGGCGGCGAACACGATGCCAGAAAGGAGAGGAGAGAGGAGAGAGTCGAGCGTGTCAAGCGCAACGAGAGGAGGATGCGCGCAAACGAGCGCAGAAACCAGCCCGACAAGTCATGATCTTCCACCCCATCACATCTCTTCCTTTTCCTCGGATTTGCACAGCGATGGCGTTTTACGGTTCCGGGATATGGGCATGAAATCATCCTTTGCGCCAGCGTTTTCTGCATGTCATGCACACACAAAAAAAAGTCTTTTCTCTTTCGTCTGTCAAATATCCTCCATGTCAAAATCACTTTTCCAGAGACTGGCCTTTGTCTCGAGAACATCCTCCCAAGTTATATAGCCAAGGTGACAGGAATTATGACCTTTTCTCTATCCCAGAAACTCGCCTGCGACCAAAACCTCCCATGATTTGCCAGTGTCCCACGATTTCTCCATGAGATGTCGTGCATTTCGTACNNCTGCGTCAACAATGATAAGTCTTTCGTTCGAGAACTCACAACTGTCCAAGGAGATACTCACATAAGTCATGCCCAGCCCCTCAACCAACTTGAGCCTCTCCAAAATCATATCTCGGTCCTCAGAGTTCTGAGCATCGCATCCAGCCGTGAACATTGGAAACAGCAAACTCGACTCTGCGGTGCCACCTCTCCTCACACCCTTCAAAGCCTGTAGGACAAGCTTGACCGAGTCCTGTATCTCTGGATCCGTCGATGGTTTCCCGAGCACCCGTCGGTTCAAATGAATCAAGCCAGCGAGATGGAACGATTCGTTCACCGAGACCATTTCTTGAAGTTCTAGTCGTGTTCTCTCGCTGATCTTCTCGTCTTCGTCTCTGCTGTGGCGGCAACCTCTTTGTACATGATGTCTGCTGTGTGACAGTTCTTGTTTTAGAACTTCCGCTTCCTCGAGAACATCTTCCGAGGGTTGCCAGTCTGAGTCTATATTGCCTTGATCATCAATGCGCTGGGCACCACATTGACGAGCCAATCTTGCAACTCGGGCGAGCAGACTAATACAACAATTCGTGAAGCCAAAGAAGCAATCAATAGTGAATCCGTAGGCGTCTGACTGGTTATCAGAGTCGAACATCATGTACTCGTCGTCTAGTGGCGCTTGGTTCCGATGTCCAGACAGAGAACCAATGACATCCAGATAGGCGAACCATCTTGCGAGGAAATTGACAAAAGGATCGCCGCCATCACCTCTGTCTCTGAGACCGCCACGAGAGATGATGATCTGTCGGGCAATCTCAAGGTGACTCTGCCATGGGATCGGTACATCAAGGCTGTCGGGGTTGATACACTCGCGTGATGCCAACATGATTGCAGTCGTCAATGTTGCATTTGACACTGGCTCGTTGGAAGAGAGCGACCGTCGCAAATCTGGGAACACATCGCGCAGCCATGTCGCGATACGGTTAACAGGCTCTGGGTGAGAGAGCAGACGTGCCCGATGAGATGCCGAATACGCCAGGAGTAAGTTGAGTAGGTTGGCATTCTGTACAGCGACTAGATGTCATATTAGCAAATGGCTGGATGTTGCGCTCATGCTATACATACTCCGTGGTAAGGTGGTCTTCATAGGATTGTCAGGACAATCGTGTGGCACCAAAATCCGAGCCGTATGATTCAAAAAGTGATGGAAGTAGATGAGGTTCATCGGGCTTTCCGACAGCTGTGCAGGTAGTGGTTCGAGGTCCAATGGTATTCGTATCGGCACAGGGCGAGCATAGTAGCCACCCCTCTCAAAAGCGGGTTTCTCGATCGAGAAATCGAACAGTTGCGAAGGCGACCATGCCACGTCAGAAAGTGTGCTAGGAGAGCTCATGGATGTTGCAGGTGTCTGTGGATTGATTGCTCCATTGTCGTCGTTCTTAGGTATATCCAGATCAGGTAGTCCATAGTCATAGCCGTAGATGACGAAACCATCTTCACATCGTCGATTGACACCACTGAAATGCTCATAAGATGACCTAGGACTGGCGTGGTCTCCGGCTGGACCTGACAGCAGATAGTTTACGGAGAGTCTTCTCAAGCTAGGTGATGCGTAGGCACTCGAAGCACCAGGAGTAAGGGGAGAAGGAGCAGAATGGTTTGTGGGTGCTCCTGGAGAGGCTTGATCATATGGCGAAAAGGACGAACTGCCGGGCTCAGAAAGCCCAGGTCGAGCAAATAGTGGTGGAAGACTACGTGGTGGGCCATCGCCAGAGTCCAGTCTAAGTCTCTTAGCCCTGTCTTCGTTGGCCCACCCAAACTCATATGGCGAAGGTGGTCGCGTGAGACTGGGACTTCGATAGTATTGTCCCGTCGGAGGATTTATAGAGGAATATGGATCTGGCAGCGCGAATTGTGGTAAGGTGGAGTATGAACCATTCGACTCGAATTGAGCCGGCGACCGACTTGTGTATGAGCTGGTTCGAGATGCAGATCCAGCATTGTAGTCGAGTGGTGTCAGCTGAATGATAGTATCGTTGCCACTTTCTCCGGGTGTTGCTTCTGGTCCAAGGCTCTGAAGCTCAGGTACAGATGGTGTCTGAACCGACGGCGAAGCACTTGCAGTCGGTGGCACACTCGGAGTAGCAAAACTAATGGTAGAGAAACCAGAGGTTGCATTGGCCATGGCCGAAAATGCATTCTGCTCCTTTTTACTTCTGCCTCCCCATTGCAGCTTCAAAGAGTAGTCGCATTCTTCATTCTGCTTCACACAGTTGGAGCATCGAGGTTTTGCTTCGTCACATTTGACCTTCCTGTTCTTGCAACCATGACATCCTGTACGAGAGCGCTTCTTTGGCTCATTGCCAGAAACAGGTGGTTTGCTCTGAGGCATGTTGAGCTGTCGGGCGAGCTCGGCGTGCTTGTTCAATGCGATCTCGTATACATCCTAAGACCGATTTTCTCGAGAATCACCCACGATGCACCGTCTTAGAGCGTTTGTACGATGCGGTAGTCTGGTGACTACCTTCAAGGAGAATTATTGGACAGTATTCTAGAGAACGACCGATTCAGTGGCCTTGACGAGAAAACACACCTCGGCCAGCCTTCTTATCAATGATCCGATCAACCCGAGATAAGCCAAAACGGCTAGGGTTTCCCACTTGCGAACATGATTTCCATTGATACATGCGAGAAGCTCTTGACCTACATAGACAGAGCTGTTTGGAATATGTAATTCGAAAGAGGCTTGGAAGTCTGAGAATCTCTCGACTGGAACGAGACGAGTGCAGGTTGCATAACAACTTTGAAGCTTCGAGGATCTTTTGTGTCCTGGCCAATTGGCATCCAGGAAGACCACATGCACACACCCGAATTGCTCTCACACAGCAACACGTACCAGCCACCTATACGATGGTTTGCATAGCAGCATAGCTCTCTCTCGCTATGCCTTGCTGAATAACCACGGTCGATCGGTTAGTCACAGTTCCGGCGACAGTTGACAGAACCTTCATGCTTCGGGTTTTGGAGCATCCGAAGCCGGCTTTAGCGGACCTCCAGGTGGGCATGCTCACTAATAAACGTCACCAATGCCCCATAATGGCAGACTCGTCTCTTTCTTCTTTGGAGAGGCCCGCTAGGAAACTTGACTTGCTGGACATACATGCATCTGTAACCATGTCGACCAAAACTGCTCAGGAATTGCTGTTACGCCACCCTCAACAGAGGCTCGACTCTCCTTCTCGAGGCACGAGTGCTGCTCTCCACGTATGACTGTTTTTTGTATCTGGAAGTAAGAGCAAGGATGATTGACACGCAACACAGCTCCTTGGTCTCTCTAGCTTTGCATACTCTTTCTGGTGGCTGGAAGCAAACCCCAACCCTGTCAATGATTCCTATGGCCGTCACTTCCAACACTTGACTATTCTCGGTCTGACCTTGGCCACTTTGACTTTTGTGATCGGACTGCTTGCGGACATCACCATGTCTACGCGTCTGTTCAGAGTCAAGAACATCCTCTCCGTCACCAGTGCACCCATGGAAGTCCTGATCAGTATCTTGTACTGGGGTCTTAAAGGCGTATGTCATGACATTCTGCCTGTATCTCTAGGCGCCAACTGACAAAATCAGGTCGACGAGAGTCTCGTTCTTCCCGACTGGGCACCCAGGATCCCCTTTGGCGCGGACTTCTCCTTCCACGCCGCACCTTCAATTGCACTGATCCTGGATCTCCTCTTCTTCTCTCCACCTTACACCGTTTCCGTGCTACCGGCTCTGGGCATTAGCAGTGGCATTGCCGTTTCCTACTGGTTCTGGGTTGAGGAATGCTACAGGCACAATGGATGGTATCCTTATCCCATCTTCGATGTGTTGGGCACTACTGGCAGGGCTGGTCTCTTCGCGGGTAGTGCTGTCGTCATGACTTGCAGCACTCTCTGTCTGAAGTGGATGTACAACCGTGTCAATGTGCATGCCCAGGATCTCAAGAACAAGCCTACGTGAGTATGAACACATTACGTGAGACGACAAGACACATAGACATTTAGGTACGACGCCATGGCATACACATTCACCCACCAAGGAACGGAAGATAGTGTGCAGAAAGTCCGCGATCAAGCGGACAGAAGATCATATTCTTAATGTTAGGCAAAGACCCGCCCTGGTTGCAGGTTCCACGGATACTCAATAAGGCTCCTCCTTGTACATGACCCATACTCCGATACCATAGCCCCTCGAGGCTCCAGCCACCAACGCCACATCAATGCATCACTGCCACAGGTGCAACATAATGTAATCAACAGAGAAAGGAAAACATGAAGAAAAATAGCCATCCGGCTCGGCAACACGGAAAAGAAAAGAAAAGAAACGCTTCAATGAAACAAGACCCAGCCGATGAAAACTCCTAGGGGAAGAAAAGACGAAGCAAGGATGATGCTTCTATGCGTTGGCGATGGGCTTGGTTTGGCCCTTGCCAGCGAAGACGCCAGCACCAACGGCCTTGCTGATACCGATACCCAGACCACAGGCAAGGGCAACGACAAAGGCAGCGAGAAGGATCTTGAACCATAGTCTTTGCTTCTTGGTGATGCTGCTCCACCAGGCGTTGACGCTGTTGCAACCACAGGCTCTGGCAGCTCTGCGCTTAGCTCTCTCGGCCTTGTCCTGGTTACGGAGTGTCTGCTTGGTTGGCCACATTGTGCACTCTTTGGTACGGCCATCGAAGCTCAAGCGGGATCCAGTGGGGACAGCCGATACGGTAGGCATCTCAGACGGAAGGTTGAGGTCTGAGCCAATGGGGTTTGAAGTGATGAAGTAGCCCTCTTTGCGGGCAGCCTCGAGGTCGTTGTCGTGGGCGGTTGGGAGTGTTTGGCGAGAGATCTCGGCAGAAGGGGCAGCGTAGAATGGGGTCAAACGCTCTTCGTCAGGCGTCGATGGCGAGTCGACAGTGACGACGGGACTAAGCGACTTGGGAGTGTCGAAAAGATTGGGCGCGAGGTGGTTTTGGGTCTTGGTGGGTGTGTCGACGGTCGCACCAAAGGTCACCTCATCCTCGAGGTGGTTGTACTTGGAGGCACCCATTGTGTATGATGGTGTTTCGTCAATGGTCGTTCTGGCTATTGATATCGACAGGCGATGGAGATTCTAGTGGATGTGGTTGGAAAAAGAGGACCAGGGGATGGACGAGGCAGGCGGAGGTGCAGCGGCTCTTGCGTCGTTGTAGTGGATGGTGGTCGAAGGGCTGTGCACACGATGAGGCACTATGCAATGGGTTCGGAAAAGCAACCAGTCAAAGAGCTGGGAGAGGGGCCGGCAGGGTATAAGAGGTGGACAGGAAAAGCCGCTACGGTAAAGGCGTCACAATGAAATGTCGCTCGAGAAGAGAGTTGGAAGTTGGAACGGGGGAGGACGAACAGCGAGGGCTGCACGGTCGTTTAGATAGCACCAAGGCTTGTGCCCGCAACTGCACAATAAGCCCATACGCTAGGTTCTATTTCCAAGCTAACATTCAATCCTCTCTAGCGCTCCATTTTGGTTTTGCCAATTGATTCACTGAACATGGTGCAAGCCTTCTCGCCCGTCTTCAGCTCTTTTGCCTGCTGTTCGACAGAACATGGGAACTTCTCGACTCGTCTGCTCTCAGCGCTGTTTGGTCTGCTGAGCCCAGACCCTAATTACCCCTGATCCGCACGCTTCTTCGCGCCAGCAACGCTCGACGGCCCATTCTCCGCCCCCCAAAACGCGCAGCCTGGACACCTCGCCGCCGCTCATGAGAAACACGGCTGGATCAGACAGACAAATAACGCACATCTCGAACGACACTACTACTCGCGAACACCTCAGCATAGTTTCCGGCTCGATACGACCCTCTCAACAGATATAAAAGCTGATTGCGTACGTGCCGCAATCGTTTGACTGACATCGAACGATTCGGTTTCAAGCACATTTCGATAACCTTGCAATCAATTTATCCCCAATCGGCCCGCCCGATCGAGTCTGGGGTAAAACACCAAGAGTACACTCGAAGCTACGCGGAGGCTAGCGTGCAAAGAAGACGCTGGGCGCTTCTCAACCTTTGGCCTAGAAGTGCTTCAGCACGTTGTGGAGGCGTGGCCGTTCGAACACTCTCTGCTTTATCGCAACCGTGAGGCACAATCCAAGCGACGTTCTCATGCCTGCTGATAGGCTGCTCTGCCCGCTCTGGGCCGTCGCCGTCGTGCCACACGTCCTTGTGGTTCGTCGGTACCTGAGCAAACACCCCAAAATTCCAAGAAGTCTGCTGATTGACGGCTGTCTCACTTGCGCCTGATTCTACGTTGATCTGGTTTCTCGAATCCTGATATCCGGTTGGTTGTGACAATTATGCATTCTATGTGGCTTCACTGAGCTCGTCGAAGAACATCTATCGAAGTGTTGCTAAACCCAACCACCCATGCAGTCTCTCCTAACGGGGGTATTCATGCAGGTTCCTGACTCAAAACGCTAGAGAAATCGATAAAACATGCTGGGGTTCGGCTTCATGGCATCATGGCGGAAACGTTAATGAGCGCGACGCACACTCTTCTGTCACTGAATCGACTTTGGCTGTGTTCAGTTGTCGACGCCAATATGCACGTCCTTCTCGCCCGGAGGAAGCACCTTCTCCTCTTTTTGACCCTTCAAGTTGGGCAACTCGTCCACTGCCTTTGCAATGATTCTGAGCGAAGTCTCAATTTGCTCCTTGGAAATCACGAGAGGAGGTGCCAGACGGATGATGTTTTGGTGAGTGGGTTTGGCCTGCAATGACGTTAGTTAGTCTTGGGTTTCACCAACGTTAGCGAAGCTTTTCTTACCAANGAGACCCTTCTCCTTCATCAACATGCAGAGATCCCATGCGCTGTGGCCGTTGGTCTTGCTTTCGTCGATGACGATGGCGTTAAGCAAACCCTTACCACGGATCAATGAAATCATCGAGTTCTTGGCCTGGATGTCGCGAAGACCTTGTCTGAACATCTCACCAAGGACTTGAGCCTGCTGGACCATGTTCTCTTCCTCGATGATCTCAAGCGCTCTGATAGCAATGGCGGAACCAAGAGGGTTACCACCGTAAGTGCTACCGTGAGTGCCGGGCTCGACGGTGAGCATGATCTCCTTCTTACCAAGGACAGCAGAGACAGGGTACATGCCACCACTGATTGCCTTGCCGAGAAGGACAAGGTCAGGCTTGATACCGCTCCACTCGTGGCACAGCATCTTGCCGGTACGGGCGATGCCAGTCTGGATCTCGTCGCAGATCATAAGGACATTGTGCTTGTCGCACAGCTCACGTACTTTTCTGAGGTAATCCTCGTCCGGGACAACAATACCTGCTTCACCCTGGATGGGCTCGACCAGGAAAGCAGCAGTGTTCTTGCCGTGCTCCTCAAGCACCTTCTCGAGATCGGCGACATTGTTGTAGCGAATGGGTTCGTCATTGGTAGGGTTCGAAGAGCCGATGTTGGGCAGGTAAGGACCGTAGTTGTCTCTGGATTCGGGGTCGGTAGACATGGTGATGGCAGCGAANNCTGGAGCATGAATTAGCTTGTGCGCACGGGCAATTGCTTGTGGTCGTGGAGTGCTTACTGTTCTGCCGTGGAAGTTCTCTTGGGCGGAGAAGACCCAGGCCTTGTTCTCTGGAATGCCCTTGACCTTGTATCCCCATTTGCGTGCGATCTTGACGGCGGTCTCTACAGCCTCGGCACCAGTGTTCATGGGCAGGACCATCTCGAAGCCCAACATTGAAGTGACCTTCTCAGCGAAGCGAGGGAAGACATCGTTGTAGAAAGCGCGAGAACTGAGTGTAAGTCTTGAAGCCTGTGCAACGAGAGCCTTGACGAGTTCGGGGTGGCAGTGGCCTTGGTTCACGGCGCTGTATGCTGAGAGGAAATCGAGGTAGTGGTTTCNCTGCGTGCTGTCAGCATCTCTCCTTGTACGTGGATTGCACACAATAGACACACCTTCTGGGTCCCAGACGTCTACTCCCTGTGCCCTCGAGAAGACGACTGGCAGAGGGTGGTAGTTGTGTGCAGCGTATGCGGATTCGGCAGCGATGGCCGTAGCAGAAGTCGCCGAGTGGTAGGGATCAATCTGCTTGTTGCCGACAGGCTTGAAAGACTCGGCCTCAGCGTTGAGCGAGTCCTTGGGTGAGCTATGAATGGCGATGGGTGCCATGTTTGGATAAATTAATTGTTGATAGTGGGGTTATCGCGGGGCAGATAGGGCCTTAAGAATGTAGAACGTGAACAGAAACAGCACACTATGCCAGGAAAGTTGGTTTCTAGGAAAGATGAGGAAAGGAGAAAAGAGGAAGGGCTGAGAAATGAAGGAATTTGTAGTGAAAACGTGTTCGCCAGCTAAGAAATCTGGTTACGGCTATACCTGTGCATAGCGGTTTTGGAGCGGACTTGAAGATGGAAGTGACCCCTAAGCGCAGGAAGACCCGAGATCTGGGGAAATTCGTTTGTCATGGCCCTGATAAGCCGGAGGCCGATTGCGGAATGCAATAGCGACGCGATTGCTGACCACTTCTTCTCTTCTCGCAGTTCTCGCAAAGCGATCCACCTTACTGACAAAGCTCAAGCATATACCATAAAAGTAGCAATCATGGCATAGCTGCTTCTCATTCTCTTCAATCTATCGTTCTGGATCTCCATGGGGAAAGACAATCCTTCGGCCGGCACTTGCCCTTCCTGGCCATTTCCTTGACTAATAGAGACTCTGAGATGCTCACGAGGCCATCTCGTGCTGTTTCGACCAAGACTCTCAGCCTGCAGGCCCAAACAACACCAGCGACCAACCCATTTCCAATTCATTCCTCTCAAAGCATCGGATGCATCGCCTGCAGTGGTCAGCCAGTGCAACACTACTGCCCTTTGCATGGCTCAGGCAAAGACACTACGTTAATCTGCTCTAAGATCAGCCGTTATCACGAATTCCATTGTTGGAGACTTGACATACCAGGCGCGTTGTACTCGAAATATTTTTGCAGAACCAACTCCAGGAAGTATCAGTGTGTAATAGTCTCTCCTTCCGATATTATCATTTTCCGGTTCATATTCAAGAGGTAGCGATAAAGGTTTGATGAACAGGAATTTGCAGTGTAAGCACTTCGAAAAGAGCAGATGAGTAGCAGCCTTTTGCCATGCCTTTCACAGAAGTCGTTGTCTGTGCCACGATGTTCTGCATAGCCAGTCTGTGGACTCTGTTCTTGAGATGGTCTGCGAATGTCTGCAATGGGTGTCTCTGAGGTAATATGGAGAGTGCAATTTCCGCGTCGTAGACATCGTCGTCTGTCACGAGAATCGTGTCTGTTTCAAACGAGAGTGAGACTGGAGGGCTCATGACTACCCTATAGCAGCTGTGCCTCAAAAGCAAGGCGCTCGTATGAGTGTGATCTGCTTCCTGGGATCACGATCCACCGTCAGACCTTCTTATATATCTGCATACGCCTCTGAGAAGCCCGGAACCACCCACCACTTTGTTCGCGTATTTCGGACTTGCCCGCGACCAAGTAAAGATAAGGCCGTCGACAAGTACTGTTTTACGGTCAGCTTGCACGAATGTCGTACGACCTCGGCTTTGTTCCACGCTGTGCTTCGCAGGCTTGGTGTATTGTTACATGGAGGCTGTTGATTCTTTGAACATCTCGTTTTCTAACTTGTTTATCTCCGTGCCTGGCCTCGAACAGTTTAACGAACCATGTTTCAAGGCGGTCACCCTGCTTAGTGCTTGTCATCTGGAGATTTCTTACGCATGCAGAGTTCCTTTCGGATGGTCTTGTTGGACGACTAGGACGACTCGAACCATGCGAACCGAATCGGTTGATGCTTGTTACACAGAACACCAGAATAAGTCATAGTATACCACCATGGAGTGTCCGTGGTTGAAGTTGTTGTTCTACATGGCTACAGCAGATATGGCTGGTAGGCCGCAACGCCATCGAAGCGACCAAGAAGAAGGATAAAGACCTGATAACAGTCGAGCGAACCACTTTTGACACGACCAGGACTGCTAATATGACCAGAAGAAACAGACACTCGTGGATAGTAAACCTCCCGCATCTTCTTCGTGGATGATAACGATACCATGTGTGTGCACAATTTGTGTATATATCCAGCTCTCACGTCAACGGCTTTTCAGCGGATCGGGAGGGACCTGCAATAGGAAGCGGTACTTCGACATGCTATGGAGTTGTTGGCTACAAGCTTTTAGGGTACGGCCGTTCTATCTAAACAGGCATAAGGGCGGACTAGTTTCTTTCCATAACACATCGGTCTCACTTTTGTTAGCTTAGTAGCTCCTCCCCAAAATTCCCTTCTTTCGATCGCGCCTTCCAAGTTTCCTCTATTCGGTCGCTCCTTCCATTCTTGCTCTTCTCGGTCGTTCCTTTCTTCGGTATACTCAGTCGCTCCTTCCTAAAATTGATATCACCGATCGCTCTTTCCTCCTTCCATAGTCTACGCCCAGTCGCACCTACCCAATTCTCTGTCCCCAGTCGCACCTTCCCTGTTTTCCAATACCTTGTAAGCGTGTTTTTTACACCTTCTGAGTGAAGTCGATTCATTTCTGCTCGAGATAGAAGGAATCGTTTGAGTCTTGCACTTGTCCACTCCTGCCTATAAGAGATAATTGACGGCGAGAAGGGATTCTTGTACCCCGCTCTGTCTTTGAGATGTACTTAGTCTCTCGATCTCCTAGATCTTCTCTCTCTATCTTATAAGCAGGGTAAGGGCAAGCATAAGGATCTAGTCATACGAGAGATTTCTTTTAAGCCGACCATTTTTATTATATTCACCATGTCTACGTCTTTTCGTGCTTTGATATGCCTTGTGTACCGGATTGCTTTTCTGATGCATACTGCATGATTGGTCTTTAACCCTCTTCAGAGTTGTTAGTTGTTGCTCACTCATATCTTTGCTCTATCTCTCCTTCCCCCACCGTCGATGGTCTCGAAACCATTGCTGAGGGTATAACCCTGTCGCTGTTTTCTGGGAGGTGGAAAACAAGGCAAGGGCGATGCTAGGTCGTTTGGTCTTGTTCTTGAGTTATGGAAGCTCTGTATGTCGGAATTGTTGGTAGCGCCTTCTTCTTTTGGAAAAAGAGGTTGAGCTTTATAGACAAAGGCAACATCGATTCTGGTTCGTCCTTTCCATCTTGTAATGCTCCAACCGTAGAAGCACTTTTTCATTCTTGGGTTCTGAAAGGGGGAAAGGACGGGTTGGAATGCATTGTGACGATAAGATTAAACACTAAGTTCATGTATATGTTTTACGAAGAGGACAGAAACAACACTGCCCATTGCGGACATTGAAATCGCACACGTTACATTTTCAACCCGCCCTGGATATTATCTTCAAGAATCATGTTACTCTCAAACAACCACAGCAGCAGCTCCAGCCAACATAGCACCTACTCCCCAAGCCCAGCCAGTCACTTCAGCGGCAACACGAGGAGCCTGCCCAGTACTGCTGGCTGTGACTGTTGCCGTAACAGTGACCCGCTGCGTGCTTATGTACCCCGTGATATTCGTGCCATTCGAGATATTGGCAATAGCTGCCGAAGCGGCTGAACTCAAAGCTGGCAGCAGGGAAGTTGGGGAAGAAGGGTCGAGTGTTGGACCAGGCGTAGTCTTTTGATCAGTGGTCTTCGCTGCATCGGTCGATTTGCAAGTGGCTGCTGTAGGTAGATCACTGACTTTGTATGCAGAGCAGAAGTTGTTTGCGAATCCGATGGCAGCNNTTATTGGTGTCAGTGGGATGAGCGACAAGTCCCGCGTGTAGATTCACATACCGTCTTGATCAGCCTTGTTACAGGCCTTGGACATACAGCAACCGAGATTCTCAAGGAAATCTTTGTTCTTGCAGATACATTCGACATCGATCGAGTTGCAGCCGCCGAAGCTGGAAGTGACACATGTGCTGGCACAATCTGGTAGACCCCAGATACTGGCTCTTTCTTGCAAGCTCAGAGGCTTGGAGTGGCTCCAGAGGCTGAATGCTTGTCCAAGTGTACTTAGCACTGTTGCTGTGTAGATAAGGGAGATGGCAGGTCGCATGATGCTCGAGTGTTATAGGATGCTCAAGTTATGATTTGGGATGGCAGACAGGAAGATGGCGATAGAGACGTGAGTGGTCTTTGGAAGAAAGCTATCGCAAAGAGGCTTCCGATACGCTTGTAAAGAAACAGGTCTGTTTATTGTTGACAGAGCAAGGCTCTTACGACGCTTACCGGGTAACGACATGGAGGAATTGGTTGCAGAGGAGAAGAGGAATGTAGATGGACAACGTAGTCGGAATGCACCTACCTAAGTTGATGGAGAAAATATGTCACACATCATCATGGCTATCACGACAGCATGAGCGCAGTTCATTGACGTTATTCGCAGCTACTTTGATCAAAAGATCGTTGTTCGTGCGATTGACAGAGGAAAGAACATTGATACTGTCTCGAAGCATAAAGCGAGGTCACAGCGAGCGGAGCCATCTCCGGTGATCGACGCGTTCCCTGTTTAGGAAACTTGAGTCATAACAGAAAAATCTCGGCATCAAAATGTGAAAAAGATGAGCCATGTTTGTTGACGATTGGAGCTCGCTGGGACTCGATCCATAGCCCTTGGACAAAGTGAGGTTTGTTAAGATAAATTACCATACACCCAGGGGATCAGCTGTACAAAAGAACAGCCTCATACACTCGCATGGGCAAAAAGAGATGATAGCTAAGCTTGGTTTCGATCCAAGGTCCTCCGGGTTATGAGCCCGGCGCGCTGTTGTGAGTTAGTGATGAGTTCAAGAGCTTGAGTGTGCTTGAATATTACGAACCTTCCGCTGCGCCACTCAGCTGGGCAAGTTCGATTGAATCGATCTGTTGACTCAGTTAATTTTTGATAAATAAATATAGCCCTGTCAAAGCCAGACACAGTAGTCATGCAATATTTACCAAGTGCTTCTCTACAGACTAAGGCAAGTACCTAAAGTAAAGTCAGGGAGATGTGAATATACAAGCTCGCCTCGCTTGCCAGAAAACAGATTCATATCTACATTAGCTATCAACATCAATTTCTCCATTCCTTGCATCCCGGTTCTTCCTTTGTTCCTTCATTCGGGCCCACAGAACCTGGTGCTGCTTTCGCATCTTTTGGATCCTTCGCCTTCCTTTTGTCTACTGTACTGTTGTATCTCTCGACCGTCCCTTCCACCGGCTTGCAGTGCAACCAAATCTCGTCATCTGGTGAACCGCCTCCCTCGGTAATCCTCCTGCGCGCCATCTTTCTTGCCAATCCGGGAGCCACGCGCCACGTAAATTCGTGCGGTATGCGCAACCTGGCAGCCGTCCACTTCTCGTCTTTCGGTTTGTGTAAATCTACTTGGGGGATATCCTCGAGATGATGAGTCTCTGTTTGCAACAGCTCCTCATTTGGGAATGCCTTCTTGATGCGAAGTGGTATTGATGGCATCACCATCTGTAGGAACTCTAGTGATGCGTTGACGTTGATATCCAGAGCCCGTTCGGGATCGGCGCTTGCCTTCAGAAGCAGTGAACAGACGTTAGGGTACAATAACGAAAAGTCGGACTGTGAGACATGTATCGTTCCACGGACAGTCATGAGCCATGCTGGACATGGGTGAGCTTCCTCTACCAGATTCGATACAAGGTCGAAGTTGGATGGCCAGTATGTGAAAGCTTCCGAGTTGATGGCAAGAAGTGGTGCTTGTATTTTCTGGTCTTCCTCGGCTGCTGGTCGTGTGCCACTTCTGTAAAGCAACAAAGTCAATACAGATCTGTGGTTGGGAGGTATCTGACTTACCCNCCAGATGTCGTAAATAATGCCTTGCGCAACCCAGTGGAATCGTTTCTCGTGCCTCAGCATATCCACCACAGTTGCCGCGCCGAAGGAGTGTCCAGCAGCAATGACGAATTGAGTGTTGACCCTCTCTTTCCAGGTTGCCCAATCGACACCGTCTAGACCGTGAGTACTCGAAGCCTTGTAGCCCTTCTGGCGCATGTTCTTCGCGGCAACTTCTTCACCTCTACCGGCGTTGATGATGTGTATGATCTTGTAAGCCTCTTCGATCTCTGCCAAGCGCAGATCCAGCTGACCTCCTCTAAGTTCACGATCAACACCCTTATCGTTGGTCGGGCTTGTATCCATAGGGTTGTCTTCTGCTGTCAGTACTTATGTGGAGCACTCAAGGACAACTAGAACGAACCTTTNTGGAAAGAGGTAATNCCTGTTAATGCGTTAGCCAGAGGGGCCCAATATTTCTCCGAGGTTGATACTTACAACCACGTCGTAGTGCGTATCCTCATGCTTTCTGTGATGTTTCTGTGGGTCTCGTCGCTCACTAGCCTGGTCGAATCGGACCTCATCAGTTCCAGGTTGGTTGATAAAGCTCCGAGGCCCACTACCATCTCGATGTTCCAATGCAATTACGACGAACCCATAACTCGCGANACTACAGTAGGTCAGTCGCGTCACTTGACGAGAGATGCTGAAATTGCCTACCTCACCGCAAACACTCGAGTAAGCAGTCTTGGTGCCTCCCAGCCCATGACTGAATATCATCAGAGGAAACTTTGGTGGAGCGTCCGTAGGCTCGTCCTTTTCGTCTGGATCCTCGTCCTCCGTGGTCTCACCAGACTTTTGATTTGCTTCTCCAGGCTCGCTCGGCGATTTAGGAGGCCACTGAGAGGATATCGGAGCATTTCGAAATGCCGGAAGCTTTGTGAACATTGTGGGCAGGAACACTGCCACACCAAGAGGTCCGACGCTGGCGAACTGCCCATAACCTGTTGCCATACTGAGTCGAGGCCGACCTAGCCATAACTGTCGAGAGGGCCGTTTCTTCTGAGGTGGAGACGCCGGGTAGTATATTGTCAATAGCACAGTCTTCAATTGCAGTACGTGATTTCCTTTTCGCGTGATGTTGGTAAATGTTCGAGGATTCTCGACAGGCACTTCAATCTCCATGGTTCCTACAGAGTATGGTCCGGAATATGCTGGCAATGCTCTCACCGGCAAGAGCATGGTCTCCCGCAACGATTTGGGCTGACGAGCCTTGGGTTTCTTGGGATTCCGGACTTTGCCATTGCCAGACAAGAAGCCATGGCTAGGAGCCGGCGCTTTGCTCTTGTTTCCAGAAATCCATGGTGGTAAAGGCATTCGAGCCGATATTATGGCGCGTTATCCGGTAATCCAAAAGTCCCCCCGGGTCTGCAAGGGCGCGTGTGGGGATTGTGTGAGAGCGGCAGATCAGGGATGTCGATATGATTGGATTTTGTGACAAGATTTCGTAAGAAAGTGATGGAGGAGAGGAGATCAAAGACAGATGCATCCATTTGATCCTCCTATCTGTATAAACACTGCCACAATCGTGATAATTGAGTTGTTCGGCGCTCTCACTACCGCGGAGCCGCGGTGACGTCAAAAAGGTTGAAAATCTGTTTGAGATTTCGTGGAGAAGAGACATTGATTTCATTTCTCGGCCCGGCGGCCATACCACGAAAACAAGAGTCTGGCCCTGCTAGCAACCGGACAACAGGACGGAGTATCTGGCCTACTATTGCCCATTGTTCGAGAAAGTCGGTGTTGGCGGTCCTTCGAACACGACCTTCTATCACAATTTCTCGTTGAGCGCATGTGTGAAAGCACGTGGTCAAGCCGCTGTGACCCTTTGCTCCTGCTACTACTTTGCACTTGTAGTGCTCAGTCGGAAGGAGCGACTTCTCTCCTATTATCGCCGATGTGTTCGTACTTGACGTTTTGTTACCTCAAGTCTGTACATCGACGTGGCTATCCCATTGGGCTTGGTGACATCCGGAGGAGCCGGCGGAAGAGACAAGCAAAAGTCAAGCTTCCGCATTGCCTATGCTTCTACCGCCAAGAAAACCAGAAGCTTGAAGACGTGCCAAACATAACTTCATCCGACAGATGGAAGAAACACAGTACTTGTTGGACTGACTTTAGTTCGAGATATGGAGATTCTAACACTAGATTGATGGCTACCTGAGGCCAAGTCCTACTAACTCCAAGTGGTATCTCCAGATTGGAAAGATTGTTCGAGACTCCATTGCGAGCAAAAGGAATATTATAGTCAAATCATAGAAGCAAATTACAGCTGCCTGCTCATTTGAGGGAAGCTCATGTGCCTTGGTGCGACGGTCGGCGAGTTCAAAGGACTTGCGTAAGAACCGGGGATAGGCACAGACTCGTAAACCCGTTCGCCAGGAGCTGCAGCAAAGTGTTCTTGCTGTTGTTCCGTAGGCTGTGCTTGAATTGGTGAAGGTGACCTCGAATCTGCTGGTGAGGTGTAGTTGAGGGGAGTGAAGCCTGTCTGCTGAATCTTTGGTATCGAACCCTTGGTAGGGGGTGGCTGTAGTACGAACGGCTTAGGAGCTGGGGGTTGTTGAGAAGCATCAACATATCTGACACCCTCATCTTCCACCGGTCCAGCTTCGACCGATGGACCGGCCTTATAGAAGTCGACAGGCGGCCTCCAACCGCCGTCTCTCGGGCTCAGAGGCCCATTCAGACCAGGTGTGTTTGGTGCAGATTGAGAACGCAGCTGGGCAAGATAAAGATCCGAGCGAGCGCGGTCACGCACAGCCATGGACTTGCGCAGCTTCCTCTTGGACCAGATACGATAGAACACGAACGAGTAACAGCCGATTGCACAAAGCTCGACCACGATCTCGATCACTGCACACACCAAAGACCAGTTCTGCAAACGGCAGACAAGGGCGTAGTCGACATCATCAGCGAAAAGTTCCTTGCGCTTGTTCTCCTTGCAGGACCAGCCCCAGAGATCTTGTCCGTTGCTGTTGGTTCGAGTGGTATTGAGAATACCGGCGCCGATTCCCCACATGACGACGCTGAAGGCGAAGAATCCAACAGCGAAGACAGTGTAGTAAGTTTGGACCTTCTCAGCTCTCTTGTGTCCGCCTTTGCAGTAACCCCAGAATATGCCAATACAGAATACCATCGATATACATGCAATGACGAGTAGAACGATCTGAGGCCATGGACTCGTACCGACAGCCCATGGAGGGAGGTTACTTCGAGGCGATAGCTTCTTGGTTGCGTTGAAAATTGCGAACGTCGTTCCAAGCATGGACAAGACGATTAGAGAGCATGCGAAATTGATGCTTCTCAAAAACATCTTCGCCGCTCGAACTCGTGTTTTGATTTTCTGATTGACATGTATGTCAGTGATGTGTGCGACTCATGTTCCCATGTTCAGTACTCACAANNGATCCTTAGCTTGCTCCTTTTCAGTAGCAAGTTCTCTCTTCTCCAAGACATGCTCCTCTCGGAAGGTGGGGCTCATGAGGTTACCAAAGTTTCTCGGAGCCATTCCAGGCGTCTTCATTGCACTCTTCAGAGGCGGGCTCAAAGGTGCCTCGTTTCTACCTCGAGGTAGATAGTTGTTGTCTGTGTCTTCCATTTCGACTGTTACGTGCGAAGTGTGCTTGTCATCAATATACCCAAATCCGATGTCAGATGGCTGTGGCTGCGGTCGAAAGTGGCTGGTTGGTACAGCTATGAAAGACGATCGAGGTGGGTCGATGGGTGAGTTGACGGTCGTCGCTTCGGCGAAACGAGCGACTCGTGGAGATTTGAAGGACGAAGCGAACGAGTTCGTGGACTGAGCTCGAGGTCTTGAGGGGTCTCTATCTGTGGGTACTTGACTGCCGTTGGTACTCATGCTTCCAAAACCAATATGGGGCTGACGTGAGATGGTTCCAGAGGATATCAGAAGGAAACACTGATCGAGAGCCCAGCTCAATGCTTTTCTGTTTGCAAGACTAGGAGAAATATATTGGGGGAAAACAAAGTACAGTAAAGGTATACAGCATACGGTGCGGAGGAATATGGAGAGGATGGTGCAGGAGATGGCAACCTTTTGACACCTTAAACGCCCGAAGCCATAGGTAGTCAGATTTGGGGGCTGGCTCGTAGCGCCAACCGATGTGCAACCCCAGTACAAGAAAGATGAGCGGTAACTGACCTCTTACAGATGCTGATTTGTGCCGCTGATAGGTCAGAGTTTGCTTGTGAGGGGCTGGTTTCTAAAATAGGCGCTTGGGATCTGATCGACCACGCAGCGGAGAGCCTTGTAAATAGAACGCTGACACGTGAACCAACAATATAAAAGCACGAGTTGATTTGACCCGAGATGTGCTAGACGAAGAAGACGGTGCAGGCAAATTCGTGACCCGTTCTCGATGTCGAAAAGCACTGCTTAAGAATGGTCAAGCTCTCGGAATGGCAAGTTTGCCATTGTGATTCTGGAGTGTAAGCGCCCATGGCAGTACAAGTCACACCAAGGTGCATGGTCTGGAGTCGAGACGACATGCAGGTAAGCTGTGAAGAAGCGGAGGTGATAGCGAATAGCAGGCGAGAGCTGCCAGCCACGGAATTCCAAGCGCTTACAGCACAAATCGCTTACTCTCTCGGCTCATGTTATACCCATGTATACCATGGCGATCAGAGGTGAAGGAGCGACGGTTCTGATTGGGACCGCAACATGGTTGCTGGCGATGTTGTTGGAAACTTGCGATGCCAGGGCAGTGCTGGAAAGAAGGGCGCACTGCAGGAAGAACCTCGGCATCCTCGAGCTTGAAGATCGACAGAGACCCTTGAGATGTAAGAAACCTTCTCATTCACACAATGAGCACTCTATAACAGAGCTCAGCATGACCTAGCGATGAGGACGGATAAGACCGCTATGTTCCAAAGTATCCTGGGAGAGCTGTGTGTTCTACGAGACCAGCAATCGACATTTGCTCCTTCCACATCAAGGCAATGACAGCGGCATGACATCGAAAGGCAGGTGTAAGTGCTTGTGGGCGAACATCGTGCTTGCCAACTTCTCGCATGCTTCTATTTCCCCCATCTCAACTCAAACAAACTCCCTGATCTGTCCATCCATCACCAAGTCTTAGCAATCCTTCTTACATATACCATAATCCATCCATTCGTACACTCCCTGCAATGCTCTCCAACACCAACCCCGCTACTAGTACACCCAAGAGCACCAATCTCAGCATTACTAGCTATGCTCTGAAGGGCCCACCACTGGACTTTGAGCCTGACGTTCACATCAATGCCCGTCGCCTCATCAATCCACCAACTGAGCTCCGCAAAGCCTTGGATGGTCGTTGCGAGGGCCTCCGCAAAGACCTACGCGCAGATCCCGCCTTCCACCAACTGCTCGCCGAAGCCCAACCCCAGATCTTCGAGGCCGAGGANGACAAAAGAGCTTTAATATTCAACACCCAAGACCACAGCGTCCACCCGGTTGAAGTCAAGGTCGCTGTGGCCTGCGTCAGGGGACGCCATCGCAGCACAGCCGTTGCTGAAGAGCTGGCCAAGCTACCCACATGGCCAGAACACTACGACGTTGGACTTTACCATCGCGATGTCGATACGCCCCACCGCTACCAGAAATGGCACCAGCAAAACTTGGAACGTGAGCAGAAGGGCGAGGCCGTTGACCTTCACCATCATGGTGTTGAGAGCGATCTGGACGACGATGACGATGAAGACGATCATGTCGACAGCCCTTATCACGACAGTAAGGCCTAGGAAGACTTGCAGCGCGACGAGGGTGAGCTTCGAAGCACTGCTTGGTGGGAGGACTGCAGACATGAGTTGACCAACATGGACAGCAGGGACCATCTCAGACCCGAGAGCTCGTCTGATCCACACAACCCCTTGCACATCCCCTCTGAGCACCACAAAGGTGCTGCCGACACTCAGACACATTTATCTCCACACCGTTCGCCTCAAGAGCATGGAGCATCTGTTCTGGGCCAGATAGCAAGACCTCAGCACAACCCACCTGAGAAATCTGGACATCCTGTCGAGACGCAGACACATGCTGCTCAGCACACCACGCTGGTGAAACTCGAAACACCTGCCATTGCTCAGCAGACTACCCAGCACAACTCATCCGGGAAGCTTCAAGAAATTGTCGATACCCAGGCGCAGCATCCACAGCACACATCGCTTGAACAGTCTGACGGACGTACTGAAGCACAACAGATCCCCCAGCACACTGAGAAGCCCGAAGCACCAGCCATCACTCAACCGCCAGTCATTGCTCAGCTACCAGTCGTTACGCAGCCAGCACCGGTTGTCACACAGCCACAGAGTGTTCAGCCCGTTGCACCTGAGAAGCCCATAACTTCTGTCTCGAGCCAGACTCAGACTCCGCAGCACATCTCATCTGAGAAGCACGAAGCACCAGCCGCTACACAACCACAGACCTTTCAGCCTATTCCAACCGAGAACCCTGATAGTTCTGTCGTAAGCTCGATGCAGACTCAGCAGCCTGTCTTGGTCGAAAAACATGAAGCAGCTACAGAGCATCAATCAGAAGCATCTCCACATAACGCACCTGACAAGCCAGTCGAGGCTCAGGCACCGCCAGATTCTCAGCACATCTCATCCAGGCCTTGAGTATGGTGATCATATGAAGCATGACGCGTGGATTGAGAGTCTCATAGATAGCAACCTAATACCTACATCATAGAACCCCGTGTTCTCACCTAACACCTACATCATCGAACCTCGTGTTCTTTAGTCTGCGTCCTTAGACGTGACTTGAATATGTCAACGCATTCTGTCCTTTGCCGGCCACGAGTTTGGGAACGAAACCTTCGCACAAGCCGTAGATTCAAGCTTTGATGCTACCGCGCGCAATCTGTATCGAGAATTGAAGTGACAGTCAGGTAGAGAACGCCGTCCAATGTTCTTTTGAAGCCCTGCTCGAATTGTACAAGTAGAATAATACATACGGAAAATACATCTTACATCTAAAACGTTCACAAGAGTCCTCTTAGATGCGAGTCTTGACAGTGCCCTTCTCGAGCTCGCCAATGATGCCGCCACCACTCAATGTCCACTTCTCCGCGACCAAGTTGTCGTTGACGGTTTGACGCAACATACCGCTCTTGGCGTAGTACTCCATGATGCTGCGGGCCTCTTCTCTGGTCAATCCCTTGATGTGCCAGACATCGACGCCATTGAGGACGTCAATGGTTCGCTGGTCAACCTTGACCCAAGAGTCCCACTGTGGAGCCTGTTTCTTTTGTGCGAGAGCGGCGTTGCGAGCGATTGCGTGGTCGAAACCGGGGATTGTGGGTCTGTTGCTGCCCGAGTCCGTGGCGAAGACCATGCCACCGTTGGCAAGGGCTTGCTTGCCCGACAGCAACTTGAAAAAGTGGTTCACGATTGCCAGGTCGTGGGCGTGGATGGGCTGGACTTCGGGATCCATGTATGCCGAGTCGCGCATGACGTGTGCGATGGAGTCGACGGTAAACACCACTGGAGGACGGGCAAGGCCTTCTCCTTCTTGTGAAGCAGCCGTCAACTCAGTCCACAGTGCATTGTAGATTTCGCAGGCGATTTCCGGGTCTTGGGCGCCCATCATGGCGAATCGGTCGAGTGAGATGTTTGATTGCACGGGGATGGAGAGCTCGTGTTGTTGGGAGAGGCGCAGTTTGGAGAGGACGGTGTGGTTTGCTTTTGCGATTTGGCCGAGTAGGGCGGCGGTGAAGTGGGGTTGGTTGTAGATGCCTGGCTCGGAGGAGGGTGCGTAGGATGAGTTTCCGAGGATGAGCTCTTTGGCNNTGTGGTGAGAAAGTTAGCATATCTCCTTCCTTGACTGGGATCGGTAGTCCTTACCTTCGGGGATGTGTACGACAATCCAGCCCTTGAGCAGAGCCATGGCTTTGGCCTGCAGAGCCAAAACACTCTTTCCCGAGCCACGCTCTCCGTATATGACACGACGCACCGAAGTCTTGTTGGCCTCGACATCCTTCATCAATCCAGCAAGCTCGGCCGTCTCCTTGCGCACCAGAGTAGCCGGTCTTCGGAAGAGGCTCCATCCTTGGGTAGGCTTGAAGGCCTCGGTCGCGCGCAGAGCATCAATGACTTCGTTGCTCAGCCCCATGACCTGCCCCTCGATGGCAGCATCGTAAATGTTGGTGGCAGAGAAGTTGTCGAGACCCTGTACCTCGACGGCGTTGGTGTTGGACAGGACGACTCTCTTGCGCATGGCCTTGCGCTCGCCCTCGCCCGGCGGCTTGCCCGTTCGTCCTCCAGGCTGTCCCTTGCGGATTTTTCCTTGGGCCTTGCTAAACGAGGCGTTGGCTCCACGGCCGGGCTTGACGACCGAGACGCTCTTCTTCTTGACGGCAGAGTTGGCTTCCAGCGCGGCGCTGGTCGAGAATGCGGCTGTTGCTTGTGCGCTGATTCGTAGTGAGCTCTGCTCTAGTGCGCCTGCTGCCGGCCTGGCCAGGCACCGCAGACAGATTGATCCAGACATGCTTTGCGACAGAAGACGGGCTACCTATACCATGCCTGCTTGTGCTCGTGCCCGTCGACTTTCAAAAGTCCGCCGCACCTGCCAAGCCGAATCGCCGACTCCGCGACTTTCACAACTTTTTGTGCAATAACTTCCAGGAGAATACAACAGTCACGCATATCGATCAGTCACGCAAGCAAAGGTAGATGTATGTGTTTGAACTGTGTTTTTATTCTTGTCGTCGTCAAATTTTTAAAAAGGGGATATAACGTGTGCGCAATAAGAAATTCCTGGCCGTCCTCTGTCCTCTATCACTCCAGTATCATCGAATGCAGTACTTTACATGTTGACAGAGGTGCGGAACTTGGTACCGGCGTAGACGGCGTTGTCACCGAGCTCCTCCTCGATACGGAGGATCTGGTTGAGCTTGGCGAGACGCTCAGATCTGGCGGGGGCACCGGTCTTGATCTGGCCGGCGCGGAGACCGACGACAATGTCGGCAATGGTGACATCCTCGGTCTCACCGGAGCGGTGAGAAACCATGACACCCCAGCTGGCACCGAAGGCGTCCTTGGCGGCCTGGATGGCCTCGGTGATGGTACCGATCTGGTTGACCTTGAGGAGGAGGGCGTTGCAAGCCTTGGTCTCGATGGCCTTCTTGATGAAAGAGGGGTTGGTGACGGTCAAGTCGTCACCGACAATCTGGTGGTCGTAGACCTTGGAGAAGTAGGTCCAGGCCTCCCAGTCGTCCTCGGCGAAGGGGTCCTCGATGGAGACAATGGGGTACTTGGAGGCGAGCTCCTTGTACTGGTCGGCGAGCTGCTCGTAGGTAACCCACTTCTCGGGGTCCGACTCGGGGTTCTTGAAGTCGAGGTCGTACTTCTTGGCGTCGACCTTGTAGAACTCGGACGAGGCAACGTCCATGGCGATGTTCATCTTGCCAGTGTAGCCGGCCTGCTCGATGGCCTCGGTGATGAGCTGGAGAGCCTCCTCGGCGGTCTGAATGTCGGGGGCAACACCACCCTCGTCACCAACGTTACCAGCAGACTGGCCGTACTTCTTCTTGGCGAGGGACTTCAGCTTCTGGTAGACCTCGGCACCCCAGCGCATGGCCTCGGTGAAGGTAGGGGCGTCCCTGAAAGAAGATAGTCAGCCAACGCTCGATGGAGAATACTCTTGATGCAGAACTTACGAAGGAACGATCATGAACTCCTGGAAGGCGAGACGGCCACCGGCGTGGGAGCCACCGTTGAGGACGTTCATGAAGGGAACGGGGAGGACGTAGGGCTTCTTGGTGCCGGCAAGGTCGGAGATGTGGGCGTAGAGGGGGACACGCTTCTCGGCGGCGGCGGCCTTAGCGACGGCCATGGAGATACCGAGGATGGCGTTGGCACCGAGCTTGGTCTTGTTGGTAGTACCATCGAGCTTGTTCATGAAGTTGTCGACGGCGCTCTGGTCCTTGACGTCAAGGTTCTCCTTGATGAGGGCGGGAGCGATGACATCGTTGACGTTGGCGACGGCCTTGAGGACACCCTTGCCACCCCACTTGGTCTTGTCGCCGTCACGGAGCTCGCAGGCCTCGTGGGAACCGGTGGAAGCACCGGAGGGGACGATGGCGCGGTGGAGACCAGTTTCCTGCAGTCAGAATCAGCATTTTAGCCTCCAATTGCTTGATAGGAAAAAAAATACGGTGACGATATCGACTTCCACAGTGGGGTTACCACGAGAGTCGTAGACCTGGCGGGCGTGGATCTTCTGGATAGGCATGATGCTGGAAGAGGGTGTGTTAGTCGAGGGGTCAGGATGCGGTCAGGGTGAAGATGCGGGGTCCTTTGGAAGATCTCTCTGAGCAGACAAGGCTGTAGCTCGAAGACGATGTTCAATGCTTATAGAACAGGGTCCTCGGCTATAGCAGGTCCAAGCAGGGCCATGTTGAGGGCCGGAGGAGTGCTGTCTTCGGGCAGAAACGGAGAGCTCAAGCTCATGGTTCAAGATCCCCGACCAGGCCCCGCAATTGACGACCGTGTCAAGCTCCTAGAGTATCCGGGGAGGTGGAGGAAGGTGTTCTCTTACATTTGTGATGTGGATTGTGGATGTAGAGAGGGAAGAGAGAGATGGCGGTGGTGGACAGCAGGACTTTTTGAGCCCTCAACCCCTCCTAAGCACCCAACAAAGCTGCTGAGCCTGAGCACAGGCCATCGGACTTCGACTCACTTTCTTCACGTTTCCAGGCTGCTGCCCGCCGTGATCGGGCCGAGAGAGCTGTTGCTATCTTGCTTGCTTCACCTGTCCGTCACGGCACTGACAACATCAATTCATCTCTGTTCTGCTCATACCACGGCCACAACGTGATGTCCATCTGCTGAGCTTTACCGCCAGCCGCAGAACCGCCTCGCTGTTGGGACTATCAATTGCGTGTCCCGCTCTGCGTGCTGTCATCTCTTTGCTTGTTTTCCTGATCGTATCTGTATGTGTTCCGGCCTGAGCGGAGATTGCTCACACTCCCGGCAGCTCGCACCCGTGTCGCAACCACCATGTATCACTGGCGGCCACCTCCGTTGTACAAAGTCCGAACATCGCATTCTATGACTGGTTTCGTGTCTATAGGATGAACATTCTGACGCCTTGGGACGTTGCCAAAGAGTGACTCACCAGTTTTTCTCGCCGAGGCTGCATTCAACCTTCTTGAGCGTCTGAACAAATAATCATAGGCCTGCCACATTATCGCACCTGATACTACAATTGTCGTCAATGCGACATCAAAAACGACTGGAAAACTCTCCAATTGACTGACAACAAAGGTTCATAAAAGACACAAAAGCACCAACGTATAGACAAGAATCTTTGATACCAGCAAGGTTACTACATCCAAAGCAACATCCTTATCATTTTGTTTCGATTTCCTCAGAAAACATGCCAGAGGTGCAGTATCTCGCCCTCCGACAACGCGAAATATGCAAATGAAAGAATGGAAAAAATGAAGAAGGGGTCGGCTTGGGCAAAACCAGCTATGGCCAGTCCCAGCTAATATCTAGGAACGAATCACTAGTCATCTAGCTTAAAAGATTGCATCTAGTAGACTTGACCGGGAGCATCACCCCAACCGTTCCAGATGTGAGGGTGGTACTTCTTGCCCCAAGAGCTGAAGGCAGGGTCGCGGCGCTCGAAGTTGTTGAAGTTGGCCTTCTCCTCCTCCTCAGGAGAGAGGCCGGTCTCAGCAGGCTTGGCAGCTCCGGTAGCAGAGGCGGTGCCAGCGGCCTCGGCATCACGACGGTAGACCTGGCCAGGGGCATCGCCCCAACCGTTCCAGATGTGAGGGTGGTACTTCTTTCCCCATGAGGAGAAAGCAGGGTCGGCCTCACGACGGTAGACTTGTCCAGGAGCGTCGCCCCATCCGTTCCAGATGTGAGGATGGTACTTCTTGCCCCAAGAAGAGAAGGCAGGATCNNAGCCTCGGGCTGAGGTTGGGGTGCAGGGTTGGCCTCGGCGGCAGGGGGAGGCCATGGCGACAGTGGCCAGACCGGCGAGTGCGACGGTGGTGAACTTCATGACGAACGTCGAGTTTGTTCAAGGAAGAGAGTGTGAGGGAAACTCAGATGGCGAGTGGTTGATCAGTCGATGGAGATAAGACCTCTTTTATGTTTCTTCGCTGATCTGTTTAGCGTTGCAACAGTATATCAATAAGACTTGACAAAGGACCACACATGAGCCTGGATTACACTCTCGACAAGAGCAGGCCTTGACCTCGTGAGACTCGACGACTCGACAATAGCGTCTCAAAGGATGTTTCCCTAGAAGATGCATGCGACACACGATAAGGAAATTGGCAAGGCAACATTACTCGTAAATGCAAAAGGGGCGGACTCGGCAGTTCGAGATTCGACACCAGGGACTGTCTTGGACACACATCTTGCTTTGTACGCCATAATGAATGCCGTTGGATGGTTGACAAAAAGTGTTTAGTTGGCGTTGTCTTATTACGCCGAATTCTAGCATCAATAAGCTGGGTTGCACTTCCGAATTTGGTGCTCAATAACAAAATCCTCCAACCTCGAAAACCGCCAACCAAATACCTTGCCTGGGATATCCGGCTGATTAGTACGTATGTTCTTTTCTGATGTTCGAATAAGATAGAGTGCTGTGGTTGATCGAAATTGCACCACGATTCGCCAAGATTGTCACTGGTCCTTGATAACCTCACCTCTCATGCGTTAATCAAAGAAAATCTCTTACTGCGTGAACAAAACTCAACAGGCAACTCATCATGATGAGAGTGTGCGGATGAGACCAGTGATGATTCAGAACATGCCTTCCAAACCACTGATGCATTCGAGGACGATCATAGTATCGACTGTCATAACTCCTGATCTGCGCAATAAAACAACTAGAAGCAAAACATCATCACTCAAAAAGAGCAAAAAACCAGGGTGGTCCTACGAACCTCTCTGCCCTGGGACAAACGACCTTGAAGAAAGTGCGAAACTTTCAACCTCGTCACTGATGGGAATCGAACCCTCCGGCCAAATAGTTTACAGCTCACCCGATTGGATGTTGAAGACTTAGGTGTTTGTATTCATGGCGTTTCAGGTGTATGGTATTACCACTACACCATTCAGGACACTACTTGGAGAAAATGCAGATTGAGGAGTTTGTAAGAGGTGAAGGGTGAGAAGTGAGGATTTGGTTGATCTGACATGTGAAGAACGTTACTATAACAATGGCAGTATTATGTTCACTGCATTGGCTGTATTTTCCAGGGAGATACACACTGTAGGCGGATCCGAATGCTCTGTCTCTGATGTAAGTGATTCCTCTCGTCGTCAAAACTCTAGATTTATGCTGTGCTGTGCTGAACCGGATAGGAATGATTCCATCGCTTCTTCCATTTTGATATCGCACGAAGCGTAGAAGCCGCCTCGCATGGCCGGACCAACACAGCCGTACTCTCTGTTCGCGTTCTCCATCGACTCTCCATCCAAGCATATGATGCTCAGATACCAAAGAGACGCGACCTGATCGGCGAGCCCACAAATGTAGCTGGCTCACATCAACGTTCTGCCGAACGATATCTACCTGAATTATATTGGACTCGGCTTCCAACCGAAGTCCTTCGTTTAGCCCATACCGCGCTCTTCGATCGTGGAATCTGCATGCCAAGTTGCCGATCTCAAACCGTCTATCAGCTCTCTGTCCGAACGAACAGTCTTCCAATACCAGGGAAATGGAGGCCAACCTGTAAGCATCCCAAACTAGCGCACTGCCAAATATCTCAAGGTACATCGCCTCCGCTCATCCTTCAAGCACGATAGTTGGGCAAAGTCGAACAACAGGTCAACCACGCCTGAGTCTTGCATCCTCGCAATCTCGAAGTGTTGCAAGATGGTTTACAACAGCACTCAAACCACAGTCTCGAACCAAGGAGAATGCGCTCGGCTCCTCGTCGCACGTAAAACCTCAGCTCAGCGAGACGAATCACAACTGATTGACAATACAACAAGTGCCTCGACCTACCCCGATCTCAAGACGTATCACGGACAGCCACACAGACGAACACAATCCAAGCTCACGTCCACATCCTGATCTTTACCATCTTGAACCAAACATCAGCTCCCACCTCACCACCAGTCTTCAGATACGCCACCCACACAAGTTCTCCAGAAGAAATGACTCCCCTCACAATCATCAACCTCATCAATAACCTCTTCCGCCTTCATCAAGTGATCCAACTCTACCAGGCCATGTGCCTTCTCCTCGCCATCTTCGGCGTCTTCCCGGGTCTCCCTATCTTTGGCATATTGACTGGCATGCTACTTGCCTCTCTCTTCCCTTCCATCACCGACTCTGACATGGCCTTATATGCGCCTATCCTTGTTGCTGTATACTTGATTGTCTACCGCCTGACCGGCACCAGAATCTTTGCTGTTGTCAGTACCAAGGAGGGATGAGGCGGTTGATGATAATGATTGTGGAAAATAGAGATCTTCTGAAAAAGGGTATGGAGTGCTGCAATAGTATGTTTTGGATCGATCGTTTGCTAATAAGATCAGCTGCTACCAGGTCGATCACAACGAGGCATGAGGCACCCGAACATAAGGAACTCGGGTACATGCTAGAATGATGGGACAACAAAACACTCGTTGACGAGCAGCTCAGAAGCGAACACCAGGAAGCAAGGCAGGAATGTGGATTCAGATATCTCGATACACTCAGAGAGCATAAAATTGAAGACAAAAATATTGGTCCAGCCTCTCTTTATAGGCTCCCCGTGTAGTTATCACAACGCACAGTATTTTCACAGCACAGAGGGATATCCGCTGACAACCGTGATTCTATCATCTCCCTCTAGACTTGTCACTATTTTCGGAAGACCATCGTGCATTTTTATACGGTATGTCTAGCCGTCATACGGCGACGGAGATCCAGCCAAGGTTACTGAAGACCCAGAACCGCTTCCTCTTCCACTTGAATGTACAACCGAAGCATACGTACGAGAAGGCGCGCTTGCCTTGCTAGCGAGCTCACCAAAGCCCACATCCAGATCGCCATCATCATCATCATCATCATCATCATCATCATCATCATCATCGCCAATCTCGACAAATCCAGGAGACGTTTCCCTCGAGTTTGAGGGAGCGATGGACTCGGAAAAGATCTGTGTAGGTGATGGATACCTTTGCCATTGTCTTTAGACTTTCCTCTTCCTTGTCTGGCTCTTCGATCCTTTTCTTCTTTTGTCGCGGTCCGCGAACGGTGGGTTGCTGGATTGGGCATCTGGCTCTTGGCTTGCCAATTGATGTGACAGGGCGGTTTGACGCATACAGTCCGTGAGAGATGTCCTGCTGGATTGGGCAACTGGCTCTTAGTCTGCACTTGTGCGTGACAGAGCGTGCTTACCTTTGCGAGATTTTGGAGTCGGGAGTGGTTGGCTTGTGTTCCGTGTCGAGGAGACTGGTTTGGGCGTTTGGGTCGAGCGACATTTCGATAGTGACAGGTTCGTTGCCTGTCAAAGTGATGGTTTGACCGGATGGTAACTGGATGTTGATGTGGTCGTGGGTTGCAGTAACCTTGAATGAGGCAGCAATGCCCGAGATGTTGATGTGCGCCATATCTGTAACTTTGTAGTTGAATAGTTGCTTGAGGTTGGCGTTTTAAGGCCAGAATGTGTTTGGGAAAAAACTGGACAAGAAGAGCAGAGGAAGAAAGGACAGTTGTTCGGTTCTGTGAGTAATCGATGCCACGTTCTTCCACGTGGACGAGAAGACAGAAAAGTGACGATACATTTCAAGTTTCCTGCACACTATTTTTGCACATCATGGTCTGTACAGTAATAATGTGGAAGGTCAATATGTCCTGATATAGCTGCTGGTTGATGTTAAACGTTGATCGAATAGTGATGCTTTGCTGGGTGCATCTGGAGAAGGTATGGTCAAAGTAGAAGCCTGCGATGTATCAGCAGTCGCAACAGCCGGATACCTTTTTCCCCTTTGATGTAAGTATAACCATACGTCCCTTTATAAAGCTGTCTTCAGGTCAGATGAACAATTCCATCAACATACCAAGTTTGACATGAGATTGTTGAGGATGGATGGCAAGATATCAGACGTCTTGGCTCTTCTATGTTCTTTTTGCGGTCGTGCATCGCAAGGGAAGCGCCTGCCTACAACACCGATCTCTGTCATATCAATAAGCAGCTGGAGGGATAAAGGAAACCACTTGAAGTGTTGAGAGGGAAGCTACAATACAATCCACTCGTCAGGCCTCGGCTCGGATAGCTTGTGGCATGTTTGACTTGCTCTTTTCCGGTTCTTGGTATTGGGCTGGACAACTCCGATTGACACATCAGTCTCGCTCAAGAAAGGAGAAGAAGACAAAAGAGAAAAGACACAGCAGAAGAAAGAAACAGAATAGAAACGTAAAACGTCATGTGAAGATTTCATCTTTTTTAACATTCGCTAAAGAAACATATAAAAGTGCCAATGGCGAGAGGTAGAGTAAAGCAAAGCAAACTACAACATGACAACACCCACGCCACCGCGCTGTCTAGCGTCCACTTGGTTCTTGGTATCCACTCCAGAAGGCAAGTCTGCGGTACGGTAGTTGAAGAGGTAGTAGTGCAGTTGGCCGTCTCCGGGGCCGAACTTCTGGTCGGAGAGGAAGAGGGNGTTGTCGAGGAGAGTAAGGGCGTTGAAGACGTCGAATTTGGCNNCTTTGATGGAAGTTAGTGACGTTCTTCGATCGAAGGATGGAATTAAGGAGTGAGGAGGAAGGAAAGGGTAAAGACTTGCCTGTTTAGCGAGAATCAAGGCGTCCTTGACCAGCAAGTTGAGACGAGCCTTGAGAACCTCATCATCATCATTCTGAGTCTCGAAAGCACTTTCCGTAGCATAGTAAAACAGATACGCAGCACGAATCGTGCTCGAATGGCTGGCATTGTGAATAACCGAGCTCTCGAGACAGTAGAAGCTGAAAAAGTCTGTGATTTTCTTGTTGGTGTCTTCGACGACGTAGGTCCAGACGACGCGCTTGTTGCTCTTGGGGTCGGTTTCTTTGTCGAGGAACCAGTGGAGAACTTCTTCCTTGTTGAATTCTTGGGCCATTTTGACGCGCTTCATGTAGCGTTCGAGTAGGGAGGTGACTTGGTCGGCGTCTTCGGCACGCATGAGGCGGAGGCCGGGTGTTACGGTGCGTTCGGGGAGACGGTACTTTGAGATCTGGCGCATCTTTGTGCTGCCATGGGGGAGGGNGCTGAAGCCGACGTTGTAGAGCTTTTCCCAGTCGAGAGCGCGGTGGAAGTAGCGGCAGCTGGCTACAGGCTTGGGCAGGACAACACCAGCAGTGTAGATGGCCTGGTAGATGCCCTCGAGGTTGCAGCGACGAGTGATTTCCATGATGAGGACGGGAGCGAGACGCTTGCTGCGGAGCTTCTTGTGGACGCACAGGAAGTTGATCTCTGCAGTGTTGACAAGACGGTCACGGATGTTGAGACGCACAGGGACACCAGAGATGAAAGCGACCAGCTTGTGTGACTTGGTAGCGCGCACACCGACGTGCCATGACTTGCGCCAGCCAGGAGCCTTGAGGGCCCAGTTGAGCGTCTCGTTGAGGTAGTTGAAGCGGAACATGGCCTCGTCGTCCTCGACGTAGTGGTTGCAGAGCAACTCCTGAACCTCCTTCAGCTCGGCGTCGTCCAGTAGATCAATCTCTGACCACTCGAAGCCAGCGACCAGGGGNNGAGATGGCTTTGTCGAGACCTTGTCGGGGTCGACTTCCTTGATGGGGCCTTCTTGGACAGGCTTCTCCTGGGCAGCAGCTTTCTCGTCAAAGCGAGGGACGGGCTGGGTGGACCAGAACTTGTAGTCGGCCATGTCTTTTGCATTCTTTCCCGAGCTCATGCCCGTCATGAGGTCGGCGGCGCTGACAGACTTGAGCAGTTCGCGCATGCTGCGGGCGTCGAGCGAGGTACCGCCCTTGAGCATGGCCTGGGCCAGGGCCGGGTTGCTTTGTACCAGCTGGTTGATTTGCGAGTCGGACAGCTTGTCGAGGGTCGAGGCGGGCAGCGGGTCTTCGGCCGAGGTGGGCGCGACGGGGGACTTGGAGGACGAGGCCATGCTAGCGACGGCATCCTTGATCTTCTTCTTCTTTGACTTTTTGGCGGGTGCTTGTGTCGGGTCTTGGTTGTTGTCATCTGCACTCGACTCTGCGCCGTCCTTCACTGCCGACTGATGCTCGGACAGCTTGAGATGCTGGACGGCATCGTCCAGAGATTCCTGGTTGGTAGGAGCGTCTATGGGCTTCGACTCTTCTTGCGGCATGTTGGATGGTTGTGTAAACAAGTCGCTTGCCGCATGCGTGCGAAGCTCCAGCTGGCTGAGACCCTTGGAGGTTGGTCCTTGGTGGGGCTGCCTGCCTCTGTCTTCTTTCTCATCTCGACAATATACACCTCTTCACTTTCTCACATCACAACACCGCCATTCTTTTCTTCTCATCGGAAACTCGGCCTTTCCATTCGACCATCTCTGGAAACATGCTCAAAGCATTGTTGGCATTCGATCGTCCTTACTATCATCGCATTCTATTGTGCGCTTCTTCTCCCTCTCGAACATCAAACATACCACGAAACATGACCCCGAAGCTCCGAAAAAGCCATGGGCAAAACAGCTCGCAGCCAGAAATGCCCGTTACCGCAATGATGCAGCCTATCGCGATGAAGTGCTAGCTCGTAACAGAACCTATAGAGCAGAACAGTCTGATCGCTTCAAGCAATGCGTGAGCAAGTCGACCAAGCGCAGGCGTCAAGAAGATGCTGCCTGGTGTGAGCAACGCCGCAAATACAGTTTGGCCATGTACAAGGAAAAGTACACCAAGGACCCTACATATTGCCTGAGGAGACGCTTGCAACGGTGGGTCGCTCACCATCTTGATTTCATGTCAAGTCTGCCATGGAAGACGCACCGTCCGCTTTACTATCCCGAAAAGGTCCGTCACTTTTGTCAGGGCTGTAATGGTGAAAGACTCGACGGCTTGCGCTCGGGGTGGGTCAGGCTTGATCAAGACACGTACGACTGTCCTTCTTGCTACGTACAAGACAATGATGCAGCCATGCCAAAGGGCTACGAGGCTATAACGACTTGGAAGGACTTGATCGCCCGCAACAAAGAACTCACTGGACTTGCTGCAAAGGGCCAGTCACGGCCTTGATTGATTCATTTCTCTAATCCCAGTACTTGATCAAGCCATCCAACGCACCCGTAACAACCTTGGACGTCTCCTTGGGTTGCCACTGTGCAGCAACAACCGCAGACTCGCTCGCCTTGATCTTGTGCCACATCTTGCACGTCTTCCAGTCGTAGAAACATACGTAACCACCACTATCTCCGGACATGACCATGCCGCCGTCAGGGCTGATGGCCACGTCAATGGCATAGCCCGCATTATTGTGTCCACGATAGCTCTTCTTTCTATTTTGCCTGAATCTTTCTGTCGACGCGTAGACGACGATTTGGTTGTCCGAGCTCTGGAAGGCGACGTATTTGCCAGATGGATGGGCGCTGGAGCGAACCATGGGGAACATGTAGGGTTCGGCGACGAATTTGATGGGCACGGGGATACCGTATTCCCAGGCGCGCAAACTCTTGTCGTCTGAAGTGGTGATGAAGCGGCGGTTCTCGTCGCAAAAGGTGATTGTGTTGACTGGACCCAAGTGATGGTCGTACTCTTGGATGGGTGACTCTCCAGGCGTCCTTGTGTCGAATTGGACAATCTTCTTGTCGCTCATACCGGCCAGGAACTCGGTGGCTGAGTTTTGATCGGGCTGGAAGCGGACGACGTGAGGGGTGGCACCGGTGCTGAAGCGGCTGATGCATTGGCCAGTCTCGGTGTCCCAGAGCTTCATCTGTCTGTCGAAAGAGCCCGTCATGAAGCGAGAACCATCGTAGTTGAAGCAGACGTCCGAGACAGACTTTGTGTGACCAGAGTAGGTACGCAGCAACTCTCGCTGGTGGTAGACGTCCCAGATCTTGACCTTGCTATCCGCAGAAGCCGAGAGCAGTAGGTGTCCAGCATCAGGGAAAAAGCGTAGTTGTGTGATGGCTTTGGTATGCGACTTCCAGGTATGAAGCAGCTTCTTGGGGGCATAGTTCTTGTAGTCGTCCGGCAAGTCGCCTCGTAGATCGACGTCCAGATCTTGTGGTACATGCATGTACGTCCTGCCCTGGTAATCGTACTGCTGGCTTCCGTGGAACTCGGTCGTCTCTTTCGAGCCATCAGACTCAACATAGGCAGTGCCAGCCTTCGAAGGCGCGGCGGGCTGTGGCGCAATCTCGTCCTCCTCGTACTCGACCTCGACCTCCTCTTCACTGCCTGAACTGTCGTCTGGTCTCTCCTCCTCATAGCGCGCCCATGGCCCTTTGTATGCGCTTGCACCGTAGACGACACTGCTGTCGCCTTTTCCNNCTCTCTCTTGCGCTTTTTTGGTGGGGGGCTCGTGGTTGGCTTCGACTGCTCGGTGGGCGTTGCGGAAGGCCGTCTCGCTGATGACAATTTCGTCGGCGTATCCGGTGGGCACCTTGCCTTTGGTGCTTGTCCGTTTGGCCAGTTCTAGTTGTTGGTCTGCCATGTTTGGTTGGGTGTGGTTTGTGGAGGAATGTTTGCGACAAAGTGCTGCGTCACTGTGAAGCTCGCGGTGCACAAGCCATGTGATGCCAGGGTCACCTTTCGAGTTGACCTCTACCCCTTCGTCCCTTCCTTTCGACAAGGATCACCAAAGTATACATAATCATCCCGTTCGCAATCTATTAATGAGACTCTCCCACGCTGGCATAGAGCAATCACAGAAGCCGCCAGAATCCACACTTCCTTTCCAAGCCTGGCCACAGAAATACCCTAAACTGACGTCTCGCTGCAAACAACACTGCCCTCTCAGAAACCATTGTGCATTCTACAGCTACATTGCGACAGTCTTTAACGCATGTAAGGATGGCTCGGTTTTCTGATCTACCATCCGAGATAGTCGAAAGCGTAGTATGCCTCCTGGAGCTCCGGGATATTCGCAGTCTTCGCCTTGCCAGTCGTGCTACCGAAGCCGCATCCTCGCAAGCGTACTTCCAAACGTTCTTCCTCAGCAAGACGATCGAGCTGGAAACCGAGGCAGTCGCAAGTTTCGCCGCCATTACAGAGTCTAGTCGGTTCGCTGTACTTCTGCAAGATCTCTGTATCAATGGCATATCACCAACTTTGGAGGCCAGTGAGCTCAACTCCGAACATGTCGATATGCTAAGCACGGCATTCCTCAACCTCCTCAAGCACTGCAATCAGTACTGTCTCCGGAGTCTGACTGTCGGTGTCAACGACAAGGTATCTAGCTTGTCTCGGAACTCTCGCTTCATTGTTGGTGCTTCTGCAGTCAAGGCTGCACTATACGCAGTCAGAAACAGTGGCCTTCTCGTGGAGAAACTCAATTTTCTCCACAATATCAAAGAATGCAGTGTACCTTGTACCACCTTTGACAGCCTCCTTGAAGCAGCGCGGCAGGTCCGCTTTTCGCGTTTACGAAGCTTGTCGATCAGCCTCACCCAGCGATTTCCAGAACCTGATTTTGACGAAGAAGCCGAGGACGAACTCGCAGATTGCATAACAGACAATTCAAAAGCTGATTTGCAGGGAGTCGAGGCCGCGATCAACTTCCTCGCTCTCGCCTCCTCACATGTCGAAGAACTCAATTTACACTGGTATAATACTTCGAGTTATCCACCGAGCCCGACGGACGTCTTGTTGAGAGGCTGGTTTGATCAACTCTCCGACACAGTCTTCTTCAGAAACCTCCGAAATCTGACTTTACGTGGCCTACACGCCAGCCAACCGCCCCTGCTCAAAGTCTTGATGTCGCCATCTCTACAAACCGTACATCTTGAATTCATTCGCCTAAGTGGCTCCCTGCGTCCAATACTCGACTGCCTGACCTCGCCCAACCGAGCACTGAATCAGTTCTACCTCGACGACATATACGAAGAGAAATTGGTACACTTTTTCATCCAAGGGAAACCCAAATTTCCATACTCAGGACGTGTGCCGGGGCCCAGCACTGTGCTCAGAAAGGGCACAGAAGTCACCCTACCACTTGAGTATGGGTATGCCGGGGGCCGATCACTTGGCTCGCCTGAGTTGATGCGCTTGCAAAGACGTCGGCGGCAAGACTTTGGGTGAATGGTTGTTTTCATATACAACGGTGTCATCTGAAGACCAAATCTGTTCTCTTGACACAGTCATGGACAGTGTGTCTACCCATTGGACTGTTGCTCGATCAGCCCACTTTGGGACGAAACACTCGTGTTTTCTGAACATCCCCACCTTTCACCACCCTCCCACCTTCCTTCCATCCACTTTCTAAAAGCTTATCTCTAGGTATTTCTATGGTCACGCACCCTATATGAAAAGTGACTGTGGATCTGCATAGCATATCATGGCACTATATATCAGAGTGAGATCAGAGACATCGCCGTGGAGCTGAGTCTGGTGGACCAACTTCTTCAAACACGCTTTTGGATGGCATCGTACTTGCGCCTGTTGCTTCTGGTATATTGGCACTTCTCCATCTCTACGCGCCACCTGACCTCCAATGGTGCCTTCATCTCATGTTTTGGAGCTTCATCTAGATAGCAGACGCTACTGAAGCTGCCAAAAAGTTTGCCGGCGAGGAGGAGAAAAAACCGAAAGAGGTCAACAGTGCAAAAGTCAGGCCAGCGCACACCATGGGAAGTCGTGGAGAGATTACTGCGCGAGGAGGTGGACGGGCTCACAGAAGTTGTGAACGGGCACCAAGGACAAACGAACGCGCTCCAAGGACCGATTGGACAGTCTCGAAAATGGATTGAACACGAGGGATGAAGCGATTGCCCGTGTTCGACAGAGAGTGAGCACTGCAAATATCACAAGCAAGCGGAATGAAGAAGAGAAATGATGTCGAGAATGAGGTTCGTTTCCAGCACTATCAGATTCCAAAATGCCCTCCTTGTCCTGCCAAAGTCCTTGTTTCCATGATTTCGAAGTATGAAGACCGAAAAAATATCCCTGCCAATGCCCAAATCCTTGTCTTCGTGTCTGTGTTTGTTTTGTTCTTTGTTTACTCGCATTGATTGCCCTGCCTGCCCTTGTTCTGAAGATGACCAAGTCCTTCGAATCGCGCACCACCACCCAGTAGAGACCCCAACTCTGCAGCCACCAACACCCGAACCGATGCACAAGCAGTTCTGATCAAGCGAACCAGCTGAGATAGTCTTCTGCCCCAAACACCCAACTTCAAAGCCGAGCCAGTGACCATATGCAGAAAACCCTCCCCAAGCTCGACACCTTTGTAGCTCTCTCAACCACCATCAGCGAGATGATTTTTGCCAGCGGCATACGTCAAATCGGGATGTTTGCTTTTTCGGACCCCAGACACTCGACGTTCCGCCAGCTATTTCTCTGTTTTTGCACGCATTTCAGAAGACTTTGCCGGCCCCTGCCCACACCAACACGCCGATTTGAACTGTTTCTGGAGAGCTGCTGACACAGGCGCTGGAAGTTCATGTGCAGTTCACCCGAGTGTGTTTTTGGAGCTTTTCCCAAGTTTTCCAAGTCAAACACACCCGAGACGAACGCTGAACTGGCCATGTGTGCAGGTTGCCGTAGAAACAGAACAGAGATCGTATGCAGTGCCGATAGAGAACAAGAGCCATTGAAGTCAACGTACTTTCGGTGTTTTTGCAGAGAAAAAGTGGCTTCTGTACTCGGTAGGTTTGCGTACTTCGAATGGAGAGATGAGCTGGTGTTCCGCAAGTGGTGGCTTTCGCTGGTGATGTCTGCTGAGATGTCGAATGGTGGACTGCTGATCTCTTTTGAAAGGCTGTAATTCGCGGGATTGTGTGCTGAGACGATGGCAAGAGTGCTGATGGCCGAAAGCTGGCATCTTTCCCAAGCAGCACATGGTTGAAACGAAAAACCTCGAAATGCTGAACGCCAAAAGATGCCTGCCCCCTGAAAATGGATCTGCTGAGCGTCAGTGATTGCGCCGAGAAATGGTTTCTGCTGAGCACAAACCCTGATAGTGGAGAAATCCCGTAATCTGTCGAAAAACTGAGACTGATGGAGAGAGAAGAAGAAGAAGAAGAGAAAAAGTGAGCTGTCGATGCGAGATATGCTGTTGATGGAGAAAAGTGGTTGCCGAAGTGAAAAAGTGGTTGTTGATGAGCTTGATGTCGAAAATGTGGTTGTTGATGAGAGCGGTGCCGAAAAAAGATTGTTGTGTGCAGCTGGTGCGATGATGTGGAGTGAAGTAGAAGTAAAAAGGAGAAAATGGGTAGAGTGTGCAGTTTGGAGTGAGGAAGTCGAGTGAAACCGTCTAGAGTCGCTGTTTCCTGTGAGCAAAAAGGTCAAAAACAGTGAAAGCAACTCACTTTTGAGAAAAAGCGAAAAAGCGCAGAGATTGCGTCTCGATGCGCAACATGCAGAGAGAGATGTGCAGCGCGATGATGATGCGTCTTGATGAGCGGCATGTAGCTGAGAGAGATGCCTGCGCACGTTGTGAGTGAAGAGAAAAGAGTGAACATGAGCGGAAAAACTTACTATGACGAGATGTGAGAGATCCTTTGAAATTGTTTTGAGGTTGATGCGTCTTGATGACCAAGATAGATGGTGACAAATTGGAAGATGGTTGACCGATGAAGTGGAAGAAGTAGAAGAAGAAGACACTCGATGCCCAAGGTGTGCAGATGTTTGTTGATGATCAGACGTGATGCGCAGAGGCAAGAGACGCGTCGAAAAGTTGTTGTGCGCATGAAAAGAAGGTGCTGCGCGCAGTGGACGATGGAGTGCGCATGATGAGAAGCAGTTGCTGTTGATGATAAACAATGCCAATAATTGATGATGAAGATGGTTGATGATGAAGCTGGAAGACTGATAATGGAAGAAGAGATGTCTGAAGAAGTAGAGATGATTCTTGGATTGTGGATGGAAGGAAGGAGGGAGGGTGGTGGAAGGTGGGAATGTGCAGGGTTTATATACTCCCTCACCAAAAAAGTGACGCGAGAGCCTGTTTTTTCTGGCAGAACTTGACCTCTGACATCTCGCTCACTTTCGAAGAATGTCCCAATCGGCCATCCTATAGCCATCTACATAGCAACAGAAGTGTCTTACAGTGTCAATGCAATGTCTACAATGCCTCCTTGATGTCCCTAGCTTGTTCCCTGCTGCGTTTTGGCATAGAGCTCTAGGCGCAGAGAAGATGCTTGCGGCCGGACGACGGCAGCGATGGAGACGACAGCACCGGCGGCATCTGTGCTATCTATATGTAGGCAGCGTCAGATACACTAGACGACCGTCTTGTCGATGAGAGAGGGCCATCACTTGTGCCTGTCAACCATCTTTGTGCTTACTTGATGCGTCTGTTTTGGCCAGGCGAGCCGGCGCCATCTTCAAGCATCGTCTGCACGCCAGCCGCCTTCCTTCTCTGAACACACCGAGACAGCTCTATCTCGATCAAGGCTGAGACCGAGACCGTCGTCATCATCATCATCCAAAAGGCTGCTCCAGCGCACAACTACCCGTTTCACACATCAACAAATCTTCTCACGAACCTGCGCGTTGAGACACTCGCCTTCCTCGCAAGTCCACCTGGTCCACCATTTCGTGCTGTGCCCGAGCATATGATCCTCCGACAGGTCCTCCGCCGGCCGCCGACTGCTAGCCGCCCACCGAACATCGGCCCTGCAGACACACGCCGACCCCAAGCAGGCAGTGCCGTCTCCCTTCGATGCCGCAGACGCAATCTCTTCCATGACTCGAATACCGCGGTGGAGGAACCATAAGAGAAGGAACAGAACGAGGAAACAAGTTTTGGACAGTCCTAAACAGGCGAGCGTTTGTCACACGCCCCCTTCCGAGTTGGAGCCATCAAGAGCCATCATGTTGCTTTTCCCTCAAGCCGAAACGACCGTTATGCTTCCTCCAAGGATGGGAACCTACAAGTCACGTAGGGATCCTTTCGCAAAAGAATGTCATGGAGTACTAAGATCAAGCAACAGGTCGTTCGCCAGCAAGAGCCTCGTGTCCCAGCAGGCGGCCCGGAGTATCGAAACGATGGAAGCACATGAACAAGAAGAGAAGGAAAGAAGCAGAGCAGGTGAGGTTGTGCTGGAACATGGGGCAGAAGCTTGGCCTGTATCGGCCCGAGCCCGAGGGCATACCTCATTTCGAGCAAAGGAGTACCCAAGTCGAACTCGAACTCAGACCATGAAAAGACGCATCCAGCTCAAGCATTAACAAACATCAACTTACAAGCAACAGAACGAAGGTTTCCCACGTATACCATGCCTCCTATGCATCCACCTTCCAGGCGTCCCAATCCATCTTCGTCCATACCATCTCCACAAGTCCATCAAGTGTCAAGCTTCCCTCCAAGAGCACCATGAACGGCAAGTCAACTTTCAACTCCCTCCACGCCCAACTCCGAAGATCTGCGACAATCATACTGTCCATGCCAAACTCTGACATGGGCCGATTTGAGGAAGCAGTCAATTTGTCCATCGGCGCCATGATGAGCTTGGAGAAATGGGAGAGAACGAGCGACTGAAGAGTCGAGCGAATTGAAGAGTCATCGTTGGAGGCGATAGCGGCGCGAAGGGCGGCGGTCGTGCTTGTTGCAGAGTCCGCAGACGTGGGACTTGTCTTGCCAGTCTTCGCAATTGCGGCAGCGACAATTTGGAAACGTGGATCGGCAAGCCATGAGGCTTGCATGCCAGAGTTCGCAATCTTGCTGGGCTCCATACCAGTGATCATGTGTGCAACACTCAGGAGATCATGCTCAGAAATAGGTGGAACGCTGCCCCGAGGTCTACACGCCGTCTCCATCATCTTCAAAAACTCGTCTTCAGGGATGCCGTAGACGTTTCTTTGCTGGAAAGCTGCTTTGACATCGGGATGAGATTCCATGTGTCCGACTCCAATGACCATACCGAGGGCGATGGAACATGCTTCCAGACCCAAGCTCCAGCGATGTCTTGCCATAGAGTCCAAGAAGGCGTTTGCAGCAGCATAGTTGCTTTGGGTTGAGGCTCCGGCAACTCCCAAGGTTGAGCTAGTCATTACGAAGAAGTCGAGTGGTTCGTGCAGTAATGCTTCGTGCAGATTGATCGTGCCTTGCACTTTTGGAGCCAACACTTGGTGCCAGTCTTCTAGTGACATGTTTTCAAAGAGATCGCTCTGAAATAGATGGTTAGTGATTGTGATGACAAACAAGCAAATAGTACTTACTGTCAGTGCCATTGCCAGTTGCATTACTCCTCTTACTGGTGTTTTTGCTTGCTCGATAGCGTTGTCCACGTCCGAGCGGATGCTCACGTCACCTTTGACAACGATCGGCTTTCCTCCGAGGGTTTCGATCTCGCTGATAAACTCCGCTGCTTCGGATTTGTCTGCTCCCGATCTTGAGAGGAAGACAAAGTGCCTTGCACCTCGAGACAACATCCACCGGACAAGACTTCGACCCAACCCACCAAGACACCCAACAAGCAGGTACGACGACTCCGAGCTGAACGAGACTTGGTCATAAGGCACATGAATAGGAACCACACTCTGACGGTTATACGTAAGAGCAAAGTTAGTAGCTGTTTTGCTTTGGAATATTCCAGCAATTGCAGCTGACAGATCCGACACGTCATAAGTCGCAGCAGGCGCAAATTTCGGAAGCGTACTATCTCGCAGTAGGTTCAAGACTGATTGGACAAGCACATTCATCTCATCTGGTTGGGTTGCAAGAATGTCGTAGACATCGAAGGAGCTGACCGACACACCTCTCGCAAAGACCGAGGGATCCAACAAGCCAAGATTAGGCATCTCTGAGTCTTCCAAGATGTACATGAGACAGCCATTTTTCGCCAGAGATCGCCAAATCTCTGATTGCATTGAGCTTTNTGGATGTATCAATGCTAGATCGACACCTTGTTTTGCTGTTAGAGTTGACAATTTGGTCGCCATCCCCGAGTTTGTCATACATTGCGCATGGTTGCTGATGTCTGGATACCTCGCCATGAACAATGTTATATCTTCTTCAGATTCATGTGACAGAATGACTTTGAAACCGTATGCTTGTGAATAGCGTGTCGCTGCGATTGCTAGAGGTTCCGGTACCTCGTGGATCAGTATTGTTTGTCCTTCTAGGACAGTTCGGAGAGCGTGGATGGCTGCACAATAAGGTAACAATGAAGCAAATACATCTTCAGTACCTTCTCCCGGTCCCAGCAACTCACATTGGCTCTCGCTTACAATCAATGAACTGTCGAATCTGCCCGGACAACAGCAAACCACGCGGTCGCCCGGTTTGAACTTCTTGGCTTGATATCCAAGATGTTCTACCAAGGCAACACACATGTTGCTGAAGTGAGAGCCGACTTGTGTACCCCTGAGGATGGCGGCCTCACGTTGGCCGAGTGCGTAAGCTATTGGTCTCAGCTGCACTTCATTGAATCCCAGAAATGGTGCCACATGCTTCTCTTTGAAGTAGAAGCTTTCCATGTGACCGACTTGCTCGAAAGATAATTCCAGATTGTCCTTCATCTGGCATGGCTTTGGGTCAGGCCTGAGTTGACGTGAAAAATCGTGGTTTGCGTATTCGTCAGGCATGTAACGGCTTACGTATAAGCGACCGTCAGCAAAGACGAGTTGATCATCAAGAACGCGGTCTTCATCGTTACAGAGGCTGAGTTCATACTGCAGGATCAGTTTGGCCATGTGTAATTCTAGGTCATCATTTTCCTCAGGATCAACATCAATGTTCGATAATCGAAGAGAGGGCCGCGCTTTCGTAATGGACTTGATCATGCCCGAGAACAAAGAGTATGCCGGCTTCTTGCCTTTGAGTAGACCACCAGGAGTGATCCATAAGACAGAGGAAGCCAAACCAAACATTTTCTTCACCGCATCCATTTCTTTGCTGGTCATGTTGAGGAGCATCGGACTCTCGAGTTCAGCCAGCATCAGGATTCGAGAGCCTTTAGACAAATGAGTGTGTACAGCTGAAAGAGGGATACTTTGGACATCGACATCCGAGCCCCTCGCACATATCTCAATTTGTTTGGCCAGAGAATGAGGAGAGTCTTTGTGCACCAGCCAGAGTTTTGTTGCGTGTGCAAGGATATCATTAGCCAGATCTGTGGAATGGGTGGGTGAAGCTTGTTCTTCGAAATGGTTCGAGATTGGTTGCCAGACAAGCCGCGTGAACGGTTCACGAGCTTGTTCAATTTTCTGGTCAGCAAACCNCCCGTCCAATGAGAGCAAGGATACTGTCATCTGCGCTAGTGGATGACCTTCCAGAGTGACAAGCTCTGACGAGCCATGGACGGCCCGCATGCCATGACAAGCACCATGACTGGAGAGGAGACCTCGAGCTGGTAGAGGCAAATCAGCGGTTTGCCAGATCGTCAAATTCTCAATCGTCGTTGGTAGGTATGCTTTCGTGATACTCGCCACATCGCCTTTACATGCTGCGATGACTGCAAGTTGGATACAGGCATCAAGAGAAGTAGGGTGGATAGCGTAGCGAGATTCGCTAATCATAACGTCTTTGGTCGGTTGCAGGTCAATTGACGCAGTCGCAGTTTCCTTCTCAGTGCTTCGGATATTTGTCAACGGTCGAAAAGTCGGTCCATATTGCAGCCCGATTTTGGCAAGGGCTGTGTACCATAAATCATCGCTCATTCTCACCGAAGTCTCACCATTACTGAAACTATTTTGGATGCTTGGCATATCATTTGCATCCTGAATTACGATCCTGCCTGAAGCGTGTTCCGTCCAACTATCTTCCGCAGTGACTGAGCTCAAGCTGAACTCGAACGTTCTTTGATTGCCTCGTGGGTTGGAGGCGTGCACGGAGTGAAGGCCAAATAGAGTTTCAGCCTCCTCATCTGGTGCAATGACAAGAGGTGCCTTGATCGATAGAGTTCGAATTGTGTAGCCGGCAGCCGCTGTCTGAGAAGACTCTGCGAATTGGGTCACCGCTTCAACCGCCATAGCACAATACCCAGCTGCCGGGAAGATTACGTCCTGCCCGATCTGATGGTCAGCGAGCCATGGAACATTCTTGATCTTGAGTCTATTTCGCCAAGTCGGGTTGTTTGCAGATGATGATACCACCAAAGTGCCTAGCAGATCATGGCGTGCATGTTTACGAAGTCGTAGTCGACGGCTCAAACGACTTTCTGACCACAAGAGGTCCCCCTCATAGTTCCATTGGTAGGCTGGTAATTTCGGCAAGAAGCTACCTACTCCATTGACAGCCGTTAAATCGATCGGATGATCAGCAGTCCACAGTACTCCAGCAAGATCAAGGACATTCTCAACGTTGTCTCCACCTCGTATGATGCTTGGTAAGTAACAAAGATCCCCTGGCTTGATGCCTAAAGACGATCGAATCTGTTTGATGGGGCCTGCCAGTGCGCTATGCATTCCCACTTCGATCAAGCAATTGACATTTGGTTGTGCCTTCAGCATGGTTGACAAAGCCTGCGTGAAATTTACGGGATTCTCTAGATTCTTTCTCCAATACTCGATCCGCACCTTGCTTGGGCTGTCGAGGACTTCTCCGTTTATGCAGGAATACATAGGAATGCTGGTGGTTCCGGCTATGGATGTCGATGCCGCAAGCGAGGACCTGAACGAGTCTTCGTAACATTGGCCAGCTTCTTTGACGAAATGCGAATGATAAGCATTCTGCGAGGTATTCAGAATACGAGAGAAAACCCTTGCCTGGGAGAGGCATGCATGAACTTCAGCAATCGCGGCTGCCCCACCGCTAAGAGTAACATTCTGAGGAGAGTTCTGACAAGCAACAACGACATCAGGCTGATTCTTGATGTAAGGGAATACTTCGTCTGATCCCAAGCCCACAGCCATCATGGCTCCTGGCTTGCCATGCTTGGTGACTGCTATACCGCGATAATAAGCAACTGCAATGGCTTCAGCACTTGTGAGTAGACCTGCAGCAAAAGCTGCCGCGACTTCGCCTGAACTGTGACCAACAACACATTCGGCTTGGATACCCCAAGACTGCAGGAGTACTGCGAGAGCGATCTGCAGAGCTGTACTCAAGGGTTGAGCTAGAGCTGTCTCATGCATACGACTATGTTCTGCAGGCTTAGACAGCTCTTCGACTAGTCGCCATGTCGGTGGTACTGGAAGTGCGTCTAGCGCAGACTGGAGAATTGCCATGGTTTCGCGTACGATCGGATACTGTTGAACCAGTCCATAACCCATAGTTGGCCATTGCGCACCCTGTCCGGTGAAAACGAATGCAACGATCGGATCTGCAGCAACCACTTGAGAACCATGCTTTATACGCTCTGGCACGAGTTGAGACTTCAAATCTGGTTCGGTGACAGTTGTGAATGCTGTACAACGATGTTTTGTCCTTTTTGCAGACAAAGTATACGCAATGTCGGTCGCAGAGTACTTGTCAGCCACGACTGCCAGTGCGTTGGTACTCTTGTCGAGGGCGATCTGGTCATGAGCCGAGAATGCGAACAGGTACTTTTTGGGAGTTTGATAAATCTGGAAGGCAGAAGTATCGGCCGTCTGACAGGCTGACGAGCTTTTATGAATCCCGGTTGAGGCAGATCGTGCGGCCTCGTAGCCATGGCTAGGCTCAAGCAGTATGTCGGGTGACTCCACGATACAGTGTGCATTCGCGCCTCCATATCCGAACGAGTTGATACTTACTCTTTTCAATAGTCCTTCGGGCCATGGCCTAGTGGCTCTGACAACCTCGAGACAGCCGCCTCTGAAGTCGATAGCTGGATTGAGCTTGTTTACCCCCACCGTTGCTGGTATGAGATTTTTCTCGATGCTCAATACCGCCTTGATAACGCTTGCAAGTCCACTCGCGCCTTCGGTGTGGCCTATATTGGTCTTGATGGAACTCAGGAGGAGAGGGTTCTGTGGGGTCCTGCCAGAGGCAAAAACATCTCCAGCCGATTGGACCTCAATAGGGTCGCCTACAAGCGTACCGGTACCATGGCATTCGAAGTAACCAGTGTCTTCATATCCGAGATTCGCTTTGGCATATGCTTCCCTGATGACGGCCTCTTGACCCTTTGAGCTAGGATGGTTGATGCCCTGGCTTTTTCCGTTACTGTTCACAGCAGTAGCTCGAATGATGGCGCGAATCGGGTCATTATTGGCAATGGCCGCTGAGAGTCTCTTGACATAAAGAGCACATATACCTTCACCTCGACCAAAGCCATCTGCTCGCTCATCGAAAGTGTGGCAAGTTGACGTCGGAGATAAGACTCCAAGTCTTACACTCGCGATGTGCTGCTCAATATCGTTTATGACGTTTGAGCCGCCTACAACTGCTGCATCTGAATCCCCCGAAATCAGACTTTGACAGGCAAGGTGAAGGGCGTATAGTGAGGACGAGCAAGCTGTATCGACTGTCATGCTTGGTCCCTTCATGTTGAAGACGTAGTTGATTCGATTACTCAAGAGAGTCATGTCGCTACCAGTCATCCCGTAAGGTGCTCCATATTCGAGATCTCTGGAAGTCATTCGATGCATATCATTAGTGAAGCAACCAATAAAGCAGGATGTCTTTGAACCAGAAACTTGCTCAAGAGTAGCTCCGCCGTTCTCAAAGCTCTCATAGACAACCTCGAGAAGCTTACGTTGTTGTGGATCCATGGAAGCTGCCTCTAGAGGGGAAATCCCGAAGAACGAGGGGTCGAACTGGCGCAGATGTTCATCGTGGCTCAAGAAGTATCCTCCACGTGTATGTACACTTCCTGGTCTGCTGCCATCAGGATGATACCATGCATCCAAGTTGAACCGACTTTTGGGCATTTCTGACCATGCCGATTGACCATCTTTCAGCAGGTTTTCCCAGAGCTTTGAGGGCGTGTATGATTCTCCAGGTAATCGACAGGCTTTGCTCTGCGTTACTGGCTGAGTCTGCAATGGGTTATGGGAATCTTACCCATTCCAACAATCGCAATTGGCTCGTAGCTGTCCTTTGACAGCGCATAGGCCTTGGAAGCGTCCATAGCCTTGTCAGTCATTCAATAACGTGTCTCTACAGGATGGAAAGAAAGATTCGAGCTTCGCGTCCGCCAACATATTGGGCACCGTCGTATACTTACTATGCGTACAAGGGGTCAAATTCTGACGCGCTCGCTTATTTGCTGACACAAGCAAGTCTGACCATCAAGCAGCAGATGCACTTTGAAGGAATCTCTTTGTTATCGAAGGATGAAGGCTGCAGTAGCCGCGACCTTGGCAAGGTCCGTCGCGTGCCGATGTGACGCGCTGGTCTGTGCGTTGGTGTAGGCCCAGTTGGTTCGAGTGATTGCAATCCTCGTCCTTTCTTGCGACCTCTGTTACACTTGCTATGTCCGTTCTATGGTGTTGCAACAACTGCTACTCGCAGGTGTAGAGACTCTTACGTTGCTGTGCGAATGACCACCCGCTACCTGGTCAGTGGTTACCTGAGTTGCAAATGTCGATCCTCTGTTATTGTGGCTTGATCCCGACCGATACTCATATTATCCTTCCGCCTCTTCATATGGACAGTATACGAGTGTTCATTTGCCTCGATCGTATTGGCAGCGACGACCAACATTGCTCTTTCGAGCAGTTGATGTCGCATGATCTTTCCATTGTGGTTTCTTGGTATCGAGTCCACAAACTCCATGCCACCGTCCAGAGCTTTGAAGCTGGCCAATCGATCTTTGACATGTTCCATCACTTCCAACTCATCTAACCCGGTAAGATGCCTGTCGTTAGTCACGACATAGGCGCGAGGAAGCTCGTCTTTAGAGATTCTGCCAACTGGCCTGAATCCAATCACAGCAGCATCGACTATTAGAGGATGCATCAGGAGAACATCTTCAATCTCATTCGGCGAGACCTGCCATCCGCGCACCTTGATGAGTTCCTGGAGATGGTCAGCTACCAAGAAGACCCCCGACCAGCGAGCTTGACAGGTATTCACCTTGACACGACCCACGATGTAGACTTTGCCAGACTTCATGTACCCGAAGTCGCCAGTCTTGAGCCAGCCATCGCTGAAAGCTTCGGCAGTGCCGGTCGGACACCCTGAGTAGCTATTCATTATCGACGGTCCTCGAACCTGGATTTGACCATAGTAGCCTTCGTCAAGGACTTCGACTCCGTATTCATTCACCACTCTNNACGCAGCGTCAGTGGAGGCATCAATTCCATCACAAGACCCGACAGACCTTGCTTCTGTGTTCGGTAACAACCTGCCTACGCTACCGTCATCATCCTTCTCGCCCCGTTCAGACGATGTGATGCGACCAAATTCAGTCATTCCCCAAACTTGAGAGATGACAGCATCTTCATGCAAAAGCCTATACATGGCCTTTCTCGTTTTCGGAGACAGAAATTCTCCAGCACACCATACTCGGCGTAGATTCCTCAGTAAAATTGGCGAGGCCCGCTGGTTGACGATACCTCTCATCATAGTGGGCACGACAGCGACTTCCGTGATTTTGAACCGGTCCAGTATACCTATGAAGTTCTCGGCGCTGAATCTGCGCATGATGTACGTCGACTCGCCATGGCGGAAGGCAGAGCTTTGTACGAATGAAGCGCCGAAAGAATGGAACAAAGGTAAGGAAATCAGTCTTGAAACCGCGTACGGCGTTTCCCTTGAACACCCTGTGGCGACCCCTGCGGCAACAAGAGCATGGTGTGAAGTCGCTGCAAACTTCGGCAAGCCGATCGTGCCACTCGTTGACTGAAGTACGGCAATTGTCGACTTGGCTGTATCCTTGCCATTAAACCGATTCCAGTCACACTCACCATGTTCGAGCAAGCTACTCCAGCACTTGAAGTTGCTCCGGCTGGCTTCTTCTGACTTAGTGCTGAAGATGAGTGTTCTGGTGGCAGGTATTGAGACCTCTGTGGCAAGCAGGGCATTCCTCAGTAGACTTGCTTCAACAATGAAAAATCTAGGCTCCGTGATCGATACCAGGTGACTCAACTCCAGGGTCTTGTAAGCAGGGTTTGATCCCACAAACACTCCACCTGCACCGATTATACCATAGTATAATATGGGATAGAGGATCTGGCTTCATCTCAGTTGTGACAGTGGCCACATCTTTGGTCACTTACATGNATTGAAAGCATGCACACAGACCACATCACCCGGCTCCAGTCCAGCCACTCTGAAACCAGCAACGAGTTTTCTAATCAACGAAACTGCTTGTCGAGTATTCAATCGGTTGTGATGGTCGGCAGCGTCAATCAAGANTCTGTTTGGCGTCAGCTATTGATATCTTGTATCGAAGAAGTGCACCCGTACGTCTTTATCGAGATCTGCATCTTTGTTCTCGAAAATCCAAGAAAGCAGGTCCACTGGTGGCACCTCACGGTACTCGCTTGGATAGTAGACCATAGCTCGGCACTATCAAGAAGGTGGTTGGAAGGAGAGGGAAACACTGATTCGGATAGTCGTGCGAGGTAATATATCTCGGAGGATTGCTGACTGCCAAGCACGCTACAAGCGCCACTAAGAATGGTCCAATGAGCTGCACATTTGTTGGCGAACGCCTTGAATAATGAATAAGATATATCTACGAAAAGATGTTCGGAGATTACATCAAAATCTCACATTAAGATTTCAGATGCTCTGTCTCGAAGGCTCTCCCGATCTTGCAGGATCTTGCAGTATCTTGCAACAGCAAACTTCTCTTCGCGAATGACTTCACCAATCTAGGCTGCTCCCTCGAGGCTTCCAGGTCCATCATCTGGAAACCAGAAGTTGTCTCCTACCTATGTTGTCATAACATTTACTGCCTACTCAGAACAGGCCAACTTAGTTCCCGATCAGTCGAAAAGCAAAACCGTCCAGCCTCTCCAGAATCGTCATCAAGAGCCGTATATCCCCATCTGACAGGCAAAAGATCCGCATCCACGTCCGCTGGATGTCGATGGCAAGCTGCCGCAATGGCCGCACTACAAGTAGACACCAAAGGCATGGGATAGTTCTTGCTAGACGTTGGACCATCTTCTCTGCATCTGAACTTTCGAAACCATCCGAACAATGGCAAAGCTACGATGAGTGTGACGCCTAGCGACACAGCCCATACAATGCCGATGAGACTATACCCGACAATAGAGCGATCTTTCTCAGGTATTGGTGAGAAGTCTGTTGAGTCGTAGACGCTGGTTTGGATCACAAAGATGCTTTGCGAGATGAGCCAGTGCAAGCCACCAGATAGTGTTGTCAGGGGTGCACCATAGCGATACGGCACGGAGAGGAAGTAAGAAGAGCGTTGGATGCCCTCCGGATCTGAAAGCCGCAGTGTTTTTCGCGTGGTGACAAAACCATTCCATTCGTTGCTTACAAGCATAGTGGTAGCCATACCGTTATACAGCAGATACAAAGCTGAGATGATGACTTGAGCAATGTTTGCAATGAACATGGCGGCCCAGAAGCCGGTCTTAGGGTTCAGTCGTGGCCAGAAGTAAGACATGACTGTTGCGTAAGGTCGGGCTTCTCCAAGTCCTTGTTTTTGGGGCGAGATGAGATCGATGTCAAGACCGTACGTCCTCTGTGCTTTCAAATTGCTGATAAGAAGGTATACGACAAAGGCAAGCGCAATTACACAGCTGCGTTATCTAGAAGTCAGCCAATTCTGAAAGTGAAGACAAACAGTGAGTTTGAAAAGCACTTCGCCACACGAGACTCTTTGGCGTAGTTCAATCTGTAGATGAAAAACCAAGTACTCACAAGATGATCGTGAGCACCCAACGTTTGANNTACTAGCTGCTTTATGCCACCTCTCTAGTATTGGCAAACGATCTTGCGTTTCCACCGATGACCAGTCGTTTATTGCGAAGTCTGACTTGGAAGCCAATTGAAATGCTGGAGCTTTGGTGAACTCGTCCTCATTCACCAGAAAACTGGCGATTGCATCGCCGAGCGTGACTAGTGGAGTCTTTCTGTCCACGGTTCTTCGATTGACACCATCGGCGGTTCTTTGTCTTTGTCTCTTACTGGTGCGCTGAAACTTGGCTGTAAAACCAATGCAAATGCATTTTGATAGATTCAGAAAGCAGACAACAATCATGACCGTGGGACTGAATCGCAGCACACAGAGATTCTTGATATTCGCATCATAGCCTAGGCTTTCGCAATGGTCGATGCCTGCCCAGATTGAATAGTTGTCCCCGTATGGGTGTGTCCATTGCTGAGGAGTGACGAGTTCTGCACTACATCATTTCTTCCACATGTCAGGGGGTGCGGTTAGCCCTCCGCATATCCAAAATTGACTATATTGCCAGTAGCCAGGAGAATCGAGCGTCGCAAAGCTATACAACAGGGACGAGTCGTTAGACGCAGTCACAGACAAATGGTCTACCATCGTGATATTTTTAGCCACAAGAACTAGGTCTCGCGAACCTGTTGCGTTCTTAGTATATCTTTCGATGCATGCTTTGTTATCAAGATGTTCCAGTCGTTCCGCATGTTGTAAGGATAGGGTTTGGTCGTCCAGAGCTGTCGGCCAAGAAGTCGAGTCAGAAGCATAATCGGCTGTCACCAAGGCCACACGATAGTTGCTGATCGGGATTGTTGAGAAAATAGCGGAGTTCCAACTAAATTGTCAGTATTGGGTCAGAAGCATGAAACGATGAACAGACATGAGGTGCAGTAAAGCTGAACTGGTCATAAGGCATATCCAGATTATGCGCCTTCTCCAGGCGATCTTGAACAAATTTCGGAAGCTCGGAGCGCCAATATCACACCAACTGTGATTCTGATGTGTTTTGTCAACTTCTTCCCTGGTTGGGGCGACCAAAATCTGTGCGCAGTAGTTGCTGGCTCCAAGTAATAGAGTCGACAGTACGTTGATTACCAAATGAAGGCCAGTGTTCCACTCTCTAACAGAATCACAGGTCGCGCCTTCATTGTGACCATAAAGGTTGCCGAAATTGACAGGACCGTATCTGATCAGTCCCCATATTGTGATTGAAAGATTTACGATGAACACTGTTATCGAGAGCAAGAAATGGAGCAGGACTGCAAGATCTCTGTCTGAGAGACGCCGTAGCAATGTCCGCGCGCGAGGGTGACTGGGGTCGATCTCCGGAAACCCTGGCTGGAAGAGGTCTATCAAACCAAAGCGGATGTACTGACCAGTATTCTCTAGAGACGCTTGAACCGATACCAGCTCTGGTTCTTGCTCGTGAATCAAGGAGGCTTCAGTAGCGCCTAGAAAAAGCTCTGTCTCTCTTTCTGGGCTTTCATGAGATACTCGTCCAACAGAGACATCTCGGAAACTCTCTGAGCCTCGTTGCTGCAATTCGTATGCTTCTTCTGAAAGCAGGTCTTGCGTGCTCTCACGAGACGGAATACAAGTGCCATCTTCTTCAGAGTCCAAGTATAAAGTATCATGTCGAGTACGTGGTTTCTTTGCTTGATCGGCCATGGTGGACAGTCTAAACGGAATAAACTGTTCAGATAACCAAAGTGTACTCTTTATCATTGCTTGGCCTGCTGCTCCTCGATAAAGTCTTCCAAGGCTTGGCGCAAGACCTTTGGTGGCAATTCCTGCAACGGACTATTTCGAGGCTGCATCATGCATCATCTGAGACTGTGTTTGGTTCGGAGACGCCGTCTCGGTCAAAGTATATAGTGACAGACGTTGTAATGGGTACCGCATTGTGGCTCCCATTCGCCAGGTTGTTAAGAAGTGTCAAGTGACAGATGCAATTTGCGACTTGTTGTGACGAATGGAGGACGGGATGGTGAAGAGCTGGATCCGCACCTATTACGTTCTTCTCTCTGGGGATGCACTGGTCACAGTCTCGGAAAGAAGAGCCAACGAGGTCCAGATAGGGCAGGCATTCCATCTGACGATCGCTGCAGTCGTGGTCAACATGCGCCGCAGATGAGGTGCTCGTCGGATCATTGAAGACCAAGGCGTGGTATGTCGATGGAATGAGGAGCTGCGAGAGGAGACAACAATGGTAGCTCTGAGATCGCCTGTACGGACAACATGAAGAAGCGAGTCTCTCTCGTGATCAGGCCGATCAAATGATCTGGCCTAACGATGGCAATTGCTAGGGCATCGTATTAGGAAGGCGAATTCCACGTTGAAAGACGAGCGAGGAAGTCGTAACGAATTAGCCAAGCCTCCGAGTTCATGGACTGGATCTTCGCTTGTGTTCAACATGTAAGTCGATTTTTGTTCATTCGCAACCAACCAATATCGAGTATCTTTTTGACATGGCACATTTCGCGCCGGAGTTTTACAGAGTGTTGCGATTGACAAACACTACTCTATTCCAACATGTTCCCATCCATGATCAGCTATTTCCGATGCAGGCGACAGGTCAACGCCAAAAGCTCATTGGCTTTAATCTCGCAAGCTCGAACTAAAGGTATTGCACACCGAGAATACGTACTTTGACTATGTGCAATGCCTTCAAGAATATGCTCATTGGCGTTGGAAGTGCCGCAGAGCTTATAAAGAATGTTGGAATACTTTCACCGCAGTTGTTCGTAGTCTAGTAAAATAGAATGTCCTGGCCACGACACGACGTTGTGGTAACTAAGTCGTCGTAAGCACACTTGCCGATGCAAATCGGATACGAGCTTTGGGCAGTGCATCATGGATCAAAGAATCTTTCAGACGTGATGGTGTGAGATCAGGCGCTCTGTCACAAAGAGGTGGCATGTTGCTACTCATATTGCACACATAAATATCATGATGGGGGCATGATAGAACACGTCGGCACGTATCCTGATTAATGCTGCGGACTTTCCCCTTCGTGACAGCGCACTGTAGATAAGATTGACCGTTACTGCGCCGAGTCGTCTAGCAGTATGTTCCTGCACTGTCTGTGTCATTGAGAAGCAAGTGTTGAAGCAATTTGTCGTTTGTTGGTGGCTGCCACTGACTGGCAAGGACCGCAGAAAAGTCATCAACTGCCGGAAATGCGTCACCTTAAGACGAACGTGGTTGCTGATGCCTCGCCATATTTTGTTGAGCACCTCGTATTATTGATATATTGCTTTCTGCCGCCACTGACGAGAATATTCGGCGTGTGCGGTGGTGGTCGATGGTGATCGCGTGTCCGCGGCGGCAGGGAAGTCGAAGGATGCGATGGGGAGCGTGAAAGCTGCAGAGAGTTCCGTGCATTCACGTGCAACGGTGCAACTCCACACGCAAGGAGCGTCATGGATGATCTTGATGACGAATCAGTGCTGGAACGGTAGCGAGAGCCGAACTAGACAGTACCTGTTGATCAACCATGAGAGTGACAGCTTGCTAGACCATGATCGTCTGTTTATGTCTCGTGGGAGGTAGGTAGGCGAGTCAGTTGGCTAAACACAGAAATTTCCGAAGATCGTGAAAGTAGTAAAGAGTATGAGTGAATGAGATCTGATGTCTCAATGTGGTTTTGATATATCAAAGAAAACGTCGTGAATCCTAAAGATTTCAGATGGCATCTTTTGGTCGTCGAAGACTCTACATGAAAAGGAAATTCGTTCTTGCCTTGATTAGCATCTCATACATGTCGACGACCAGCCATTCAGACAGCCGTGACTTGTCGTAACTTTTTGTCCATGTGGTAGCCATAATCTTTTGTATCCCAACGACCATCAGCGCCAAAACTAGTGTTCACCTTTGTAAAGAGAAGCACAGAAAGAAAGAAAAAAAACCCAACCAGCCGACGATTCTCGAAAGAACCCAGCACATGAAATGAAGTAAGATCACCAAACAGTGAGGGCATCGAGATGCACCTCACGACCACCAAAAGAATGTTCATTCAGAAGTTCAAAAGAAGAAGGCGAACACATGAGGCATGAGGCTTGTGCTCAGTATTCTCACATGACCGAAAGAAGAGGATTGTCGTAAATCAGATCCAAATCAAACATCGTAGCATGCAAACACCCGAATGTCAACATCCAGGGTACTCGCGCAGAGCAATGCTCATTTAGTTTCCGTGAGCGTGGCGGCGGTGTTGGTGATCACGCTTGGCAGGGCGGCCCCAGTGGTGGCCGTCCCAGTAGGTGGTGTAAGCAACCTGGGTGACAGTCACGATAACATCGGCGTCGGCGCTGCTGGCAGCCTGGGTGATGACGGAGGTCTGGAGGGTGGTGGCAGAGGCACCGACAGTGGAAGGGGCGGCAGCGGTGGTCCAGAAAGTGGAGTGGCTCGAAGTGGACTCAGCCGAGACAGCGGAAGATGCGGAGGAAGCAGCACTGTCATTGGACTCGTCGCCGGAGCAAAGAGTGACGGTGATGACAGCATCAGCGGGGCAAGCCTGCATGCCGTAGGCATCATCGGTAGCGTAGCGGTATGCCTGCTGTTTGGGGTTGCAAGAAGCATCGTTGGCGGTGATTTCCCAGTTTCCGTCCCAAGGGTTGCCGTTGACCTCGCTCAGATCGTACCAGATAGTTCCATCGTTCTGGTAGGTGTACTCGTACTGGAGAATGTTCTCGAGGGAAGAGCTGTTAGAGAGCTTGATAGACCAGCCGTTTCCGTTGCTGAGGGAGGTCCACTGCTGAGTGTAGGTGTCGTAGGGAGACAGGATCTTGTCAACCTCAGAGTAACCACCGTCGGCAGAGGGAACGTTGGCAAGAGTAACATCGTAGTTGCACTTGTTGACAACAATGGCGCTTCCAACAGAGTCAGCAGCGGCGGCGGCCACCAGGGCGGCAGTAGCGTAGATGGAGTTCTTCATTTTGATGACTGGGATGTTTTCTTGATGTGTTCAAGGACTGTCGGTAAGTCGAGGTGGAGTTGGAACCTTGTTGGTAGAGACTGATGTGGCGAGCAGTGAAAGAGTGAACTGCACAGCAGTGTTGCTAACCAGAGCAATTGATAGAGATGGACAGTGGTAGTACAGAAGAAAGCGGAAATACGAGCGGGAATCTTCTGTCCTTATGTATGCTGCTTGTCCAGCCCAAGGGTACACACCAGACAGAGGGTTGAAAAATACTGAGCCGCCCTATGTGGAGCATGGAAGTTGGATTCACCATGTGCTTTTTCACGCGCGAAACCCTATCGAGGAATAGTGGCCGAAGGATTGATCAATCACAGCAGCCAGCGAGGTGACCGAGACGGACCTTGTCCTGATGGGGGTGCGGAAAGTTGATGCTACGGAGCACTCGGTCCAGGTACCCGGTCTTCCTGGCGCTGTCATTCGTGTACCGTTTCAGGCACACCCGGGACTTGTTCCTCGACGATTCGCTGGTACAGCGGCTGATGAACGGTGCCATGCTGCAAAGTCTCGAGCTTAGCCCAAGCCTTACGTGCTGTTGTTACGTGGGTCCTCTCTGCTCGGAAGGCTGGCACGCTTGGTAAGCTCAACATGGGTTGCTTATGCACTTAGTTATGCGCCGAGATGCCATTGGCCATTGTGGTTGCAGTCAATGGAAAAGTGCTGCAACTTCAGGTTAAAGAAACCTCGGATTCAACACGGCAGAGAGCACAAGCATCTGCAAGACATGTAGGGTCAAATGGATGCCCACAGAAAAACCAAAATGCAAGCGCTAACGCGGAGGAGAAATCAGACGAAAACTCTTTTTTCACGAATGCTGATTGGCTNCGAAGCTCTGCAAGAAAATTTCTTACAGCTCTAGATTTTTGTGCCATCGCGCACCGAGTTCAGTGTCTATCTCCCGCCGCGTTGAATAATGTGGCCCACTGGCGTTCAATAGTGCTTGCGCTTCTGGTGGGTGAAAGCATTTTGGTCTTCGACATGGAGTTTTGGAGAGTCACTGAGCACCTCACGCTCGTGGGCCATGGGTCCACTCACATCCACCTTTGGCCTTGGCGTCTACGATCGAGGTGGCTTCAGCATTGTCCGCGGATAGCCTGTAGACACGGCAGAAGCGAGGCAAGCAACTCCGCTTGCAGAATCAGACTGTGGGTTGAAGACTTCCAAGTCCACCACCTCCCAGCACTGCCAGCCCGAACTCGTTACAATGGCATGCGCAGCCTCGTATTTGCGGTGGCTTGTTTTTCTCTCGGCACTCTTGTGACTCGTGGCATCGCAGGCTTGTCATCAAGAAAACATGCAGCACGACGTCTGCCGCGAGGACAGAACAGCCATCGTGGGGCATTCCGTTACTGTTGGGCGACTCACGAGGCGCAGTCGGCGGACGAGTGCGGTTGGCTATTGGTGTGGAAGAAGAGTGGTGAAGTGGAGAGGTTGTTACAAATTCCAATTGGCTTCATGCCTCAACCATTGTTGAATGGCTTCGAGACTGGCAATAATGCATCGAAACTTCATCGCGCCTGAAGAAACGCAGGCAATAGAGACGATAGACGATTCTTGTGCGATGTCTCAGGCACAACAGACCAGAGCGTTCCAGTGTAACAAGACCTTGCCTTAGCTGGTCAGCGACTGTAAGCAAGTCAGGAAGGTGCATTCACTGCTGCACTTGCTGCACAAACCCGAATCTGACAGATTCCATTCGAGCGGGGCTTGCGAGTTCCAACCTCCTCGCAACATCAACCTTCATCCAAAAGTTAACCTGGCAAGCATCTTCTGATTCATCCGCCCGCATACATCGTTTATTTGGGCGTCGCGTTCTTAGCCTCGGTTGAACGAGAACCCCCACCACACCACATCCTCTGCATAACTTGCAAATTCACGCTGGCCAAGGGTCCTTGAACGTAAACAACGTGGCTTTCTGCTGGGATTAATTCGGTCGGTACCTGGTCCAGGGACGAGTGTACAAGTCGATGTATACTTCTGCAAAGTACTTCCCAAAGCAACTCCCAACGTGATGCTGTCAAACTGGCCCCTTGCCGGGACACCTGCAGCGACACTCTTCCACAATTCCAGGGTGACTCGGGAATTCGTCTAAATCGCACCGGAAAGTCCTGAAGACAAGTCGGCCAAGTCAGCACAATTCAACAATGTGCTTGTCAACGACCAGCCACTCATGCAATGACGGGATCTTATCGACTTTCATCATGCCCGAATCTTGGCTCAACACGATTATCGTCACCTTTTAAGATTTCTAAGGCGCGCAGCCACGCCAAAAGAAGAACTTCCAGTCTTCACAGGTGACATACGTGCTTGTACACAGCGAGCCGCATCTACCCTAACTTACAACGGCTCCCCTGTCTGTTGCAGCACGTCGTCTGAGACGCCTTCAAACATGCAGACACTTGGGCTGATCTCGAAACATGTCCCAAAGCCTGGCGTGCTTCCGAAACACAACGGCAGTGTGCTACTGTACGTAGAAACATACACAACCCTAGGTACTGTCGTCAGAGTATTCGGAGTCCGGTGAACAATATCGACAAGAGGATGTTTATGCGTTCGTCATGACCCTGTACGTATGCAAAGGCAGAAAGGATCATCACACAGGTGCTCTACAACAGCAGTATCTACAGGGGTCCCATCCTCCAATGTTTTCCCTCTATCAACCCACGGGAACGTCTTTACCACGCCATCTTGGCAAGGATACTCCTAGGGTATTTTCTTACAAGGAATTTCCTGGTCTCGTCGAACAGCAGTAAGCCAATTCCGAAAGCGAAGGGCAAGAACCAATACTCGACTGGAACTACTGCAGTGTCAAGAACGCTGTGGAACTTGGGCACATACAAGAAGAAGATGGCGATGATCATTGCGAAAACGATGGCAGGTAACAGATAAGGGTTTCGCCAAGGCGCATGGTTGATGAGCGACAGTCGACGGGTGCGTACACTCATCAGGTTGAACCATTGNNCCTGAAGAAGTCAGCTCCCTGCTTTGAACAATAACACGATGCTGACTTACATTACGACCAAGTTGACAAAGTAGATCGACGACGCGATGTTGAGGATATCGTTCTTGGTATCACCACTCATGCCGTCGGGTGNTTTGCCAAAACCGAACCATAGATCTGAGAAAAACAGCCCCTTACGCTGAGCGAACCAGTAACTCACTGTGAATGAGAGAGTTGTCTCAAACAGACCGATGAAAGCATATGAATGAAGGATCAATCTCCAATCAACCAGTCTGTCTTTCTTGGAGCGAGGAGGACGGTTCAAGACGTCAGCTTCAGGGGCCTCATATGCGAGAGCAACACCGGCGGCGCAATCTGTGAAGCAGCAGATGATGATCATGAGGAAGGACGAGAGAATCTGCGGCAGTCCAAAGACAACGTTTGTCAAGACTGGCCAAAACTCTGAGAAAGAGCCTGCAGGTAAGAGGTACGAAATCGTCTTTCGGAGGTTGTCGTAAGCCACACGACCGTATCTGACGGCCTCTACGATGGCTGCGAACGAGTCCAAGAGTACAAGGTCGGCTGCTTCGATGGCAATGGTCGAACCTGAACCCATGGCGATACCGACATCCGCAGCTTTAAGTGACGGTGCATCGTTGACACCATCGCCAGTCATGGCCGTGATCAAGCCTCTCTGCTGCAAGTTCTTGACAATGATTAACTTGTCCTCAGGAATACAGCGAGCGAAGACTGCCTCTTGGTATTGACAAAGTCGGTCCCATTGATCGTCCTCCAGGTTTCGGATTTCAGATCCACTGAGTACGATCGATTTGGTGGACTCCCTGAAATTAGCATGTCCTTCCTTGGATCCGTTAGATTCGTGCAAGCTACCGTCGTAGTCCAAAGCATGGATATCATCGGCCTCCTGACTGATGATGCCACACTCGGAAGCGATGGCTTTGGCCGTGAGCTTGAAGTCACCAGTCACCATGAAGATGCGGATACCAGCACCCTTCAAAGTTCTGACCATTTCGGACATCTCTGGTCTTGGAGGATCGACAATGGCAGCAAGGCCAACGAGGGTCATACCAGAAGTGACATTACCCATGATGTACTCCTCGTAAAACTGCGGTTGCTCTTGCGGGTTAAGCTTCACTTGGCTTAATGGCTTCTGAGCAAGTAGGAGCACGCGCTTGCCTTGAGACGACCACCTGTTCTTGATGGTTTCGATCACCGAGCGACCTTCATTGCCAAGCTCCTGGATGTCGCCGTTCTGGTCCATGTACGTGGAACATTTGCCGATGAGTACGTCCGGGGCTCCCTTGATGGTCAGAAGAATACCTTGTTGAGGATCATTATCGTTTTGACAAACGTTAACCATGAACTTGTTCTTCGAATTGAAGTCGATGCGATAGACCGTACGCCACAGACTACGGAGTCGTGCTGTGGGGATGATGCTCTCGGCGAACATGAGCACTGCTCTGTCTGTGGCATCTCCATGGACCTTACGTTCGGCGATTGGCTTGTCTCTAGTGCTAGCATCAAACTCGCCGGCATTGCAGACGCCACTGAGCATGGCCAATCGAGCCACTGCTGATGATTGATCAACCATGTCAGCAGCCTTGGATACTGGGTGAGGATGGTAGCCGATGCAGAAATCGGTAACGGTCATCTCGTTCTTCGTGATCGTTCCAGTCTTATCTGAGCAGATGACATTGACGGCCCCAAGTGTCTCGACTGTCTTCAACGACTTTGCCAGAATCTTGTTCTTCTTCATAATTCCGGCTGTGATGGTCAGACTGGCGGTGACAGCGATTGGCAGACCTTCGGGGATGAATGCGACCGCGATGGACACACAGTCGACGATCAGAGTGGGAACGTTTATCCAGTCGGGGTAGTCTTTGCGAAGCCAAGCTGCCCAAACGATGATGACGAGGAGAATCATCGAGACCATCAATGCAGTAATGATGCCGACAAAGATAAGAATTTCTTTCTGGAGTGGAGTGAGGCCTTGTTTGGCGTGACTGGTGAGTCTTGCAGTNNCTAGAAAGAGTCAGCATTGTGGTCAACCTTGTAGCTGGGAGCGGCATACCTTTCCGAAGACAGTGTTGTCACCTGTGCTGATGATGATACCATACAGAGTACCGGTGGTGCAATTTGTTCCGGCAAGACCAATGTTTGCAGTTTCCAGGAAGTCCGAGTCTGTGGACTTGACAGTCGCAACCAGAGGCTTGACCTCACCTGTCAAGATGGAGCGATCTAGACGAGCATCTGAAGAGACGTCGAAGAATCTCACATCCGCCGGTACCTTATTGCCCATGCCTATCTTGAGGACATCGCCGGGAACAAGTTTGGTACCTTCAACACTGGACCAGTTACCTTCTCTGAGAACCATTGCTTGGTCTGGAAGCATAGTGTTGATCGATGCCATGACACGGCCACTTGAAAAGTCTTGCCAGAAGCTGAAAGCCGCTTGGATAAGCCACACCAGTACCAAGACAATGGCAAGCGCAAGGTTGGCGAGTGCAGGAGGGTCACCAAGAGGCTTCCATGCAACAAACACCATGATGGCTGCAACGAACAGGATGGAGCCGAAACCTCCGAATAGGTAGGTCGCTGTCTTCATGAGCCAGTTGGACGGTGGTGCGGTAAGCTTGTTGAGCCCGACATCTCTTAACAGGACCATGGCTTGGTCAATGCCCAGACCACTTGTGGGCGAACTTGAGAAGCGCTCGAATACTTCTTCGATCGGAATGGTGTGCAAGTCGTAGGTGCTGAAGTCNNTGTTGGGTCTATTCAGTATCGGTGTTCTGAATGCTGATGTTGTACAGCTCTTACCACTTGAACCTTTCTCTGTTCCTTTCAGCACATCCTTGACCGGCGCGTCGTTTCTGGCCTTGCTCTGCTCGATATCGAAGGANNCTTTGGTCACTCATCAGCCACTGGTGACCCGTCAGAAACATGTGGCAAGCAATTTTACTTACAAAGTTCTGAATTGAGGCGGCAGGACCAGCGATGGGTCAACAGATCTCTGGCGCGATATCGAATGAATCGACATCGAGTCCGTGGACAAACGACGCGATGGTCTTGCCGTAGTGCGAGGTCGAACTTCCACATCGTCGGCATAGGTGATGCGAGGAACCTTTTGCTCAGCCAAATCCACCTCTTTATTGTTGAAAGACATGGCTGCAGATCCTCTACCAAGATATGACGCAAGAAAGACGCAAACAAAGCTGTCAGAGCGGTCGACTCGAGGAGCTCTGAGGATGCAAGTCAGAGGAGGGTAAGAATGAAAAGAGAACGAACACAACAATGGAAGAAAGGATATATAACTATTCCTACCGTGCCTCTTATCCTCTTGGGTTATCTCAGGGCCACACAACAGACACGAGAAGAATCCTCTGACCTAAACCATCTTTGGCAAAAACCTCACCAATATATGTGTCTCGAGAACACCATTTTCATCCTTTCATACCCTTCCTACCAATTTTGTAAGAATGGCCCTTTTCACGTGGTATGCATTGCGCGATTATTTTTCCAGCGGGCGCGCGCGCCTTTTGTCCGTTGGGGCTGCTGCTTGCTTGCGATGCGCGAATTATCTACCATGGCCGTTTCATCCATGTGTGCAGCTGCTTTTCTTGTTTGTTGCACCCCGCGTGGTGGCTATGCAAGGAGCAAGAGAGGAGAAAGAAAGGAACCAAAAAATCTCGCACAGCACGGCGCCCTGCGAACCATTGTTTGGGGGGGAGAAGGAAGCGGGGACCAAGTCATTCGTTTCCTGCCTGGTTGATATTCACAGAAGGACATTACTGTGTCGGTCTTTGCAACAGCACAATGACTTGGACAACCACATCTTGTGGGTAGTTATCGATGCAGAGTGTCTACAATGATATGCTTCCAGCTGATGAAGATTGGTTTTGCTACGAAAAGAAAATAAAGGAGAAATATTCAGGCAAGTGCTAGCCAGGCTCCCCCACAAACCCGCGTGTTGCTTGATCATCGCTGACCGCTTGCAGAATGCAGAATGCAGAAACCGCACGCGCGCGATATATTTCTCTCATCTCTTGTTTCGTGGGCGGGAGCTATGAGTGTTGTCAAGAGGACAATGTGGCTATGCATTTCTAGACCCTTCGCGACACAATTGCGATTGAGAGATCATTCTGGCAGGACAGGTGATGTCAAAGTTGAAGCCGATGCTTCTGAAGCTTGATGCTTTATCCTTGGTCTGGAAAGACCATTGTGCAGTAACGATATGATGACAGGCCATATAGTCTCAAGCAATAGTGGTCCTACACCATTCTAGTTCCATGGAAGCTGCATAATTGGTAGCGAGCAGACACGTTGACGGACATGGTAGCCAGGGAGCAAACAAAGTCAGGGTTATACTCACAGCATTTGATCTTAGTCAAATGCGAGTACTATGCTCCCGAGATCATCGACTGCTCTAAGCATACTAACAAAAGCGTAAGAATGTTTTCTAAGAACCGGAACATATTCTTGCAATGACAGATGGGTGGAGATGTAGTTGTCAAAATGCAGAAAGTAGTATGATGTTATTGTGAGCCCCATCGAGATACTCCAAGATTATAGCTCGCAGTGGATATTGACCTGTATGCTCGAGATATCGTGCATCTCCATAGCTGCATCTCGATTCAAACTGTCCATGGAGAGACGTTATAGTAGTAAGAGTACGGTAGCCTCGCTTTCTTATCCCACCGTGAAGCAGATCTGCCATATACCACCATAAAAATACACAAATACATCACAAGAAAAGAAACGTCCAGTGAGATTTGCTAAAACACCGAGTTTCACTGGAAACATCTTAGTCAATCAACGCCATGGTAATGCACAGTAGTATACTTGTCAAGCGTGTTTACCAGAGAAATATACAATCACATCAGTATGTATCGCTCTCCATGTTAACCACCTGAGCCTCAATATACCATAGAAATGCATGGTATTGTATAGCTAGAAATCTTGCATAGCGAGAGCGGATGGAAAGACAGATCTCATTGGACATGCTTCCCACTATCTACGCTATAAAAATGCACAGTAGTAATCAAATCAGAGATGCGGTCCAGAGAGAGCTACGAACAACCAACCCTTCACCGGACATCGGTCAATCTCGTAGATCGTTCTGAATTTATGTAGTATTTCGAAAAGTGCTCTATGTAGTCGGAGAGAGCAAGAAACTTTGAAAAGTGGAACCAGAAAACATGATATACTAGTGATAAGTGAGTGAAACCTGAACGAAAAGTGACTGGAAACTGACTGAAAAACTAAACGAAAAGTGATTGGAACCTGATTAAAAAGTGATTGGGGACTAGACATTTCACATGTATGGGAAGTGGGAATGAAAAGTGCAAAATCCACCATTTTCCATTCGATTCGTTATAGTACAAAAAAGTGAAAAGGGGGTATCAAAAACAAAAACAAAAGTGAAGCCAGACCAAGCCAGACCGAGCCAAAAATCTATCTACGAGCGCCGGTCTTTGAGCGAGTGACGGGACCGCTCACTGCAGCCGTCGAGCTGCGCAAACCAGCGCGAGTGCCACGACGAACAACGGGCGATGTGACGACGACCTTCTTCTTTGTGACGCCGACGGGCTTCTTGTTCTTCACTGTCGACTTGCGAACAGTGGCGCGGGGCTTCGTCGAGGCGATCGACGAGAGAAAGTCGTCGTCGTCGTCGCCGTCGTCGACGTCGGTCTTGAGCGGCATGACACGGCCGTGTGCTTGGCCGACGTAATAAACGCAAGCACGCTTGTGTCTGCGATTGTCATGCTTTAGGATCTTCTTGTAGTCGGCGAGGCATTCAAAGCAGAACTCGTACGAACATTGGGCGCAAGTCATGTGGTCGCAGCCGCCGTCGATTTCGATGCGGACCTTGCACTTGGGGCAGGGTTTTGTGATGGATGCGATGGTGGCCTCGGACTGTTCGTCGTCGTAGTCGCGGACATTTTGGCGAGCTTGACGCTCATTCTGACGTGCCTGAATCTCGGCGGAGTAAAAGTCGACTTCGGGGACGGCAGGGACGGGGTTGATGCATGTTCCCTGTGCCTGATGGGGAGCCCAGTCGCCTAGGCAGAGCCAGCAGAATTCGTGTGAGCATCTTCCGCCTGCAATATCATGCGTTAGCCACTGTATGTATGGCTGAGCTTATACTCTGACCATGTATGGGACTTACAAAGCATGTGAGGGCATCCTCCATTGCGCTCAATTCGAGCACCACAGCCTCCGGGGCAGATCTTGGATGTTTGGCGGATGAGGGCTTCGGTCTGGATGATTTCGTCGTCGTGACGGGCCTGGTATTGGTCGCAGGTCTCGCCCTCGTGCCATGGGATCTCGCATGCCATGCATTGCTTGTGTTGGCAAATCTTGCAGCAGAAGATAGGCATGTCTTCGCCGCCTATGTGGATCTGGCCCGACTTGCATTTGGCCGACATCTACAGAAGAACAGAGTCAGCCGTGTCCACTATAGCCATGAAGCATGACACTTCGCCGATGTCAGTCTCGCGAGTGTCGAGATACTTACGCAGTAGTAGAAGTCTTCGTCCTCTTCAACGAATATCTTCAGCAGGACCTTATCATACTTCATAAGAGTTGTCTTGGAGACAATCATTTTGACATGTTGGTAGCGCAGAGTCTCCTGACACTCGGCGCATTTAGCGTGGGCCTGGCCCTCATCGATCTGTTGTATGAGGTATCTGTTGAAACAAGTGCGGCAAACATCCGCGCCATGCTGGTGGTGGGAGTCATTGCTGATGTCAGGAAAAGAGTCCAAAGGCTGGTCTTTCATGCAAACAACACAGTCGTGCACGTGACCGGCAGTGTTGGGCGCCATTGTAGAAGTAGCGGGATGGTGGTAGTTTGTGTGGTCTGCTCTCGCACGTGCGCTTGCATATGCAAAAAGGAAGTGTCCAAACTCGTCAGTATTCATAAGCTCCAAGGTAAAAGAACGCCGGCAGGATATTCAAGATGTTGCAGTGAGTCGTTGGTAGACAGAGCCGTAATTTGCAAATCCACACCACGCGAGCCGCCAAGCCGGCATAATACCAGCGACTTGGAAGTGACAACGTGTTGCGGTTGAAGTTTGAGCCGGGATATACCGACCGTGCAAGACGCGTGTGCTTTCATGATAGCCATCCAGGTAGCCTCTGACCTCAACTCGCTCAACACTCAGCGACCTGGAAGAATGATGATTTTGGACCCGCAAATATGGCCACACAGCGATATTGATCTGGCATGATGGCCTCTCGCCAGTCTTTGGTATAGCTCGAGGCTTTTGGTCCAAGGCCAAGTTGACCGTTGCGATTGTCACCAGCAGCAAAGACACGCCCGTCCTGAGCCAGCAGTAAGACATGTCCATCGCCCACGGCAACATTCAGAAAGTCCAGGGGCTCTCCATTCTCCTCGATATCGACCAGTGCTGCTCCCGTCGAGTCCAAATCAGCTAGACAAGAGAGTGAGTTTTGGGTCCCAGGTGTTCCTGTTCCGAAGAGATACACCGCACCATCTTGCGACAATGCTGCTGTCATCCAGCCATCAGACGCAACCTTCTTGATATGCATTCCAGCAAGAGATTCAACAAGACCTGGACTTTTGGCTTCTGTCTCGGTAACGCTGCGGCCTAGCGAGCTGTGTCTTGCGTCTCCCCAGGTATAGACATTGCCATCCTGCGTCAGACACACGAAACCTGTTACATTAGCGACCAATTGGGCTACACGTCCTGGAACGACATGACTAAAGCTAGGTCCATGAAGCTCATTGACTTCGTCGTCGAACCATTGGCGAAACTTGTCGAAAGACGTGAACTCCAGGATGCTGTTCCGAGGAGAACTGGCAGATAGGAGAATGACAGCGACATGGCCATTGCCTGCTACGGCCAAGTGTGAGATACCCGGCACCTCGTCGTCCGAGAGCGAGTCTGCTGATACTGTGTGCGCTTCGACCTGATTCTCTTCGGTGAACGCAACACCGCCTTTGCGACTGAGCACACCAAGAAGACCACTGTGGTCTCCAAATCCGGCGATAAGATCAGGCAGCGGTGCCTCTTGAGTAATCTTGGTATTACCAAGTCTCACGATCCGACCACTTTCCTTGCCAATGCCATGTTGGTAGAGAGTTGTCTCGCTCCAACCGGCGAACAGAAGTTTGGTGTTGTCAGCGTCCTCGAACGTGACAAGCTCAGTGAGTTCAGACAAGTCCTGGTCGGACTCGGAGGAGAGTTGACCAAAGGCATTAAAGCCACTGGCATAGAAGGTAGAGGGTGCCATTAGCTGAGGTCTGTATATCCTGTAGAGAGGGACGATGTGCAGTCGAATTGTAGCTGATCAATCATACAGTATCCAATTGAGGTGTCGCTACGCGAGGAAGACAGATGACATTGAGCCAAGCTCCACGACGGCGCAACGATGCTCTCATATGTGTGAGCGAAGAGGATGATCACGAGGCGAAAGCAGCAAACAATCAATTGAGCTGGTGCTACAGTTGCCAAGGGGTGAGCCGCGAGCGCGTTGCAAGTGTGGTGTTCCAAGCAGACGCTCGGATCAAGTTCAAGAACCTCGGTTAAACGTTCTCATCAAGCTCACCATGAGCTCGCATACAGAGTGGAGAGCGGGAAAGAACATCATCATAAGAGGGCGCACTGATACTAGTGTCATCAGTCGATCATATAACACGAGTACAAAAGTGGCATCTTCTCTACATCTCATCTTCTCCCAAGAACACTCAAATCACCAGCCAAAATGATCATCACGCCAGTTACCACCAAAATTGTACAAGTGCCTCATCTAGGTGGCATTGACGCTAGCACGTACATGCCTCGCCCCTATGATTCCTCGAAGCCTACCCTCGTACTCTGCAACTCCTTCGGCACAGGCGCAGACCTGTACAGACATCAGTACCAAAACGAAGAACTCAATAAATTGGTCAACTTGCTGGCAATTGAATTGCTAGGTCATGGCCAGACCAGAGCAAAGATTGAAAACTTCACATATTGGGACAGTGCGATTATGAACTTGCAGGTTTTGGATAAACTGGAGATCAAAGGCAAGATTTTCGTATTGGGTACTAGTCAAGGTGGATGGCAGACGGTGAGAATGGCATTGTTGGCACCTGAAAGGGTAGGTCACTTCAAAAATACTCAAGAACGATCAAAGTTATTGATGGTAAACTGCACANNGGTCGCTGGTATAATACCTCTCGGCACATCGATGGACACAGAAAACGAACGAACAGTAAATCTCGGCTGCTGGGATGCAAAACAAAGCCTCACTCCCATAATCGACGGCTGGACAACCAACGAAAGTACACCAGACTTTGTCCCTCCAGAAGAGTTCTGCCATTTCATGAACGCTTCTGGATTTGGCAAGGACATCCCGGTCGAAGATGGAGAGTTCTGGGTCAAGGCTATTCAAAAAAACTGGGGTGGTGATGATGGTCGCAGACGCGCCAGAATGTGCGCTACCAACTTGCGCGACCGAGATGGTCTGTATGGAAGATTGTTTGATGTGCGGGTCCCGGTGTTGTGGCTGCATGGAGATCAGGATGTGGTGTACAGTGTGGCCAATGCTGAGGAGGAGATTAAGCTCTTCGTCAACAGCCCTGATGCAACGCTACAAGTCATCGAAGGCGGACCTCATTATCTGAACTACACCAAAGCTAAAGAGGTGGATGCTGCGGTGGTGAGTTTCTTGGCCAAGCACGTCAAGCAGGCCAAGCTGTAGTTGAAACATCGCCCGAGGATAAGAAAACACTGTATTATGTGGTCTTGGATCAGGATAGACCTTGAATAACTGACATATCGAACCATTGAAAACCGAGGCCTGCCGCTTGAATCCCATGAGCACCCAGAAAGAAAGAAAGAAAGAAACATAGGAAAGTAATGACAAGAAAGAATAGTGGTGTCCGGTCATTCATCTGAACTTGCTGATGATGACAGCAAGAATCAGGAGAACCAGAACAGTGATGATGGCGATGGTGATTATCTTATTCGTAGCCATTCTGGAGAGAGTCAGTCGACCGTTGTAGTGCGGGTGTTTATTGGAGATGGATCAGCATTACCTACGAGCCATCTGCTTCAATGTCTTGTTGCTCCTGTCGGTGTAGCCCTCACCCTCGAGGAGCACGTCTCTAGAGTGCTCAATGACCTCTCGTTGTCTGGCCAAGTCGGCAAGAGTGTTGCGACCAATGTCTTCGGTTTCGAGAGCAACGCGCTGACTTTCGCGTAGGCGGCCACTCGAACGGTCGAGTCTGTCGGTGCCTGATAGGAGTTGTTGTCTTTGCTCAAGCTGATCGTCGCTGGTAGGATTGTCGGTGTAGCGTCTTCCAAAGAGAGCGGACTTGTCGCTGGACAGGCCCTTGAGTTTCTGCTTGGCCATGTCGATGTCGTGTGTGTAGTTGCGGAAGCGCTGGTTCGTCTTGGTCTTTTGGTTTGCGGGCAGGTTTTCCTTTTCCAATCGCATCGAGTCCAGNNCTGTGGGTGCAGAGTCAGTGGGAGATGTGCTAAGTCGTGTTAAGAAGCGACTTACGATCTCAGTGGCCTCCTCCAAGGAACGCTGTGCTCGGCCGATGGCAGCCTTGCGCTCTTCCCCGGCGAGTTCGGGCAGCTGGTCGAGCTTTTGGTTCAGGTCGGCTTGGACGAGCTTGAGTTCGGCTTCATAGTTGTTGAAGAGTTCGGATCCAGCGTCACTGTCCATTGGGTTGGCCATGATGTCTGGGATACGGTCGATCTGTGGTAGACTGCGGTGGGTATTGGGTTATTCGACGTGCGCGTGGGTGTGAGGTGGATGAGATAGTTGTGGAATGGTATGGCTCTCAGCGACAAGGCGTAAGGGGTTTCGGCTCGTTTCAGTCTTGTTGTGTCTGCCTTCTGCTCTTTCATGTGCTTCCAAGTCGGGGGAGGGACGATGATGTTGACCGCGGCTGCCGACACGCCAAGCTCGGACCACTTTCCTCGGCTGCTCAGGCCGACCACTTTGTTCTGTCTTTCTTGTGTCATCTCAAATGTTTGCGGCACATCAATCACGCCGTGTGCAGGTTGCAGCTTCGTTACAGCTTTCAACATGCCATATCTTCCATGATCCACTGACCGAGCAGTGCTTCAGTCATGCGTCTCCATCTTGACACAACCTTGCTGGCTGGAGGTTGCATCCTTGGTGGGCCAGTGCTTCCTCGATGACGCTTAAGATTTAACGCCTCACGTCCGACTCTCAAAACGCGTTGTCCCGGAGTCTCCGTGTTCGGTTTGACCGGCCTGCCAAACCTTCCTCTACATCTACCTTGTAGACTTGACCTTTTCTTCGTCCTCATCTCGTGTTGCTTGTACTGCTTCGCTTCTCCTATTCAATGCTTCCAACAGAGAAGAAACGCGTCGCTATCGTTGGCAGTGGATGTGCCGGTCTGGGTGCAGCCTGGGCACTGCAAAATACTGACCATGAGGTTCACATCTTTGAGAAGTCGGATCGTTTAGGAGGCCATACAAATACACAGACATTCACACATGGCCAACACTCTACGCCTGTGGATACTGGCTTTATCGTCATGAACTCTGCCACATACCGTTCGTCCTAGCTATCGTTCTTCTCCAGACCTAATCACTAACCATCATCAGCGAACTTGATCCGTTTCCTGAATCACGTCAAAGTAGACATTGTTCCCACCCTGATGACATTCAGTGTTTCGCGCAACCATGGTGAATTCGAATGGTCTGGTTCTGGCGAAGGCATTTTCGCTCAGAGGGAAAACATCTTCAAGCCTAAGATGTGGCGCATGATATTCGACATCATTCGCTTCAACCAATTTGCTCTTGATCTGCTTACCGAGGATGACTCTGCACGCACTGATCAGACGGTCGGCGACTACTTGGAGGAACAAGGCTACTCTCAAGCGTTCAAGGATGACTATCTCATTCCTATGACTGCGGCAGTATGGAGCACATCTCCAGACAAGACCAGTCTGGAGTTCCCTGTATTGACTCTCGTCCGCTTCATGTGGAACCATCACCTACTGTCGACCATTGCCGCACGACCTACTTGGCTGACCATCAAGGACGGGTCTCAGAAGTACATCGACGCAATCGTGCGCAGCTCCGACAAGAGGAGATTCCACTTCCACACCTCGACTCCGATCACTGGTGTCACGAGGATGAATCAGAATGGCAAGTCTGTGGTTGAAGTCAGCTACAAGAGTCCGTTAAGTGGCACTCAGGAATCGTCGACTTTCGACCATGTGATTATGGCCTGCCATGGAGACGACATCCTGCCTCTTCTTGCTGCAAAGTCGCGAGTGCCGCCATCAGAAAAGGAACAAGAGATTCTAGGTGCATTCCAGACTTCTGAGAACATCGCGTATCTCCATTCTGACCTCTCGTTGATGCCATTGAGAAGACCGGTCTTTACAGCCTGGAACTACCTGACGACCTCTGCACCATCGAAGCTTAAGCACCCAGCTGGTGTAAGTCTGACATACTGGATGAATCTGCTGCAGCATATACCAGAGTCCAAGTTCGGTCCTGTACTTGTCACGATGAACCCTCCTCATGAGCCTGCGCCGGAACGTACTCAAGGCAAATATGTATACCGTCATCCTCTGTACACACCAGCAGCCGTACGGTCGCAAAATAGGCTGAACGAGATTCAAAACACATCAGGAATCAGTTACTGTGGAGCTTGGACAAAATACGGCTTCCACGAAGACGGCTTTAGCAGTGGCCTCAAGGTCGCAATCGATCATCTCGGCGCGACTCTGCCGTTCGAGTTCAAGGACTCGACCTTCTCGCGAGGTAAGGCGCCTCAGCTGAACATGATGGACCATGCAGTACGCACTGCAATCGTCTGGATCATGAGATTTGCTCGTGTAATGCACTTCTTTTTGTCTCTGCCACCAGTAGCGTTGATGCTATCAATATTTCTGGGCCCTCTTGAAAGGGGGTTCGGTATTAAGATCAAACTAGAGTAGATTGTGAGCGACGAGAAGGTCAATATTGGGCGGAGGTACAATTCATAGAGATGTTTATGAGAATATTCAGAGAATGTATAGCCGCTATAATTTTGGACAATCCTCTCTCACCCTCAACATCACATATTCACGCTATGTATTCTCACTGCTCAATCAGACCTTCGATCCAGATCACACAACGCTGGCAAACAAGTGCACTGAGGACGGTTAGAAGTTGGAAGGAGAGTCAGACTTGAACGCGGAGGTCCGAGCTTTGACACGCTTTCACAGATTCCTCCTTGATTGAATCTCCAAGGCCACTTCCATCAAACATCCAACGACCAACTTCGAGATTCGATCCTATTTAATTCTCATTCAACAATAATAATATCACCGCCAGACTAACTCATTCACTCTCATACTCCAACATGGCGCCAGCTGCACCAGGACCCATGTATGGCAAGGACGAAAAGGCGCTCTGCTTCCATCACGAATTGCTCTACGAAGCAAAGGTGCTGGACTCGCGACACACTGATCAAAACGACAAGAAATCCCCCTACGAGTACAAGGTCCATTACAAGGGCTGGAAGAACACGTGAGTTTGCGACGTCCACAAACATTCATCACCCCTCTGCACAGCAAAATGTCCCCTGCTGTGGCCCTTTCGGCATCCCAAAACCACAACACCATCTCTATCTCTACATACTTCATCTTCTTTTCATCGCACGGATGGTATGAGCGACTTTCTGCATATCCATCACAGTTTTATCGTCCAGATCCTTTCTTTCCTACGAAACATGTTCTGATTAGGGCGGTTGCCGGCCTGAATTGTGCTAATTTTCTTATAGGTGGGATGACTGGGTCCCTCAAGATCGCCTGCGCAAGTACAATGATGAGAACCTTGAACTCTCCAAGAACTTGAGGCAAGAAATGAACGCACAACGCAGAGCTGCAGCAAAACCGATGACTGCGACCGTGACCAGAAAGCGTGATCTTAATACTGGCTCTGCTAGAGGCAGCGAGGAAAGAACAGCCCCTACAGCGCCAACTCGCGGAACCAAACGCGGAAGAGAGTACGAAGGAATTGACAAGGTCAGTAAATCTCTTTAGATGTGTTTGCATATTTGTCCGGATTTTGCGTGGTTGAGTGGTGTGGAGGTCTGCCCCTCGCCAGATCAACCCGAACACGAACATGTTTGCACCACAGCCCGACTTTCTCGGAGCCAACAGTGGATCTGCTTGATATTGACCGGCTTGATCTTTGGGTCGCAAGAATACCTCCAAAATATCCACTAACCACGAAAGCAGGAGGACGAATTTCTTCGTCGACCTTCAATCAAAATCTTCATGCCTGACAGTCTCAAGGCGATTCTAGTCGATGATTGGGAGAAGGTAACCAGAGAGAACAGACTGGTTCCGCTTCCTTCGAAAACCCCAGTAGCACAATTCCTTGCAGACTACTCTGCATCCGAAGGCGCCAAGCGCAGAGAAGGCAGCGCCGAAGCAGACATCCTTGAAGAGGTGATTGCCGGTGTCAAGGAGTACTTCAACAAGAGCATCGGTCGCATCTTGCTATACCGTTTTGAACGTCCTCAGTGGTCCGACATCCATGCTCAGCTCAACAAGGGCACTGGAGACTTGACCGGCAAACTCCCCACTGACATCTACGGAGTAGAACACCTGTGCCGTCTGTTTGGTTAGTTTTCTTTGTCGCCTTGATTTTCATTCACTAACGTATCTCAGTCTCCATGCCCGATCTGATTGCCCACACCAACATGGACTCTCAGGCCGTGAGCCGTCTGCGCGAGGAGCTGCACAAGATGACCCAATGGCTCAGCAAGAACGCCGGCAACTACCTATCCCAGGAGTACGAGCAGCCCACGCAAGATTACATCGACCGTGTCAAGTAGACCTAAGGCAACGGAAGGAAGAGGGCATATCTGCATTAAAGCGATGGCGTGAATGGGGGCTCTGGGATTACCACTTTGGTACAAACACTTGCACGGCGTCTGGCCGGGCCTGAAGATTTCCCACACACTGGGCGTTATGATCATATCACTTTCATTATTGTCTTACTTTCGGAGGCGGTTGCAGAGAAGGCGTCTCGCATACAATTAGGGCTTCGAATCGTTTTCTAGGTTTCTTCCTTGCAGCGGTGTCTCTCGGTCGCCGTTTTGTCCCTCGAGATGAGCACCAAGAACAATCCGGGGCAAAGCAACCCTGTCCCTGACTCCTGCACCCAGCACGAAGGATTAGCAACAATTATTAGTGGCTTGTCTGAACCACTGCTTTATCTCTTTTCGTATGTGCCAAAATACGAGTCAATCACCAAATGGGTATCTCTGACTCGAACGCGACGAGATGAATATTTCCAGCCACGCTGACCAAACCCTGATAGATCACGTCACAACGGTTTGGGCGAGCCGCACCCGCCTTGGAGACACTGGAGAAGTCGCACCGGGCAGTGGGTGATGACTACCACAACACCAACGGTCTGAAGAATCTGTAATTGTCAATGAGGTGGATGCTCTTCTCCAATATTGCTTGCGATTATATACCACGGAGGATGCGATTCTGGTCCGGAGCGTACGCAGCTTGGCAAGATGCGCCGTTCTCGGACCTTGTTCTCGCATCCTCTCGGCCGCGGACCTGGGGTTGTGCCGCCTGTGCTGGGCCCTGGTCCTCAAAACTCAACGCCCAGCATCTTAAGCAGGATGGAGTCAACCGACTGGGCTGCATTGCAGATCAATGGCAATGTCTATGCATGCTGACTTTTCTCACTACTGCAGACGAGCTTTCCAACAGGCGTGGATGTATTCTTGCGAAAGGCTGCTCGAAGAGGACCAGGGAGCGATTCCAGGTGATATACGACAAGCTAGATGTGCTTGGCGAAAGCCAACCATGTTCTTATCGCACGCCAGGTGGCGAGAGCCTCTCTGTAAGGTCCCCGTTTAGCGGATGTACGTCTCAACCGGGCGCTGTGGATACGCGTGACGCTAGAGTCCTTCTCGAATTAGGACTGAGGTAGGAATAAGCTCTGCAGTCCCGTCCAGGCAGTTGATAATCCTTCGAGCTCCCACTTTGCACTTGCATAATCTCACGTCTCGATCTTTTTTCTTCTGACATCGTATCATTGTTTGAGCGGTTGCTGACCACCGCCCTATTCTTCGACTCTGGCATTGTGGTAGCCGCGGTATGACCAAGGAGCAACAGGCAGGGACTACACTTTCGCCTCAGGAATATCCCTGAAGTCGTCTCCCTCACGCCAATTATTTTCCGTCAATCAACCTCCACTATGGTACCTCTAAAAGCAGAGACGTGGATATGGTGGACTTTTGTGGTGATATGTGTTATTTGCCGAATGTGATTTGAGCCCTTGCGACCTTTTGTCATCATCAATACAATTCTGACTGTACGCCAGNNGATCTCGAGGTACCAGAGTCTCGGCACGATCAGACGCTTTCAAGCCGATGACTACATCACCATCTTCGCCATGTGTTTCTACACCACATTGATCGTCACCATCAACATTGTCGCTCAATCCGACTCCAATCTGTTACCGCCAGGGTTCGACGTCAACAGCCTCACTCCCGACCAAATACACGATCGTTCATATGGCTCGAAACTAGTCCTTGTCGTGGAACAATGTCAAATCATGACTGTCTGGTGTGAAAAGCTATGTCTTTTGTTGCTCTACCGCCGCCTCACCGTTGGCAGATGGGAAAGAATGGCGATCACAGCACTCTTCTTTTACGTCTGCATCAGCTGGGGCATCATGGAAATTCTCTACTTTGGCGTCTGGTGCAGGCCTTTCAACATGTACTGGGCCGTGCCTTCGACTACGCAATGCACCGCCGCAACAAATCACCTCATCACCAATGCAGTCTTTAACATCAGCTCGGATGCTATGATATTGGCTGTTGCCCTCCCTATGTTTATCAAGACACGACTGCCCCTGAGAAAGAAGATTGCAATTGTTGGCATTTTCTCGCTGGGGACCTTTGTCATCATCTGCGCCATCTTGAACAAGGTGTACAGCTTCAACCAGCCATTTGGTCTCGAATGGACATTTTGGTATGTCCGCGAATCCAGCACAGCACTACTCACAGCGAATGCCGCCTTTGTCTGGGCTCTACTCCGCCGAATCTTCAAACTCCGCTCTTTGGGTTCTTTCTCCGGCAAAAACACATACACGCCGTATAATGGATANCACACCCACCTACACAACAACGCATACGCGCGTCGAAACGCTAGTCCGCAAAAGACACCTCGCCACGACGAAATCGACTTGGACCTACTCATGCCGGATCCAGACGACTTCGAGGGCATCCATCGCCATACGGAAATTTGCGTATCCGAAGACACGATGAGCTTGAAACGCGAAAACAACTCCATGACAGGGGGAAGAACTGCATGGGCAGAAGCATGGGCGGTAAGAGCGCCAGCAGAACCCAAACCAGGAAGCAGCAGCAGCAGAGATGGTGGCAGCGATTGTGGACGCAGTATGGCCAACTCGACGACGGAGATTGTGTCTTCGTCGCCGCCGAGGAAGCCTTCGAAGGCGTTGTTACGGCAGAGTCAGAATGATTCGCCTGTTTGAGGGTAATGCCATTTATGACCTTGTTTCTTCTCTTTTGTCAAGATTTAGCGCTCTTAACTTCTGGTCTGTCGGTTACCAGACTTACGATATACACCAGTTTCTTATTTGTACATATTCTGGCTTTTATATACCACAACCCAGACTTTCTGATCATCCGCACAGAATATCAAGTTTTTTTCACTTTCTTCTGAAGCTCCGGTTGATTGTTTAGCACCTCTGAACGTTCTTTCTGTATTCCTCTTTCTTCTACTCCTTATCTCCTCATCGTGATCATTAATACCAAAGCTACGAAGCCCTCTACATATCGAATCCATCCTCTCGGGCCGAAGGATAAGGCACCAAGTACAATAGTTCTCAAACAAGATGCCAAGTCCCTTCATCCCTCATCATATGCAAGGCTTTCTCACACGTGGCCTTGGAAAACGGAAATGAGGTTGGTGGGCACAAAAGTCAATTGATCCTTCCGGATTTATTACTCCAACGTGCGTACAGCAATTGCATAAACCGATGCTATGCGTGAAAGCAGCACTCAGAAGTTCAAGACTCTCAAGGTCTTGCTCTACCGGTAATAGAAGATGACCACCGTTCCTGCTTCAGTGTCAGTGGTATAAGCTTAGGGGAGGAAAGAAGGTCTTGGCTGTCCAATCGTTGCTTCTTTCTTAGACCACTCCCATATGACAAATTAAAACCCCTCGAGCTGTTGAACAATCAAAACGATCCATACATCGCCGACTTTGGACAACACTACCAGTGCCAAATCCAGTCCAACCAGATGAGGTCAAAAGTATTCCAAAGTACCACGAGTCAAGACAAAATGCCACAGAGTCATGTCCCGCGACTACCCTCTCCACAACCACACCCCACAACCAAGCCCTCCGCGGTTCCTTGGATACAGAATCCGCAGATAATAGGCAAATGACTCGACTAGGTGCATGACTACATCCCCCGACCGCTGATACTATTGTTTGAGCCTCTCGTCCGCAATTGGTGTCGGGGTTTTGATTGTGGAAGTCAATCTTGGTCTGGAGAGCCTATATGTTGATAGTGTGCATGTCACTTACCAGATAAGATTGATACTCGTAGAGACAATTTGTCCGAAGTTTCTCTGTGGCCACAGCCTTGGTTCAGTAATCAACTGTGTAACTCTACGGCTACCCTGTCACAGTCTTGAGTATACAAGGAAGGTTCGTCTTCTACGTCAAATAAGGCCCTTGCGACTTCCGGAACTTTGCAGTATATTCAAAGAGCCGTCTCAGGCCTGTTCCTTGAAGGCGATACAGATGCACGATATATCTCCCTTGCCGTCGTATGCATTGTGCTCAGTAACAGCCACGTCGCCATAGTCCAGTTGAGCCTCTTCAAAATCTTCTGTTGTTGCCCCTGCAACTGCAACAGCATCTTCCGTCGTGCGAGTGTCTTTTCCAAGAGCAGCTGCTTTTGGAGCGTAGATATCGATATCAACCCGTCTCTTTTTCCAATAGCCCTTGTTGGCTACTGCATGTAGCTGATAGGCAAAGACGATGTCCTGAGCGGTCGAGGACTGCTCACTGAGCGTCTTGGTTTGCGAGACGCTGAGCTCGGCACCAGCTGAAACCTGGTCGGTGATTGGTATATCTGCGCCAATGTTCGCTCCCTTGCTCTTTGTGACCTCAGACGTCAGGTGAAAGCCTTTGGCGACTTTCAGACCGGTGACGATGTAGATCGGGACAGAACCGAGTATGCCAGACTTCATGACCTCTTGGAGGTTGCTATTGGCTCTGACCATTTCTGCAGCTTCGTCGTCGGTGATGTCGCGTTTGTAGGAGATGGTTTCCAGACTGTCCATAGTGTAGTGATCAAGAATGGTCTTGTCCTTCTGCAAGCCAATGGTTCCGCTTGCTGTCTCGAGGAACTTGGCGAATGCGTTTACGTGCATAGAAGCTGACACTCCGGGCGATATGGAACGGTCATATTCGACGTGGGTGTCGGTCTCGATGTGGAGTGGAATCTTTCCTATCCACTTGCTCGGACGGAATGGGTTAGCGATGATGGTGCCGAGCTGGACATTAGCACCAAGGTGAGTTGTAAAGTTTGGGGCGAGAAGGTAAGTTTTCAAGATAGCCATGTTGAATTGTCATTCGTGAAAAACTGAGGGTGATGGAAGCCATGTTTGTATGCGCAAAGAGCCATCATATAACCAGTCCATGGCAGAATAGGCGCCCTCAGCCTCGTAAGCTCATGCAACAAGCAGGCAGAGGAAGAGCTATTGCACAGCCATGATGTGGCTTATCGCTCTTACCTGCATGCCGACGCGCCTGCATGTTGATGGACCGCAGCATCTTTGAGGGTTTGTCAAGATGGAAGGTAGTCAAGTATCCCCGCAAGGGTTACGCCTGCTTGATCAGGCTGATCAGCGCATCCCAGTTTTATGCAGCGTATAATTGTTGTTCAGATCTGATGATGCACTAGCACAACTCAGCACATTACACAACACCTTTGAGAGAAATATCCCGAGACAACAGTCGAAGAGCTCCTTCAATCGGCATATCTAAGCATAGCCAATCTTTCGTCTTCCTCTTTGTGTATGAAGTCCATAGGGTTGAGATAGGAACACCGCGGCGGAATTGTCTCAACAGACAGCTTCTTGAGAACTCTTCTCATTCCGTCCTGTCTTGAAAGCCTATCAAGAAGCTCCAAATCATCCCTTTGGGTTGATGTATGTAGAAGATGGCGAGCATAGCTCAGTATCATGGCTGCGAGGCCAGCAGTAATTGGAGTCGCGTACGAGGTTCCTGACACGCTCTCGTTGCCGCTTACAGTGGGCACATCCTGACCAAGCGTCATGAACGACCAACCTCTATCAACATCAACTGGGGGTTTGATCTCCACCAGTTGCCTTGATGATCTGTTGCTCTGATTGCGAACACGTGGTCGTCCCTCGCTGGGTACATTTCTCGTTCATTGGCACCCTCGTTCGCAGCGGCTGCAAAGAACAGAATCTGTCTGTTTTTGTAGGAATATGCCTCTGTGATGGCTGCTTGGATGGCGGGCTGGTCTTTTGTGAAACCAAAAGACATACTAATTATGTCAACGTTGTGCTCCTCGACTGCCCATTTGATTGCCTACACTCGTTAGCTTCTGCTGTATTCGTTAATCATGTCTTGCAATCACCTTTGCAATTTCATTCACTCTAGAAGTCACATCGTCAGAACTCTCAAAAACCCGTGCCACATAGAAGTCTGCGAAAGGCGCTATGCGGAGAGCCAGACAGAGCACGTCGGTACCATGACCATCTGCATCTTGACTTTCTCCAGGACTGACACTGCCCACAGCGCTGTTGGGTTCCCTTAAAAAGTTGCGAAAGACTTTGATACGTCGTTTTCTAGCGCTGATGAAAAACTTGTTTTCCGAGTCATAGCCTGTGTCCAATATGGCGACACGAACCGGTTTTGAATCGCAGGGACCAGGCTTGGAAGCGCTTCGCAAGAGGATTCGTACGAGCCCGGACCCTTGAATCTGGTCAACCCACTCATGTGCTGGTTTGTCAATCTTCGAGGTTGTACCAAGGGCGATTAGGCTCGGTGATTGCGGAGTTGGAGCTATTGGATCGACTCTGCTTTCAGGGAACAACGGCTGATACAGAGCAATACGGTCGAGAATGTGAGAACTGCCATAGATGACAGCTCCATTATCGTCTACCAGCTTCAGGATTCGACAAATCAGTTGCAGACGAGACACAACTTCATTCCATAAAAGGTCACGTCTTTTATGGAATGCTTGTGTAAGATCTTGGCTATGGCTAGATGTATCTTCAAGCCTTTTCCAGTCAAAGCAGACAGCAACTGCATCCCTGAAGTGTTTCCTGTATGCCGTGTCCAGTCCAAGATGAGGCCAAGAAGGATCTCTGTTTATAGTCCGTGAATTGTCAAGCAGGCTATTGTTCATGAACGCGTCCAAAGTGCTGTTGTCTCTCACTCGGCGCCGAGGTTCTTTGCGACAAAGCTCCACCAGAATTACTCCCAAAGCTAGTATACGCGGGAATCGATGGTTGGCACAGCAATCGACTGACTCGGATACAGGGGTCCTTCGGTGTTCATGTTCATTATCGGCAAAAGCAAGATAAGGTCGAGCTGGATTTAGAGTGCATGCGTCAGGCGTATCGTCCTCTCTCTCTTCCATCATGAAGTGGATGTCGTTTGTAGTCCAGAGCGCGTTAAGCCAGTCAGTGTTATAATACTGCCATACAGATTTAGCAAGTATGTATGCAACGACCAGTCTATCACGAGTTGTGAGATGCCGCATCCGAAGAATCTCTTCGAGGGGTATACTTGGTACGGGCTGAATCGGATATTCAGCATCTCCCAGGGGGACAGGCCGAGAGATTTTCTCGAGCTGATTGCCACAGATCCTCAAACAAAGTTTCACAGCTCCTACATTGTGTCGAATAAGGCGGCAGAAGTCCTGCACATCTAGCGGTCTGCCCTGGCTGACCTCTGCGTAAGGAGCGATGTCCTTTGAATTGACACAGGTTATATGTTGAGTTCTGTAAAGAGTGAGCGAGGATGATACCGGTGTATCGAATTTTGATGGAAATTTTCGTACGTTGGGACATAGAACCGCATAAGTTGGCATCGGAGCGGCTCAAGTCGATGCATATCAGCCGGCGCGATGAAAATTGTATCGAAAAGATAATCGTTGACTCGATCGTTGCCGGCCTTCTCTATCAACCGCAGTCGACCTTGAAAATGCCGCACAGATCCTGGAGGATCATGACTACATGCACATAGGGCATGTCGAGAAATTGTCTCATATAGTCTTTGACTCACCGCGTCCGGGACAGGCTCTTCGATGAGCGGTTTCAAATCAGGATATAAGCTCTCAAGCGAAGCTGATGCGCTCTTTCTGGCCTGAGGAAGAAACTTGTTGAAGGAAGTAATGTAAGCCTCTGCTTTCTTTGGCACACCTGTTGCCCAAGCTTTCAGATTTGAAGCAAGACGTTCAGGGGCGATGGTATGTTGCGCTATTGTGTTGAGAGTTGGATAAGAAGAGTCTGGTGGATTTGGCCACTTTATACATTGTCAGTCCTTTGCATTCCGCAAACTGGCTGCCAAGCTCACCACGCAAACGGTTTCTAGTTGTCTCAGAAATTTGTGAAATCTGTGCTCCGAGATAGTTTGTCTTGTCTGGTCCCAATTCATGAGATCATGCGCGACTCCTCCGAGTGTCGCACCAAGCTTGCCGAGAATGCGCGGTGCTGATGGTCGTGAAGTGCGATTTCGCGACAACACGCACGAGTGCGCAAGCTGGCAAGCGGCGTCTGCCACTTCTGTTGACACAACAATACAGAAGTCCTTAAGATCTCCTTCCGTAGTCATGTCGTCGCCCGAACCGGAGGAGTCTTACCAGAACATCCATCTACTGCTGACTCTACTTACTGCGGAAGGAATCACCGTGCCTTGGCAAGATACCGACATGCATAGCCGCGCTGATTTATCCGTCCCTTCTCTGGGCAGCTGTTACTCGAGTATTTCCTTCCAGCAAAGCAACACTATAGTCAACCCTCTTCCACCTCGATGTAGAGCGACGATACGCATGTAAAAACTCACGATCCCCTTGCGAATCAAGCGTGGGAGCATCGCAATATCGTGTATTGATGTCTCTCGGCGGACATCGCTGCCACCCGTTTGTCTATCTCACAACCACACTGAAACGATCTCTAGCATCCGGGACGTCGATCAGATCGGACCACAATGGCATCTCCGATACAGCAGGGTAACCGCGATGACATGCAATACAAAACAGCCAGGGTGCACCAAAACATGCTCGCTCTGCTCGCAGCCGTCGCGCCTCAGGAATTCATCACTACCGACGGACAACATGATGCAAGAAGGAAAGACAACTCCGCTGCTGCTCAGCCTGAAGCTCACAAGTTTCCTAGAAAACAGGGGATGGCGATGACACAGGTTCCACGACCCGTGATGACTGAATGGGTAGAAAATAGGCTCGCTGATCTTGACCTCTGGATCACTGGATTTGGCACCCTGGACGCATGTGAAGCATCTCAGAAAACACGACTCTCATTCCATCCCGGGGACAAAGTAATAATCGAGGCTCTTCTAACATTACTGGGATCATTCGTTGATTCTTGTCGTACCTCTGGTAACAAATACGATTTATGGCTCTTGATCTAGTACTGACCATCTCAGCTACATACGATGCATACACTCAAAGTGATGGCGATGCCGAAACCACGGCCGACCCAAACGAGCGCTCTAATGGTTCTTCTTCTGGTCGTCTTTCGCCGTGGTCTGATGAGAGTTCTGAGCACGACGCGATCGCTACGGGTGTCACTCCTTCCAATGGGCTCAGGAAAGAAACCTCTCTTGATATTGATGGTGTGGATTCTGATACTAGATTTCACCCTGAGGAAGCACCAGCGAGTGATCTGTCGGAATCTATGAAAGGAGTGGAATCTACGTTGAGTCAACTCATCCGCTTTGGTTTCAAGATTCGGCAGCCAGCAAATACTGAGAGGCCGCGAAAGGCAGATACGGTACTCGCATCTAAAGAGTACAAAGCCCTTCGTCAAGAGTTAATCAGCATGTTGTCTGCATCTTCGAATGATCCCCAGACCTCTGAAGGACCGCATACACAGCACGATTCTGGAGACGGTCTGAGCAAAGTTCAAACTCGCTTGATCAATTCGATATTGGACCGACGAGATCTTTTGCCATACGTATGCCCAGTTGTAAACTGTCATGTTCCTGACGTCTGTTATAATTCTGCAGAAGATTGGACATCACACGTGTACATGAACCATACTCAGAGCACCTATTGGCGATGTCCAGCCTGTGACGAAAGGACAGATGCGACACAGGACTTTGTCCTCCATATCCAACAGAATCATGATAACATCATAGACTCAGATTTACTGGACGATTTCGCTGAGTCCTGCAAGCACTCTGAGCTGACACCGTTGACATGTCCGGTCTGCGGAGACAAGAGCAGCTGTACTTTGGATGCCATTGGCGAGCATATTCACACGTTCTTCCAAAAGTTCCTATCTTCTCTTGTCGTCAACTCAACAGCAGATGAGATTGAGCTATCTCAGAAGATCGGGCCGTCGTCTTCAGATACGCAACATTTTGTCGGTGCAGATGAATTTCGACTTTCCAATGCCGGCGACTATCACAAAATGACTTACTTTGACGATTGGGAGCACTTAGACAGCGCAAAGTCGTCACGGCACCGAGGTGCAGACAGCAGTACGGACCTTGCCATGTCCGTTGCCGCAAATGAGAATACCAATTTCCAGCTGAGCAGCGACGCAGGCGATCGTGAAGTGTCTTTCCGATCCACCAAAGAACCGGGGAAAGTTGAGGTATTTATTCGAAAAGTTGCAGGTAGCGAGCGCAGCTATCCTCAGGGCACGAGACGAGCGCCTCTCATGCTTACAAGGTCTTTAGGCAGTGCAGAGCACTGTGAACACATAACATCTACAGCACCAGTAGCTTTCGATAACGAAAACGATCAAAATCTGGCAATCCCACCATATCCACTGTCGTGGCCTGAAGAAGCTGCTGCTGCTGCTGCTGCTGCAGATCCTATCATATATTCCCTCCCATCGTTTCCAGGCATAGCGAGCAGGGCGACATCATCATCATCATCGTTCAGTAGTAGATATCCACGCGGAGCAACGCGTAGCCCACCGCGATACTTTCACGATTCGATATATGGCTCGAGACATGGCTCGACACATGGCTCGACATACGGGTCAACATACGGGTCAACATACGACTCGACGTATGGCTCAACGTATGGCTCGACATACGGTTCGACACGCGGCTCGAACATTATATCTGCAAATGACACAACGAGAACAGGAACGTTGTCAGAAACCCGCAGCAGTACTACATCGGAACGTAGCGCCAACGACTCGGCATATGTCAGCAACACTTCATCACGAGGTGGCGGAAACGAGAGATACGATTACGTGAATTACAATGCGGTTCGCGGAACAGAAGACCTTTACAGCAATGCAGAGAACAGCAATCTGAATCGTAGGAGCGAACGTTCATTTATATTGTTGTCGCCAGCCGGAGCTTGGGAGAACTATCGACAAGCAGATATTCTGACGTATCCGGGCACAGGATCATGGTTCCTGCGCTCAGACATCTTTCATCGATACAAATCTGGAGTCATCCGCGGTATCTTGTTGTCTGGTGATGCTAGATGCGGCAAAACCATACTGAGTTCTACAATCATCACACATCTGAGATGCAGTCCAGATCTGGTGACAGTATACTTCTTCTTTGATTCGGAAGATATACGAAAACAGACTGCGGACGCTATGCTTCGCTCACTGATCTTTCAGCTGTGTCAGAAGCGTAGAGAATGTCGAATCCTACTTACAGAGTCATTCGAAAGGTCTGACGAGATCAACTGGCAATCCATGATTGACATCTTGATCCAGATGATAGAGCTGTGCCATCTAGAGGTACACATTGTCCTGGATGCTATTGATGAATGCAAAGATCTGTCGATGGCTAGATCGGGTCTTTCAAGAGTGTCAGCCTTACATCCTTCGAAGACCCATGCAATAGTCACAAGTCGCAATGTGCTCTCATGTAGAGATTTTTTCGATGCCACTTCGATTGAGTACGGATTCCTTGATATCCAACGACACGGTGATGTCTATGGGGACACTCTTGTATTTGTTCATGGCAGATTATTCTCTGAGGAATTCTCCATGTGGCCTTCTGACCAACTCGAGAAGATTGAGAATCGCTTGGCCCAGACAGCTGGTGGATCGTAAGTTACCCAAACACTCTTCGTGCTCTTCCTTGTCTGACCTCTGAAGCTTCCGGTTGTGTTCGATGCATCTCGAGGCTGTGAGCAAATGTCTCGATCAAACTTCGCTGGATCGCTGTCTCGATCGCCTGCTGTACAAGTACGACAACAATCAGCCACAGAATATCAATTTGCCAGCGACAGGGACTCATGTAAGGTTAACAGAACACGGCACTTCCAAAGATCCTGGCTCACAAGACGACCGTGGTGGCCCTGAAGCTTTACTTGGAGCGGGCCGCGAGAAGCATCGTATGGTCAGGCGTATAAGAGTTGATGATGATCTAGAAGGGATCAAGCATAAGATGCAGGAAGTCATGAGGGCGGCGGAGGATTACCAGAGCCAGACGATCGAGGAGAGTGAAACATCCAATGGGCCTGGGTCAGGATCGAGGAGAAGGCGTCAGCATAGGCATTATGAATAGGACGGGTAGTTTCTGTGTTCGAGGACTTACATAGGCTTGACAACAATGGCTACATCTATATGCAACAGTAGCACGTTTCGCGAGACACACCACAATAATCCGCAACAAAGCAATTCGGGAGTCTTCATAATGAGTTTATGAGTCAACAAAAATTATAATGTCGAGGTAAAAAAGGAAAGAAAAGAGGAGAAGCATCCGATAGCTTAGCAGATCACGATCCGTCTAGCTTTTCAGGATGTCATCATCTAGGGAATCAGGAGGCGGGCAGTAAGTAAAGTTTCACAAACGACACAAAGAGAATGCTAGACTTGGAAGAAGAAAAATACCGATTCTGATTGTCCTATAAGAACATACGAGACACTTCAGCAAAGCACCAAGCATCAAGAAACAAATCAAGCAACATAAGGGCTAGTCCCAACAAACCTCCTCGGTCTAACCGGCGCAGTGGCTCTACCACCACTTCTCTCAACTCTCTCACCGAAATCAGGTCTTTGAGCAGCACCATTGAAGAAATCAATACTGTCCACAGAACCAGTGGGAGAAGGAGGCGTTTGCACAATCTCAGATCTTCTAGCATCAATCCCAGCCTGAACATCGAGAACAGCAGCATACGAAGCAGCTCTAGGACTAATTCTAGGAACGCGAGCAGAGAAGCGAGAGTCAATAATTGAGGTGTGCTCGCTGGGGTGAGAAGAGTAGATTGATGAAGGAGCGGGCAGACGCCAGCTAGGGCCACTGCTGGAGGAAATAGAGTCCATGTAGACAGAACACGACGGTCTGGGAGAAGAGTAAGGGTTTATTGTGCGAGGAGGCGTGCGTATACCGCTGGGTCCAGGTGTAGGGTCAAGGTAAGAAGCGATTGGGTTTCTTGCACCACTTCTGCTGGGAGGAGTAGAGGGGCAAGAGTCGTCATCTCTCAACCACCAGGAAGTGTGTGAGGGTCTTTGAATATTATCAGGGTTGTTGGCGCGAACGATATGTTCCGGGACGACAGGATTGTTGACAGCAGGGTATCTGTGAGAGGAAGAGGAGGAAATGTTCTGCATCTCGATATCTGGTTCAGCAGAGGGCTTCTCTTTGCGAATCGGCAAGCATTGGCAGAAAATCTCGGTCCAGCTGGCTAACTCATACTCACCAGGTTGACTAGAAGGCATCGTTACGGAAGAAATATTTCTGTATCTTGTCAGCTGAACTTAGGGGTTGGAAACTTACTGTGCTTGTGTGAGCTTCTGGAGCCTGCCAGATGATGTGTTGAGTACTGTGAGTCAGTGTCTTGGACGCCCGCGGTGTTTCTGCGTGGGAATACAGAAGATGGAAATGGTAGATGGATGCTTATGAAGTAGATAGAAGAGTGTTCTAGCAGGATTAAGAAAAAACAGAGCATTGTTCCTTCCTTCTTGGTAGCTCTTTGTTTGGCAGGGCGGACAATGCAGCCTAACAATGTGTTGTGTTTTGACAAAGCACAGGACAAAGAGGTTAAGTTCGAACGACTTCTCAGACAACAAAGAGCAAAGTCGTGTTGATGGATGTTGGTGTTGTTGACGAAATGGAAACACTTGAAGTATGAGGGTTGGATGTGAGACGCTGCGTCTCAGCAAAACGGGAGGAAACTCCAGACGTGGTGACTGTCGGATTAGGTTAGCTGCGTAATTGATGGCTGTGTTTACCGTCAGGCCACAGTGAATCGATGGAGACAATGGCAGATCATTTGGTAAATGAGGGATTGCTGAAGGCGATGGTGATGGTTATCACATGTCAAAGAAGGTCTGCAGTCTTCATCTTCAAGATAGTGCAGACCGAGAATCTCTTGTCTCATCCTTGTTGACATAGCCTCACTCAAATCCAGTCGCTGATGTTTGATCCAGAAGCAAGACACAGCACAGAATGGCTACATGGCTCGTGTGGGCTGGAGGTGGTACAAGTCGGACATGTGACAAATCTCAAACTTGCCCCTGAAAGAGCGAAGTCATCTGAATGTCTCAGATCAGGAATGTCGTTGAGCGTGTAGGCTCTATCACAGTCACCAGAACAACAAGCATGAGTAGATGGTCAGAAGGGGGAACAGAACAGTCGTTATCATATTCAACAATCGCAAGATTAGAGCTTAGGCGTCGTCTGATCTTTCTCGGCCGTGTCGACATCAGTGGGCGGTGTGTCTTCCTTGAGTACATCACTTGTCCAGGTCGACGTCGAGCTGATACTCAGATTACTTGCACGATTGTGCAGCGATGTTGGTGCAGTCTCGTGCTCAGATGCGGTACCCACAGAACNTGGGCGTACCTGGCCTAGAGTCAGAAGAGGCCAGTCGACTTGAGCGCCGGGCCGTGGTTGGCTTGGGACGCTCCTTTCTAAGGCTCTGAGTGCTACTCATTCTGCGTAGCTTCTCCTCGGAGCGACGACCGAGCGATTNNCAGGGGTGGAGCTCCTCGAACTTGAGCGTGAATGGCTGTTATCTCGCAAGATGGAGCTTGCCCTGGCCTTCTTTTCTCGCATATGAGGTAGGCTATGCTTCTCGCGCAAAGCTTCGCGTTGGATCCTGTTCAACTGGTCGTGATTTGGTCTTGTCGGGTGTCGCAGACGAGTCCAACCTCTCCAGCCAGTCCACCAAAGCCAGCCACCTTCTTGTTTTGCCAACTGCCTCTTTCTCGTCTTGATGATGGCTCTCAGCTGTGCGCGTCTCTCATTTTCCTTCTCCCAATAATTATGTCTATATGTATCCCAGTCCTCTCGGAAGTCGGGCGAAAAGGGCTTTGGTAATAAGAGGAGCTTGATGACGTCTCCACCAGGAGCAACATCTTCTTCAATCCAGCCGTGGCGGCCTCCAGTCTCCCATAAGCCGACCTTGTCCTTGTTCTCAAGTGCAGATTTTTCAATGTCTTTGGGCATGAACTCGAAGCGCATGCCTTTGACGTGACCCCACCAGCCCCAAGGATCCAAGAAGAAGAGGTAGCCGAGAGCTTCNNCCTTCCACCAAGGGCCACGGATGACAACAAGTTTGAGATTGAAGCCGCGTAAACCTCTGTTTGTAATGTTGACCCACTTCCTCGGCCAGCGGATGCCGCGATCCCACATTCCGGTGCCCCAGACGAGGCCAGCAGTCACAAGGCCTCCGACCCAGCCTAGGCGTTCTGCAATGTCGACGACCCAGTAGGGAGAGCCGCCAGTACCCTTGCCATCCTCGCGCGGACGGAGAAAGAGGAGATATGTAAAGGTGGAGATCCAGAGAGCGAGGGCAGTCATCAAGACGAGGTAGAGGCGTAGGCGGGCATGGAGGCAGAGGTACTGGGCGCGGAGAGAAGATTCGAGGATGAGGAGATTGAGCTTGATCTGCTCAGGCGACGAGGGCAGGTTGTTGAGCGGATCGGACTGGGAGGTGGGAGGTGGGTGGGGCGCGGTGATGGAGTCTCCTCGTGAGCGAGTGTGTGAGTGCTTGTTGGTCGAGGTGCTCTCGCGGCGGGCCGACTGTGCGACTTGATCGAGAGAGACGTCGGGCGGCGGGGCGCCCTTGACGATTCTATCCAGCGTGGACGTCGACATGGCTGTGCGCGAGTGTTCAGCTCATGATTGGGGGGGGGGTGTGTGTGTGTGTGTGGCAGAGTGCAATGTCTAAGAATGTGAGGGTTTCCAAATGACTGCTCGCGCACTGGCGTCAGCTCATGCATGTCGGTGATTGATTCAACGGCGGGTCCGGCACGCGGGCTGACCCTAACTCCGGCCCTGTTGCCTGCAGCGTCATCAGACCGTCGTCTTTCGTACCTGCCTAGTCAAGCATTGCAATAAAGTCGTTGCCCGTCGCTCCTTCCTTTTTTTCTCTTTCTCTCGTTTCGTATCTCCCTTCCAAGATTAGCCGATTACAATATTCGCGCGCCAGTCGCGCCACCCTGAGCCTTGGGAAACAGGCCTGGATCCAAGTCAGCGAATCTTTCAACAACGCCCTCTGCATAAACCGCCACCCCTCGACACCTCGGACTTTACCAAAGAGAAGTCCACGGATGGCTTCAGACACTGAGTCCGGCGGCCAGCGACCAATGCTGGCCTCTCAACGCAAAGACACTCCCTCCGACGCCACCAGGACCGCAGGAAAGGCTGGCTACTTCCCCCTGGGCTACAAGGAGGGCTTCAGTCAATGGGTGTGTACACTCGGCTGCATGTCTTGCTCTTCGTCCTACTAACCCCTCTCANNGTGGGCTGGTCTGTCACCCGCCGTCACCGAACACCGCGTCCTCTCCTTCATCCCCTATCTCCAGAAGCCCCCGACCCATACCCAGACTGGCTCAGCCCCTGCCTCGACGAACGCCTCAACACAGGATGTCACAAAGACCGATGCCCGTCAGGCAGACCCCGTCACCACCTCCACGCTCAACGATCCCTATGGTCCTCGAAAATGGAACTCTGACTTGGTAGAATTGGCAGGAAAGAGTCGCTTCTTGAACGAGTTTTCGGTAGAGAGAATCGGTGAAGAGGTTGACAACAATCTCGTCATGATTCACGGCTACGGTGCTGGCCTTGGTTTCTTCTACCGCAACTTTGAGAGCCTGTCTAGACTGCCGGGCTGGAAGTTGTACGCTCTGGACATGCTCGGCATGGGTCGTTCCTCGCGCCCGCCCTTCAAGATCCACGCCAAAGATCGTCAGGCCAAGATCGAAGAAGCTGAGAGCTGGTTCATTGATGCTATCGAGGAGTGGCGCGTCAAGAAGGGCATTGATCGTTTCACTCTGCTCGGTCACAGCATGGGTGGCTACATGGCTGTCGCGTACGCATTGAAGTATCCTGGCCATCTCAACAAGCTGATCCTGGCCTCGCCTGTTGGTATTCCCGAAGACCCTTACGCTGTCAATGCCGATCTACCTGAGCCCGAAGACTCGACAATGGTCAACGAGTTTACCCAGGACCAGACAAACTCTGCCAATGGCACGAATCCCGACATTTCTGCCTCGTCAAAGACTGGAGACAATAACAACTTCATGAACGCCAAAGCGAAAAGAGATGCCGCCAACAACAGCGGTAAACCTCCTAAGAAGCCATTGCCCAAATGGCTCACCACTCTCTGGGACGCAAATATCTCGCCCTTCTCGTTTGTCCGCTGGTCTGGTCCCCTTGGTCCCCGTCTAGTGTCTGGCTGGACGAGTCGGCGCTTCAGCCACCTCCCAGCTGAAGAATCGCAAGCTCTTCACGACTACAGCTACTCCCTCTTCCGTCAACGCGGATCAGGCGAGTACGCTCTGGCCTACATTCTCGCTCCTGGTGCCTTTGCTCGTAGCCCTCTGATCCGTCGCATTCAAGGTGTAGGCCGCCAATGGATTTCAGAACCTCATTCCGCACCTACCCCTGACGACACTTCTTCGGCACCTACTGGTCTCTCCAAGGTCCGCGAGACAGGTATCCCTGTCGTTCTCATGTACGGTGAGAACGACTGGATGGACAAAGACGGCGGACGTGCGGCAGCAGAGAAAATGCAAGCCGAGAAGCANAAAGCTCTTTCCACTGCCACGGAAGAGGAAAAGAAGAAAGAGAATGGCGATGCCAAGGTAGTGGTTATCCGCAAGGCTGGTCATCATGTTTACCTTGATGGCGCGGACCATTTCAACAGCGTTATGGATGAGGAGATGAGAGATGTAGAGGTCAGAGAGAAGAGACTTGGATTCATGAAGTAAAGTCAAGTCAAGGCGAGCGATGATGTTTAGATACCTATTTGATTTGCAACTACGGCGTTCTTGGGAAGATGGAAGGATATACGGAACCATACGAAGACGACAGATTAGATACACGCATTGCATCGGCAGTCTATAAAATCTAAGAGCAAATCCTACAAGGCCTTTTTCCTTTCCGATTATGCATTCAAGGCCAGATTTGTTCTTGGCTCTTGAAGACCAACAGAGACTTTTCTGGCGTAGTCATACGGTTGTTCTATTGGCGAGAAAAAAAAAGAGAAAACATGCACGATAGAAGCGTCGAGCAGATTTCGAAAAGTGCAAGCTTTTTTTTTGGAGAACCGGATGCAAGAAGGAACGGCACCGACTACAAGGATGCATGCTCTGGGAAGAAAGTGGGCTTCGTTATGGGAAGATACAATACAGATGCTCAGCTATGTTTGTCACGCTCGCATGCATTCGAACGGGAAAGTTTATGGGAGGGGGAGGGCTCATCAGACCTACAAGCCAAAGAACATGCGCATCGTCTTGTCATCGTCATCTCCTTTGGGTGCCTTGTCCTTCTTTGCAGGACTGCCGTNGCCTGTGACGACATGGTTAGCATGATTCTCCCCGAGGCTATAATGAACAACTTACGCAAAGAACAAGATCTTGATGGCGAGAGCAAGACCAAAGTGCAGAGCAACAACGACAATCAACAAGATCTTGCTCGTCTTGACGTCTGTAGCGCTGAGCACTGGATACAGATTTCTGACCAAAAAGACACCCGAGGCGCCAAGGCCGACGGCAACAAAGACCAGTTTAAAATGGAGATTGGCGACCACGAGATCAANGGCGACGGGGATCCAGATCAGATTGGCATAGCCGTAGAGACAGATGCACTCGAGCAGGTTTGCGGATTCTGCTCTGAACCACTTGAGGGCACCCCACAGGGCAACGGGAATGATGAAAGTGTAGCCATAGATCAGACCCGCAGCACCCGAGAGCAGCGTAAAATCATAGATGAAGTGTTTCTTTCCCTCCTTTGCCAGATATTGCGAGATTGTGCCAGTGAGGAAGAGGATGACGACGACGGTGGTAGCGATCCAAAAGGGGCCGTAGAGATCGGGATTTCCATCTAGCACGTCGAGGAAGTTTGAGAGGGGAAAGATGGCAGCACGGCAGCGGCGGGCGACTTCGGAGGTGTCGACGTCGAAGAATTGGGCATAGAAGGAGATGCTCCAGAGGTAGTGTTTGCTGCTGGTCACCGAGGGGTTGCCGTTGTTGGTGGGGAGGAACGAGTTGTTGCCTGTGGGAAGCTTGCCACGGGTCGACGTTTGTGTTTCAAAGTNCTGGCGAGTTTTGTTAGAGAGAGCTAAGGAGTGTGCGACATGGCTATGGGTCTCACTGGACGAGTGGAATTCGAGATCCTCTTGCAGGTCGGTATGACCGAGATCTCCNNCTGTTGCACCCGTGTCAATACACAAGCCAGATGAAGCAGAGCGCGTACAGTCACAAACCTCTGCATCTACGTCCACTACGACGTCGTATCCTCGGTTTGCCATTGCGATGGTGGTATAGAGTATATCTCCTACTCAAGGCCGTCTCCTTGAAGCTCAAGCTCTCCCGGACACGTTCGCGCGACATCACCAAAGTGCTTGCGCGTCATTGCCGACATTCCTCCGGGCCTCCTTCCTCGCTCATCTTGAATCAACCCTCTTCCTCCTTGCCACATAATCTCATTGCAACTGTCAGATCATCGCCAGCTGCCGTAAAAGTTGATCTTCTCTAGCTCGACGATATCAGTGTAGTGCTATTTCAATCAGGATTCTCTAATATGTAGGTGACCTCTGCGAAGCTGATGACCCGGGCAGCGTAACCACCTACTGCTTCGTAAATGTTCAATCTCGATATTGCTGCAGCACTCGACTACTTGTTGTCAGGGTCGTCACGAACCATGTGCCGCATTCGGAATCTGACTTTGTCCTCGGATTTGACAGCCGAGAGACTCGATGCCATGCCTTTGGGCAGACGTAACAAAGGATTATCCATCCAGGTCCTTTGGCACTGTCGAACTGCGACGGAATCACTCTGTCAAAGTCGTCAACATAGCATGCAGCTCGGCTATTCGCAACTTGTTTTCCAAACTTTCGATACCAACAGTTAGGAGGTTTCCCCGGTACCTATGGAATGGCTACCAAAGTTTTTCACCCAGCAGTTCTGGGACGAAGTGGATAGGTTTGGAAGACCTGCATTCAGATGATCCAGACCCACTCATGGGTCCTTCAGATCTTGATCAAGCCTCTCAAACGACCTTGCTCAAAGCACTGTTTGCTGTGCACTCGATGCCCAAAGAGTTCTGGAAGCACAGCCTTGCCAATTCACTACTTCTTCAGCACTTGCGTCCTCCTGATCCGGAAAGCGTTACAAGTACGTATACACATCAAGTAAAAGGATTTTGACCTTCCATCAAGGAGCGTGCGATTGGCACAAAGAGATTCCTGGCAAATAACAACTGGAGATGTATCCAACAATCCATGTTTGCTGGACCTTTTGCATACTAGCAATCACTGATTGGGCGTTCTGTCAGGAGTCGGGCATATAAGCATCGCTCCGTGCCTTCCATAGCCTAGTTAGTATATCAGTGTACAAGAAGGTCATGAGCCTAGATTACAGTAAGTTGATCCCCTCTATATTTGGAGGTGATTTGTGGTGCTGATGTGGTATCCAGATGACTGCTATCCTTATATATAGCTTTCGAGACCATTGACAGTTTCCACAGCTCATCGCGTGGCACGAGCAGCTCAAAGTTCGTCACGATGGTACTGACCAAAACACCAATGAGATCGATGCCCACCTGACCATGAAGTTCTTGACGAACGACCACGGTCTTACCTGCCATCCAGGCTGCTTGGCCAGACCAAGACATTGACGAGCAGGCTGTTTGGGAAGCACTCGTGACTGATGATCGACCAGAATCAACCCTTGGACTTGAAAAACAAGGAAAGCGGGTCGTCACAACATGATCCGCTCGTGTAGCCAATACGGCAAACACCACTCAAGCCCATTCTTCCTTAAATCTTCATACAATCTGGGTTATAGAAGTCTTGCATCCGACTATATAATGGTGTATATCATCTTGTGCCATCTTCTTGGGGCAGGCTGCTGGAGACGGAGCCAAGAAGTGCGATGGCTGTGCAAAGTTCACTTACGGCTCATGCAAGAAGCCAGAATATGAAGGCCCATCCTTGGATATTTTCTCAAAATCCAGGTTATACAAATTCCGTATTCGACTAAGTACTGGTGTCTCGACTACTTTCACCTTGCCGACAATCTGCAGCGCATCCTTGGCGCAGAGAATGGTATGGAGCCTCTTCCCCCGCAGGAGTGCTACCGCCACCACTGGCAGCCGAGATGGGGTCGCCGCTACGATACATGTGCTCGTACTCGAGATTACTATCGGTGCCCTGATTGCCCTGGCGTTACGTGCCGTGAGTGCCGCGACAGGCCCGGCGAGTACGGCATCTGGTATTGATCGAGTGTCCTCTCAAGACCCGACAGCACCCACATGCTCGCGGCATGCATCGTGCATCGTACACCATAGGAATCATTCAACAACGACAAGTGCCCTTCGCCTCGACGAGCAGCATCTTTTTCGTGACGACTAGCATTCTTTCTTCGGCTAGCAGCGTCCTTTCTTCACGAGCGTTATCTTCTTTTTCGACGAGTGCCTCTCATCTCCACCATCAGTTCTGCATCTGGAGGCCCTTTCCGCATCGACACAGCGCCAATCGAAAACTCCATTTTGCATCTCATGACTCTATGACCTCCTTTTGCGTCTCTGGCATTGTTTCTCGCTCGCACAACACAAAAGCCAACTTTTCTCATGCGTTTCCACCGGACTTCGTCCTTTTGCTCTTCTTCAGGTCTGGAGGATATAGGGAGTGACTTCATGGTCTCCAATTCTTCAAAAGCACGGTTCTGGTCTTTCTTCATTCGGTTTTTGAGAGCGCATCGAGGAGCTTTCTTTTCTAGCGTCCCAGTAACATGGTTCAACAAGCTTCTCTTTTGACAACACATGCTCTTCCTACCGCCACTATATTGATTGTGCAAAGAATGTAGCTATACACCCGCTACACCCGTTGTTCTTGCAACTGGTGCCGTGATTATCGGGGTCACTTGACGCGAGTGTCGCGACCCTGCAGGCAACTACAGCACCTGGTGCTGAGTTCGAAGCAAACACTCTGTGACTAGCAACGACCATCAGCTCGCTCTTTCCACATGACCTTTTCCATACCTCCTTACTCCTACCCAACACACCAAGCGTCAAACGGGACCCGAAATTGGTGCTTATCAACGCTCATAGGAACCAGTCTGGTTTTCGCGATAACAAGCATGTTGACCTGGGCCAGCTCTACATCAGCAAGGTCTCTCGACTTGACACCACACCAACTTCTTATGACTTTACGATTCCCTTCGCGTCTTTTTCTGGTATCATTTCTTGCTCTCGCGCTTTAGAACCCACATACCCTTTACAGATTTCCTATCAGTTTTGTCATTCGCTCTTCTTTCAGGTTCGACAAAAGTATGAAGGACGATCCTCATTATTGCTCCAAACTTCACACAATAAGGATGATAATCTCATTCTCTTTACTTCTGAGAATTCGAGGGCCTCCCTGTCTCAGTACCACTTGGCTTTTCTTGCAGTACCTTGATTTGACACAACAAGCTTCTTCTGAAACAAAGCATGCTCTTCCTATCCAATGTTATGAGATCTCTAGTAATGATACGAAGGTCAAGTACTTCTGCTGCAATGAACACAAAAATCGAGAGACAGACCAATGACCAGTCGCGCTTTCGTCGACATTCTTAGATTCCAGTCTCGAGATACCAATTTCATTGCATGCCTACATATTGGTATGTGGTGTTTCTACCATAGATGAGATCGATTCGTCTCTCACCTAAATATTGAGTGCTTTGAGTTTATTGTGCTTTTTTGCATGTCTTAGATCGACTGGGTTGATCGCCAGCCTCTGGGTCCTGTGTCGGGCCGCCCTCCGTTTGAAATCCTGAATCCGGGCAGTAGAACCAGATCATCATGGTTCAGCCCTCATTCGGATGACTTATTCCTTCGCATATACTGTGCTTTCTTGTAAGCATCAGATCAATCGTGCTACTCAATCGTGATGTATGGCCAACTTTAGACGTCCGGGGACCTTGTAACCGTGCCTCCTTGTCTTCCGCTGCGGTCGCAGCTCCGGTGGTCTCAATGCTCAGAGTGGTAACTGGGAGTTATAGCCTGATGATATGTATACCTGTGCTCGATGGAGGAGGATGAAAGTAATGTCGGTGCATAGCAAGCCCTAGAGCCGATGGCCGGTATCGTCAGGGGTCTTGGTGCTTCAGAAACAGATTATTCTCGACAGGCTATTGAATATTCGCAGAGTGTTGTTGAGCATGACCCTCTTGATGATGTTGCTACGAAGTCTTTGTAGCCATGTTTTGGGCCAATCGTTGCGAAGTTTTGGCCCTGATGCCTGTTCCAGGTTGCAACAAAGCGGTCTCCAAGGCCTGTTACACTCACCCGTTCGATCTATATTCCTGAGAAGATTGAGTGGTATTTGCGTAGAAACAAACTGGTCAACGAACGTCCGAACTATGTTGACCTGTCGTGAAAGTCTTCTGTCAAGACAGCAAGAGCAAAGCCGCAGACATTTCCTTCCTACTCCATCCAAGTAAACGATCTCTTCTGGAAGCAGCAAATCAATTGACATCGGCATCCAAAACTCCATCCAGACTACCTGATCCAACCACCTCCCATAGCTGTCTGTGCAACCTTGCCCCAGATCCCCTTTCCCTCGCTTTGATTCTTATGCCACTCCATTTCTGCCTTTAACGCTGGGTTGACTCCCTTGGCTTTCAATTCCTTCTTTGTCTGTTCATCATAGAAGTTTTCCCAATCAATTGGCTTTTCAGTCTCGGCGTCTAGAGGTTTGGAAGTGGTGGAAGTGTTTGGTGTGACACCCCATTTTGAGGCTGCGTTTGCATCGGCTGCGTTTTGAGTGGTTGGTGGATCTCGTTGGGAAGACATGGTTTTGGTATGTGATATAGGATGAGAGAGAAGTGTTTGTGATATAAAGGTGGTAGATGGTGGGTTTGGGGTATCCCCGCATGTAGATAGATGTATTTATAGGTGTTGTATACCAAGGCTTATGACGTCGTTGTTTATTCCCGGAGGATCGTTTCTTCCATCTTGATGTTGCTCACATATATTCTTTTGAAACAACTCAGTCTTGGTTACTTTCATAATCGCAGCTTCTGTGTGATTGTTCCGAGAGTGTTTGTTTTCAAGTGTCGAGTGTGCTTCGTTGGAAGGAGCGGTGAAAGCCAACCACGCATTAGTATCTGTTGACATCAGTAAACATCTTGATGCCAACGATACACCAGAACCTCCATCATGCGGTAAACGTGAAAAGCATGACTGGTAGGTGAGTCGCGTCCTGATATGGACCAAAGACTGCTACATCTCAACGTGAATGGACGAATGATAAGGCAGCAAGGCTGAGCCATGCATGTTGCAAGTGAGCACTTGTGATCGCTGCTCCGGGATGAGGAATATGCAACGACGAAGCCTCGTGCGACTAGACCACGATGACAGAAACTTGATATATCATTTGTAGCATGTGTGATACACTGATGGCGTCGAGATGTAGCTCTAGCAAGCAGCACAAGGAAGCTGCCTTGGAGGAGGAAGGAGAGGCCCTCTTAGTCCCCCATGGTTTGCCGTGGCTATTTCTCGGAATCTCGCAGCCTCTATAGGGAGGAATCAGGATTTTCGTTGGTCTCTTACTAGGTATCTTTTATTTTCAACTGTCAGCTGTATGACACCTATCATTAACGTTACTGCTATATCGGGCGCGTAACTAGGGCTGCTAATTTCCATGATGGACAGCCAGATCAATGGAGATTGACCTCCTAACAAAAGCTCAAGCGAGCAAGAATCATTTGATACCCATTGCATGGTTTCCGTGCCAAGATCTCGAAATCTCGTTCTGCAAACTAAATGTTTTCAGCTTGGAGAGCTTCTCTAGAGATAAAGCAGTTCTTAGACTTAGAGACAAGGAGAAGGACTATTACCATGACTTGGCATGTTTAACATCTCCAGTCACAGTCACCGTTCTCATGCTGTAGATTGGCCACCACACCGGCACGCGATGGCAGATTACGGATGGATAGTACTCGGGCCGTTTTCTTGAATCGTTCTACATAGGGGTAACATTAAGATCACGTAGGCACATAAGCCCCTTTAGCTCAGTTGGTAGAGCGCGGCACTAGTATCTATACCATTAGAACATGCCGAGGTCGCCGGTTCGACTCCGTCAGGGGCATTTACCTTTTGGAGAGAGTGGGTGGTATGGAAGAATTTTTTCGTGGTATGGCGGTCTGTTAGGGGATATCATGCAAGTGAAGCCTGCATAAAGCAGGGCTTGGCACGAAGATTTATGCATCGACGTGGACGCCCAGACGGCAACATCAACATCGCCACACGCCGACACCCCTTCTCCAACCATCAATTGAACCAGAAACTATTCCATGAACGACGGTGATCCGTCGCCCGAGTCATGTCCTCCCAGACTTTGCATTAAGTTTTGCAAGAAAGCCGCAAACTTGGCACCGATAGGCCGTGGCAGCAAACCTTCCACGTCATCCTTTTCCGGCAATTGCGCATGCGATCAAGACGACACTGCAGACACAAACAGCACTGCACGCAGCAGCGTGTTCCTTGACTGCGGTTCTGGTCTGCCTCAGGGCCTTGTAAAAATCGATATTAATCTGTACACTTGTACGCAACGCGACGCGCACGAGCGACAGTCTCTAGAGCCTTTGATGTTATCGGATACAGTACCAATGCCCATCTCGAAATGTTATCTCCGCACCTTTAGAACCAGGATCGATATTTCTCAGACACTCGCCGCGGGCCAAGCATCATGGTCTCCGAAGTCTTCCTAGTTGTGTAGTAGAGATGACGATTATGATGAAGGTTGTTGCCCTGGTCCCGAGGGCCACGACGATACTGAGTAGAGGGCAACGATACACGTACAACAAAGTATTGGCAGGTGTCATGTAGAAGCTGAGTCTTGATGCGTCGACTCCCGCGCCTGGTCGCTGAAATTCTCCCTCATTCTTCTGGACTCGCCAAAATTTCACTCATAATGCTTTGTTCTCTCAAGACATGCTCAGGCCTAAACAGCTGCTGGTCACTGGGCTTGTTAGCATTTGCCTTCTTGCTGACACAAGTCGAGTGTACTCAAGATGTTTCCAGCAGTTCTTGGGAGTCAACAGCATACGAGTGGGGTCTTCTAGGGCGATATCCTCAGCAATCTTTCAAGTCATCGCCTTTGCAGCCGCCACAGATGAACACTGTTCGGTGGGATGAACGATGTGCCCAAGGATATACTTTACTGAGTCTTCGCGGAACTATGGTGTCTAGCCCTGCTGGGATCATGCTGGATGGCAATGGAGATTTGATATGGATGGATTCAAAGTTTGGTCCATATGTGATGAACTTGAAGGTACAAGAGTATAAAGGCGAAAGATACATCACTTTCTGGTCTGGAGATATTGGTCCTGGCTTTGGGCTAGGGACATATTATATGGTTTGTTTGTCCACACTCACATCCCATGATTATGGCTAATATGGTCTGTAGCTTGATTCCCATTACCAGGTCTTCAAGCAGTTCTCTGCGTCAAACACATTGGGGAACGACTTCCATGAATACACCATTACATCCGACGATACTGCCCTACTAACGAGTTACGACACAATCTCTACGGATCTATCTTCTCTAGGAGTGCAGGGCCGAGGCTGGATATATGACAGTCTNTTTCGAGAGATCGATATTGAGACTGGTGAGATCCTCTTCGAATGGCGTGCATCGAACCATTTCGCTATCAACGACACTTTCTATCCAATAGGCTCTGCGGGTCAGAGTCCCGAGGCACCATTTGATTTCTTCCACATCAACAGTGTGGATAAAGATAGGGATAGTAACTACATCATCTCGTCTCGCTTCATGCATAGCATTGTCTGTATCTCGGCCAGCACAAAAAATATCTTGTGGACCTTGGGTGGCCGTAACAACGATTTCACAGATCTATCAGAAGGGAGTGCGACGGATTTTGCCTGGCAACACCATGTTTCCGTGCAAGCAGACAACCAACTCAGTATCTTCGATAATGCCAACTACAAGAAATGGCACGAGGAACTTCTAGGAGGCGGTAGCGAGATAAGCCGTGGAATGCTAGTTCACCTGGACACAGAAAACATGACCATTGAACTTGTTCAGGAGTTTATGAATCCTGGCTCCCGCGGCACCCCTCAACAAGGGTCTATGCAAGTCCTGGATTCTGGGAACGTACTGCTTGGCTGGGGCTACCATGCAGGATATACTGAATATGCTCCTGATGGCCAAGTACTCTGCGACACGCACATCAACCCCGCCATGCTGTTCCCATTCGGCTTCGTACACGCCTATCGCGCATTCAGAGCGAGCACCTGGATTGGACGCCCCAATACGCAACCAGATGTATGTGTCGACCCTGCAGACGGACACGCATTTGTGAGTTGGATGGGAGCAACCGAAGTAAGCGACTGGATTCTACAGACGGCTAGCGAGTCGACATCTGGCGATGATTTGACATTCGTCGATGCTGTCAAAGCAAACAAGAATGGTTTCGAGACAGAGATTGAAGTACCCAGTGGCGAGTATAGATACTTGCGTATCGTAGCGGTCGATAAAATCGGCACTGTACTGGCCAGCTCCAAGATCATTACCGCGAGCAAAGACACTGTCTCAAACCAGAGAAACTGGAAGTTTACGATGGGCACCATAATGCTCTGGATAATGTGTTTTGTGGCAGGGATGTCGTACCAGAAGAGACTGAAATCGTTAGTACGGAAGGCACAGCAGCATGTAGAACTCCAGTCTTGGTTGCAGCTATGGCGCAAGAGCAGAAGGTCCAGCACTGCTAAGGACGGAGAAGAGGAAGAGAGGCTGTATGGTGATTGACAGCGAAGGTTGAGCCTCTAAGAAGTGTATAGTCAGTCTTGATAGTGCGAGGTAATTCATAATCAGTGATAACGTTTCTTCAATAGCTCTGCGACCGTGAACATCATCTCAGAGAAACATGAGGCTCTCGACATGCTCCAACAAAGGGCAGCCCAGTCTCGTTGGCGTCCGTGAGCACGAGGGAACAGACGCCGAAGCCAGCCAAGCGGTCGGACCCAAGCTTCTCGTGTTTGATCATCACTTTTTCCCTTTCCTCTTTTCTTCTTTCTATTGAACAAATACTAATGGCAATGTCAAAGAGTAGACTGAAGCACCTCTCAGATTTCTGGCGTACATCTCCTAATTACAGCTGCTCAACCGGAACCCGAGCCTTCCGGACGGATTGAGGCTGTGACAATGAAAGAACCGTGATGTCATCGCCACGAGGGTGTGCATCATGAAATCAATAACTTAACTTCCCTTACGCTATCGACAGGAACCACAGTCCGTATCGCAGCTTCTCTTGAATCTTTACAATTCAATCCACAGACACGCGTGCCAGTTATCACGAATCATCCGACAACTTGAGCCGTAATTGTACAACACAGCGAAGCGCATACATCTTCGATCAACATTTTGGTCGATAATCCGCATACCTCGCACCGGACTCAACACTCACGCGACACTTGTCAATTGTATATCACGACAGTTTTAGAGTTCAACCCACTCAATCAATACATCACACAGCCTTCACACAATGCCGACGACAAGTCCAAACCACGACCGCCGCACCTTGATGGAACGCCTTTCCGACGCTTTAGTTTATGTCCTCGCATTCCCCTTCATCATCTTTGGCATCGCGATCAAGCGTGCGTTTACACAAGGAGGAGAGCATCACTCGTACCGGAACAATCTGCCTGCGCAGAAGAGAATTTAAGAGCATTGGGGTTTCGATTGAGGTTGAGTGTATAAGACTTGGATGGATACCCTGTTTTTTTGTTGCTTTTTTCTTGGGCTTGATTTGGAAGATTCACTGAGAAGGTGAATAGTGTAGGCCAAGCCTGCTGAGGTTTTGTTCGGGTCTGGTGGTGGCTCTGAAGTTTGATCCGACCAGGGTGTGGTTGTCAAAAGGAACATTGTTTCATGTCTGCCAATTGGAAAACGGCAATACCCTCAGTCGCGAAGGCGACTAGTAATCAAAATAAGACCAATTGGTGTATGTCCCAGCTCTACTTGGTATCCCTGAGCAAGCCTGTCTAGATGTGTTTCTTTGAACAAACCTGTTATTCTCGAAATGTCTCTGCAGCATATTCTGAAGAAACATACACCCCAAACTGTTTGGTTCAGTACCGCCGAAACAGCCCTCCAATTGACACACGCTTCGCACATCTAGAGACGCAGCTCGCGAAAGAGGCCATTCTCAGCAAAGGAATCAGAGTCCTGTAGACTTGAGCTTGCCGGATAGCTTGAATGCCTCAGACAGAGCATAGCTGCAAAAACACTCCTGCGCTCTCTAGGAAGATGATGCCGGATGTTGGCCTTGTAACTTCATATGCTGATGATTGTGATGTGCATGTGTTGTGGTTCGATTGCGTATCGCCGCCGTTTCAGAAGCTCAGAGCCGTATTTTGACCAAGATGTAATCATTGCCGACTGCTCAGCGACTTTTCTTGTCATGTTGGGTTCCATGTGCTTTCCCTGCGTCCAGCAAATCTTTGCGTGCCTTCAGCTCGGCCCAGGTTTTAACATCCTCGTAGCCTTCGGGCATAAACAAAGGCCAAGTCTTTACAAGACACCTTGGACAATCATACAACGGTGGGTCCGAAGCAGTGCGACGCTGCCACCATAACTTGAGACCATCTATCCTGAAGTTTCCACAACTTGCACAAACACGCCGGATTTTCTCTTGTGTACGGATAGGGGTATGTGTTTTCCATGGGAGTTGCTCGCGTACCCAAGGAAACCCCGTCCAGAATANGATCTTCCGCCTCAGCGGATACAGGGGGTCTGTAGCGGTCTTCATATGGTGATGCGAGAGGCTTCGCTCTCGCCTTTTCTCGACGTAGTCAGGATCGTTGCGACTTCGTATTTGATGGGCTTCTCTCTGCGCCAATGCGAATTGAGTCCATTGTTCGGGGTCTTCTCGTCTGCGTTGGTATGCTTTCCTGTCATATGCCGCTTGACGATCTTTGGCCTTCCTTTTCTTGTCAGCTGCGCAATGCTCTTCGATGGATTTGTTGAGACCACCTGCATTCGCACAGCTGACTCGAAACGACGAGAAGATGCGTATAACAGGTGCTTTCCAGTGAGGACGTGCCCAAAAGGCTTTGCGCAGGGCGAATGACATGTCGGTCGTGCGTAAGAGCTCTTATGGTTTAGGCAGACAATTGGACTTATCTTGTCTGATACAATGTGGTTGCTTCATAGACCATGACCAACGCATGAACTGAAGATTCCAACAAACAGAGATTCGAAGACGATGATCAAAAAGGTGGTTACTGTGAGCTAAGAGCAAGATTCCAGGCCTCGCAAAGTTTCGGCCCGGGGACTGCCGAGCCGGAGACGTGTCCGTTGGAGGGAACGACGGAAGCTGTCTGTCGACACCATTGCTCATCTAAGGAACGTATCATTACAAACCTCTGGAGTGACTCACCATCGGAGCTGGCTCCTACCCTTGAAGGCTGTGATTCTGATCAAAGGTAATCGTAGATGACCAAAGCTTGACAATCAGTGGAGGCTTGAGCGCGTGAACAATCACGATCAGATAAAGATTCATTCATGAGCTGTATTCTGATGCAGAGTTCAGCTCCCTGAAACCGAACCCTGACGACAAGTCAGAGATAGACCGGAGTCATGGGTGAGGCAGCTCTTTCTTGCATCATGTTTGTCCTTTGAAGACGATCAATTTTATTTCTTACAGATGGGTGTCCATAGTCTTGCCATTGCTCAACCCCTGATTACCCCGACGACAGCAATACGGCTCAGCAGTTTTCGAGCCCTTACTACAGCGTCAAACAAACTCTTGATGATGATGAAGATTTGCGTCAGCGGCTTTTTGATCACTTTCATCGCCACAACGACAATAATCCAAGCCGGCTAGCTCCTTACGACAACACGTACCTGTCTTCTCAGCAGCATCTCCTTCCTGCATCTTCTTTCCACCACCTGTACCAGCAGCAGCAGACTTCCCCATCAGACGACATCAATCACTCTTACTTGTCCCAACAGCAGTTCATCCAATATCTACCTCCTCTTCCTACCAGCACCAACAATGCTGGCCAGCAGCTGTCTTCTACTAATGTTGCTTCTGTGAACATCAATGGCAACGTCATCACCCTCAGTACATGCCAAAACAGCGATGGCAATCAAGCCAACTGGCCCACCAACGACCCCTTGTGCCGTCCTGCCAATCCCGCCAACTTTCTCAAGAACATGAGCATTGCGTACTGTACGCATCTCCGCCCCTTTTCCTCATGGTAGCTTCCACTAACATTTACGCAGCAAAAGCTAACCCTCAACAATCCCATTCCCACGACACCGTGTTCTCGGATTTGCCTCAGGGATATGCTCTATTCTACAAGCCTAGAACACAGAGACCTCAGCAGCCTGGTAGCGTTACACCAACTCCTTCGATTCCCGCTGGTGACTATTATCTCTATGGTCATCGCAAAGGTCGCTTCAGATCGGCTGAGATGTTTGCTAAACATGTTTATGCTATGCTCCACTCGACTGTGGGTCTGCGTGGTTGTGCTTGCGAGTTGTGCAAGAAAGGCACTTGAAGAGAGAAATTTGTGATCTTTGACATTGATGTCCGAGATCAGAGCTGATTCAGCAGAAGTGCGAAAGCTTTGCGATGGTTTGTGCAGTTGGACAGGCATTTACTGATGGTGATGATGGCGAGATAGCTCATAGCTGTGATCAGGTCTGCTGAGACGAGACCACAGGGCTCATTTCCCTGTTCGCGACTTTCAGCATCTTTGGTCGGTGCTTGGAAGGAAGAACCTCTCCAAGAAATTCCAGGGTGGCAATGGAGTTCTGACCAAAGCAGAAGACAATGCAGCCTGGTCACTCTCGACTGGAACCCTTATGGTAAAGAAGAATGACAGAATTGAGGAGAGAAATTGAAGAAGTCATTCGTTGCCGTTACGTTCGTCAAAAGGCCCCATCCTCTGCGTGTTCACATGTCATCGCATCTCGTACCTCCCTGTGTGTCCACTGATGTCCTTCGAGTACCTCACCTCCATCTCACAATCCCAAAGGATTTTGACCGTTCTGCTCTTTACCGCCCATACTCTCCTCCTCCTTTGGCTTATCCATCTCCTTGCTCTTGCTATATCCGCCATTTGTCAGACCACCAATAGCAGTACCGACAGGAGAAAGACCTTTGTTGAGTGCATTACCCAAAGGATCGCCAAGGGGTGCGAGAAGACCTGAAACTCCGTCAGAAGAATCTACCAAGAGAGAATGGGAGAGGAGTGACACAAATTAAACTGGGTCAAGACGATGAAAGGGAAAGACGCAAAGGAGAACAGAGAAGTAGATCCAACATACCTTNNTCTGGCCTTCTCCAAGCGATACATCTGTTCCGCCAGCGGGAAGGTTGCTCAAGCTCTCATCGTGGCTGGGGTCTTGATTGTTGTTCGACATGATTTGTTATTCTTTGTGGTTTGCTTCTGTTGTGATATTTGTTGTTGACGTTGAAAGAAGAAGAAGCCAAAGGCAGGCCCTTGGAAAATAGAGAGAAAACACAGGTGCTTGCTTACGTTCGCAGATCATCGTTCATCAGAGGCACCCCCTTGCAAGGTTCTTGGTTTCGTCAAGCAAGGCTGAGCTGCCGGTTGACGTCAGCGGTTTCCCCAGATTTGTGACAAAGTGCATGTAGGAGGGGTTGTGTCTCGGTCGCAGTTGCCATGGCTGGAACCTAGCGCTTTTTATGCACACCTACACTAAACATAATCTGACAATAGAGTACTGAACTCTTTAATTGATGGGATCGTCAGATATTGTGAACAGTCAATGAATTATGGGAACGTGTAGAGTGTGATCATTGCCGGAGCACCTAACTACAACAAGTGTTGATAGAAGCATAGAGAAAAATTCAAGGCGTGCGTTGTGCGCCTGCTGTCCACCGAACGATAGCCAAAATACAGAAAAAGCATTGCTCAGAGGGGGTATACAAGGGAACAAAAACAGACATGAAATGTGAGAGTTATAGGTGCAGAATAAAGAAGATGGCGTGAACGTAAGCATGGTACAAGAAGCGGGTGTCTTGATGCTCACAAGTCTCGGGATGTCAAGCTCTGAGGTCTGAGGTGCAGTAGTGGTGGTTGTGGGTTTGACACCTCTCGGGATATGAGAGCATGCCTAGCTTCATTGTCGGGAAGCCTAGTACTTCTGGCTTGAAGGATGGCCATTGTAGCTTCCGTATCCATCAGAGCCACCCGGAGGCCTTCGCTTCTCATCGTAGGCTCCGTCGTAGTCGTAGCCACGAGAAGGGTACCATGAAGCGTGCTTGGAATCTCGAGCTTCGTCTTCACGTCGTGCATATCTTACTCGATCTCGGTCTCGATCGTCGGAGTGCATGTTGGAGTTGTAGTGTGTGGATGGAATATCGCCGATGTTCGTGCCTTCAGAACGGGTATAAGGGTTGGGTGGATAACCGAGAGGAGGTGGGGTGCCAAAATTAGGTCGTTGTCCAGTCGCAGAAAGGCGATGAACTCTTTGTCCTGTGAGGGGTATATCGGTAGGTCTGCTCTGACTAAACTGTGGTTGAGGTGCAGCAGAGTTGGCACGTGAGGTACGATCTACAGTTTCTGGGCGACCGGTGTTTCGACGATCGTCTTCATACACCTTTCCAGCGCCCTCCTTTGCAGTGTAAGGTTGACGTTCACGCTCAATTGGGCCAGGAACAGTACGTAAATCATCATCATCGACGGCAGTTGGATAGTTCGAGTAGGGAGCACGCTCTCTCTCAGCAAACGATGTCGAGGCAGACTGCGGAGTTGGCTGTTGTTGCGACTGGACTGACACTGGAGGGGGAGGCGGCATAGGATTACTTGGGCGCAGCTGGATGTTGCGATCGGTCGACAGAGCAGCATGTAATCGTTGCTGCTGTGTGATATCTTCCTCTCTGGGAATAAGTCGACGACTGAGTTCCTTGGGAAATCGCTCTTTAGGATTGTCAGCATTGCTGATGGGCATATCCAACACAGCCTTCGCGAGTCGTTCATATTCCATAGACGGATGTGCTTGAATGAGGATCGTCATGAATTGGTTGAAGCCATCAGGGGTCAAAGCGGGGATATCTGGAATAGAATGATTGCCCAGCTGAACGAAGTGGTGTTGACAGCGCAGATCACGGTAGATTCTTGAGATGGACTCGCAGGTGACGCGACCACCAAAGATGTCCCGCCAGGGGTAGATCTCGGAGGACAATCGGACATCTTCGAAGAATTGAGTCATCTTAGCCGGAGAAATAACAAGACTGCGCTTTGGCTCGTAATCATCGATGATGTGCAGGGCGAGACCTCGAAGAAATTGGCTCAATCTTGGAGTTGGCTGTCCCGACTCGAACAGGGGTTGCCACGCCTTTTCCAAGACCGTCTCTTCGAAAGTAGAAGGCATACGGGCCTGTCCAGGTCTAGATTTGGTGTCTCCAGCATGGACGGGCGACGCTTCGCTGCTACTTCTGTTGGGCCGAGGAAGGTCATGACTGTTGTTGTATGGGCCCGCAGCAAACATGGGAGGTTCAGGAGATAGCGATCGATGACTTGTATTGTCTCTCGTTGGCGAAGGCGGCGTGTAAGGGCGATCGAGGGATGCAGCTGAGTCTGCAGGAGACCTCGAGTGGGCAGATCTGGTATGAGCAGAAGGAGGTGGATGCTGCTGTTGGCCTATACCAGAAGCCGAAAGATTTTTCATCACCTGCTCTGTAATCTGAGCAACGAGAGCTGGATCTAGCTGAGCAGCCGCATCAGATCGCTCAAAAGCGCGGTTGACGGCATGATCGACTGGAGCGGTTTGTTGATAGACACTGTTGGGTCTGACAGCATTCGAGTTGCCTCGTGGCCTGGAGCGACGATAGTTATCAGACTCGGGTTTTGGGAGATAATCGTCACGACGCAGCTCAAAACTGTCTGCAGCAGATTGCACAGCCGGAGAGCGGTAGCCTTCTCCAGATGCCATGCTGAACAGCGTCACTTGGCCGTCACTGTCCTCGCGATGGCGATGCTCTAACAGGGTTTCAAAGATCAGGAATTCGAAAAGTGGCAGATGTTTTGCGTGTTGGAGATATGGTTGTACAACAAAGGATGGTCAGCCTTGGTCCAGCCGCAGACACGGCGATGCGATGCGATGCGAGTGCTGCTGCGAGGTTGTGGGGGGGCTGGCGCAGAAGTATGGAGAAGTCAACTAGAAAGGAGCAAGCCCTGGTTAATGCCTTTATTCACGCAGGCCAGCGAAGGAGAGGGAATGTGCCTTGTTTCTGTGTTTCGGCCGCTCGAGTCTCCTTGGACGACTTGGTGGTTTAGGTCGTGAAGCACGACAAGGCGGACACTATTTCTTGGGCGCCGCTCTGGACGAGCCACTCGTCATTGACATTGAGACTTAGCAGGTTTGTAAACACGAGAGCGCCACGCCAATCATCAAGCATCATGATAACAATAATAAGGCAGACCAACCGAAGCGCGCCAGTCAGACGAGCACGCTTCGAACGCTGATCCTACAAGTCCACCCTAGATTGGCTTGCGACACCAACTGCTTGTATCAACGGCGATTGCGCACACATAACTTACCCACCTTTCGACACTGAGATAATCAGGCATCGCGTCAGCACAAGAGGAGAAGCAGCAACAAAGCAACAAAAACAGACCAGGGTTAGGATTGGCGTCATCGTTTCATGTTGGAAGCTCAGGTCTACCAAACACATGCTTAAAGATCAACAAACGGGTGCCGGGCCGGCCAAAGCTACCAGCCAGCAACAATCCTCCGCCCCGCTAGAAGACGCTACAGTTTTTTCTTCGTGCTTCCACTCGTCGGAACACGTTCATGGATACTGGTTCATCAGCATGATCGGAAATACCAAAAACCAAAGCGGCCGAGGAACCGGTGGTCGAGCAGATCTAAATCTTAGCAAGCTGATGTTCACTGCAGACCGGGCCAGCGAGCTGTTTTGACACATGCGCCTAGACGCCGAGCTTCCAGAGTCCCACACTGGCGCGGGTACTCGGGAGAGCACGCTATGAGTCTTCAGATGTTGTATGGATTGTATATCCACTCAGTGCTCTTGGAGATGGAGGGAGTGCAGTGGCAGGGTGTCTTGTGTTCTTGGAGCAATGGAGGCCGGCCGTGAGGGGGATACATTCCCCCAAGGACGAAGATGACATGACGATGGGCTTAGCTACAACGCGCTGCAGGCTGCAGAGGGTTGTGGATATGATGCAGTAGCAGCAGCGGAGGCACACCACACCTCACCTCATTAGCAGAATGCATGTGAGGAAAGCACGTGTATGCCAGCGTCTGAGGCCGGGCTCAGTCTACAAGAGGTCTGCTCGTTGGCGTCTGGCTCTGGGGATTGCGCACGCTCTTTGATGACTTGGTAATCGGAGAGGCTGGGGAGCGGTCAGTGGTCGATGGAGTCGCTCTCTCGACGTACGAAAGCAGGTGGCCGTTGGGCACGGGGGATGATTGCAGTCCCGTTTGGGATTCTGGTGGTGAGAGTAGCTGTGGCGGCGCGTTTCATGTTCACTTAGTGCGACTCTTGTCGTGATTCGATTAGGTATGCCGTGTGCGAGGCTTTGGCACGGGGCGCACGCGACGACGACCAGAGAGGTATTTTGTTCAATTTTACGCTGACTGCACGCCGAGTCGGTCTTGTTGCTCCTTGTTGCTCGTCGTCGACGCTCGTTGTGCTGGAAAAGACGGTCAGCTTCTTCGACCTTTGGCGCGCCGTGTCACCAAGAAACAGCCTTCTCCGCCGTAACCGAGTGATTGTCGCTCTGACGTTTCATCCTCTGCAAATCATTCAGAGCTGCGACTGCTCGGCTGGTAGTGTCTCAGCTATCTACATAAGCAGACGTGACGACCTGGACGCCAAAACACGCACCCGTCACAGAGGCCATAAACCCGCACGCCCGCAACTCGCTGCCGTGACCGTCACGCCGCCCGCTGCCCGTCACCATACCATACCATCCCACGACTGTCGGCACACGGAACGACATCGCCTCCAGAAGCGCTTTGTTTCGGCAGACAATGAAGCAATAGCCCCCAGACGCCTCTTGCGCACCTCGTCTTTGACCCCGACCTTTGTCGTCCAACCATGGCCATGCTGGCTTCCAAACCTTCATTTCCCACCGCCATGGGAGGGGCCACATATCAAAACACCTCGCCCGCCTACCGCAACAACAACAACAACGCAGTCTATGGCAGTCCCACCGAATCCGAGTTTTCCGACTCTTCCAGAATGTCTGACACCGTAAAGTATGTACACGCATCAACATGCTGCTTACACACAGGCGCTGATTGTATCTGCAGAAACTGGGACGAACAACGCGTTGGCGAATGGCTGATCAGCATCAACTGCGGCCAATATGTCGACATGTTCAAGAGTAGGCTCCTTCTCGTCCCTGCCCATGTTGCTGTCAAAGGCTAACGGGCATGCAGGNNCAATAACATCACTGGCGAGAACCTCATGGACATGGACCCTGCCACACTCAAAGAGATGGGAGTCACCAAGATCGGCGACCGCGTCCGCATTGGCTCTCAGGCAAAGCTGTTCAGGACGACCGTCTACAGGAAGACGAGCAAGCGGAACATGAACAGGGTATGCCCAAATCACACTACCATCACTTGGCAAGCTGCTGACTAGATCGCACAGCTCTCCCTGGCCACACTCGACGGCAATGCCCAAGCAAATGCTCTTCCGGCCTCGTCACCGCGCGAGCGTGCCGTCCTTTCCACCACACGGATCCAAGCTCCTCCCACGTCTCTTCGCGACAAACGCCTATCCCGTCGTATCGATGGTCAAGACCTTGCAAAAGCAAGCTCCCGTCCCTCCTCGCCATTAATAGACCAAGAGAACCGTTCTCGCATCCCTATGCAAAAGAGCAACAGCACGCCATATCTTCCCAAGCCATCCCAACGTCTCACCCCTGGCGAAACACCTCCACGCTTCGGCGGCCCGGTCGCCGGTCACATACGCTCAAGCCCCAGCGTCGACAACCTCGTCACTCACAGCAGCGCTCTACCTGCCGACAAGGCTCTGATCAGAGTCATCTTTGACAGCGGTCGCTCCTCCATGATCAACATCGAAGGTTGTGAGACTGCCGACGACATTGTTCTTAAGACTCTTAAGAAGGGTGCTCTCAACGAGAACCACGTCAAGAACTTTTGCTTCTACCTTCTTGATGGTTTGAACCCGGATCCGAAATACTGTCGTCGTTTGGGCGACACGGAGTTGCTTCGCATCTGCAACGATCGTGTGCGTGGTGAAAGAGGTCGACTCATGCTACGCAAGATTCATGCTGGAGAGCCCGAGGGAGAGCAGCTACGCATCGCCGCCAAGATTGCTGAAAAAGAAGCTCCATCACCCCCTGCGATCGAGGTACAGCAACCCATCAACAAGTCCAAGAGCCACCTCAAGATTGAGCAACTCATTGGCGAGCCTCTGGCTGCAGTTAGCTACCCGATGTCTCCTGCCTCGTTGCTCGAGCGTGAGAGAAACTCATACTTCGCTGCCCAGCCCGCCATCAACACCGCCGGCGCCAGAGCACGCAAACTCAAAGAGTTCTATGGCGCTCGTCCACCCACCGAGCTCATTACCCAGGATCTCACTTCGTACTTCCCAGACATTAAAAAGGAAGAGATGGACAAGACAGTACGCATGTCAATCCGCCGCTCACGCAGACTCAGCAGAGCCGCCAACCGTCTGAGTACCATGAGTAGCTTCAGCGTTGCCTCGAGCCTCAAAGACGCCCCTCCACTTCCCACCATCGCCGACAGCTGGTTGAACTCGGCCAATCACCCAAAGCCTCTCCGTCCTCTCTCTGTCGTTCGTCTGGGTCGTCCTGTCTCCAACTACCGCGACTCCATCACATCATCTGTACTTGAACCTCTAGACGAGGAGTCACCACTGGAGCCCAACCGCAAATCATATGTCTCTTTCGGCGCTGATAGCGGATCCGATTCTGTCGCTGTGACCGACCCTGAGGGAAACACTATCATGCAGAGCTACTTCGATGATACTGGTAGCACCAGTCCCGCGAATACCGAGAACGGCGGATCTCTCAACTCTCGTCTTAGTCAGGTCATCGCCGAGGATGGCGAAGAATCCGACGATGAGCTGATGGAACATTTGGAGAACGACAGTTGGGAGAACCTCAAGTACATGAAGGGTGCCATGATCGGACAAGGCTCTTTCGGCACTGTCTACCTTGCACTCCACGCAATCACTGGTGAGCTTATGGCTTGCAAGCAAGTCGAGATGCCCTCCTCCTCTGGCACACACCTCGATGCCAAGAAAAATAACATGGTAGAGGCTCTCAAGCGAGAGATAGGACTTTTGCGCGAGCTTAAGCATCCTAACATTGTGCAATATCTTGGCTCCAACTCTGATGACTCACACCTCAACATTTTCCTCGAATACGTTGCTGGTGGCTCGGTGGCTACAATGCTCGTCAACTACGGCTCTCTTGGCGAACCCCTGATCGCCAACTTTGTCAGGCAAATCCTTTCTGGATTGGCATACCTTCACTCCAAGGACATCATTCATCGCGACATTAAGGGTGCCAACATCCTCGTCGATAACCATGGTAGTGTCAAGATCAGTGATTTCGGTATCAGTAAGCGTGTCGAAGCATCAAGTCTCCTCGTTCCACCTACTGGTAAACGCACCGGCCCCCGCGTCTCTCTTCAAGGCTCCGTCTTTTGGATGGCACCCGAGGTCGTCAAGCAGACCGCCTACACTCGCAAAGCAGATATCTGGTCTCTCGGTTGTCTTATCGTCGAGATGTTCACTGGTGTCCATCCTCACCCCAACTGCACTCAATTACAAGCCATTTTCAAGATTGGCAGCAGTGCGGCACAGGCTCGTCCTGATATGCCCGATCAGGCCAGTGAGAGCGCCAAGTTCTTCCTCGAGCGCACATTTGAGATTGAACATGAGAAGAGACCTTCGGCTGATGAGTTGTTGGGTTATGCTTTCTGTGCACCCAAGGAGCCAGGTTCTGCTTAATCTTTACGTCTTCTTGCAACACCTCTTGCTTTTGATCACCGACATTTTGTGTTTTTTTTTTTGTTTCTGTATTTCGTGTTTCTCATTGGATGTAAGCGTAGGTGCTCAGGGGGAACTTTTTGCTTTCTTGTTGTTTTCATGGTTCCCTTACGTTTTGATGAGTATGGATTGTACGATAGAGAGACACGTAGTGGCAACGAAAGAAACATGGTCAGACGCTTTCCAGCATAATCTTCTACTTTTCATGCGGATGTTTTCAGCGACAGAGCCTCGATACGTCGGCCTGGATCCAACAGGGGTGTCATTTTACAATACCAAGTTGTGTGAATGTTACCATTGCCAGGGTTGTATCGATGGTACATGGCGACGCTCGAATATAGCACAGATCTGAACACGAACACAGCCGAGAGTTTGCAAAAGAAGTCCGAGAATTTCTCAACAGACAGGAGAAACGATTAGGGAGTCTTGCACACCGTCAACATCAAGTATCTGATTCGTGAACTCTCTAGGACATTCTTTGGGATTTTGGTGCGCTGGTAGTTACAGAACGCTGAACCAGGCCGACTGAGTATCTCATCTCTTCTCTCCTTGCCTGTTTTGGCTGTTCTGTCCTTCTAGTGCTGTTTGTTGACGTTGACTTCCAAACGCTGGTTACTTGAGATGGCTTGATGATTCACGTTTCGGGGACTGATGTCTACATCGAGACTGCTCTCATTGTGGTATTGTCTTAGTGTTCAGTCCAGACTCGGATGAACTGCACGAGATGTGCTAATTGCAATTGAATCGAAGCAATTCTCGGAACTTGGAAATTCTGTAGCTATATGGTACTAGTGATGTTTGGTGTGTGAATGTGAGATAGTGAGGCTTAGTGGATGTATGGAAGGTGCACGATTTGCAATTATGTTGATGCGCAAATGCATGGACGGCGGGCCACTATCCTTCTGCTCGGTCTACCAAACCGAAATGAGCACGTGGATCTTGTGTGAATAGATGTCATCCTCGATTGATCTGTTGCTTTGCTTCCATCAACATACTGATCTGTTCGTCGCTGTGCTGTTTTCTTTTCTTCGAAATCGGGGATTTCAAAAGTTGTCCGTCAGACTTTGCTTGTGGCCTGGTTCTCAATCTCGATAAGCCTGCGTGTTGGAAAGATATCGTGGTAAGTTTGATGCATTCCTCATGCATCTGTCCATTAACAGTGTTGTCTAGAATGAGACAGGTCAAGCATTCGTCCAAACAGCTCGCTCGAGTATATACATCGCACTCTTCACTCATCTTGCCTCTGAACATCACATCATAGACACAGCTAATCTCTTCGCCCACAAGTGATTCCCAAACCTCAAGAAGCATCACAATAGACAGACCCTACGAGATGACTGCTTCAAAGCAGGAAAGTGCAAAAAGGAAAATCGTCTAGCCCCTGAGTCGAACCTTGGACATCAACAAAAACACGAAAGGAAAGAAAAAAGGAACAACAGTTCAATTACAGCTACTAGGCCAGATACACATCTCCCTGAGATAAAGGAGGGCCTCCAGGGGTTCACTGCGATTGGGTTGATGGAGGGTACGCAATCTGAGTGATTCATAAACCTCTCAACAAATGAACAGACATGAACACGAAGCACAGGTTGGAGAGATTCCAGAACTGATTCGGCTCTTTTTTCCCCTACTCTGGGTCGATTATCTCGTGTGATCACGGTGCACTAATTGCACACACTTGACTGGTTAGACAACTAACGACTTTGACATCCCCCAGACTTTGGCATGTTGCCTTTCAAAAGCTTACCTACATCAAGCCTCTAGCTTTGCTGATCTTACCTCTCCACAGGCCAAGTTCTCAAATCTCACCTCTTCGAGGGTAGCCTCTTGTACATAGTTTCAAATGTCCACTTGCTATACCTGGAAGTTCCATCTCCGCACCGTGACCAATTCAAGCAACGACCAAAACACGCAGGAACACTTGAGACTGGCAGATTTCCCTTTGCTCCTTCCTTCTCGTTTCCCACCATTACGAGAACTCCTCTCGACAGCAAATAAAATTTGTGTAACGACAAAGGCGTAGCATCACCTTGTATAAAAACACCGATCCATCAAATTGCTATCGGACTCGGGCAAATTCAAAAAGGCGCAGAGGGTGATTGAACGGAATTGTTTGATATGCATTAGACATAAGAATTTTGTAGGTAATGTAAAAAAAAAAAAAAAAATGGAAGGAGTAAAAGAGGATGATAGGCAGAATCGAAATGGAAGGGGCAAAAGGACAAAAGCTCTTTTGTCAAGTCCGCTTTGCCAGAAGAGAAGGGAACCGATATATGGAGATCAAGAAAAGAAGAAGAGGAAAAGGAAGAGAATGATGCCTCATGTCAAAGCATGGCGACTGGAGAGTCGGGCTCTGCTCATATAGAAGCAGCATCAACCAGAGCCAGAGGGTAACACTCCTGGACAGGTGCACCAGTGACAGTGTACTTGACATTGGCATTGTTGACCAAGGCATCCAGACCATCCTGGCCGTCAACCACGAAGATCTTGCTAACAGCGCTGTTGGCAAAGTTGCACATGACAATGTTGTATAGGTTACCGTATGTGTCTGCGGCGAAGTAGATAGGTTGGGTACTCTCCTCGAGCTCTTCGAGAGTCAAAGTGATGAAATCGGCGCTCTTGGGGATGCTGTCTTCGTCGGACAGACGCAGTCGACTGGCGCCATACACTTTCATCTCGTCGGGGTGGAAGTGGAGGTAGCGACCGCTGTCATCGCCGAAGATTGCGTTGTCGTAGTGGCCAAAGAGGAGGTTGTCAGTCTGGATCAATTCCTCGCTGTAGGTAGCGGCGTAGAGGTTGCCGTTGGCACTAGGAACGACAGCAAGGGTCTTTGAAATATCGATCAGCTGGGTGTAGTTTGCATCGCTGGGAGAGTCATGGGTAGCCAATTGAAGAGCCTTGTCTGTGTTTTCCTTGAAAGCAGTGTTGTCGGGATCCTCCGAGTAATCGCCAATGGTATCATCGGAAAGATCTGCGTCCGTGGCTACGTCGTTGTCAAAGGACTCGACATAGTTGTCCTCGTCGTCGAAGACGTACTTCTCATCGTCGCTGGAGACGTCGGAGACATCCGAGTCATCAGTTGAGGTGATGTTATCTTGACGACGGACTACGAAGCTACGAGCATGACGTCTTTGAAGCTCGCCGGTGGTGGATTCTTCGTCAGAAGATGAAACGGGCCCAGAGTTAGTCTCCTCATCAGCATCCGAAATAGACTCTTCATTGGATCCTTCATCAGGAGTTGAATCGTCGGTCTCGGTGGGTGTCCCATCATCTGAAGCACTTGTTTCGGTTGGCTCGGGTGCATCTTCAGAGTCAGTGGTGCTAGGATCGGTTACATCACCCGTCTCAGTGGGTTCGTTGGAGTCTGAGCCCTCAGTAGCAGTGGGCTCAATCGTGGTTCCAGGGTTCGAAGGCTCAGATGCGTCATCGGTAGCCGTTGGCTCAGAACCAGTGGTTACAGCACTAGGTGCTTCAGTCGATATCGGGCTGCTAGCATCTGTGGTAGCAGCTGTTGTGGGTGCGGTAGAAAGCTCGGTACCAGCGGTAGATGCTTCGGACGACACAGCAGAGGAGGCCTTGGAGGTGGCCTTCGAGCCATCGANATCTGCAACTCAGTCAGCATTGTCCTGGGTACGTAGAACAGTACATGCGTACTTCTTGCAGCCCTTCAGAAGAGGGGGNNGAGAGTCGTAGTGGTGCAAAGTGAATGTCTTGACACCCAAGAAGTCAAGCTTGATGTCGTTTTGGANCTGGCTTCAGGTCAGAAAACTGCTTTTTGGTAATGGACAAAGATATGCAAACTTACCATTAGCAAAGTACTCAATACCGTTGTTGCATGTCTCGCTGGCTGCTTCGGCATTTGCGGTGGACGCTGCGACAGTGAGGTTGCCGACAACGCTAGGCTCCTCAATCAAAGCCAATACTCTCTTCATGTTGAGAGGAGGGATCTCGATACCTGCGTTGATGGCAATAGGCAGACTCAAAGTGAGCTGAGCGCCGATCTTACCGCTCGCCTCGAATCTCTTTGTAAACTCGGGAGTGAACCCAGTAATGCTGCTTTTGGTGGAGCTTTGAGCATCGAGAAGGTTGAGCTTGGCTTCAAAGTTTGGAATCTTCATGGCAACACCGACGAGGATCTGGCCCTCGGCGTTGACCTCGACCACAGACTTTGCATCGACACTGAGGTAAACACCAGCAGTGAAAAGCTTGCCAACAGAGACACCGACTTCGGGAAGAGGCTGGTTGATGATCTTCTTGGTCCGCTCGTCCTTGTAAGACGCGGATGCAGTGAGACCAAGATGGATACCGGCTTCAATGTTGGCATTGATACCAGCGTTCAGCGATTGCAGGCCGTCCTTTGCGTTCCACTTGGCTTGACCGGCCATGGAAACTTTGCCCTTCACACCACAGTCGACACAGTACAGGTTGACCTCGGCACTGCCCTTGTCGTCCTTGAATTCCTTCTTCTTAGAGTAGATCGATGCTGCTTTGCCCCAAGGAGAGTCCACAGAAGCTGCAGGGCCATAGTTGAATTCTTGAGATCCGCTGATGCTGGGATCAAAGTTCGAGAGGTCTTTCAACACGCCGCCTGACACTGCATCCAATCCTGTGCCAATGAGGGGAACACTTCGAACACCAGCTAGTGCGAGTTTACCAGTGGCCTTGCTGGCATCAACGAGAATTTCACCGCCCTTGACAACAACGTTACCGACTGCCTTGGCTCCAGTCGCAATCCCGCTACCGATCTTTCTGAGACCACTTCTGATAGAGTCACGCCAATCTCTCTTTCGGAGATGCGCAAGACCACGTCGAGTCAATTCCACGTCGTCGTCCACGAGATCCTCTGCGTTCAAGTCGACATCTGGGAAGAAATCACGAACGCTGTCAGCGTAGTTGCCGGAGGTGGTATCGAGATATCCAATGCGGTCGTCAAGGCGAGAATCGAATTCTGCGTCACCGCAGTCGATTGCAGGCAGACCATCTATGACAGAAGAAGGAGCGGTACCGCAAGAAGACCCGTAGAGTGTTCCGTTGCTGGACCCTGAGGAGGTACGCGTAGGAACAGCGCCAGTGAGTGTGCTGCTGGTGCCTGAATTGCGGGTAGAAGTAGTGCTGGCTCTTGCATCTCCGACAGATGTAGCGCTACCACCAATGGCAGGGACACCATTGCTTCCAGGAGTGTAAGTGCCCCAGACAAGATCGACGGTGTGGGCGATTTCACCAATCTCCAGCTCCTCGCTGACAACAGCCTTGATTGTCATTGTTTTGTTGTCAAAGGAGAGGGAGGCGATCAACCAAAAGGTTCGTTGGTCTTCAGCATCACCATGACAGCCATCAGTATAGGTTGCGAGAACCAATCCAGTAGAGGTGCTTGACCAGCTATCGCAAGCCAAGTTGAATGCTTGAACGCTGGTGAAGGAAACAACAATGCCGTCTTCAGAGCAAGATGTTTCAGAGATGTATGAAGAGTGATCGAGAACGACAGTATCATGAGTCAGATCAGTAACAACAGATGCGAAAGGGTGCTCGACTTTGGGGTCGGCAAGACCGTAGTAGAGACTTGCATTCTTTGATGGGATCAGGTTGTCAAGGTTGTCAAGAGGGAAATCCCAGTGAACAGCAGGCGAAACCGTGGCGGCGGCATACTCTGCAGTACCAACAGAGGAAGCGGCGAGTGCGAAAGGAGCGTGGTTGGCAGTCGAGGATGGCGCACCAGTAGATTCACCGAGAGTGCAACCAGCGACTGTCTGTGTCACGACCACGGTTTGGAATCCGCCAGAGTTTGCCGGGGATTGGGCCTGGGATCCAACGTTGACAGCAACAGCAGAAGACGAGGTAGCGAAGTCGTATCTCTGGACGGCGTTCGTGGTAAAGGGAGCGGAATCTTGATCATGTTGCTCAGCGTTGATGGCAGCACCCGAGGACGAGCCGGAGGAAGAACTTGAGGAGGAACCTGGGAAACCTGAAGCGTGTCCATCTACCGCTGCAACAACGATGGCACTGGTGCTTGCGGCATTGTAGATGGTAGCAGTGCTCAGGATAGTTCTGGTACTGGTGTAGTTGCTGAACTGAGGGAGGGAGGTAACATTGGTGTAAGTGGTGTTCAGAGGCTGAACATTCAAGGGAGATGCAGACACAGTGCTTCCCAGACCCAACACGAGTCCAGGAATCAAGTATCCAAGTCCTGCCATGGCTATGAAACACCAAGACTTAGGAGTAAAGAATGGACGTCCCAAAGTTGGAACAAGAAAGGAGTGTGGTTGTCGAGGTCGTTGGCTGGATGAACATCTCAAGAGAATCGACAGTCGTCTCCTTCATATACCCTCCTGTCGACGGTGAAAATCATTTCCCAATCTCCTCTCAGCCATCTCTTGTGTCGACGTTGTGATACCAATCTCGGTATTTCCTTTCAGTTCGCTGCATATTCTAGTCAGGACGTATAGTGCTAGGCTGTGCAGCTGGAGTGGCCAGTCCACAGACGGAGCCGACGCTGAGCTGAAGTCGATATATTCATTTCAAACTCTTGGCTATCCTCCGAGCTCAACTTTAAATGTATGTAAACTGGAGACGAGATGGAATAGATCAGGTTTTGCCAAGAAGCGTCGTCCAAAGATGTAGCTGATGTTGCAGTACAGGCTCAACGTGGACGGCTCGTCTGATTCCCTTTGAAGGTGACGGTACCTTGGCAGGGTGAATAGACTCGCATGTGGAAAGCTGATTTGAAACTTGGCTGTGACTGTTTAATTCATTGCTGTAGTAGTAAGTGCCAAATGCCCTTCTCCTATGTCAAGAACGGATTGTAGGTTGAGTTTAGCAAAACACGGCCATTTGCCCAGCCTACCATGCTGCCTCGAACTGTGGAGCTATAACTAGATCCCAACTATACAGAAGCAATCACCCAAGGGTTTTGGAGATGCAGTGAATAGCTTGTAGCTGAAGCCTAGAAAGAAATGCGTGAGCCTTGGCTGCAGGAGGCGTTTTCGGACTGCCGAAACTCAACGGAGACCCCGAGGCATTGTGTTTAGCCAACGGCTCGCTAGTAGTGCGACACAGCTGAGAAAGAGCTTTTCTCTAGAAGTCTGGTGTCGCTGTTCTGTTGTGAAAAGCACGTTGTAAAGGGGCTCGCTCAGCTGTGAGGCAGCCGGTCGGCAAAGCGAAAGGACAATGCGAGAGTTTCGGGAATGCCGTCCTTGAGTCGTGGAAGTCCGTGCGTTATACCTCTGTTGCTGTATCAACATTGATCGCACGCTTTTGGTGGACGCAGAAAGTTCATGGGAAGTATTGAGCGTAGAGCACTCTTGGAAGAGGCGTTTCCGTCCAAGAAGTGCTGTTAATATGCCTGTGGAGTCTAGCTAAACATACACATCTCCCGTCAGACCTCCGCGACTATCAAACAACATGTTAGAACTACGCGAGGTTCTTCGGCGTTACCGACGAGAAGAGTCTTGTCGTGCGCTACCAGTAGTGGGTGCACTTTGCGGTGCCTCGCTCCTGGTCGTTCCCCTACGCTCGTTGAATGGAACGCGAGCGTGCGTTCTGAGGCTTCAGTATGAAATTGAGCTTCGTTCCGCGGCCACAGCAATTGACGCAAGTGCTTGTCTTTCTTGATCATATAAAGATGATTATATGGAATGAATCGTCTCTACTGTACGTTCATTGATCGGTGCAAGACCATACGAGATGAGATGTGGATGTCAAATAAGAAGGTCAGGGTGTTATGCTCAGCATATGGTGTTGGGGATATCATCAACTTTTGCTACAGAACGATGCTGATGATGAATTATTCATGTGGTTCGATAGATTCCCTATGTTCCTCGGGTAGCATTTCTAGGGTGGAATGTCGAGGAGAGAAAGAAAGAAAGAAAGAAAGCACTCGACCAAGACCAAAAGCTCTCCCCACACGAACTCAGGCTCTCCACAACGGGAGCAACTCCCGCCTCGATTGCTTACACTTGCATCTCAATACTCGAGTCTGGCAAAAGGAGAGATGAGCATGCGAGCGCCATCCACGCCAGTCGGTTGCACGCCATGATTTCGGGAATATCAAGGCTTCTAGGCCTGTCATTTCTGTTCTGTCTGGGCCTTCCGTTCGCGCTGTTTGCTCTCTTTACGACCACTCTGGCGCTGGGCACTCTTCTCCTACGGCTACTGTTCGTGTACTTCGACCTCTTCCTCGCCATTCTCAACGGAGCGATAACACCATCGACACCTCCTACGCCTCTCGCATCCCCGAGCGCCAGACCGGCACGACGCAAGAAGCACACAACACCATCCACGCCTTCGGCAGCACTAAGAAAGACTCGTTCATTTGCAAGTCTGGTTGGCAGCGGCACGGATAGAGACTTTGAGGGCGTGGGAGGGTGGAGGTACCCCGAGAGCGCAGACGAAGAGGCTGTGTGGATGAACATGAACCGATACCTCGAGTTACCGGCATCGCCAGCAGCCACAAGGAAACACAGGAGGAGTGGGACAGGCAATGGAACACAGAGCCCTTTGGTCACGAGAAGTATGGCGCGGACTTCGGGCAGTGCCAGTCCTGAAGGCTACTTCAGTATCAGAGTGGAGAGCAGGGAGGGGCTGGGATTGAGCTCTCGAGGAGACGGATGAAGGTCAAGCTTGCAAGCCATGTCTTTGAGACAAGACAGAGGTCTGGAGAGAGGTACGGCTACTGCGGAGGCAAGGCCACGAATTCATGAACTGACAGCTTGATGCTGTCGCGACTGTCTGTACAATTGTGATTAACTTCAGTCTGACCAGAGCAAGATCAGTGTTGATGACAGAAAGTTGGCTGGTGTGACGTGTGTTGGTGGAAGGAACCCCACACCGACAGCTCGAACAGAAGGAGCGAGACCTGGGCGCGTGCGCTTTGGCCGTGAGGCTGGCAAGTCCCAACTAATTTGCTTCGATTCCACTCTCTTCCCTCGCGCACTCGACATCTTCCTGCATACAAACAACTCTGCACTCGTCGGAATCTACCCTCGAGCTCCTGCATACCCGCCCGAAGCTCCTCCGTACAACTCCGTGCCCACGCGCCTTGTCGACGACGACGCCCAATACCACAACCACCGACGCGTTTCCTCGTCCACCCTCGCAATCATGTCTGGAGAAGCCTGGCTATACCTGATAGCCGTCCTCATCAATGCCGTCAACCTCTTCCTTCAAGTCTTCTTCACCATCATGTACAGCGATCTGGAATGGTACGCCCGACCCCGACCCCGACCCTCACCGCCGCCTTGCTGGTCCAAGAATGCTGACCTGTTCTCCTCGNNCAGCGACTACATCAACCCCATTGACCTTTGCAACCGCCTCAACACCTACATCGTCCCCGAAGCTGCCGTCCACGCTTTCCTCACCATCTTGTTCCTCGTCAACGGTTACTGGATCGCCTTGATCCTCAACCTGCCTCTGCTTGCTTGGAACGCAAAGAAGTCAGTCCTCTTTCGCCCAACCTACAATGCCCTTGCTGACCACATCCAGNNAATCTTTGAGAACCAACACCTGCTGGATGCGACCGAGATCTTCAGAAAGCTCAACGTCCACAAGAAGGTACGCCCCTGTGCTGAGAATTGTCAAGACCTGCTCCCAACTGACATTGCTCCANNGGAATCTTTCATCAAGCTCGGCTTCCACCTCGTCATGTTCTTCTTCTACCTCTACAGCATGATCGTCGCCCTCATCCGCGACGAGTCGCACTAGATGCAACCTGCCGAACCACGCCGATAAACGCCCTCCCAACCTCAAGTTCGCGGCCACTGCAACATGCTGCATCTCGCTCCCACAGCCGCATGCGCCCACACTTGAGCTCCATGGCTGGCTGGTATAGGATGTAGATGAGAGATGTTCATGTCACAAAACAGCGCACATATGGGTCGCTTTTCTTTTACACTACACGCTGACGAAGCATGACTTTGCCCATCAAGGTCCAAGGATGACGATTCCCCTTGGCCTCTCGCTTTCTTTACAGGAAGCGCTGGAAAGAGGTATGGCTGAAGCAGGGAGAGATGGCTTGCGCTATGCTTTTTGTTGGCGCACTTCTTGCCTTGTCATGATGCAAAGATACCTCCGATACCATCTTATAGACCTTTCTGTTCGAACTGTTCCTTAAAAACTTCTCGCTCACGAAAATGGACACACACGTATCTTTTGAGATTTTCCAACCACTTCAATGAGGTGGTCGTGTGACTTGGACATTGATGCTGATGCCTAGACCGGACACGTTTCCCTACCATTCGAGTTCTATCCTGGTTGCTCCATGCACACGCGATCAACACGATATGCGATTGTGAATCTGAGCGTGTCCATATACTCACTGCCATGTATTCCTTTGCTCAAGCCTGAAAATGCTCATAGACTGGGCCCGTTACAAGCCGACGTCTCCCCTTATTCCAACTCGACCTCACCTCCTGTTCTGCCCCTTTCTCTTTTCATGTTCGTGTACTTGACTTCATCGTTTCGGTGCTCTATATCTTCTGCTAGATGTCAAGTTTGGAAGATGCTGCTTTTATGGCTGACCGGCAATGAGTCGAGTGAGCGTATGTCGACACTACTCTTCCTTTCCAGGCAAACTACAATGGTTTATTATGTATATGTGCTGCACGTACCGTACGCAATGGCCTAGAGCATGACCGGAAGTCTTAAAACCGCAAGTAATCGACTCGGTCGCAGAGACAGAAAGTATATCAGTCGTTGTCGTGTAAACCAGAAGTTGAACATTGATTCGGTGGTAGATTGTTAATCGATCTGAACGGAAGCGATGACATGAACGAGATACGTTTCGAAGAACCCTTTGGCGGAAACCGCCTGCTGCAAGATGGATTCCATCATCGAGACTATGATAAACCCAAGAACCCCCTCCCAGCCTGGGAGGACAACTACCCTAGATGTCTCAAGGCAAAGTCCGATGCATACAGTACAACCGAACAGGTCGAGTACCAATAAAAAATAAGTGTATTGAGCATTAGCGACAAAAGAAAATTCTCATTGCCGTACGTGCTTGATGAGCGCCTGTGCAAGCCTTGTAACCATGAGTTTGCTCTTTCCCGGCTAGGCGGTGCATGGAGATGTCTGGTCGAGATGATCATGGTAATCACTCAGCACCTATCGAGTCGTCCAAAATTTACAAGAAGCTGTCTGTACTCTAACAACATCTGTGGGAAGACTGTCTACGCACGATAGATTGAAGGCCAGTGTAAAACTCGTGAAATTGACCGTTGCTGCTGTCTTGGTAAATATTCACAAATAATCGCTCTTGCTAAGGCTATACTCTATGGCTCTTCTATACTTGACTGTAATTCTGTTTTCCAGTCCAGACTGTGTATCTCTTTGTTTTTGGCTCAATACCACTACTCAAGAACGTATCTTTTTTCCTCCTTCCACTCGCCATACTGCTTAACAGTACGAGGCGTTGGTCTGCTTGGTGATGACACCCTGGTTGATGAGATCAATGTACGACCAGTAATCTCTCTGGGTGCCCTCGCCGTCGACAGCAGCGGTCGAGTAGGAAACAGCAGTCCAGAACGACCCGCCAGCGACATACTTCTGCCAAGCGTAACGCTGGGTATCGAAGAGGGCCTTGCGAGTGGTGACGTCCAGAGTGTTGTTGTACATGGCTTGCCTGGAAGGAAGACAAACGTCAGCATGATTGTTTGGAGAGCAGGAGTTGGGTGATACTTACAGCGACCATTCGCCAATGAAGACAGGGAACTTGGTCTCTTCGGCAATGTACTGGGCTTGACCACAGACAGCGGGGTTGACGTAGTTGGCGTAGGTGCCGGCGGCAGCAAAGTAGTAGACATGGGAGTCCATAACAATGTTGGTGCTGGCGTCGTAGAAAGGTGCCCAGAAAGATGCACCCTTGAAGCAGTCCTGAAGCTGTAGAGGGATACGCTTGTCAACAGCGGCGATCTTCTTGAGAACACCGTCGACGTAGGTGTTGATCCAGTTGGTGGCATTGTCAGAGAGACCTGCAGCAGATCCGAAGCCAGCAAGGTTGTCCGAAGCCTCGTTGATAGGAGCGATAGTGAAGGCGTTCTGGTAGCCGGAGCTCTTGATGAACTTGAGGACACCGTCAATAGCCTGGAAACTGTAGTCGAGGTTGGTGGCGTTGTAGAACCAGTTGTCGTGGAAGAGAGCCTCGCCAATATCAAGGTTGTTGACACCACCGGGCAGAGAGTGGAGACCAACAATGATGTGCATGTTGTACTTGAGGACAGCATAGTCGGTGATGGCCTTGAGCCACTTCTGTTGGTTGCCGGAGTACAACTGGGAGCCGGGAACCTTGACCCAGGCAGCATAAGTCGTGGGGATACGCAGAACGTTGACACCCACGCTGGCGAGCTGGTCGATGGTGGTGGTGTTCAAGAAGCTCTGGTAGCGGGCCTCGAGGATAGGACCACACTGGGAACCGAGAGTCTGACACAGGGTCCACTCGTCAGGGGCGCTGTCGCCACCGACTGCCGACCACCAGATGGGATCATGGGTCTTCTCTTTCTCCAACCAACCGCCAAGGTTTGCTCCATTAGCTTTGAAGGTCTTCCAGTCAATGTAGTTGCCGCCATTGACACCAAGAGGCCAGGTAATGTCGTGGGCGAATAGGTCGGTGGAGACGCTGACTGAAGTGTTGACACTGAAGTCGAAGGGGCACTGGTCGTGGAATGGGACAACAGGTCCGTGAATGTTGGCGTTGGTCTGCAGCTTGATACCGAGAGAGCCAAGGAGTGAGTTGAGGTCGTTGGTGAGCAGACCGAGGATGCTACTCAGGAGGCTAGGGGTGGGTGCGGCGGTGGCAGAGCCAGCCAGGATAACAGCAGCAATAGCAGCTGAGGTACGCATCGTTGCAAATGTAAAGAAAAGACAGAGAGTGGAAGGAAGGTAGAAGCTGAAGGAGCTGGTGAGATGAGATGAGATGTCTTGTGTCTTGTGAAGATGTTCAGGACTACTTATACTGTTTGCTACCTGGTCGAGGCCTACCAAAGTCTGTAGAGATATCAAGCTCGATCAAAGACAAGCAATCTGTCGCTCGTTCCGTTCCCGCTGGGCCGCCGCTGAGACGGGTACATGTCTATGCTCTACAACAAGCAAACGGCTATGACGAGCGGGTAGGTACAACCCACGGTATGCTAGCGGTCGAAGCAACATCGACTCATGCTAGAAGGTTGGAATGCTTCGATTGTCCATCAAAAGTCTTGGTTGACAGTTCGGCCAAAGTTTAACCATCTGCCGGCGCAGCACGGATCAGGCTGTTTAAGCTTCGCAGCCCTACTTTGCCTCTTGATCCTCCCTAGCACTCCTCGCAGACCGTCTGGCTTCTGTGCCCCAACTTCAAATGTCCCATCTGGGAATCAAGCTGTGTAGAATACCCAATGGTCGTGACTGCCGGTCTGCAGACGGCGATCAAGCGGTCTCGATTACCTTCCAGATGCCCGGCTCTCGCCCTCAACACCCGAGTCGACCGTTGCAGCTCGCAAATTCTGCTCGCTGCCCTACAAGCCCTCCGAATGCGGTATGGTCTGCATTTTGAGATGCTTCCAGAGACCACTATCTATCGTCGAAGCATTCGTCCGGAGCACTCGTCCGGAGACGTCTCGCCATTACGTTGAGGTCAGACATCGTCAGTTCCGCCCAGTGGTGACTACCGTTCTTGCTTTACTCGCAGTAATCTGCGCCTCCTCCGACGACGCGCGATTCGTGACAAACATTCTATCGACGCACTGGAAGCAATTCCCTCTTCACCTTTGGTCCGCAGAAGCATTGTCATCAGATCTCTCCCGCGCTGGCCCGTAGATTCGCTCGGTAATCTCAACCGTGGCTTGCATATAATCACCGAGAAATAACGCAGGTGTGGACTGGCCTTTCAAGTACAGTCGCCATATGGCAGCACGGTATATCGCCGTTCAAACTCTTTTACGGCATTCAACCATCCCAATCATTCTCGGACTTGATGACTTGGCATTGCTGGCGGGTTGCGGTCTTGTGGACGCGAGACTATGCTTTGTATCAAGTGTATGAGTTTCTGCACAATGGATTTCACTGACTTAGCACGCCTTTGAGACGCAGGTGCTCCAGACAGCGATCGTGATGAGTTTCTTTGGCGAGCGACCGATTGTGATGCCTACAGATCTCCCTTCGAGACCAGGAGGTTTGTATTGACGGCGTTCACCCTCCACGATAGACACTTTGCTCATTTCTCGAGCGTGTCGTTGAATAAAAGCATTTGTCTGGATAATTGCAAGTGATCTCGTCAGATGTCGCCCAGCTCACTCCATGACCGGCAAGTCCCCAGTCCATATTCTAGTCGGTAGTGAGTCGCAAATGTGAGCGAGCTTGTGCCTTGAGCTTGTTGGCCAATATTTGTTGTAGAAGACGGAACTTCAGCGGCTTGGTCAGAAACACATCAACACCACTTTCCAAGGCATCTGCCTCAGCATTGGCTGACACAACACCCGTGACGGCAACAATCAGTGTCGATTGCAGACCACTCTGCCGCTCGTAGTCGCGGATGAGACGTGTAGATTCCAAGCCATCCATCACTGGCATGGACACGTCAGTGATAATGCAATCAAACTTTGATGCATCGGCATCGCCAGAGACTTGAGTCTCTTCAAACAGATCCGGACTCATGTACTTTCGATATGTTTGGTAAGCTTGTAAGCCATCTATTGCTGTGACAAAGGTGTGGCCTTGCTTTTTGAGAAATGCTACAAGAAGCTTCATGTTGATCTTGTTATCTTCGACGACAAGAACGTGAAGTTGGCTGTCAGGGAGCGCCGTGATCGACGAGCCGTCGCTTTTGGATAGTTTGTGATTACCAGAATCCAAAGTCGGATCTGCTGCTGTTAGTCCCGCCAGTGTGTCAGAGTGGCATACAGTCTTGATATTCATTCCAGATGTGCGTCGATGTTCTTGTGCGGAGTTTTCTTCAACAGCACTCCTTGGACGATGGACAACGTTCAACAGAGGAGCATTCGGGATCTGCGAGGCTTTTGAAATCTNGGCGATGCTGCGAATGCTATCAGGCCATAGTAGATTGTCTCGTACTCGTGTCAACGTACCTCNGCATGTCTCAATGGTTCGAATAAGTTTTCTCGCGCCGAAACTCCAACATGTCAGCAGGGTAGTTGAATGGACGCCATTCTCGACTCACGGTGTTATGTCAAGGTCCAGAATCTCTCGGGACTCCCTGATGTTCGCCACATAAGCTGCTGTCATTCGCTTTGTCAGAACCAAGACCGAAATGGCGGCATCGACATTGGAAACATCTGCTGCGTTGCTGTCGTGACTTGCGCAAAATTCAGCAAAATGATCCTCTAGGACGAGCCATAGGTCTATGTTGTCATTGAAGTCGGGTCGAGTCGTCCTGATAGCCATCGATGGAAGGAACTGAGCAAGCTGACTTGCGACAGAACTCAGTACAATGATTGTTGTGTCTGCCGGGGATCGATTCAGGCGAACGTTGCCAAATGGCGGTATTTCTATGGTATCCGGATGCCAGAGAGCAAGTCGTCGAGATGTATTATCCCCGTCTATCACGTGTTGTGAAAGTTCATGGTTCGAGGGAACATTCATCACTGCCGTAATTTGCACTGATGTGCCGCCATGTTTCTTGGTTTGCATGTTCAATTCAGCCCCTATCTCTCGAGCCATCGAGACGGCGATCGGCAGGCCAAGGCCGAGGCCTGAATTGAACGGATTTTCTTGAGTGAATGGCGTNNAGAGCATTGTTGCAGGCTAGTGAATGTAAGTCTTTGACTTGAGAAGAGCACTTTCGTGTTTTACTTACTACTCATCAGTCATTCCTTCACCCGAATCAACAATGTCGATCACGAGCTTAAGCTGGGCCTCGTTTGCGGTTGGTTCTACGTTGACCTTTACATGCACGAAACCTTCTGAGGTGTATCTGAAGCTATTACTGATGAGGTTTAGAAGAATGGAGGNTCCTGCAAAACTGTCACTTAAATGGTTTGTGGTGGCTTCCACACGGGATACCTACCATGGGCCTTTCTGCGTGCTGAACGTCCACCTTGAACCTGAGTCGTGGCCAAACTCAAGCCCAACTCGAATCGGGCTCAATCCTGTGTCAATAGCTGATGACTGCGCAGGTTCAAGCGTTTCGTCAAGCGACTCTGTGGAATTGAGCCTGATGTTCGCCGTTGATTTCGTGTGACTTATCCAAGCTGTTTCAAGAACTGGTTTCATCAGCCNGGAGGAAGCCGTTTTACGATCGATAGACTAACTCTGCTCCAGCAAAATACTCATGTCAACGGTACCAAGCAGCGTCGTGGTCGGTGTCGCCTGACCAGAATCAGATTGTTGGGAATCTCGATTTAGTAAACTGTTAATCTTGGTGTAGTGCAGCAAATGATCAATCGAATNCTGTGGATTGTTTTAGCATAGCACCAACGGATATTCGCTGTCAACATCACCTAATAGCGTCCTTCCGCAAAGCTCGGCAGTGCCTATAGTACTGCTCTGTGAAACGGGTAAGCTCATCTGTTCTCCTCAAGGCACAATGTGGTATAGTACCTGGAAAGTGTTCAAAGACGTATCATGTAAGCATTCCAAACAGCACATGAGTCCATGTAAGGGCGATCTTAACTCGTGAGAAATTGAGGAGATGAAATTGGTCTTAGCTCTGTCAGCACTGGCCATTTCGATACGAAAACCCTCTGCAAAGACACTATTGCAGAAAGTATGGAGATAAGCCATGTCTGGATGGGATGCAAAAGACTTCTGCCCGTCGCAATACCAAGCAATAGCGATGGCATCTGCCTCTCGACCATTACCAGCCAGAGGTAGGAACATAAGGCTGTGCCAAGTTGGCACAGCTAACCTCAGCTCTTGCAGCACTAGCCTCCGGTTAATGGCGCGATCGGAAAGCGTGATTGTCGTGGTTTCGATTTTCTCGAGCTCGTCAAGTTCATACATGCTCAAGATCTGACCAGAAGGATAGTGCTGAGCAAGATGATTAAGCAGAGATTTGGGGAGGCGATTCCCGGCTGGCAAGTAAGGTGCTTGATCAGAAAGCCCTTGCTCGATCTTGAGGGCATGACCTAGAACACAAGATTTGTCGAGGTCTTCGATGTCGACTCTGGAATTAGTTTCTGATGCTGCAAAAACCCCTGNCTCAGAGTCCCCGCTAAAATCGTGAGGTGCGCTTGAGGGAGATAATGCGGAATCCCCAAGGGAAGAGGTGGCAGACCTTCGAAAGCCAACAAACGTGTTCAGAGGTAACTTGAGGATGGCCGCACCATCGCAATCGAGAGAAGATCTCATACTCGCGGCGGCTCTGCGATAGAAGCGATCTAGCGTCTCAAGTGTATCTTCCGTGCGAGAGACTTCTGGGCTTGCATGAAGCTGAAAACCATTGGCGGTCCGCGGTTGCGAAGAGTCAGGTTCCGTCAGATTCTCAAAACCCATCTTGTCAAACTCGGGCGAAGCCTCTTGTGTTGGAGCAGCCGCGTGGTGCTTGAGATATTGTACATCAGCCCATTTGTGCCCATATGAAAGATCAGCGTGAACTGGCAGGGTACTCGACGATCTGATCGATTGAGACCTCTCGACTAATCGGCTCAGTTCATGAAGCATGGTCTCAGCCTTCAGGGAATCATATTTTGCTCGGAGATGGTCAAGATGCAGCATTACGGTGGTCGACATGTCCTTGAGAAAGGCGATCTCAGAGGGAGATAAGCTGGCACGAGGCTTGTCATCAANTGCTGCCGAGAGTCAGACAAAGACACTATCTAGAAGGGCGCAGTGGACCTACACACAATAGCTACCAATGTTGTGGCCGCGAGGGCTGCGGATGGGCACACCAGCATAGAAGAAGTAAGGTTCGGGACTTGTCACACACGGTTTTGTGGCGAATCGAGGGTCTTTGCTAAGGTCCGGTACCATGAAGACGGACACATCTTGAACTTCTGGTTCTAGGTCAGGCAAGTTGACGGTATTGTTGCACAAGACGCCTTCTCGCGGTATTCTCTTGGCTCCATAGTGTATCGTGTCGCCGGGCTCGCCGAAAGAACCATCATCTGCCAGTAGCAGCGAGCGAGTCGCTTCTGCGAAAATGTATTGGTAGTCCGTATCGAAGAAGGAAATCAAGCATCGCCGCACGCCTAGGCGGTAGGTCGCTAACTGAGCGAAAGCAGTGAGCGCCTTGTCAGGAGATGGGACTGGATCACCGGAGAGCTCGTCGGCGCACAAATCGTCACGCAAGGGCTCGTAGTATCTTGAACGCAGTATTAGCAAACAAGTCTTGTATTTTGGGGCGTGAAAAAGATACCTGTAGAATTCGGCATCCCGAGAGCTCTGCTGCAGCGGCGACATACTGACTGGTATAAGTCGCGGATGCGTTCGAACGAAATCGGGGCCAGCTCTTAGAGTCATGCGATCCGAGATAAGCTCAGGGTCGGAGGTCTAGCCCCCGTGCCGTCTTTAGTAACACCTTGCTATAACGATCGTCAGAGATTGCGACCTTCCGATCGCTATACCAGATTTAGTATAGCTAGTTACCCGATTCGGCTAAGTTTTGAGCTTGTTACTACTTTCCAATGATCATGGCATGGGTCTGCCGGCCTCTCGAAGGTCTATACTAGTGAACCAGTAATAGGCGACTGGTTGCTTATGACATGCAGCTCGAGACCTTTAAGCAAAGCACCAGCACCAGCACCAGCACCGACACCGGCACCGGCACCGGCACCGGTACCAGAAGCTCCCTAAGCTACGGCTGCGACGATGTCCGCCCGCACTCTGCCGAAGACTGAACAGAGCATTGCAGATTGATTGGAGACTCGCTTCTAAGGGAGCCATATCATTAGTGTCAGAAAGCATCAAAGAAATAAGGAGGGTCAACATCAAGCATATCAGTAGCAGGACTGATCTTGGCGGAGTTTCTTCACAGAAGGACGAGGCCGTTGGCAGCCATGTTGATGTAGCGTGAGTTCCGGACGTTTGATGCAAGACTCTGTCGGATTCAAATATTTGCGTTGATCGACATTTGATGAACGTTGAGAGCTGGGAAGGCATGGCTAGAGAGCGTAAGCAGCAATGAGTAAGCGGGAAGCACCTTCTGTGAATCCAACCAAGCGAAATGGTGTAGATTTGTGACGGGACATCTTTATCTTTGAACAAGTGTACTTGTATGTCTATGTTGAATGTATGTTTGGCTATGCGTGTAAATTTCCAGGGGTATCTTTTCAAAAATGCAGTCAAAAACCCAACGCCATGGTATGTCTCGAACAAGAGTGCTCAAGCTTCAATCGCTCCACGGAGCTCAGCACTCAGCTCATCGAGACTACCTTCACCCAGGTTGTCAAAGCCGTTGAAACCCTCTTCGACAACCCACTTCTGGTGATTCTTCTCCAAAACTTCACACGCAAGGCCAACAACGAGAAGGCCGGGCGGTCTTGAGCCCTCTTCTTCGACTGCGGCACAGACGTATTCGAGCGTGCTGCGGATGACCCTTTGGTCGGTACAGCTTGCTCGCTCGATGACTGCGCAAGGTGTAGTCTTTGGGTAGTTTTTGCCCTCGGCAACAAGGCTATCGATGAGAGCACTGAGTCTGTGCAGAGACATGAGGAAGACGCAAGTCTGATTTGCTAGGTAGACAGGTGGGTCGGGAGCAGCTCCCTTGCGACCGGTACCAGTGCAGATCAAGACTTGATCACTCACGGCACGGTGGGTAACGGGGATCTTTGCGAATAGGGGAGCACTGAGAGCAGAGGTGATGCCGGGCAATACACTAACCTCGTAGCCTTCGCGGCGGAAGAAGTCGTACTCCTCAGCACCACGGCCGTACAGGTAAGGGTCTCCCTGCTTCAAGCGGAGAACTGTCTGGCCCTTCTTTGCTGCTGCGAGGCCGAGGGAGAGCAACTCTTCTTGAGCAGCTTCTGCGTTTCCAGGGAACTTTCTTGCAATATGGACAGGCGTGCGTCTGGGAATCAAATCGAGGACGGGAGCTGGGACCAGCTTGTCGGCGAGAATTACGTCGGCACCACGGATAGCCTTGAGTGTCAAACCAGTCAACAAATCCGGATGACCAGGACCAGATCCAGCCAAGATGATGCGGCCTCTGCGGCTTCTCGAGTCGAGAGTACCAGGGCTGAGGAGAGGAGTGCTAGCCTCAATAGCAGCTTCCTGGCTATACGAAGCCAGCACAGCATCAACATCAGCATCGGTAATGGCAGCCAGGCGGCGGAGGGGCCAGTATTCGCAGATCTGTGAGAGCCAGCGCATGCGCCTGTTCCTAGCAGCTTCGAGGTCGGAAGGTGTAATGAGCTTGTTGAACTGAGCGTTCTGTCCAGCATCCTCCTCTTCGGCTTCCAGGTCCATGGACAATTCGGTGGCGTGGTCCTCCTCCCAGATGCGACGGCGTATCGTACCGAGTCTTTCTACAGCGGTACCGAGGTCGGAGGGTAGAGCAGCGGCAATCTCACGTCGGATACGAGAGGCCAATTTACAGCCTTTGCCGGATGTTGTGACACCAATCTGTAGGGGGCCTGAAGAGTGTGTGGACAGGAGTGTGAAGGTACAAAGGTTCGGAGCGTCGGCGACGTTGACAGGAATTCGTAGTCTGCGGCAGAGTGTAGAGATGTGTGTGCCTGATATACTTGTTAGTCCTGCTTTCGAGATGAAAGAGGGGGACTCACTCAGAGAACCTTTGCCCGCCGTTGTCACAAAGACGGCATCCACGACATTGTCCACTTCCTCTCGGCCCAGGCTTGTCAAGTCCGAGTCTTGAAACTCTCTCTTGATCCATTCGACCTTGCCCTCTTCAATCTTCTTTGCCAGTCCATAGTGAATTTGGGCGTCTTCGGGTGCGATGATCTTGGGCACTGCACCGACTTCAAGTGCTCGGTTGCAACGTGCACCGGCCAAAGGGTTGGATCCAACAATCAGATGGACGTGGTTGATCGAGTCAACAGCAGTAAGCAACGCCGGGGTGGCCATGTTGACAGTAATCGCCTCCTATTGTTCCAAGCTTCGGATGAATATATAAACTCGTTTGGTTGTCCAGGAAAGAAACAAATTGTCTCGAGAGATTGGAATCAGCAAAGTACCAAAGGAGTGGCAAGTAGTCGGCAGTATAAAAGGCAGATATATCAAGTAATCCCAAGGAGAAAGATAACACAAGACAACGAGACTCATATCTCTTGGTTGCTGCTACTTTTTCTCAGAGTCAAAGCCCGATAACGCGACTTCCGCGATAACGCAATTGCCTCCGTCCAATGCCCGTCTCGTTATTGGTCGCCCCCACCACTTTTAGCCGCAGCCTCTTTAGCGAACGTAACCATTTCTCACCAAAACAGTCGCATCGCCTTTTGAACGAATAAGTGGAGGTCGTGGGTTATGTAGGTGTTGTTGAACCTGGTTTCCTAGCTACCTAGATCTGCTCAAGCAAGCTAGAATAGCCAATGTGTTTGTAATGATTGCCAGATGCTCGAGTACTCGAAAAGTAGCATCACTGTTGGCAGCAGACGTTCTCTAGCCTCCCCACCAAAAACAAGCCCCGCCAACAGATCGCGATTGAACGCGATATTAGTGGCCGGCCGCGGAGAAGATCCAGAGCCAACACCTTCCTCAGCGGAGAAACCATTTCAGTCACTCCCTTTACCTCATGCCAACAATTCCCGCCAAATACTGTTGATGAAGCTGATGCCTTCCTTGCGGAACGTGTCTGCCTCGACAAAACTGCCAGTAGCATTCAAGACCAGATTTGTAGGCGTATGGATACTATACTGAGGCCAATGAGGCAAGCCTGTGCTGTTGGTTGTGTTGATGCCATTGGGATTTTGTGTACCCACAAAGTTGGCATATAGCTTTCCGATACCAGTACTCAATGTCTTGTAGTGCTGGTACTGAGGTAGAGGGCCCAAGGCCCCTGAAATGTTTTGGAAACTGAACATGACATTGTCAAAGTGCTTGACTGAACCAGGGACTGTAGCGTTGTATAGAGGTGTGTCGAAGCGGTAGGAAAACACCTTTTGGCCAGCTTTGGTGTAGAGTTCTGCCATCCTGCGTCTTTGTGCTATCATGACAAGATCTCCTCCAATCGCAGCAGAGCGTCGCCACTGCTGTCCAAACGCAGGATATGTGACATTTGCATGGTTGGCGTACGGAGGTTCTACAGCAGGGTTATTGGGGTAGAGCTGCAATAACTTCCGAATGCTAGGAGGAGACAAGGCGTAGTTGCGCCAGTAGAAGAGAGAGTTGTAGACGTCGGTCGTAGTGCTGAGATTCTGCACACTGAAACTGACCCCCTCGTCGGTGTTGGCACCAGTAAGCAACGGTACACTGACGAACTTTTCCTGTGCTAGTAGAGACGAGGGAAAATCCGTCAGAAAGTCGCCATCAACAATTGGGTTCCACACGACAGTGTAGTTCGAAGCAAACAGTGCTTTCGAGCTGAGGTTACGAAGACAGGCAAGCTGAGAGGGGTCGGTCCAGGTTCTAGGGCATCCCACAGTCCTCGTCAAATTGTCTGTGGCAGCAGAGTAAAAGGGCAAAGTATTGAGACTAGCACCTTCAGGACCTCCAGATTCTAGAATAGCAGCGTGGAAGAGGTTGTCGTTACGGCCACCGTAGCTGGTCAGGTGGAAGCCAATGCTCTGAGCTCCAGCGCTCTCCCNCCACACAGTCACTCGCGTAGGGTCGCCGCCAAATGAGATTATGTTCTCCTGAACCCATCGAAGCCCAAGTCTCTGATCGAGTAATCCTGCATTCGAAGAACCTTCAGCATGAATGACTGGGGTGTTGAGAAAGCCCCACACGCCGAGGCGATAGTTCATGCTAACAGCAATGAATGGATTATCGGTCAGAGTTGAAGCCTCTACAATGCCGCTCAGATTGTACTGGGGATCGGCAGTACTGCCTAGCGTGAGGCCACCACCATATATCCAGACCAGGACTGGCAGGTTTTGATTCTCGTAGCCAGAGGGACGTACGACNNTAAGATGGTTAGCTGAGATACGCACGGTGGCAGAGCACAATGTACCATTGATGGTCAGACAGTCTTCGCTGAGATTGAAATTGCTTCCGTACTGATAACAACTGTAACCATAGCGAGAAGCGTCAAAGACTCCTGAGAAAGACGTATTTATGGACTGAGGCCATTTGAATCGCAAATCTCCAAGGGGAGGTTGAGCGTAAGGGATGCCTAGAAAGAAATCCTGGTTCCATTCGGAAGAGTGATGACCTTGTACGGTGCCATTCTTGATGGTTACTACAGGTGAAGATGCAAGAATGGAACAAGGCAGTAGAGTTACCAGCGAGATGATGGACAACAAGCAATGCATATTGGAGGATCTGGAGTAACAAAATGAAGGATGTGAACAGATGGCTTTTGATGCCAGGAGCGCAGACAACCAAACTTACCATGTAGACCTACATGATGGCCAGGGGGCAGTTGAGTGGATGGAAAAACTATGGACATTGGGTCGATAGTCTAAAGGCTTGGCCTAGCAAACGGCAGATCTGATGCATGAGAAGCGGAGAAAGTTGGGGAAAGGTGGGGGATTGACGAGGTGTGCCGAAGAAGAGCGGAGAGAAGTGCTGATCTACATACTGTAGTCAAACAATAGTAGCACCTAGTCGTCGTTGTGAAGACAAAGCATGGAGTACAGTGGTGGCACAGTGGTATACAGGTTCAAGGGAGGAAGAGATGGAGGAAGCGGAGATCGGCGCGGGTGAGGACTTGGCAAAATAGTATACGTCATGGGTTACTTTCGATTCCACGCGACAAAGGACAAGTTTGTTCCTGACAAGAAGGAGACATTCAAACAAGTTGCCCGAGAGAGGATTCAGGCAGAGGAAGACATGCTTCCATCATGCCGCAAGGGCGTCTCCATCGCAGCCCTGTCACGACCTGCGTACGGTAGCAGAGTACCGTATAGACTGTCGCCTTCATGGACACGAGGCCCTGTCACCAAACAGATACAGAGACAGCAATCGCAGTTTCAACCTCTAGTACCGCCGTCGCCCGAATCACTAGGGAAGCCCGTCGCAGCTAAGCAGTACCGTCGAACTCGAACTCTCCTCAAGAGACTGATCCAATTGGGACTTCTCTCAGCCGCTGTCCTGGCAGTCGACAGCTACTTCTTTGACGCCGTCGTCACACGCTCCGCTCGCACATTCAAGACCGGTCTGGTTGTCGCCCTTGACTACAAGATCAACTTTCGCGCAAATCCTCCCTTCGCCGACTCGATTGCCGACGTCCACCATCGCAGTGCCGAACGCCTCTTCCACCTTCTTCGCAACAATGGTGGTCTCTACCTCAAGATCGGACAGGCCATTGCCATGCAGAGCGCCATTCTGCCTCCCGAGTTTCAGAAAATGTTCGCCTCCATGTTCGATGACGCTCCCCAGAACTCTTGGGAGGACGTGCGGCAGGTCATTAGGGAAGACTTTGGAAAAGATGTCGAAGAAGTCTTTGACGTGAGCTTTGACGGTGTACAAGACAACAAGGGTATCATGGAGAGGACAGCAAGAGCAAGTGCCAGTGTCGCTCAAGTACATTGGGCTCGTCTGTCTGATGGAAGAGAAGTTGCCATCAAGATCCAGAAGCGAGAAATCGAGAGACAGGTCGGTTGGGATCTGTGGACCTTCAAAGTCGTCTCCAAGATTTACACATGGTGGTTCGACATTCCCCTGTACACTCTGGTACCTTACATCTCCGAGCGTCTGATGCTCGAGACCGACTTTGTCAATGAAGCAAACAACGCCAGCGAGATGCGAGACCTGATCCAGAACGAGCCTCGTCTTCGCGGCAAGGTCTACATTCCGAAAGTCTACCGCGAACTCAGCTCCAGACGTGTCATGACTGCAGAGTGGATCGAGGGTGTAAGGCTATGGGACAAAGAAGGAATTGAAGCAACATGGCATGGTGGCTGGCGTAAAGGTAGCCCCGGCGCTGGCGGAGAGCTTCTTACTCCTCCCACGAACGTCCAACTCTCAACTGATCCCAACAATGAGAAGCTGAAGCCTACCCGTGACGACTGGCGTGGTGCATCCGGCAAGGGCGGTCTAGGACTGAACTACAAGCCCGTCATGGAAACCATGGTCTCCCTCTTCTCCGCCCAAATGTTCCTCTGGGGTCTCGTCCACTGCGATCCCCATCCAGGTAACATCTTCATCCGCCGTCTACCAAACGGCAAACCCGAACTCGTCCTCATCGACCACGGCCTCTACATCCGCATGTCCCCCGAGTTCCGCCACGACTATGCTCTCTTCTGGAAATCCCTCATGACCTTCGACAACGCCACCATCGGCCGCATCGTCAAGGGCTGGGGCATCAACTCGCCCGATCTCTTCGCCTCGGCAACCCTCATGCGCCCCTACACAGGCGGCGACAACAGCACCAGCGAAAGCATCAAGAAACTCACAAAAGCCGAGCAAAAACAACGCGCCTACGAAATGCAAATGCAAATGCGCAACGGCATCCGCCAAATCCTCGGCGACGAGAAAAAGTGGCCTCAAGAACTCATCTTTATCGGTCGCAATCTGCGCATCGTGCAGGGAAACAATCAATTCTTGGGCTCGCCTGTCAATCGTGTCAAGATCACTGGATTGTGGGCTTCGAGGGCGTTGACCGAGCAACCTCATCTCAGCATCTCTCAGCGCTGGAAGTATTATGCCAATCACTTGGTGTTTAGAGCTGTGTTGGTGGGCACGGATGTGTGGTTTTGGTATGCCAAAATCAAGCAGTGGTTTGGATTGGGCAAAGGCATGGATGCAGATATCGAAGAGCAGATGAGAGCAGTGGCGGGAGATATGGGCATTGAATTAAACCATGGCATCTTTGAAGGATGAGCAAAGTATCGATGGTTTGGCTTATAGACGTATTTTCTCTCCACACCTTGTCGTTTAATGTATATTCCATCTCATCTAAACTCATTGACGACACAGATTCGTCCAAGCATCGGTCCTATCTAGGTTGCCTGAATGCATATGCCGTTACTCCATGCCTCTGAACCGTGAAATCCAGAGGGATCTGGATGAAGAGGTATACAAAACATCAACGTCAAGTCACGCATCAACGAACAGGCTGAAGAACATAAGTGTTGACTGTTGGCCTTGTCAGACTCATTGCACACGTATATATGTAATTCGTAAAGACTAGCTATCAGAGAAACGCAATGGTGGTGCAGGGGACATATACAATAGCTCGGCGAGCGGTCTCTAAAGATGTTTTGAGCGAGTAAATCAGAAGGTGGATTTGGTCATAAAGCAGATATGGAAAGGGGCGTAAATTAGATAGCAAGGCCAAACAAAAAGGGGGTATGGGGTATAGTAATGTTTGTGCAAGAAGAGAAAGAACATGGGAAAGGTAAGGGATAGGGGGCGTGGTGACGGGGAGGACAAGGCGAGCCTTTCACATGACGGAGCAACTGCTCTGCTTGTCGCCCTTGACATTCTTGACCTGGAGGGCGACACGGGCAGCCTCGGTAAAGGCTTCGTTGACTCCGCGATTCTTCATGGCCGAGCATTCTANAACCCATTATCAGTATGTTTGTCTGGTGTCTAAGCTCTACATGTGAGACGTACCGAGATATCTGAGCGCCTTGATCTTCTCGGCTACAGCAAGGCCGCGCTTGTAGTCAATCATGGGACGTTTGGGTTCGGTGCTCTCTTCGTCATCATTCGCTTGCTCTCGCAAGTCGCACTTCAAGGCAACAAGGACGAGTTTGACGCCGGGGCAGTTTTCTGCAATTTCAGCAACCCATTTAGATTCGACGTTCTCGAGCGAGTCTGGCGAGTCAACCTGTTATGGGTGAATCAGCCGAGTGTCCAGGTTGGATGTCTCTGTATGATCGGAACGTACGCTGAAGCAGAGCATAATGGCGTGGGTATCATCGTAGGACAGGGAGCGTAAGCGGTCGAATTCTTCTTGGCCGGCCGTGTCCCAGAGGGAAAGTTCCACGTGAACGTTGTCGATGAAGATGTCGTGGACGTAGTTTTCTGAGTCGCGTCAGTACTGCGACAGAGGTGGGAGTGTTTGAGGGGCAGTACCAAAGACGGTGGGTTCGCTTCAGGCGGGGAATCGGGTTAGCGATGAGCGGCGGGCACGAGATTGCGAGCTGTCTTACTAGACTGTAGGGAAATATCTGGTCGCGTGTCAGCAGAGTCGCAAATGTCAAGAGGCTGGTCGGTCGTACCCTCTGGTGAAGACGTTTAATAGCGAGGTCTTTCCGCAAGCACCATCACCTCTGGACGCGGGACGTGGTCAGTATACTCAGTCGCAAGAGGGCCATGTTCGGTCATGTCGGACGCACAGCAGGACCAGCTTGCGCTGAACGGTCTTGGTTCCACCGCAGAGAGGCATGTCGGGACTCGAGTGTTGTGTGGTAGAGGGGTTGGTTGGGCAGAGGGCGGCGAGGTGGGCGCGTCCGAGAGGATCTTGGGTGGGCGGTGGTCCAAGGTCTAGTGCGCCGGCAGAGGCTGGGGATGATGGCGTAGAGTTTGACCTGCTTTCCGAGGCTGACGTAGAGTGGAATCGACGACGACACTGTCTGCGGCTGATGGGATGGCAATTGGAGAAGACAGACAAGTCGAGAGATAGCAATAAGCGGTCAGGACGCAGCAGACGGCAAGACAGGACAGACTCGACGTTGATACAGCGTTGGTCTTGACTCTGGTTGCTACGAGAGCGAGCGCCCCGTTCGTCGAGCGTCACCGGTAGACCAAACCTACGCACAGGCCACACATCTGTACCCCAAATCCACTCCACAAATGCTATACAGTATACCATCACCATCTTCCCACCGTGACTGTCTGTGATGCATCGAGAATGTTGGTCAAAGCTGTAGAGCTCGAGTCTTCCCTGCTGCTGATCCATTGAAAGTCTCCAGCTAGTCTGTTGATGGTGTTGAGTTTTATGTTTTGAAAGTCCACTGCCCAGGCCTCTTGGCACATGTCTCAGGCACTCAGCTCGGACAAGTACACTGTACATGTATACTCGCTCTCTAGCGTTTCTAGATAGCCGACCTCACGTTGTAAATTCATCGAAGCCGAAAACCCACGTCTTGTTGAAAAGTGCAAGCAAAGAAAGTGAAGAAGCCCAAGTTCAATCCAGCGCCAAGCCTTCTTATCTTATCGGGCGACCGAGAAGCACCTACCTAACCAACACCGTCATCAGCGTGAAGCTCAACTCCGTCCATCACTTGTTTGAACCGTCCAACAGCTTCTGAAACTCGGTGTGCCCTGCTCATCCACCGCATCTCGTGTGTAACCGACCACTGCAACCCGCGCAGAAAAAGGACCTGTCTACTCTCCTTCACCGCATCTCAACACCGCCACAATGTCCGACGACGATGATTTCATGCAGGATTCTGACCAGGAAGAGTAGGGAAAATGCGCTGAATCTCATGCCTCACCGACCAAGTGCTGACTACCATCCAGCTACGATTTCGAGTACGAGGATGAAGATGAGGACCAGGCTGGCGATGTCGACATCGAGAACAAGTACTACAACGCCAAGCAGATGAAGGTCGACAACCCAGAGGAGGCCATCGACGAGTTCTTGGGCGTCCCTGCCCTTGAGGAAGAGAAGGGAGACTGGTGCGTACCCTTGTCCCTGTCAGCCGACTCCTTGACTGACACCACCTAGNNGGGGTTCAAAGGTTTGAAGCAGGCCATCAAGCTCGGGTTCAAGCTACGCCGCTACGATCAAGCCGTCCAGCACTACCAGGAGCTACTCACCTACGTCAAATCCGCCGTCACCCGCAACTACTCGGAAAAGTCCATCAACAACATGCTCGACTTCATCGAGAAGAACGCAGAGGACGACGCTGCCAACAAGTGCATGGAGCAGTTCTACTCCAAGACACTTGACTCGTTCCAGAGCACAAATAACGAGCGTCTCTGGCTCAAGACAAACACAAAGTTGGCTCGCCTCTGGCTCGATCAGAAGGACTACCGCCGCCTGACCGACAAGGTGCGCGAGCTTCACAAGGCCTGTCAGTTGGAAGACGGTTCCGACGATCCAAGCAAGGGCACATACTCGCTCGAGGTCTACGCTCTGGAAATCCTCATGTATGCCGAAACTCGCAACAACAAACGTCTCAAGGTCCGTGCCAGCATCTTATGATTGTGGATTCACGCCGTGAGCCACAGGCTAATCTTACATCTCGTTTTCAGNGCCCTCTATCAGCGTGCCCTCAAGGTCAGATCGGCCGTGCCACATCCCAAGATTATGGGCATCATCCGAGAATGTGGAGGCAAGATGCACATGAGTGAAGGTTCGGGAACGCCACGCTTGCGCCTTTTACACGCCCAATACTGACCCGTCCTCTGCNNAGAAAACTGGAAGGAGGCTCAATCAGACTTCTTCGAGTCGTTCCGCAATTACGACGAGGCCGGCTCGTTGCAGAGAATCCAAGTGCTCAAGTATCTGGTTCTGACGACCATGCTTATGGGCTCCGATATCAACCCCTTTGATTCGCAGGAGACCAAGCCATACAAGAACGATCCTCGTATCGCTGCCATGACTGAGCTGGTCGATGCTTACCAGCGAGATGACATTCACCGGTACGAGTCGATCCTGCAGAAGAACAAGGATTTGTTGGCCGACCCTTTCATTGCCGAAAACATTGACGAAGTCACGCGAAACATGCGCACAAAGGCCGTTGTCAAGCTGGTCGCTCCTTACACGCGGTTCCGCCTCTCTTTCATTGCCAAGCAGCTGAATATCTCCATTCCAGAAGTCCAAGACATTGTGGGCTTCTTGATCATGGACCAGAAGCTCCACGGCAAGATCAACCAGGAAGCCGGAACTGTCGACATTGAAAGTAGGGCAGACTTGGATCGCATGCACGCAGTCGCAGACTGGACATCAGCTGTACGTTCTCTGGCTGCATTCGTCCTGAACGACGGTGAGGGTTTCAAAGGTGACGACGGAGCACCATCCATGGCAAATCCCGAGGCGTTCTTCCCTTCCTCTACGCATCGTACCAACATGCCTGCTGGGAAGCGCAGACTTCAATCCCGGGTCCCAGGTTGAATCCATCTCGACATGACTTGCATGCATGTCGGGTGTCATCCAATCACGGCCCTTTGCTTTGCATCCACACCAAACCTCCACAATGTTGCCACAAATCTGCAGCGGATGGCGTACCTGGCGATACCCGGAACGTTATTTGGAAGAACTATTATGCGCCTCTTCGCTTGCGCATGCTGCTGACACAAAGCGGCCTATGCCCCTCCCCTCCCAACCTCCCTCTGGGCGTTTTTGTGCTCCCGTCAGCGATTGATGAAATACAGCTCGTAATCGTCTCCCTCTCATGAGTACGCTCTGGACACTCATGTGGGCACAACGGCTTTTTTCTTTTTTTTGCTCAGAGGTAACACAAACATCAACTTCTTCGACCAGCACAGATAGGTCGCAGCTCTAAGGGTGGGGCGGCAGGTGTTGGTCGTGTAGCTCGAGCAACGTGGATAGAAGGCCAACAAAATAATGAATTACAATGATTGATTACTGCAGACCCGACGCAAAGGATGAGATAAATTAAAGAAGCAGCGATAGATTTTGCACGGGATCATCCCGTGCGCGTAAGCTTGCAGTCAAACAACAGGTCTTGCCGATGAAAGACAGGTAAAGAGCTTGCATGCTGCATTGTCGTGTAGTCAAGTCTTGTACTACTATATGAACACATCACCCCCACTCTTTCGGAGCCGCCCAATGATCTTCTGCGGCCCGGAAGCTCCTGATCGGTTAGTTGGCATCAAACCCAGCCTACCGTCGACGAACCCTGTGCGCTCAGATTAGTTACCCACTCCGTCGGGTCGTCGAGCACCCACATCGCTCAGTGTCCCGACCTGTCGCATTTTGCTCCTAAAAGACACTGTTCGAAGTTTGATTCCCACTCGGCGTGCTAGGTCACTTTAAACTGAAATCGCAATGTGTCAAATATGACGACTTTGTTCGAATCGCCAAAGTGCTGTCAGGCTCTCTATCGTATCTGGGCTCGGAGTGTACGAGCCGACCCTCATCGATTCGATTGTCTCATAGACAATCCATTCTACCTTGTCCTACTCGAAGATCAGCCTCTGTTTCACAGTACAAGTGTGGTGATAGTTTGATGTGCATGAGGCGCCGAGTCTAGTGGTTCTCTAGATTGGCTCCCAGCTGTGCAGGAGTCCCAGTCGATGGCCACGCTCCATCTTCGTGACCCGATCGGACATGTATGCTTTGATACATTTTTTCCCGGCACGCGCTTTTGGTGCCTGGCAGGAGTCAAGCCGCATGACCTATACTCATTCGCGTCTCTTCATATAGTGCCCCTGTATCCTCTTGTTCTACTGCAGCAAGGGAACCGAACATCTGCTCAACCTTTCCCAGACTTACGGATCCCTTTCTTTTCTGCTTCCACCGTCGTGCCAGTACCTCCCCGGCTTCCTGCACCTCAATCTATCACGTAGGGGACAAGGCTATTGTGTGAAAAAGCCCATCCACCCCTCACGCCCACGACCTGCGTGAAAGACCTCCTGCTACCTCGGTGTTTCCATCTTGTTTCGTCTTTTGCGCATCTCTTCCATCATTCTTTACTTTTCAAGCTACCCGCCTGCTTACCTGCTTTTCTGTTGCTCTTGCTTCCTACGATCGGCCTTGATCAGCAACACACACTCAATCGCTTGACATCAGCCCGACTGCCGTTGCCATGTTCACGTACGTGGGAGTGCCCAACTACTACCAGGGCGATCGAATGTATCCCTATGGCGAATTTCCGTCCTACACCACGTCGTACCGACCAGCAGAGATGCAGATGCCAATGCGGCCCTCGGCGCTTGGAATGCCCGAGCTTCATCATCAGCAGCACCATCATCAACCCTTGATTGACCACTCTCCATACATTCACTCTCACCAACACCATCAACCCCCACAGCCTCAACACACGCCTGCAGTCATGGCATACTCGCAGTCGGAAGATGAAATGGCGCAGCTCCAGAAGTTGTCAGCTGAATTCCAGCCTGAAGTGACGGTGAGTTTGCTCCCTTCCCCGCACCCGCTCGTGTCGTGTCGTTGCACAAGCTCTCGGACCCCGTTTGGCTGACTTCCAATGTTTACAGGGCCCGTTNNCGTCGGTGAGAAACAACTAACCAGTGCTCTCATCGAAGAGTATGCTGCTGCCGATCCAGTCTATCGTACAAAAACTTCGGTGCGATGCTATCTCTCGTTTCTATCACATGTCACTAACGTTCTGTCTTAGGCACTACCCCACAAGTACTCTCACTATCGTACGACTCGTGGCGATGGAAGATGTGGTTGGAGAGGTAAGCAAACATGCAGCTCTTGTCACCACAGTCGAGCGTAACTAACATATGCCNNAGCTGTTGCTTTCGGCTACTTCGAGAATCTCTTTCGTGTGGGTGACAGAACCAAGTTCTTGGAGGAGGAAACTCGTCTCAAGTCCTTGGGCAATGTCATCAACATGGCTGGCTATAGCCAGTTCATCTGGGAAGACTTCGCTGATGAGATCTATGCCCTGCTACGCAAGTGTATGTCGGCCGACTCATCCAACTCCGAGGCCTTCCTCCTCGAATATTTTAACAACGAAGAGATCCAGAACCAGATCATTACATATCTCAAGGTACGATGCGCAACTAGTTCAATCAAAGTATTCATTTACTTACTCTAGCAGACTCTCACCTCGGCCTGGATGAAGACTCGTGCGAAAGACTATGCTCCATTTGTGCTTCCTCACACTGTTCCTAGCTATTGCGACGCCAACATCGACCCTCATCAGATCGAGATCGACCACCCGGGAATGCAAGCTCTGACTGACGTCTTGCTCAAACCTGCTGGCATCGCTCTTGAAGTCATCTACCTTGATCGTAGCGCTGGCACTGAGGTGAACGCGCATCAGTTTGCGCCCAGCCTTACGCACGCGCACACCATCCGTCTCCTTTACAGACCGTGAGTGTTATGCAGATGCTTCGCTCATCACAATCGCTAACACGATTTGCAGNNCGGTCACTATGATATACTGTATCAACCAGAGCAGATCTTCTCGCAGCCACCACCGAGCCAACCCATTGCTGTACCGACATACTTGCAGTCCTCTCTTCACCATTATGAAGAACCCGTCATGGACCTCGGCATGTCTGACTTCATGACCATGATTCCTGGCATGTCGCTTCTGTCTAACCAGTCCAACTGGATGCCCAACCAGTTCTATGGCGTGTCTGACTATGCTGCCCCCACTGCTGCAGTGCCGCCTCCGCCTGTGCCAGCTCCTGCACCAATGCCTGTTCAGCACCACGCACCACCGCCCGTCGTTCCTGTTGCCACTCCAGCCTACGTACCCGCCGCTCAGACTCCCTCTCCTACCTCGACCGCCGATTATACTTTCTCCCCTGTGTCCCAAACCACCTTTTTCAACTACGACCAGCTTAGTTACGGCGGCAAAGGCAACTTCAGGCCATCTACCCATATGTTCGAGCAGAATGGACAAAACGTCGCAGATGCAACTGCTCAGAACTCTGTCTGTCAGACGGCCCAGTTCAAGCAGTAAGTTGACTCTATACTTTGAACCAATCTTCGACTGACTAACTTGTGCAGTTCTCACTTCAATCGCACCCACTTCTTGAACCCTGACTTCCACCCCGATGAATGGGATCCCAGCAAGGAGTACATTGTTCCCAATCCACGTAGCAAGAGCAAGTCGAGCCGTTGATCGAGCATGGCTCTCGCTCGTCTGCCTGCCTACGGCAACTCGATCGTCCATAATTCGTTCAGCACAACCAAATTGTGCCTTCCACTCGTTCTAAACCGACAGCCACAGCAACCACAGTATGACGACGTAACGACACAAGACATAACTCAGGGTCACCCCTTCTCCTTAATCTCTGCTTTTCTTTCTGTTAGACTTCAGGTTGTTCAAGCCCCACCAAAGTGTCATTTAGCGAAGGCGTTCTCAGTGCGTCTTTATTGCATCTCTTCGTTTCATTCTCTTCTTCTCTTTTTGGGCACTACTTATGGATGGCGTTCGAATGGGTTTATGCGAAGGTTACCATGATGATATGTCTTAACGCCTGCGGACTCCTCGAAAGAGCACTGAGTCACGAAATCAGCGGAGTTCCAGGTTTCCGATTTCACTTTCAAGGAGTCGTAGCTCCTTCTTCCGGACATGCAGGACCAGGGGTCGATACGATGTTGTTTCCTTTCTCATAGCTAGTCTCCAAATCTTACAATCAACCTTCTCCACTCGATGTGTCGCATAAAAAATTGCTCGCCAATGACATTTCACGCCTCTGCATTCCAACATTGCCGTCTAGGAGCAACTCCGGCAATTCATATCCTATTCTCGGACGAGAAGCCCATCATTGCGTGTTGAGGCTATCGAAAGTATGGACCATGGCCCGCCCACTGTCCATGCTCACTCTCAACTCAGCCATGCCCAGCCACCCTCGCTGTCAAGCTCGGGGCAGCTCCGTACGGACCGCGCCGCACCCGTGATTTTGACAGAAGTATCGACTGCCTGACAGTTCATCAATCTTTGACAAGACAGAGTGTTTGCCATATTGCCACCACTATTTCAGGAAAACTTGTAGGGGTTGAAAACTTTCAGATGGGAGCCAAGATGGGAAGATTGAGATGATGCAGTCCTTGGCGGATCGGTCGCGATTTCCTTCCAGAGTTGGTTGAATCTCTTGCATATCTAGGTTGCTGACTCTTCAAGTCATTACTCGATAGCACCCACAGTAGTCAATTGTAGAACAAAAGGTAGATAGATTGAGCTGACTAGTCTGAAGGATTTAGAGCTTGACAAGCTTGAGAGAAGGGACGGGACAGATCATTCTCCAGCCAATCAATCTCGCGTCGGCTCAACTCATCCAGGTCTCCCCGAAAGACTTGTTTCCTTTTCCTGATCACTCATCGACCCAAACAAGACCAACCTCTTTGCTGGACAGGTCTCGAAATCTCGTCACTCTCCTTTTGTGTCTAGACTCAATTCAGCTATCTTATATGAATTGGCAGCAAAACGGACGTCCAGCAATGCCATCATGCAAGAAGATTGTCAAATTCCAGTGGGTCGTCCAGGTACATCATTCTCCCTGGCATGAGGTCGCTTCACAATCCATCCATCACCAGTATATTCATCAGGCACAGAGCAAGTTACTCTTATCCAGCGATCTCCGAAACAATCGCATCTGATATCTCCTACCCAGCTGAGGAGTCCAACGAGAGGTTCGGTCTGATGTCCCATCTACGATGTCTTTCAGCATCATCCGAAGGAAGCCCAATCTTCCGAATATCCAGGGTTCTCCGAGGGTTGCAAATCGGTGCCCCTTGCGCGGGTATTCCAAAAAGCAGATGGCGCCAATGCAAGTAATATATTGCGCAAGCTTTAAGCGTCAGGTGCGTCTTACTAAAGCACTCCACCGTTCCCCCGTCGATCATCCATCCTGATAGTCCATCTTCCTGGTCTCTCGCGGATCCATTGATCTGGATCTTTAATATCTCTGACCCGTGCTCGAAAATATACACGATGCCCAGAAATTGACAAAGATCAAATCGATGAGTACACCTAGCGTCCCCGGCGCGTAAGGAACCAGCATCATCTGCTGGTGCTCATGCAATGCACCTCTTGCGCCGAACACTGCGCTACGACAATTCCTGGTTCCTTCTCGTTCTCGTCCGGTTTCAAATCCCTCGTCTCACTTTGTAATGTCACATTGAAGAATCTCATGATCGTTTAGATTGTTTCTTGACCAGTCACCTGTTCTTGGGGGATCACCTCGGCTTTGGACCTTCCACACGGGACTTTCATTCTGTGCCCCTGGTTCTTCGCCTCCCAACATGGAGGGTCGGATATCTGACCCAGCAGTCCTGGGTGGTCATTCCAACATTTCGGAAAAGGTCCAATCTTCAAGCATCCTGCATGTCGACCAACACAGCGATATTGAATCGCGTCGTCAAGATCTGTGACCTGGCAGTGGAAGTTGAGTTGCATCTCTGACTTACCGATCCCTTGCTTCGGGCCAGGAGTCGGTGTTTGCAGCTGAGACACGTGTCTGCCCATTCATCTCACGCGTTTCTACTGCAAGGGGCTTTGACGCAATACGCAGTCGATGCCGAGATCAGAACTAAGTTACTCGTAAATCCCTCTGATCGATTATGGCAAGGATGATCTGATATTCCAGCCCTTGACAAGCAAGTCCGGAAACCACTCCAAACATGAAATTTGAAGCTGTGCTCGGCCGCGAACGCAAGAGCAAAACGTCTTATGGTACTTTTGTACGGGTGTAGCTGCTCTACCTAAGCTTGACTGGTCCTTGCGCTGCAGCGACGAGGTGCTCTTGGTTTTCGATCTCTCGCTAATGCAACGTCCACGACATCTGCAAGATTGACAGGTTCGCATTACATTCAAGCCTGCGTCTGTTTTGGAAACATTCAGAGTACTGCTAGCACCACGATCTTCTATTCCTGGTTCCCATTGAGGGAGCATTAATATGTCAGCCACCGATCAATAGGTTCAACCAGGAGTTTTTGCTGATTTATACTTGAAACTGGGTACTGGAAGGCCGCAGGATCTGGCGAGTCATAGTTAATCGCCAGCTGTTTCCATGTTTCCCATCGTCACTCACCGCTAATAATGCACTTCTGTCAGATGATTTCTTGGACACCCCACTGGCAGGTGGTTTATGACAGTTTCGTGCAGGTGGTTTATGACAGTTTCGTGCAAAAACGTCAGTTCAGAGATGATCCAGTCCCCCTGTTCTTCGTTTACCTTCCATGGAAGTACAAACAGCAGTGATGACGGCATGCCTGTTCTTATGAAGCTTCCTTCAAACTCTTCGCAGTGATGCTGGCACTCAAGTCTCGGATCTTTTGTCGTTTGTGCCGTGTCTTCGTGAAATTTTCAGATACTGTGACGGATCTGTGTTCTCGAAATCCCAAAGCTACAGCGCATGATCATGTTGCCTTCCTTTATGATGCTCTTAGACATGGTAGTATGTTTACTGACTCAGTTCTCCGAGGTTCTTTTACTCTCTCACTCGGCTGTCCGCTATCTTGAGGTGGTTGATCAAGCATAGAATTCCACAGGTTCTTATTCGATTTTTGGTCAATTGTTCCTGCCCACAATGCTATTCGTTGCTTCCTCTTACGTTCGCTCCTTCTTTTTGTGTACACTTAAACTTTCCTTCCTTCTGAACTCATTTGTGCTTTCTTTTCGTGCTTGGTCGTAATTTTTCAACCTGTCTGGTCGCGCCTTCTCCAGTCTGTCGTTGCTCTTCCTGCTCAATCGTTCCTTGCTCTTGGACGTGATAGCTCTTTCCTGTTGAGTTTGTTTAACTCTTCTTCTCGGCCTCAATCGTGTCTGCCTCTTGTTCTAGACACTCCTTCCTCACATGGTTTCTCTCTACGCCCGATTTCTCCCTCCATTTCTCCTTGATCGCTTCTTCTTCTTCTTGTGCTTAGTTCTTGCTCCTTCCTATCACGTTTGATTTATCCAGGCTTCTTATGCTCGAGAGCTCCTTCCTCCATTGCCGGTTGGCTGCTCCATCGTGTATCTCATGACAGTCTTCTTTGGTGAACGTTGCGGCTTACTTGCAGAACAGTAGTTCTAGCTGACAAGAATCCATTTTCTGCTGTTGCAAGCACTTTTTATCTGCTCTTTGCATGCTGAGCTGCAATACGTCTCTGCTGATAAACATCTCTACATCTGTGTCACCACGACTGTTATTCTTCGCTGTGGATGCAGGTAAAAGTTGCTTCGCCAGCTTTTGAACGGTGAGCAGTCTTTCTTCCTAACATTTCTTTTCGCTCAGCCTCTTGACACATGCCTTACTGCTTGAAGTTTGTCTTGTGTATAAAATCATTGAGCTTATTCATGTGTTGTGACTTTTCTTCCCTGTCTGATACCAGAAGTTTTTTGCTTGTTGTTCTTTGCTCAATTTATATTTGTATCTGCTTGTGGGGTTTTTGAATTCGATGGCGAATTGTAGTGGAGCTGTTTTGCTGTCCTGTTGAGTTGGCTTGATCTTCAAGGTGCATATCTGTTCGATGCATCTTGTATGCGGATTGGTCATTAATCTTATGCTCTTCTTACTGTAAAAAATACATCGAATGAGCATAGTGTTTGATGCCAACTCATCACATGAACCACCTAAAAGGAAAAGCAAATAGAAAAGACCGAGAACCTGGCTCTTCTTCTTTCGTGTCTTTCCACAAACTCAAGAAATGAATCACAGATCACGGATTCCAGATAAAAAATCAATACTGGTTTTGTTGCTCCTACGGTGGCTTCTGGTGTTGACGATTACTATGTACAAATTCGTAACCTCTGACCAGCAAGGTTAACGCTGTATGGAACGTATGAGCTACCCTGTCAGAACGAGAAATATATGAAAAGGCGGATGATGCAGCATGATGGACGGCAAAGACACTGTGACAGTGAAGGTTTGTACAAGAGAGAGCCTAGACATACTGTTAGAAGTAAGATGAGAAGACATTCCTCTGCATACTGCTCGAACATGTGTATATGATACATCATGTGCAAGGAAAGGACGAAAACAATTTGCTCGACCAATTCGTAATTTAATTGTGCTCGGGAGTCACTGAATCTTCAGATGATTGCATTGGTCTAAATGTGCAATCGTGTTCTTCTTTGTAGAAGGCCCTCGCATCAAGTCTCATGGTTTACCAACATGCTGGGTTTGTGATGATCTC